TGAAGATCATTTTCATTATCGCCAATGCTCTACAGGCATAATAAATGCAAGTCTCAAACTGTGACTTCTCTATCATCGTCAAAATGACTGACCAAATCTTCAAAATCGGAGTCAAATATTATTCCATATCTCCTTGAAAACAAATGATTGCCAGACTCTTCATCAATCCATACTTCAGACATATCTTGATTAATTGATCAGACTTTATTATCTTATGATCCAAAGATTAAATCATCATCTAAATCAAATCTAGTCGCTTTTCGTTCATGTAAATCTCTATAATTTTATTTAACATATTCACAGGTATCCTTTTAACAAACTTCTACTAATAAAAGGGTTATAAACAATATAAGAAAAACTGATGATTGTCTCTCAGACTCTGATTTACATCATTCATGATCTTTTCAAACAATAAATCGTATGAATCACATTTCAACAAAAACTCGATCAATATTGATAACATAATCTGATTAGTCATCTTTAATTCTTACAATTTATATTTACTAGCATCCTGCATGGCTGAAATATTTGTTTAGATTAATTGGACACAAATCTTTATATATTTCAATGACAGATCTTCCACACTGTGTTTTATCAATGAATATCTCTCATCCTTATTCAATTCTATGAACTCACTATATTATTCATTAAATCCCAAGTACAAACTCAACACATAATTCATGCAATACAACCACTCCTCCTCTTGAATCAAGTACTTTACTATCTTTCCCTGTCCAACCATGCTACTCTGAACACATCTATCATTAAAAAGTGCATTCTAATGAGAAAATTGCTGACTATAATTGCAAATTGGATCGTTGTATAACTTCAATTTAACATATTGCTAAGTGACTTTTTTCATTAATGTCTTACACCTTCTGAATTAATATCCTGTAGGTCTGTAACCTGGATTATCGAAGTATTAATGCTTGATTGAACTCAACTGCTGTTCTGACTAATTCATATCAATATGCAGAGTATTCATAATTATGATTCCTTTGTCAGAGTACAACAGATAAAGAGAATCCTTCAAAAAGTCACATTCATACACTAAACTTCCTACGTTGATGTATTAGGATCTATGAAATATAGATGAACCCATTTCAATTTATCTGTCATTTTCCAAAACCAAATGATGTAATTTGTTATCCCAAACAAATGCCATCACATACCTCCTACTCAATTGATCTTTGATTCTCACCAGACCTCTCCCTATGGCACAAGAAGTTTTAAATATTTGAGAATCTCTCACTTTCCTTGGATTCTTGAATTCATATACTAATTTAAATGTAATCTCCTTTGTACTCATGATTTCAACATAAACAACCCAAAAAAATTAAATGCTATTGATTCCAATTAAGATACGATTCTCAGTCATTTAAATATACTTCATTGATCCTGTAGGAAATTACATAGTGTCTAGCAATTCCCATTCATCGATTGAATAACTGAATATGCTCTTTGTAAAATTGATCAACAATGATTGTCCAGAAGCGTCTATCGAAGTTGTCACAAACTATTCCTCTTTGTTTTTCCATATGCACCTTATTACTATTATTCTCTGTATATGAATATTTGGAAATGTTTACACCAGAATTCCTTTGTTGCTATCGATCAACAAAATGGTCTTAATTTAACCACAAACTAACAAATTACCATCCTTACTAAAATCCATGCACGATATCTCACCTATTGGAAGTATATACTCCTTCTCTTTCTTCTTATTCCATATTTATAAAAATTCTGCATAAGCTATTGCAATCTTATTTTTTTATACTGCCAAACACTTTGGATTCGGTCTTGTATGAGGGAATACTTCAAATTCAAATATGTCCTTGAGTTTCGGCTAAAAATACAGCGTCTTTGATTAAAGTGGAAATGAATAATCAAATTGCTCATTCTAATACTTAAACTTTGTTCCATCTAATGAAATCTCTTACAGATATTTTGGATTCTAGAACTCCTTCCTGCTTTATTATTAATGAGTACTAAATTATTTGATCCAATTCCGAAGAATAAAATTGTTGAAACACACCCTCAGGAGTTATTTCTGTTCTTAAAGCACTCTCATTCAAGTCTAAATTAACCCTTCGCTGATCCTACTTCTACTGATCGTTGTAGTACATTAGGCAGTGTATATTAATATAATTTTATATTAAACAAAAGAGAAATATCAATTAATATATATTAACAATATATTGGCTATATAATTATTTAAAAATCATAATTAATAGAAATATAATAATAAATGTTAAATTTGTATTATGATTGTGAAGAGGTGTATAGTTATGAAAACAAAGAATTACTAGAAAAGGTTTTAGAGTTTGACTCAATAGGAGAAGTTAATTTAGATGAAAGTAATCGATCAATCACTTATAAAATAAATCGCAGAGAATTTATTCGATTAAGAGATTTGATATTTTGGATTGTAATTGATATTCATTTGATTATTTTAATAGGAATCAGGCTTTGTTCGTATTCATTTAGGATAATTGTTGCGTCTAATGCTTCTTTTATTGTATTAAACAATTATCATTGAATCTAAAGGAATTGATCATGATTATCTTGATTTAACTAGAATTTGGCTTCATTTACGTAATAATAGTTAACATCCAAGTCTTATTTATCAATATTTGTAATATTCAATCCATTTTACAGGATATTAATGTCCATTTTATGAATCTAAAAACCCTGCATAAAAAGCATCTATTAAAGTTAAAGAAATAATATAAATTATCTTTAATCGTTGTTTTAATTCAATTTAATTAAAATGGACTAATGAAAACAAAAGGAAAGAAATATATAATCAAATAGTAAAACCGATAATGAATTTATGTAAGTCAAATTCAAATAATATTGATATTATTTAATGTATTTAAGTTAAACTGATGGAATTCAATTATTAAGAGGATATAAAGAAAAACTGTTTTTAACTTTTGGATATTGATGATAATTGTAATGATTATGTTGAATCTAAGAGGCAAAAATCAATTCCGAAAGTTAATGAAGATTTAACATCAATTTTATCATTTGGAAGTTAATATGGTTAAGTTACTATTGAATATTTGTTATCAGAAGCAATACCTATGATGAGTTAACACTTGGAATCTTACTCAAAAATTAATTTTGATTATTACTAGAAAGTTTAAAAATACTATAATGTAATTGACAACAATTAAAAGATGTTGAAAGATTAAATTTAAAAATAAGTCTTGACTTTGATTCAATAAGAATTAAAAGAGAAGGAAAAGGAATATAAATTTGACATAACTCTAGAGGACATTAAATAACTTCAAGATGAAATTATAAATTCAATATTTCAATCTCCATACATTAAATATTTTTAGAACACTTATTGGTTAAATCATAACAATGAAGATTTTAATACTTATCAATTATTAGCAGTATCAAAATTTATACTATCAGATGTTTAAGAAAAAGTCGATGCCTTATCTATGTTTCAGGATATGAGTTTGATTGATGATATGATATGAAGCTATCTCTTATAAATTATTTGATTTGATTTCATAATAGACTTTTTGGATTGACTTTTAATAGAAAATTAAGTCAGGAATGTTTATTTTTTTTAATTATTATTCTTCAATATAAGTTTGCTAAATTGTAATGAATCAATCATTGTGCTACTTAATATAAACTGAAAATATCTCTATATATCATATTATTCTTAATTGATTTTATAATAACATTATTCACATGTGTTAATAAAAAATACATAAGAAAAACACTTGATAAATATAAATAATCATACTAATTTAAGGGAAGTATTGATTGCTTTGAAGACATAGTTTTTATCAATTTTTCTATCGTTTTTTTCATTAGCTCTTGAAACGATTTTGGATACATAAACTTTATTATTAGAATTTAATGTGTTTGTATTTATGTTAGATGGTCCGAAAGACTTGATGATGTCTGGTTCAGGTTTCTAGTCTTCAGATTCTGATTGATTGTCAATCAACATCATCTGATAAGAGTTTTCAATGTCATCTCGTTCGATCATTTAAGAATGACCTTCCTCATAGATTTCTTCGGTTTTGATTTCAAAGGGGGAGACGTATTCTTGATCTTTCTTGGGAGTCTTACTCAGAGATGGAGCCATTTTGGGTAATTTAGGTTGAGTGAATTGGTCCTTGTTTTCAAAGCTGACATAGACACTATCATTGGGTTCTATTTTATTTTTTTGGTCATGGAGATTTTTCTTTATTAAACAAGTTTTGAGTGAATGTACAGTCATAAGGTGTGTAATGTTGATTGGTTCATTGAGAGTAACTTTCAAGACTTCGATGGGTGTTTTTTAAATGCATTCAGTTCTGTCAATAAATAATTGTAGATTCTTATTATAGCTATTCATAATTTCATTAAAAGGTTCATTTTGCATTTGTCTGAGAATTCCGTCGAGATTTGTTTCGACATCAGTTTTCATGCTAATGGTTTCAGACCTTGACAATTATAAGCAAGATATTGAGTCATCATATTGTTTGGATAGAGTTTTAAAGTTAGTGAATAATTGTTAAAGCAATCGCATTTTTTCATCTTCTAAACATTAACTAATTTAAACATGGAATCTTTCAACTTTATCTCTTTATTAATCATAATACTTCTGAATATCTTCTCGTTTAGCAATCAGGGCATTCATTAGTCTGTCTATCTAAGGTATTGAATTATTGACCTAGGAGATAAATTTAAGGATTTGCTCTCTTCTATAGTCGTCCTCTAGTCCTGGAATTTCTTCAACTTTCATTCCTTTACCCACCATGTTGACAGCACATTTTGAACATAATAGGAGAGAAGAATCCTTCACAACATGATATTTGGCCTTTTTGTTTTAATGATTGACACATTAATTCAATTTGCGAGGTTTCTCAGTATTTTGATCATTCAGTTTAATTTTTGAGGGAGTAAGTCTTTATCTGGTGTTTGACATGGGAGTTGATGAAAATTTGAATTTAAATTATTTAAAGAAGTAAAACATATTCAATATTCATTAAATTTCTCATAGAGCACTCGCTCATACTCCTTACTTAATTGATAGTATGGTCATGATCTACTTGTGGATTGGTCGTCTTATTGATATGATAGCTAGCAATTGAGGATAAATGGTATCTATATTCATATAAAAATGTAGGTATTCGTTAATAGAGAGGAGGTTGAAAAGTTTAATGGATTGAATTTATTGTTCCAATTGTTAACAATAAATGATTGCATGTTTTATCGATGTAATTAAAATTATACTATTTGTATAGGATTAAAGAAGAATTCAACTAAATAAATTCATAGTAATATCGTTGAATATTGTATCAAATCATGATTACATAAGTGCAAGAAACAGATTATCTTTACAGCATTCCTAAGTCATTTTCAACACGAGCAATTCACACAGCACAACATGCTGAACCCATTCATGGCAGCGTCAATGTTCCCATTCATTTGAGTACAACTTATAAGCAGAGGGGACCTGGTTAACCTTATTCCACATTCGATTACACAAGATGTGGTAATCCAACAAGGGCAGCCTTGGAAGAATGCATAGCTGATTTAGAGAATAGCAAACATTGCATAACATTTTCATCTGGTTGTGCAGCAATATCATGTATCATCAATACTTGTAAGAATGGTGAATAGATCATTTGTTGCGATGATGTATATGGTGGTACTCAAAGATATATGAGAAATTTCTCTGTAAAGAATCATGGAATTGAAGTTTTGTTTGTAGATATCACAGATCCTGAAAATGTAGTCAAGACAATCACTGAGAGGACCAAAATAATCTGGATTGAAACCCCTACTAATCCAACTCTTAAAATTGTAGATATTGCAGCTGTTTGCAAAATAGCCAAAGAGAACAAGATATTAACTGTAGTTGATAACACATTTGCTACTCCATATCTCTAAACTCCAAGTAATTTGGGAGCTGACATTAGTGTATTATTAACAAGCTTATAAATTAGATTAACTCTGGAACCAAATATATGGGTGGACATGATGACGTTGTCTTTGGATCTTTGACTTGCAATGACAAGGAGTTGTATGACAAATTGTTCTTCTCTGCCAAATCATAAGGAGGTTGTCCTAGTATCTTTGATTGCTATCTCATTATGAGAAGTTTGAAGACTTTAGAATTGAGAGTCAAGTAGGCTACAAAGAATGCTTATATCTTTGCAAAACACTTGGAAAGCAATCCTTTGGTTCAGAAGGTTATTTATCCTGGATTGCCATCCCATCCCCAACATGAATTGGTTAGGAGACAATAAAGAGGAGGGGGAGCCATGATAAGCTTTTACGTTAAGGGAGGTTTTGAAGAGACTAGCAAATTGTTGAAGGCCTTGAAAATATTTACACTAGCTGAGTCATTAGGAGGAGTTGAAAGTATTAATTTACACAAAAACTAAGGTTTAATTGAGGTACCATCCGTTATGACACATGGATCAATACCTGTTGATGTAAGAAACTAATTGGGAATTACAGACAATATGGTTAGAGTTTCAATTGGTATTGAAAATGTTGAGGATTTGATTAATGATATGGAAGAGGCCCTTAAATCAACACAATGAATTTATATATATATATATCTATTACGTAATTTATATATACATCATTAATAATATAATACAAATCAATCAATTATTAATAATTTGCCCAAGTTACTGACTTTTAATTCTTGAAGTATTTCCATTAATTGTTAATTGATATCGGTTTCAATTAATTACATTGTGCTTGATTAATAGGAGTTCATATTTATTTGTTATCCATTCTGGTGAATTATGAACAATTAGTTATCAATACTAATTTATTACAACAAAGACCCCTTGAACTTTAGACTTTACAACTATTAGCAATTACCAATCTGATGATCAATGGGCTAATCGAAATCAATAGAGTATTTGATCACGGTGTCAATGTCCTATGCCTATCTGCCACCAAAAGTGATGAAATCCAACTTGCTCTAGTTGGATTTACAAATAAATGTGCAAGCCTCTATTGGAGTGTATAGAGTGATTCCAAACATCTCCCAACATTTGAAATCTGGATTGTAGATCTCAATTGTATTGATTCTTGTTTTGAATGTATTAAATCCTCCTGCAACTAGTACTCTGCCATTGTGTTGGATCATAAAAGAACTGCATCTCTTTTCATTTAACTTTGGAAGCACTTCCCATTGATTATTGATTATGTGATATCTCTCGCAGGAATCCAAAATGCCTTAATCATCATTGCCGTAATATCTTCCTCCAGCAACATATACGTAGTTATCTACCAATGCATAACTGAAGGCGTATCTAGCTTAATTCATTTTGGCTAGTTTAGTAATTTGGTTGAAATTAGATTCCAATTTGATAGTTTCATTACTTATTTGATTCATCTGATTGTTCACTCCTCCCATAATGATGAGACTGCCATCACTCAACAGCAGTGCTCCTGAGTATAAAAATATCTTATTAGATAATATCGTAGTTGATTAAATATAATCTTTAAATTTTTATTATTTTGATTAATTCTGATCTTTAAAATAAGTCTTATTAATCCTGTAAATGGCCTCCTCCTATATAATTACAATGTAAGAGATGATCTGCTTCTAAATCACTCCCAACTCAAAAGTGTAATCAGCAATACTGAATTCCTTCAGACTCTCATTAGTAATTGAATTAAACACTTTATTTTTGTAAGTTCGAAGTTCCAAATTGGAAATGTCTCCTCTTTCCACAGATAAAGTGTCACTCCCAAAAAACTAGACCGAATAATTCTCAATCTGAATCCCCTTCTGCAACACTCTTGGTTTCTGATTATTGGTCTTACCAATATAGGAGATCTATTTTGTAAAGTCAACCACTTGATGTCTATCAATAATGCCTTCAGCTGATTATCCACCCAAAATGAACAATTCCTTTTTGTCATTCTGGTACAACACTCCCTATTCTATCCCATAATGCAATTTTAGCTTCAATAAGACCCATTGATTATTCTCATATTTCTCAATTTTCTTGGATCTCTTTCTCACATCAGTATATCCACCAAAGACATATATTTTTTATTCAAACAATATGGAAAAGAATGTTGCTCGACGACAATTCATTGGGGCAATCATCTCCCATTTGCCCTTCTAAAAGTCATAGCATTCACAACTATTCAAAATGCCTTCACTTCCTTAACCATATGATCGTCCCTAACCTATTAATACAATAGTCCTTACTCCCAATGCATATAGTTTTTGATCGTATTTGTTATAAATCAGTTAATGTGTATATCTTGGAATGTTCATTGATGGGAGGTTCCTAAAGATATTCTCATCCACATTGTATCGATAGACATTATTGCTAACCTCCTAATAGTTTTCATTGATTCCACCACTTAGATAGACAGTGCTTTCATTTACCTAAACACATGCCATGTTTTTTAAAACTATCTAATGATTACACATAATCTGATACTTTTGGAGTCTCACTTCTCGTGAATTCATCCTTGACTGTGTTGTAACTCAATAAAATGTTGGGAAAACCAAAAAAATAACATAGTTTTTCTGGAATCGCTTTTTATGTTGATTATTCTATTCCCATTCTTTATTTATTTATATTTAACAATATTCATACGATGTGATTAATTTATATAAATGATTATTTTATTTGGTTTCTTTACTTTGGCCTTATCTGATTGTTCTAGCAATCCCTTCACACAATAATACTTAAATCTCCTCCATAATCTTGAGATGGATGTACAACAATACAACACCTACATGTAGTCCACGCCCAAAGATTAAGTACATGCACTCTCAATTATTATTTAGACTCTAAATATATGTTCAAAAATGAATTCCTATTCTTGTTGCACCCCTGAAACTGAGACCTTCTTCCAATCCATCATTTCCAAATATCAGTCCAAATTGCTAGACAACAACAGCGAATTGCAGAACTTGTTGAAGACATTTGAATCTAATATCAAAGTATGTGGATTACTAAATAACACTTCATTTGGAAACTCATTTATCGGAACTGATAGCATAGAAAACTATAAATTGTAATTAAAATAATTAGCCAAACTATAAGCTGGATTTTTGTAAGGAAATCTATGCATAATGTGTGCAGCATCAAATGACACCAAATTTATATAGAACAATAAAATTGTTGCACTGAAATCCAATTATGACTAGTATATTAGCAACCTTATAAACTAATATGATTCTTTGCAGAGTCAGGTCATAAATTTCAAATAGTTTGTGTTGGACTATTATGTGAATTACACAGACACTTTACGTTGCAGTAGTGTTTTGGAAGAGTTCCTGCAATCTTGGCAGAATGTTGTGGTGTGTCCTGGTAACATGTGTGATTTGTATATAAAAAATACGATCTAACCACTTGGGTTTAGATAATTAATGGCTGAGGATTATTACACGTTCAGTGAGACAGATGGGATTGAAGTTTACATAGAAGTTACTGGAGGAGAAGTGGCATCAAAGGGGTTAATTCTGATTCTGATGATTACATTTGTACTATTGTTGTGATAATATTTGTTTATATTGATAATTAGCATTAATATTATATATATATTTTAAATATAATTAATATATGGATCAGAGTATGTTTGAGTTATTTGGAGGTGACGGGCAGATATCAGATTTGATAGATCAGTTTTATTATAAGGTGTTATTCGATCAAAGTTTGAGAGGCATGTTTTTAAAAGCAGACATGACTAGGGTTAGATTGTAATAAAAGACCTTTTTCGCCTAAATGTTCGGCTGTGTTCACACCAAATACACTGGAAAGTATTAATTCTTATAAATATACAGAGATCTAGTAGAAGTACATAAGAATTTGAGCATAACTGATCAACAATTTGATAGATTCTTACATCATCTAAAATGCATATTAGCTGACATGAACAAACCCTAAGAATTGATTGATTAAATATTGAAGAAAGTAGACAGCCATAGACATGTAATTGTGTTTAAATGATATATATTCATTATTTTTTTCTTCTATTATCAACGTCCCTAAAATTCTATTCCTCCAATTGCAATTTGGCTCTATAAAAAGATATTATTCATAAATACTTCTGAGCATCCTCCATCTTTTAATTCCTCATATGAATCAAATCACTCCTCCTGGTAGTATCAGATTCCAATATTTCCTAAGGTGAAATCCACTTCTTCTTTTCCTCGTCAATCTACCAAACGTTCTCTTCTCCAAAGAGCATTCCTTCCAACCATGATCCAATTCCTTATTAAATAAGAGTCCTTAAATTGTAAATATTAACAAATACTCTGTGTTATTTCCATTGGCATCAGTTTTCACCTCAAAAATATCCACCTCTACAATATCAAAGATCTTGGCCTATTCTTACGACTTGAAGAATGAAGTAATCTTAGACATCATCCCTTCAGCATTGTAATTAAAAGTAATCACTGCTTTCACACCAGGTCCTTCTACAATCATCTTCCCTTACCAATTCAATATTCGGTCTCCCATCATCAATCCAGTTATCTCCCTTATATGTATTTATAGACATGATTACATTGTTGGTCTCTATGTACATTTATAGACAGCTCCATTATTGAAAACTATGGTTTATCTACCAGTTTGAACTCCTGTTAATGAATTCACTGTCTTATGAACTTATATTTCTAATCTGTCATCACCATATATTTTATAATTATTTCCTAATATGTAATAATATGAAATTGGCGGATCAAAAGAAGTTTATTCTGCAAAGAATTGTGTTCCATCCTCCTTCACCAACTACACATTTAAATACTATTTTATTACCTAAAGAGTCTCTCCTACCAATGGATCCAAAGGTGATTTCATTTTTGTTACCTCCCCATTGCAATGTAATCCAGATATCTAGAATATGATTCCCATTCTTACCTAATAGGCTGAGATATATTTGATCTATTCCAATGGTGATAACTGGCTACATCTCTCCAGTAAATTACTAAACGTGTGTCCTCTTGTTTTATAATCAATTGTATTTACAGTGCCACTCCATGTAAGAAACTCATATCCAAAGACATGGCTATGGGCTTGCTGATTTGCATCAAAGATCCAAAATTTCCTGTCATGATCTTCCCACTCACTTATTTAAACATGCTGGCTGCCACTTTTTAGGTTTCAGAATTCTCATCCCCAAATGATAAATTTAGACCTCCTATTATAATAATTAATCATGTACTCACCTTGTTGATGAGCTGCCTTATGTCTATGAGCTGGAAATTGCTGAGCTTATTGCCCATTTTGATTGTCATTCTATTTTTTAAATCCGAACCACATTATTTAAAAATAAAAGATTTGTTATTAATAATATTATTTAACGATATTTATTAATAAAATTTATAACACCAATTAAAATAATTAATTACACAACTTATAATAATTTATTATAATATTTGTTATATAATTCAGATTTAAATGAATTTTTAAATTGTTCTCTCTGGTATCTTAATCGATTTATTAAAATCTATTTTAGATTCTCATTTCTTCTTATTCTTCTATAAGCATTTCTTAAATCTCAAATGATCTATTAAAGGATCTATTCTATTTTTTTGTAAAAATTATGTCTGAACCAACTAGAATTCAAGCAATTGCTTACTTAATCATTTAAATATCAAAGAATTAGTTATGCATATAATCTTTTTAGGTTACGATATTTTAAACATTAGAGAACATACCAATCCTATACACATCAGATCATGGAAGATGGATATTGGAGGATTTACATAATGCCATAAAGTGTAATTGTTATCTTTTAGTATTTTTATTTGATAATAGTACTACCTAACTCGATAATAAACTCACTTTTATACATATCTCAGATGTCTTGTATAAATATAAAGTAGATTATGTTAAGTGGATGTTGAACAAAAATGACATTTATTGTGCTGAAAAAATAGCATAATAAATGAATAATTATTCTTGTGTTTTCAAGAATATATAAATACGATTCAAGAATTTCAAATTGAGTATTTTTATAATAAAAACATCTTTCGTTGTATCATAAATTACACTAGCTTTATCCCAATTCTTAAACAGATTTATAAATAAGTATTTTGCACATTCACATTTTGCTTAAACTTTATCCTTTATGATATTTCAATTAGATTATTATCAATTATACTTTAACTTCAGCCATGAGGAAAGCAAACTATTTTCATGATTTTAGATGAGAATTAGATGTATTAATTATAATAAATATTATGGCAGAATAGGCAAATATTGGTAATCTAATATTCATGTGTATCATCACAGTTTCCTATTCAGGTGCCATAGGATTGTGTAGAACAGTGATATTTTCCACTATCTTGAAGATAGATGACTCAGTAATCAACTCAGTCTCAGTTGGGATATTCACACTCATTTTTCTATTTGGCCCTTTTTCATTGCCCTTATATCAGAGAATTATCTACAAATTCACCTATAAGTACTATTCTCTATTTGAAATAGAGCAGTATTTTGCATAACAAGTTTAGTTAATGTTATCAGTACAACACTCTATATCATTGTTATTGAGTAGCAACCTAAGCAGATTTATTTGATCATTGCTATATTACTCTTTGAAGCAATAGCAGCTCCATTTCTGGCCATCTTTTATTGTGCATACAATTATTATGTTCGTAGCATTTCCAACTCAAAAAATATTGGCATCTACTTTGGAATTGCCTACTCATTATTCAGTATGTAGAATTTCATTGGGGATATCTATATCACCTTCGCAAATTCAATGTACGAGTATAACGAATATTTCTATTATCCAATGTTATTCATATCCTTGATCATATCCATGTTATATCTTTTTATCAAAGAACCTAAATTTGGATATAAATCAAATTCTTCCCAAAGCATCGATTTACATCAAAGGATGAATCAACACATTTATGGCTCTTATGAAGAATAGAATCTACTATAGAGAGATGAAGATCCATCCTACTCCAATTAATTCATTCAGATTTGGACTGTACACAAAAAGGACCCGCTCTTTATCTACATCATCCCCACGATCATTTCTTTAGGAATATTCTCAGCCTTTAATGTTGCTTACTCACAAGATATGATTGTGCCTCATTATACCATGTAATTGAATCAAGAACTTATTGCTGGATTAACACTCCATGGAATTGGCTAATTTCTGGGTGGAATCACTGTGGGATTGATCTCTGATATATATGGATACCTGAATTTACTAATTATACTATAGATTTTTGCGATTTTTACTTACATAATTTCAGTAAATTTATAATATTAAATAAGGATTGTTGGTGAAACAACCTAGATGAATAACACCTTATTTTACATTTTCGATTTCATGTCTGGATTACTAATCTCATCCTCCTAAGTGTTAACATTTGCCATCTCTGGGTCACAATACCATCACAACAAAAATGTACTCTAATTTTGCAATTGGATTTATTGCTTGACATTTTATCTATTTACTATTTTCATGAGTCTGACCTCTAACTCCAATTTGACCCTAGGCGTCACTGCATTTAGTACTTTCATAATATTGTATTCCATCCTAAATTTTGCTTGCTTGTGGTTCCACAGAAGATAATATCTGATTGATTTACAATGAATGTTTAATTAAAATTATGTTCATATATCTAAATTAATCACCCCATTTATTCCCTTACAAAATGAAGAAATTAATTAATTATATCAAAAAATAAATGTACTCTTGCATTTCCATAACTTCAAAAGATAGTATTGAAGAATTCTTATCATTATATCATTGTAAAGACTCTCATAAAAAAATCCTTTTAAAAAAAGAAAGAGAAATAGTTAAGTACCTCAAATCGCTAGGGCTCTAGATGAAAACAGATCCACTAATGAAATTGTAACAGAAGAATAATAAGTATTCGATTACATTTATTTAGCCCAATATTCCAATGTGATAACTCCTTCGAATATGAAACAGTAATTGAGAAAAAGGAATTCGAAGATGACGATGATGATGATGATAATGATAATGAGGAACTTATTGTAGCTAACAATCCTCTTTTTAAAAAAAGGACCAGCAAAAAACTAATTAGAGTTTTTTCTTTCGAGAAAAAGGATAACAACTAATCTGAAGAAGATGAATAGAACTCACCACTCTAAATAACTTGATCCATGAGGTTTTTTATGTTATTTAAAAATTTATGAGCAGATTTAATTACTAGTTATTTTTATTATATTATAAAAAATATTATTAATAATAATTCTAATTCTTATTTAGTTTGGATTATTGACTAGATTTATAAATACGTAAATAATATTGGTTTGAGTGGGGCTTTCCTTAAAGATTATATAGATTTCAGTAAGGTGCAAATTTGTAAGATTTTTATGTAATCATCTGAATCATCCAATCATCAAGCTGCTGCTATTACGATAAATAGATAAATCATATAATCATTACTTATTTGCTTATAATGATGGATTTATAAAATTTTAGGAAAAAGACTTTTATTTTAATAAAATTTGCTCTATTTTACAACACAGTTATGAATGTTACAATGGTGAATTTTTTTCCTCAAACCAACAATCAAAGTTAAATATTATGTAATTTCCTTTCAAACCTATTGGTTCTTGCTAACTAATATGAGCTTGAGTAGTCAATAAATGATGAGGTATCATCATTTACTATATTTTGATAATATGGATGATAAATTAAAGATATAAAATAATTTTCATTTAATTTATTTTTCGAAGATTTTCTAAACATAATGAATTTTGCTATCGAAAAATAATTTATTATATTAGTAATAAATTATTAGACTCTACATTGATCCTTAATTGTATTAAATTGGATATTTTAAAGAAAATAAATCGGGTTCACTAGAATCTGAAATTAAATTGTATTCATTGATAATTAACTAATAAGTTAATAAGGGTGCTAAGATTTAGTTCATAACTAATTTTTTTATCTTAAGGTTTGTTATTTATCATGGTCAAATGTAAGTGAATGAATTCGTATCTACATTTAAGTTATGAGAAATCCAATAAACTAAACATTCCTCATTTTAAACCATTTCAAAGGATAATAATTTAAAACAGGAACCTGTTCATTTTTATTTTCTATGAAAAGGAAGATTTTAAGATCACAATCGCATTCCTCTTAATTATATCTCAATTTTCTCGCTTTTTTATTATTTAATTACAATTAGAAATTCAAAAATATTAAAGCCTTAACAAAATATCCTTTATTAGTATAATCAATAATTTTATATATGAATTCAAGATAATTTTTATTGAATATTTTTTTAATTTGTTTTTATGAATCAAGTCAATAAAATTGAATATACATCTTTCAAATTAATATCAAGAATGGCACAATCAGATATAATAGTCTTGTGATAAAGTTAATATCTTATTGATATTATATAATTTAATTGCACATATCAATGCAAATTAGATTACTGTTAAAGGAGCAGATTTAGAAATTCAATTACTAAGGAGAATAAAAAAATATAATTGTAATGATTACTTAAAACATATATAATCATTTTTCAGGATTGTATTATTTCGTTACTGATTCCATGTGCTTCTCAATAGAGAATTGTAACCTCAAAATATAGTCTTCATAATAAATAACAGTTGCACTATGTATATTTATAAATAAATTGTACTTGGGATCTCCATTTGTTGCAAATCTGATAAAGTCTTCAATCTCAAGAGGTCTAAATTAAATTCTATAGCACTTAATAAATGTAGTAATTACCCCATCGTAGTAAGTTTTTATTTTAATGTATCAATTTCAATATATCCCTTCTTTTCTTCGTCCAATTATCTAAATGCTGCTAGTAGAGTATCAGTATCATCTGGATCATATTCATTGCTCTTCAATACTAGAATTAAGGGATGATCGATAGTACCTTGAATCATGAAGGGTTCAAATTTCTAATATTTGATTGACTCACTGGGTTCGTCCTCTTCAATCTATGGAAGAATGGTTTTGCTCACTTGGGCTTCGCTTGGGAATTTACCTAAGAATCTCATGATATAAGGAATTTCCCTTGTTTATATTAAGTGATCAATTACTTTTTATCAACATACCCCTTCTTATCTTGAGCAAATAGGTTGAATGTTTCTAGAATCTTCTCCTTCATGTATTGCTCCATTTTTTATTTTTCTTAAATCGATGCATTGGGGTCCCACATTTCTGTAAAAATAAATAATTTTTATAAATATACATATAATCAATATGTCTATAAAGACAGCAAATCTCATTGTTGTAATATGTCTTAAAGGAGGGCTCGAACTACACCTTAAGGGTTCTCGAAGTTTAATTGATGTCCAGCATCGGGGATTACTCTGAGATTAACATTTTAATAGGAATTCAAGTTGATTGCTCCTCGGTGATCCATCCAATCAGAATCACCAAAATAAAACGAAATTGGAATATTCTTAATTTGATTTCTATTCATTGATAATATACTCTCAATCGAATTGTGACCTTTAGCAAAGATTGGGAAATGGAAAAACAAGCATATAGACTTTTCTGATCCCTCTGGCAATTCCAACATTTCATCAATGTAAGATTTCCAGAGAGTGTATTCATTTCCACTTAAACGCATTCTGTGTTTTAAATAGATTTTAATAAATTATCTCCCAATGAATCGATCATTCAAATATTATGGGATTGCAAACACCCCTTCCCATAAGCTTTTGCCATACTCAATCATCTTTCTCCTCAGAAAAGACATTTAGGAGTAGTCTTGTTTTTGACTATAATGATCAACATATTTACATAATCTGTTCCTCTGTGTAATAAGTAGTGCCTGCAGGACTTAGTAGCAATAATCTTTTGAATAGTTTTGGAAATCTCACAAGAAGATGGGCAGCTATAAAACCACCAAATGAATGGCCAATCAGAGTCACTTACTGATTTGGACACAACCCCATAATCAATTTAGAAATAGTTCCCATAAAAAAATCCATTGCTTCTTCAAAAGAGTCCATTTTTATATCTGATTTGCTTGAGTATCCCATTCCAGGTAGATCCAAAGAGTATACCTTGAATTTCTCTATCAATTCACCATAAATCCTGGAATAATGAAGATTTGATCCACCGTAACCATGGAGTAGTATTATTGTTTCCTAATTAAGTATATGACATACTTTATTGTTCTGACCTCCGCTGAATGTGTGAATCTTATAGATCTTCCCTAGATATTCCACATCGAAATCAAAAATACAATAATTTAAACCAACCTTCAACCCTAAACATTAAGATACTTAAAATACCATAGTGTTATAATAATTGGATTTCCTTAACCCATCTTTTTAACTTCTTCTATTCTTCAGTCAATTCCACTTAAGGTTAACAAAAAAACATATTTATAATAATGAAATATTCTGTAATTCTAAAAATTATACTAAAATTTATAATAAAATGTTCTCTATTTAAATCAGAATAAAATTATTCCTATCACCTTTGAAAATTAATCAATTAAAATTATTATTACCAGAAAAAATTCTTATTAACTAGTAATCATTACATTCCTTAACATAGTGCATTAATGGGCTACTTCATAATAATTATTAGTTAGAGTTGGTTTGTCGCAATAATATGAATATGAAAACATAATGAAATGTTTTTAAGCAGATTGAAATGGGCAAGTGCATTCATGAGAGATTTTGAATCTTGAACATAAGATTATGAACTTAATTGAATAAGTATATAAAATTTAATAATTTATAATCAGCAATTTATATATTAATAAATGTTCTTAAAATGTCAAAGTTTACATATTATAGTAATGGGTTGATACAAATTAAGAAGCTTCTTCAGGGAAATACTTTATGCTTAATTAATTTTAACAACTCAATAATAAATTATTGATAAATACGATTAAAATGAAATAGATGCAAATAAGAAAACTATCAAATAAATATTAAATTCAGATTTGAAGTATTTCCCAATAGAATTAACTAATGTCTACTCAAGAGTAGTTTAATTAAAAATGGCACTGTTTCAAGATTTACAAAACCCAATTACTAATGAGTGTAAATTGATGGAAATTAATCGATAAATTAGAACAGATTGATATCATGTATATTGGTTGTAAATATAATGGTGTTGTCAAGTTTTCATTGGGTCAATAAAAAATATTGAGAGATATATCAATATTATGAAGAATAATAGACATCAGAAGTTCAAGGAGATCTTAGTTGACTAATGAATTTCATATTTCATCTTTTAAAATAGAGAAGGATAATTTAGATTAGTTGCAAATGAATATGAACATGAATGATTTAAATATTATGTATATTTGTGAGTATTGAATTAATTAATTATTATTAAATGGCATCTGCTTTTCCAAAATTGCCAGGTTTTGTACCCACACAAGAGATTGATGTAATTTAATTGACTTGAATTAGAAACCAAACTTCAGAAAAGTGTCTTCAACAAAATAAGAATAGAATAGAGAAGTGAATCATCTTCCAAATAAGGAATATGCAGTACCTCGTAAATAACCAATTCAAATACCTCCTCAAACAGGGATGTTCAATCCTGATTATATGAGTACAACTCATGCTATGCATCTTCCGAAAGTACAAAAAACAGTTACACTCCTAGAATGTAAACAATGATTCTGAAGAATTGTATTAACCATCCTGGGTCAAAATGGATAGACATGTTCTACGATTCAGTGGATATTTCAAAGAGGCTGTTGTTGAGTCTGCACTTGAAAATTACAGGATTCGCAAAATCACAATCTGCTACTACCTTGAGGATCATTCATTAAGCATAACAGAACCAAAGTAAGAGAATAGTGGAGTCCCCCAAGGAGCCTTTTTAAAGAGATAGAAAGTATGCGTGTTCAAATATTGATAGGTCTTGCGCGCTGATGATTCCAAGACCTTTATTCTCCCTGAAGATTTCAGAATTAATCAAGACATCATAATTTTTGGCAAGACCATCCGTCTCTATGATTGCGATCAATACACAAGGGAGTTTTACGAGGTATGATATCTCCATGACTTTCGTCTAGTTATAGGGAATACCTCAAGAGGCCTCGTTTGTTCCATAATCTGACTCATTTGAAACTAAGACAATGACAAAGTTCATTCCTCAGAAGGACACTGTGATGAAAGATTACTTAGAACATAAATTGGGAGGTGGTCGAGTGACATCTTAAAAACAATTTTTAGAGAATGACAGAAAGGTTTCAAGTTAAATTAGTTTAATCTATAGGTTCTTAAATTCTATGTGTTCTCAGATATCGAATATATCCTTCATTACTATCTAGCAGATGATACCATTGAAATCAAGGAAATCAACTCAGCCAACTCTGGAAGAGTTCCATTCCCAATGATGTTGAGAAGATAAAAGTTACCCAGAAAGTTTTCATTGAATCAACCAGGACAAACATATGCTGAGGATTTCATAAGACCATAAGATATTTAATTTGGACAACCTCTAATTATTTATAATCGCAAGTTCTTCATCAATGGATGTGATCAATTCACTAGATACTACTATTTTGAGAAGTTCAATGTAGACTTCCCATTAGGAGGACAGGAAGAACAAGTGCAATAAGAAAGATCAAGTAATAACAAACAATTAAAATCTATTTAGATATCATTATCCCCCCTCACAATGGTATTGGAGATGAACAGGATTCACTTGGATACATTTACAGATTGTAACCCATACCACCAAAGAAGGATTTCTTCAAATGGGTTGACAACTAAGTCAATCTTAGATTTCTGGCCATGTTCAACACAACCAAACCAGAGGACAAGGATAGAGTATTTGTAATCACTTTCTTTTTAAATGATGACAGTCTTTTGGTCTATGAACCAACAGTGCGAAACTCAGGTATGTGATGTTCTAATACTTATTAGGAATTCCTGATGGGAAGTTCTTGGAAAAGAGGAAGTACAAAAATGTCAATAACAACAATGAGTTTTTCACTCCAAATGATCTTATAGTTGGGAATGAGGTTGTAATAAATGGTTGGAAATTCTAGTTGCTTGATTGTGATGAGTTTACCAAGAAATGGTATGCTCAAAACTTCAAATGAGATTTATAAAATAAATAATTTCACATATAATTAATGTTTAGCAGTTAAACTCCCAATGCTTTCATACCGAATGCTCAATCCAGATATGTGATATCTCCAAGAATTGGATAATCCATGTAGGTTAATCAGAATTTGCAATATAACCATTAACAACTAGAATAAGAGAATACTAATTCAAATTCTTCAGAACACTTGCACCATTTGACAAAGCTCTACTTTATGATGCTTCTATGCTATTTCATTGCGTTGTTTAATTTAGTAGAATATTTATACTAACTAGATTGAATTTGAATCGATGAACTCATTCTTTAATCAAAATGGATATTTTCTTTATTTGTTTTTTGGAGCACTTCTATTAATATCGATATTGTCACTTAGCACAGAGAATCCATTGCTATACCTATTATTTGTAATTCTATTCTACTTTTTATTTGCCTGCATAAAAGCCGTGAATAACATGAATGTAGCTCTGATGATCATTTTCACCTTTGGAGGACAAGTGCTGGCTTAATTTTTGAGTGTCCTATCAGCAAATAATGAGAAGGATCTGTAATTGCATCAACAATCATTATACATTTTGACAAGTGGTTTGATTGTTTTCCAATTATTTATCACTTGCTTTGACATTGATTTCTTTGAAATGATTATCATCCTCATCACAGGGTTTATTTTTGGGTATGCTTTAATTAATACTTGTGTTTAGATTCTTTTTAGTTATTTCGACTATGAGTAATGAAACTAAATTTGATGGGAATGCTCTGCCTGAAAGTGTGAGTATCTATGCGAAAATCTTGGTGTAGATTCTAAAGAAGGCTTAATAAATCGCTTTTCTTTATTACAAGGATCCTGTGGAGGTAGAAATCAAACTCATTGAAAGAAATAAGAAAATTGATGAAAATGATTATAAAATAATGAATCAGTCGGATGCCAAGAATTATCAACATTTATTAATAAATACATTGAATGGTTTGGATGGATTGATAGGATTGAGTGATGGCACCTTTATTTATAAGAGAGGGATGGTTTAATACTCGAATGCCAAATTTGAAGAATGCACAGATGTGGCCATAATGAGATTATAATGATTAATATATGATTATAACATAATTGTCTCCAAATTATCACCTAATAATACAACTGATTCTAAGTGGATTTAAGTATTAATCTATCCATTCCTGTTTCAAATTTGGAATTTCACCATTCCTCATGGCCACTATCTACATGAATTGCGAAGCTATCTTTTCCACAAATTGAGTGTGTTATGCAGCATTCTCCTTCTTCCGTATACTCATATTACACATTCTCGTAGTATAAGAAATCCCCTTATTATCAAAGTACTAAGTGATCTATTGGTATGCTTATCTATTGATGTACGCGAATCTCATCTTCAATTCTTCAACCTCTTGAGTTTCTTTTGGCAACATGAAATGATAGGAGAGTACCTAATTCTATTTAATCTTTATCTTATCCATTTCAGTAACCATCTCCCACTTCTCGATTGGTTCTGTAGTAAAGTACTTGTGTTTCTTCTTCATCAAATCCTAGTTCTCCTTTAGATACTTGCACTAGGCTTTATTTCTATTGGAGATGAGTTCTACGCATTGATTTTACATATCCCTTTGGAATCTGAAGAACTCATATAGATTTTCATTTAAGGTGTTGGCCAACTTATTTAAATTGCTGCTCCAATCTATGAAATACTCCTCCAGTAGAGTATACACAAATTCCAATAAGGGGAGACTACCAACAATATTTTTTAAATTGAAGGATTTTGTGGCTTCCTTTAATGATCCTATGCTCCCAGCCAAATTCTTGACTTTGATAATGAAATCCTTCATGGAATTAACCATAAATCTAGAATTTTGTGTTAACTCCTTGTAGATATCATTAGTGTTTAACATATATCTATTGATAGAGATTATAATTACGTATTAATATCCATGAAATACTTATCCATCATAGGATTGAATTCCAAAATGACCTAGCCTTCTTGATTGGCATAATCACTATATTTGGTTGGTTATTTCAAAACGGATGATGAAGCTAATAGTTGTTTAAATTTGATATCATCTTCTAGAAACAAGAAGCCTTCAATAAAGTCAGATTATCTCAATAAATGATTATTTAGAATGGCACTCAAGAATTGTTCTAACATTTTGGTTCTTTTGGAGATGTGTTCAGGTGTGAACTTTCTAAATAGAGTTTTAGCAGGGAGTGGTGGTATCAAACTATCTGGATATTGTTGTTGCAATGCCTCTTATAACCAATAAAAGTGTTCGACTCTTCTCCACACATTGGAACCAAATTGTCCCACAACTACACAATAATTCACATAATTTGGCGTGAATGTACTGCCTTCAATTATCTTATATTCAGCGATTCTGGGTTACATGATAACTTGAGGATTCTGATCATAGTACAATACAATTCTATTTGGAGGCAATTGTTTACATTGTATTGTCTCTCTGTAATTCTTTTCATCATTGATTATCACATTTGGTTTGATTAGGATTTCCTCGTCTATACTCATCGTTCTTGATCTATCTCATATTCATACCTAACTCTCTTTAATTCCCCATGCTTTTTCTCTACCATCAACTTCACTTCCCCCTCTAATGTCTCGTAAGCCCAAGAGTCGATTAAATCAAATTGTTCACCTCTCACTTGACTCAAGTGCTGAATTAATTCATCTTTGGGGATTCTCTCGTATAGCACTGCTGATAGCAACAAATCCTATTTCCTCAGTCTCTCAAATGCCAAACTCATCCAATATGCAAAATTTAATATTCTATAAAACAATCTATTCGCATATATTCATTACATTCTACGCTTTTTTATTACAAACCAAATAATTCCACCTTCTTAATAGAGAAATTTATTAATATTTCTGAGATTTTTAATAAATTAATGAAGCAGTCCTTTTAAATCAAATCAGACATGTATTTATTATTATATAGTTGTGAGATAACTTTGCTTTAAAATTGTATTCCTGGGGTCCAGTTCAGTTGGCAAAAGTTCCATTATTAAGAGATTCCTCAAAAATGAATTTGCAATGAAATCGATGAGCACTGTTGGAGTTGCATGTGTATTACATATAGATTACCCAAGGAATCGAAAGTAATTACTATACACAACCAATAAGTAAAGGTGCAATTGTGGGACACCGCAGGACAAGAGAGATATAGATCCCTCACAAAGAATTACTATAGGAATTGTGATGCCATGGTGATTGTCTATGATGTTTCAAGTATGAAAAGTTTCAACTAGGTGAATGGTTGGATTGCTGATTTCGAAGAGTATTCAATTGATTCATCCCACTAGCAAATGTGAAAGACCAGCAATTAAGATGTTGCTAGGAAACAAAATAGATCTGAATCGAGAAGTGGGAATTGAATTGGGTAAGATCCTCTCCCAAAAACAGAAGCTATTATTCCAAGAAGTATCAGCAAAATAGAATACCAATATTGAAAATGCAATGATAAAATTGATCGAAATTTTGATTCAAACAAGATAAATTGATTCTGGGGGCAAAGTAATCAGAAGGGGATCTCTCTTTGAAAGTAAATCGAGCAGCGGAGACATGTCCTTCAGTGGGATGAGCAAATCAACAAGGCCTGTTTCTTATAAGCCCCCAGAAAAGGATGTGTCGAGTTCTGATACTTCTAAAGTATAGGCAATTAGGGCTGGAGGTGAAAGTTCATAAGAAGAATCACCCTTTACTTCTGGGCCTCTTCTATAATAGACTTCTCCTCCGACTATAATTGTGACTCCGCCTGATGATGCTCTTGTTGCCAGCCAAGATGAGAACAATAATATGTGGTTAGGTGTTTCGAAACATAAAAAGTAATCCCATAGTGTGAGTATGCCTTTGAAATTGGTTCATCCCAGGGAATCTGAAACAATTAGGGATGAGTATTTTCTAAGACAAAATGCCAATCAGAGTTGTTTCTGTTCTTGTTGATTATATTAAATTCTCTATTAATTAATTAGGAAAAAAAAAGATTTAAAAAATTATTTTAAATAAAATGCCAAAGGGACAGACAACAACTACCTAAAAAGCATAGAAGGCTGCCAAGAATGCTAGAGTTGCTAAGAAGGTCATCAGAGCTAGAACTCATTTCCAAAATAGATTCCACACAGCCAAACCTTTGGCACTTGCAAGAAAACCAAGATTCACCAGATTGACCAGATAATTGAAACCCATTACCAAAGGTTTAGATTTCTAAAATGTCCTCAAACACCCTCTTATTACAGAAAAGGACATGAAGAAGATGGAAGATGAAAATACCATGGTCTTCTATGTCAATTAAAAAGCAACAAAACCATAAATCAAAAGAGCATTCTCTAAGATCTACGAAGTCAAAGTGAGAAAAGTCAACGTAATATTTACATGCCTATATTCAGATCTTAAATACCTTTGGTGGCAAAAAGAAGGCATACATCAGATTGGGAGGTGAGAACGATGCACTCAACTTGGCCAACAAAATCGGAATCATCTGAGTGACAAAGTCATTTTATTGCATAGTAAAATATATATAAATATACCTATCATTTCTTATATTATTTATGAGCACTATAATTAAAATATATATATATATATTCAAAAAGAAATAAAAGAGTTTCGATAAAACTTTTGTTCCTTAATATTTTCAAGACATACTCAACAATATAGATCCTAAGATGATAGTCTTTTCAATGTCATCTGAAAACCTGAAAAGGATCTTGATTTATACGATCTGATCACGAATGAGATCTTAAAAAAACAGAAGGTACTCAAGAAATCCTTTCTACAATTGGCTTATGAAAATAATTTAATGATCTAGTCTTTCCTAGAAGAAATTTAGTTCCATTTTCGACACAACTATAAACTTCTTTATAGATTAAAAACAAGTCTAAATCTAAAATTATTGTTGTACCTTGTAAAGTGACCAAGGCTTTTCAAAATGACAAAAGAAAGAACTGCAATTCCAAGAGTTATTTGATAGAGACAATTTATAATTTTAAATTCCAATGAAATAGACTTTTAAATGAATTTTATCAGAAACTCAATGATTTGTGAATACATCTTAATGATATTTAATTTGATTAATATTTCAAACTTGTATGTTGGTAAAATCTGCAGATCTTACTAATAACAAAGCCTATTCACTTATTGCTTATTCACGTTGGAATTCATTTTTGGTGTCATTATAAATTTAAACTTCATCGGCATACAAGTCATTCTCCAATTAGAGTTACTATTCATAAGTGGCTTGGTCCAATCTTCTTTGATCTCTGAATTATGTGACTTGATCAATCTTTTCTAGAATGTTAATAGCATGTATTGATACCTAAAGTTGCTGTCAAATCAACATTGAGAGCATTTATTTGTTTCTAGAATTCAGCGAATTCAGCATCCAATTAAACTATTCTGGCCTCGAAATCCTCTTGGTCTTAGACTTCTTACAATGATAAGTCATTGATTGAATCTACAATGGCATTTCTAAATTCATTAAGAGTATTGACAATTTATGTTAAGACTCCTTGATCTGAGAAGTTCTGATTTGATGCCAATGTAATCAATGCCTTTAAAAATGGAGCCATTTTGCTTCTTGGTTTGATACTCTATTCAATTTTTTTAAGGGAATTCTAAAATTTCTTGACTTAAGCCAATGATGGGTTATTGAGTGTTGACAACAAGGCCAATGCATCATCGACTGCAGCTGTTGCATCATTCAACTCAGCAACCTAAGTTTCGTATGCTTCATGTTCTTGTTCTCTTGTGAGATTTTCTTCATCAACCTTTTGTCTATTTTGAGCCTGGTACTCCTCGAGAGTCTCTATTCTCACTTCCAATTATTCCTTTCTGGGTACCAAGAGATTTTCAATAACATCCTCTGATCTGCTTACATCAATTTGAGCTTATTGGATTTGTTAATTCAATTGAACAAGTAGAGCGTTGTGTTCATTTGTTCTACGCTAGAAATTGAAATCTAAGAACTAGAGTCCTTCATCCAAGTCATTGACAAGTTCTTCAATAGCATCAACTAATTCAGAGACTGCTCCTCCAGCCATAGAATGCAATTCGAGCAAATGTAGCAAGGCTCTTCCATAATTTGACTTTTGCAATTCTGCTTGCAATTTCTGAGGACTTTAACTTCTCAACTTAGCACATGTGGCCAAGCAAATCACCAATGCAATGATCACAAATCTCATTTTTTTTAATATTATTATGCTCACAGCATTACCGTTTTTGTTTTTCTTTATATAATTAAACCATAACATAACTTCATAATATTTCAATTTGATTCGTTATTCAAATTATGCCCAAAACAATAGGCAATTCCCCTCTCCACTCAAGCCTCAACATGAGGAGAATCTAATTTCTCAAAACTGATTACGCACTCTATTGTTGTTGAAATGATACAAGGTGCAAATCTTGATTTCTTTTGAATGGGAAATGGGGACAATGTTAAAATTCTCAATTGGAACCAACATGGAGAACTATTTTATATGAGAATGACCAAATGGCATAGAATGTAGATACTGAAAATATATCTATTGATAATTGTTCACAATTATTACATCTTGCAAAAATGGATGCTACCAAATGCTATTATTAAATATTATTATAGTGAATCTAAATAATAGACCAAATGAAATGTAATTATTAATTTGATGATTTATCATAATTGATTTATTGCATATTATATAATTCATTAATGATTATATTAAATCTTATGTAATAAAATTTTTGAAATTAATTCCGTTTTCTTGTTATTCCCCATACTGTTATGGTTTTGCGTTGCAATAAAACTATATTTCCATTGGAAATGATCACGACAATCTTCAGGATAATTGATAATATAACATTAATATTGATTCAGTTATTATTATTAAGATTTCTAAGTGCGCGAGGTTGATTAGAAAGTAACGGTTAATAGTTCTAAATCTGAGCAAAATTATAAAATGGTGATCACTTTAATTAGTGATGTGGAAATCATAGTGAGATTTAAACAATAAAAATAATGAAGGTGGGATATGGTTACATTTTTGAATGCGATAACTGTTTGATTTTTTGGCAACTAAAGGTTTTTGACCATTAGTAGTAGGTGATATTAAATTTTTGAGGAGCTACATATTAAGTTTTAGAGAAAGGAAAATTAAGTTTAAATATTTTTTATGTTTTACTTTCAGGGTAAAATTTTGTTACTATTTCAATTATTCAAGTACCCTATCAGTTTATATTTGAAGCTTTGTATTTGGGACTGGATGCCAACAAGAAGTCCTAGCGGAAAATGATTCTGAGTTGCAGCACACATCCTCAATTTATTAGACCATAGGTATTTGGTTTCAATGGGATCCAACATTATAACAGATGAAGGGATTGCAAGGATACAACCCTCATTATCAGTTGTATGTCGAGAAGAACGAGATCTAAGCAACTACTAGTGCTGCAAGGATATTTCAAGAGTTGGAATATCAATATTTTCTTATTTAACACTATGCATTTCAAAGCTACTCATCAGCACCTTAAAATGCTTAGCACCAACAAATCGAAAGAGTTTTTAGTTTTAGACTTGACCCATTCTTGATGGAAGGGAATTGGGGTTTTCATTGTTTTAGCTATGATTCAACAAGCAAGGAATATAAAGTTTATCTTTGGTTTGCAAAGATAGGATCTATGACTGAGGACTTTACTTTCGAATCAAAAGGATATAACTTGGAGAGGGATCCAGGAACAAAATACACGTATATGGTGGGCGACATATAGACCCTCCCTTTTGGTTAAGTATATCGAAAGATGGAAGAAGATGTGGTTCTGTAGAAGTTTCGAGGTCTGAGAAGTAAGCTTTATTTTAGTGACGTTTATTTGGGAACATTGGCAGACTTTTTAGCATTAGATTAATTGAGTTGCCAAAAGTATAATTATTGTAATGCGATGGGAATAACAAGAGCGGTTGTTCCTTTGATCGATGGAATAACCTCGAACTTCCCTCAAGTATCAGTCTAAAACTATAGGGAAGAAAGATTCAGTTTTTCAGGATGGATTAAGCTAAATAAGATGTATGGTGCATCATAGGATATAACACCAATTAGAGTGGCTATCTACGAGTTTTACTCAAATGATTATATCTTGGGAGACAGAGTGTTTATGATGAGTTATCATTATGATCCTGAATACCTATCGAATTCGTGGATTAAAATTGATACTTATTCATATGACTATCCCTACATATCGTTTTATACGACCACTCTATTTGACACCTATACAAAGCAAGGGTTGAGTATGTATGAGTTGATGACCAAATGGCATTACTTTATGTTTGAAGCAGGAGTTCAATCATATATCTCTAATGTTAATGTTCGAGTAAGGGATGGAGCAATCTCAGATCCCAATTATTACAACATAAAGTATAATTATTAAAGAAGGAATCAATTCAAATAATCCTAATTAATCGTTAATTTAGGAGGAGATAAATTCAGTCCCAGTCCTATGAATGGATTCATAGCCAATGTGGCAATGGAGTATTGTTATTCAAGTGATTAAGTCTTTGAGTTCAGTAAACATCATATTTTATTTTGAAAAGGATGCCATTCGATTTGCTAAACCTGTTTTGGTCCTGATAAGACACATTGTCTAAGTTGTAAAGATACCACTACAAAGGTGTTGAAGAATAATTAATGTTTGTGTATACGAAATTATTACGAAGATGAAAACAATGCTTGTCAAAGTACTTATTATTTAATCTAAAATTATAGCTCACAATTCATATTTGGGATAACTTCAATTAGTGTAAACTAATATTAATAATGCTTGCCAAGAAGATCAATTTTTGATTCCAGGAGAGAGTTCAACAATTTGTCAGAAGTGTCCATCATCCAAGAGTGATTTTCAAATAATGTGTAGTGATTGTTTATTGAATCAAAAAACATGGTATCAAAACCCGATTTGCTCACAAGATTACATCCAATATGAAGAAGGAGATGTATTCGATGGGGGTAGTGCTTATCAATTGATGTAAAGGGATAAGATTGATTAAGATTATTATCTGATTGGCAAGGATGGTAGTTTGAGTCTTTGTGAGGGTTGTTTGGGAGTAGTAACAGATGATAGTCAATCATATATACTGTAATACTAATTGGATAAACTTACCAAAATCTACTGCAAACCATGTCATTAAGTAGTCAATAATGCTTGTGTGAATCTCAATCTTAATTGTCTTGAATGTGACGATGACTTTAAATGTCTGACCTGTTAATCAGACTTTAAATTACTGAATTCAGAATGTATGAAATGTCCCTCTCTTGAATGTTCCACATGTCTAATTAGTTAAGGCCAGGTGAAATGTGCATCATGTCCAAGGGCTGCATATCTTAATAACGGCACTTGTGTGAAATGCGGTCAAAACTGTTAAATATGCGACATTGACAGGTGTTATAGATGCGTTGACATTAATCAATACTATCTCTCACTTGATGGTTTGAATTGTTATCCAAATCCTATTCCTAATTGTTTGATTGCATTCGAGAGAGTCGATGGTCAAAGAATGTCGAGTCTCCAATACAATTACCCTCTCTTGCAAAGAGATCAGACTGCAGTTGTTGAATGTGCTTTGTGCAAATCTAATTATATCAATAAATTGACCAGTTGCTTATATCAGGATCAAATGGATGAGACTGAATAGAGTCTCGATATAAATAATGATGGTAACATCCTCTAATTAGCCATCTAAATTTCTAAAGCTACTTAATGCTAGAATATTGAGACTAAAAATATGAAAATTGATTGTCAAAGTCCCTGTTTTTAATGTGTTAAACAAAACAAATACTTATTGGATGGATGGAAACAACAATTAATGCCATTCTATCAATCCTATTTCTCATCCTCTAAATTTAACACTGCCACAGATCCACTCAATACCAATCTACTCTATAGTAAAGATGATCTTCAAATACATTGCACTTCCTGTCGAGAAGGATATGAATTATATATCACCTAATGCATCCCCATTTGCTCATCAAATTGTGAATGTAAAATAGTCAATAATCAGAATGTGTGTTTTAAATGCAAATCAAATGAAAGAGGTCGACCATTGAGTCTCTTTAATGGTTAATGCATAGAATGTCCCTATAATTGTGCTCACTGCAAAATAAGGACAAAGGCAGAGATCAAATTGATTAATCAGTACTTCGATCCCCAATATTCCGACTTACAAATCTATGGGCATTAGTGTCTCCTCCCTTACTCTGACACCTCTCTCTACTATGATATTGATATAGGTGTGTACGTAGAATGCTCCTCTTCCCTTTGTGAAAACTCCCTTAAGATACCCATCAATTATTATTGCGACCTCACTAGCTACAATGCTGCCAAATCCAGTTATTCAGGCACTCTGGATGAGTTCCTAAAATACAATGTTCTTCTGGCTGATTATGAGTCATTCAAACCCTTTTATGAGACCTAATTCTTTTACTTGATCATGAATCAAAGGACTCTGAAGACCATATCTTTCGAAGTCACTTTAATATCAAGTAATGCATATTGTGAATTACCTAACAATTTTACCTTAGCAACCAATTTAAGACGCAACATCTTTACTTTAATCCACCTTCCCATAGTACTCAAAAGCAATGTCAACTAATTACAATTATTCACTAAAACCTTTTAAATCATTGGATACTCAGATGTTACGATTAAGAATCTATAGATTATTAATTTCCCATTAGCCGATGTTTCGATCTTTATATCTGATAGCTTCGGATTTGTTGTCACAATAAATGATCTGCTTTTTAGTTGCTAGAATGTTAAACTATCGGTTATCATAAACAATCCAAAATCGATTAAATGTGATTCACTTACATTTAAGGATATGATAGTTACAAATACTTACGGAATATTTATGTATTAAGGATTAGACAACGATAAAATTGTACAAGTGGAATTTATAAATGTCAAGGTTATCAATACAATCCTCAAGAACTCTTCTCTTTTTGTATTGTCACTTTTTGAAACCTTTTAAAATTAGAATGTAAAATTTACTACCCTCTTGGTTCAAGACTCATAATTTACTGATTCCACAATCCTATAAACCAACTATTAAACATCAACAAGAAAGGCTGTCGTCGAATTAAATCAATTGAAAACTATAACCACAACATTTATATCATCAATATTTCTCAATTTTGAAGGGTTCCTCAATGTGAAATTAAGAGATTGTTAATTGGATCAAAGTGCATTTAAAGATGGTTCAATTTGGTTATTGCTTCCATTGTTTTAATTATAAAATGTCAAAATAACAGGCAATACTCTAGAAACTTCAAATGATAGATTTATTACAAACAAGGCAACAGTGGCATACTCAGATTCTGATAATGATCAGAATTCCATCCAAATTTAAAACTTACTTTTTGAGAATAATCAATTTGCAAGTGGCAAAGCATTTATTGAAATCTATTAGAATGTGTTTATTGGACTATCCTTAGAAATTAGTGATTTGAACATCCATTCGAATTAATTGTTTGGATCACCTAGCAAGTATAAAAATAGAAATGTGGTTTCTGAAAATTCAACAATCTACCTGGACGTCTACAAAATTTCACTATAAAATGTAGATATCATAAGGAAACAATCCTTTCCTGAATTGGCAATCCTTAATAGCATAGATGTTCAAGTACTAAATCTAAATGCTCGACATTCTGAACTGAAGACATCCTTCTTGCATAATTCATACTCCTGTGCATAAAAGTCGATCTTCGTGTAAGGATATACAGCCTTGATGTACATTTATAATGCCTAGAACATTAAGTTTGAGAAGATATATTTGAATAATTTAAGAAGTGCCAATTTGCCCTTTATTTTTATAAAGTCTTCAGATAAAATGAAAGTGAGATAGAATGAAAGTGTTCTAATCCAGAACAGTTATTTCTCTCAAAACTTGCTCCTCTTGACTGCAATCAGTGAGTAATAGGCAATCATTCAAATTAGTTCAGAGTAGTACTAGAATGTAATCATAAGAAATGTCACTTTCTTTCATAATTACTAGCACAGCTACATCCAAGACTTATCGTTTATTTCATCGTCTACTATCCTTTTTTCAAGTCCCTATTCAACCATAAGAATAGAGCAGGTAACCTTTGAAAGGAACATGATAACAAGTGGATAGAATTCCAATTTGGTGTTAAAGTGTTCTACTATTATATTAATCAATTGCAGTTTCTTGTAATCCAATTTGCCTCCTTTGGATACCATTTAACAGAACATCTACTGGGGCATCAAATAGGACTAAGTGTTATATTTTGAAAATTACACCCAGTCCTTCCCAATCTATTCTCAAGGAGGCAGTGCATATTTATCTGCAAATTCATTGGTGATTGAGAATGTGTTGGTTTTGGAATCAAGATCATAGAAGGGAGGAGCCTTCTTCATAGCACCTGTGTAATACGGAGTTATTAACATTTAAAACATCACCTTCTTAGATTGCAGGGCCAGTTTGGAAAAAGTATCATCTGCACAAGGAGGGACAATCTATATAGATGCCTCCTTATCTCAATTAGATATAACGATTAAAGATGCTGTGATAACCAGAAGTTACAGTAGAAGAGAAGGAGGAGTCTTTTTTATAAATCCCTCCAAAACCAAGAATTCAGTGAGGTTGATCAATATTGTGGTCAGCGAATCCTATTCACTGTTTTATTCATTTTTACGGATCCCCCAAACTTCAAGTGCCGATGTATACATTCAGAATTTTGTTGTAAGAAACAGCTATTAAGGATTCAAAGATTATCTTGGATTACTTTTTTATTTATCTGAGATAGAATTGAGTACGTTTCAAAGTAGTTACTTAATTTCTTTGATGGGCAACATTACTATTGAAATCAGCACTATTTCAAATCAATTCAGTGGATTATTTGAGATTCAATCAGGATAGGCAATCTTTAAACAGATGAGCATTTCGAATTGTTTCCTGTATTCTCAACCATTGATGATCTTTACTTCAGTGAACTTACTTACTTTCTAGAATGTCAGAATGTTCAATATTTCAAATCACTAATATGATGAAGAGCCTGTTGATTAATTTGAAATAACTTACCAGGCATTATAAATGGGTTGCACTCAAGAAACATCTAAGCCTTCCTATCTTTATGATGCCATAAATAGTTCAATTATAAATTATTACGGATAGGAGAATATCAAGAGTATTAGTACGAGTTTCACTTATCCCACTTGTTTGATTCAAATAGATTCAATAGAGAAGGATTTTAAGATCACATATAAGGATAGTCAATTCTCGATGTTAACTTGTTCGAATTGCTAGAAAGCTTTGATACTCCACACCTTTAATGCCTATTATAATCTGGGAGTTAACATAGTTAAAATTGAGAATATTAAATTCTACCAAAACATCTGCGGATACAGTTGTTTTGTTTTTCTTTAAGAGAACAATAATCGATTGCTATCTTTAACCTCCTCATCTAAGGAAAATATCATCTACACAGTTGCAGTCAGATCAAGTGAGTTTCTTAATAATGTTGGATAGAATGGGGGAGTATTTTATGTGGATGATATCAATTTCCTCATTGATTCCTGTATCTTAAATTATAATCAGGCCTCACAGTCTGGAGGCGTTGTTTACTTCATTTCTAAATCTGCTGCATTCAACATCTATGATTCTGATTTGACATCCAACTCAGCCTAAATTGGAGGGGCATTCTACCTAAATAATTATACTCTCAATTCCCCAGACAGACTCAATCTACATCTTATAAACAACAGAGCTAATGATTACGGGAAGAATTACGCTGAATATCCTTCTTAATTGACAGTATCATTGGATGGAGAAAAGACCCAATTAGACAAGAAAGTGATCTTCTCCAATTCCACAACTATTATAGATCTGATAACAATATAACCCTACTCTTTCAACAATTAAACCAAAGACTTCATCGTGTTACCAAGTGGATAAGCAATACGCAATTACAAGTATTACAATGAGACTACCTAATAATTTGTGTCTTACAATTTGACATTTCGAATATTGGCTTTAAACAAGCAAAATAACAAAATTCAAAATTTACAAGGTACAAAATGCACCGTCAAGTCTTATCTTGTCTCTAAAGCATCATCTAATTAAGAGAGTCCAAAAGTGTTGTCAGATGCTAATACCACCTTCACAAATCTAAAGGAAGTTGCGTTTGATACAGATAATTAGGATTATAATTTAGATGATATGATTATTTATTTCGACCCAACCAAAAATTCTGAATAGGTCTTATAATTGGAATTCTTTTGTGATTCAGTCAGAATACCTCAATTTGATCCAGAACCTCCGTATTTATTAAACACTTTGATATAAGACTATCGGTTGAGAGTAAATGTCTAATCTTTCGATTGTCAATTGGGTGAGCAAAAACGATCTGATGATGGTACATGTGTAGTGTGTGATTCAACACTCGATCAATATTCAGTACAGGCAGGGCAACAATGTTAAACCAGAGACTCAATATCCACAGAGGCAGTGACGTCAGCAAGTGTGAAATTGAGACCTGGGTTTTGGAGACCTTACACTTACAGTGTTAGGATTGAGTACTGTTTGAATATGGAGATCAATTGTGAAGGAGGATGGATTCCAGGCAATCCTTCCTGTTTCACTGGACACATTGGTGCATTGTGCGAATAATGTGATGTTTATAATATTGAGGGTAACGGATCTTGGTCAATGAGTGGGCAATACAAATGTGGTAGTTGTGATTCTATTGGTGACAACACTATCAAAGTGGCATTAGTAAGTGCTTGGACCATTATATCCATTATGTTGTCAGTCAAGAGTACAATGGAAATGGTTGAAAACATGGTCATGGGAAAGAAATTGTAGAAGTTTTATATTGAGAATCCTAAGACTGGTTATGGAGGTATTCTCATTAAAGTGTTGACAAATTATTTACAGATCATAGGTGTTGTGGCTACATTCCAGCTTTCTTTGCCAAGTGCTTTATCTGAGGCATTCAAGACAGTGGGTAGTCCTGTGGAATCCATGAGTTATTCCCTGGATTGCTTTCTGATTCACATGTCGAAGATTGACATTCTCTATTTCAGAATGATTTGGGCTTTGATAATGCCTTTGATCTACATAGTCACATTCTGTATCCTTTATACTTTAGCCATCATTGTTAGGATTGTTATCCCTAACAAGAGTGCCATCACTACTACTCTAATTTATTTGTTTACATTCCTACAACCTACCTTATTAGGAGGGTTCATTTCTTTGTTGTCCTTTAGATAAATCTCAGATATCTATTGGATCCAAGGTAATGTCTCTTACAGATATGATACAAGCACTCATGTGGGATGGCTAATTACCTTTGTTCTACCATCGGCTTTGATGCTTGGATTAATCATACCAACTTACCTGTTTCTTAGTTTGTACAAAATTAGAAACAAATTGGATGATGAGAACAATAGGAAGAATTGGGGTTATCTCTACAATGAATATCAACCCAAAGCATACTTTTGGGAAATCGTTAAGGTCTATCAGAAGAGCTTCATCATCACATTTCTTACTTTCTATGAAGACTTGATCATTATTAAGGCAGCTCTGGTATTTATTATAGTGTTCATCTACTCTGGATTAACCAAAAAGTTTAGGCCATACAAATTACCCTTTCTCAATGAAATCGATGATGTCAGTACTCTAGTGTGTGGAACTTCCATTGTCTTGGGGATGACTTTGTATTCAGCAAATTTAACCAACAATCAAGAGATTATTTGGCCCTTCTACATTCTTTTAATTCTAATCAATGCAGCATTCATATTTGTGATTCTTTGGGAAATTCTGTGGGCCAATCTTGAAAATCAACAAGCAGCCTTGGACAAATTGAGAGACAAACTCAATGCCAAATTCCCAAATTTAGTTAATAAAAATTGGCTGACCAAAAGACTATTCACTAATAGAGGAGAACAACTTAAGAGAAACAAAAGAAGATGGAAAATGATTCGCAATTACTTGTTCGACATAATAAAAAAACAAGGATTAGTTCAAACTGAAGATAAGTAATTTTAATATCTAAATACTTTAGTGATAGCAAAACAGATCAAAAAAGTAAAAGTTTACCAGGCATACCCAAATACTATAATAAAATCTATCCCGAAAACTTCATTGATCAGTTTGGATCAGATATAGAAATGTCAGTTTGATGAAATGAAGGTAATGATTCAATCATTTAATAAGATTTATTCCTACACAATAATACATTAAATATATATCAATTAAATAAGACTTCATTACTGGTAATATAAAATGGAACCACCTACATACTCCTCTTCAGCCAACCATGATTATATGCTTGTTGTGCAGTGTATCTCTCTCGAGATAATCGCTTAACCAAATTCTCTATAAAATCCCTGAGATCTCTAGATGCCGTGTAAGGTATCATAAAGCATGCCTACATAAAAGATATCAATACTGTTTTCATCAATTCCTATTGGTTTTCCTTCCAAGGGGGCTTGCCAAAACAAAGTTCGTAAGTCAATACTCCTAAACCCCATATGTCTATCTTCTTGTCGTACATGTCCCCTTCCAAGATTTCAGGTGATGCATATATCAATGTCCCACATTAGGTTTGTCGATATTCATCTGGAGAATAGACACAGAACGAGAAGTCGGCCAATTTGATCTATCCAAAACTCAGCAATATGTTGTCTGGCTTAATGTCTCTATGGATCACATCCTGATTGTGAATGTACATCAATGCTAAAGTAATCTATTGAACCAATTGGGCAGCCTCATTTTCAGTGAATTTCTTGTTCTGTTTCGTCTGTTAAAGAGTATTCAATTGTCCATGAGAACAATATTCTAATACTAAAACGATTTCAGTCTCTAAGTAGGTATTTTATTAATCTTACAGGTCTGAAAGAAAGTATACAATCTTGTGATATTTGGGTGTTCTAGAAGATATTAAATTTTTATTTCCCATGCCAATTGACCTTGCATCATCTCCTTTATTATTAATGCTTTCTGTATCACTTTCAAAGCAACCAAAAATCCTGTCTGAATCTAGATCGCCAAAAACACTTCGCTATACTTACCCACCCCCAATTTCTTTATTGTCTTAAAATTCTTATACTTTGGCATCTCATTTTTCTCTACCCCAGAGATCAATTGCACCTTCACATTTTAATAACATCCATACCTTTTGACACTCGATCTTGCTGTTATTGCTTACTGGCACTAAACCCACATTCGGGCTCTACTCTAATTGAAACGAAATTTATTCGCTTTTCTTTGGAGATGAATACTCCAGTTTGCTTTTTAATGTTTGCTATTGAACCATTGATTTTTGAGAAACAAGCGAAGGAGAACTAATTATGTTCTTTACATCTGTCTCTGTTTTTATGATCCCTGTATTAGCCGAAGATAGTGAAAATCTCGTCTAAGGATCAGATGGTCGATGTCCATATAGGTTTCTTGATTTCTATAACACAGAGTCCACATAAGAGAGGATATTTGGATTCGGTGGAGGAGTGTTCACAATTCTAGAGTAAGGCCTATAGGGTTAGTACGGATTATTCATCACTTTTTTACACTTTGATTTATATAAAAATTACACTCTCTAAATTTACAACAACCAGACACGAAAACAAAAAAGAAAAACCATTTCATCTAGAACTTGATTGAATCCTTTTAAAAAATAATCTTACTTTTTGACTTTGCTGAAATCACACAAATCTACAAAGATTTAGATCTGATTTATAATTATTATAATAAAATTAAAAATAAAGTTTCAATCTAACAGATTAAACTTACTTGATATGTCAATTGTTAAAATTCAAAAAAAAATCATACTTTAATTTCTTATTTGATTGACTCATGGTGTTGTTATTCTTTCATTTAAGAAATCTAAGATTGGTGGTGTTTAAAGAAGTTATAGTGCTTTAGCTAAGACTGCTAATTCTTACTGAACAGAAGACTATGGATTATAAAAAATATATAATGTTATTATTTTTAAGAGTCTTGATCTTTATAAGGTTTGGTTAAAGCATCAAATATATATAATCTTAAAGTATTTAAGAAATCACACATTTCTTTAATACTTATCTATGTTATGTACATAGTTTTCAGTATTAGATTTCACTTATTTTAATGATTTATTAATTTTATGTTTTTATTCATCTGTAATTTCAATAAAAGCAGTTCTAAGTTCACCAGATTTAAATAAATCAGTTAATAAATCTAATGCTTCATTTAAATGTCAACTGGCTTCCCATTAAGTATTCTCAATTTACTACCAAATGTCCAATCTTTTATTATGTTTATTCCTCAATCTTTTATTATACACCTCTATTCCTATATTAATCCATCACCCCTTAATTACTTATCTCATCATAATATCTTACTTTTCAATCTTTGTATATGTGACAATGTACAAAATCATGGCTATACTCAAGAATCCTTTCATTTAATTCGCTTTTGTAATTATTGAGTAAAAAATTTCACAAATTTATAAACTTCATATAAACGATTAATATATTCATATAAGTTCGTCTGAATCATCATTATTTTTTTGAGCGAAATTTAAGATATCTATCGTAAAGAAAAACCAGCTGCATCCTCTGTACCATAATGGAAACTTGTTTTTCAATCGACTGAATAATTTGTAGATTTCTTCATTTTTATTGATTGCTTTCTCCAATTCTTGATGATAGTATTTAAGGGAGGTCTATTTTGCTAATTAATCTTTATGAGACATCGGAGAGTACATCATAAGAAAATGGATAATTGAAACTTCTGCCAATCTGTCTTCTTCTTTTGTGGATAGAGTCTTAAAAATTTCTTATTTCAATTGAATAAGACTAAGAATAACTCTCTTCTGTACATGTTCCACATTAATTTTTTTCTAATGAATAATAGAGAGCAACAATTACTTTTAATCTGGTTCCTTCTCCTTAAGTGAAGTTAGTAAAATACCCTGTGTATATTTCATATTCGTTTGTAAGATCAAATATCTTCCTCAAAGAATCAAAGTTGTCAAAGATGTGATTTAAACATTTGAGAGCATTCCTGCAAATATTTTCAGTTAGATATTGCTAATATTCATTTTAGTAGTACTCTTAATACTACTAGGCTTAGTTTCCGACTTAAGCCAATTCATCTTCTTAATAAAACTTGTAAATAAATCTTGTGTCTATTTCAGGTAAGCCTGCTTGTTAATAGCCATCTAGGACTGATGGAGGCTCTTAATTAATGCGCTGCAGAACATCTCTGTAGAGCTTACCTAGTATACTTGTAGATTCATAAACCATAGAGTCCTTTTCCATAAAATCAGGCCATCTTTTAGTGACAAGGTCATTAGGAATTTCCACTTTATTTCCATGTTTGACATAATCAACAGCAGCGGAATGGAGTTCTGCTAATCTGATGCATTTTGGATCCCTAGCATAGTCTTGAGATCCATCTGCAATGGCTAAATGGCTGTTGTCAATTTTGCCAAGGACATCAAAATTTAGATATTCAAGTAGGAATTCAATCATTTTCTACTCCTAAAAGAAATCCTCAGCACATATATAGCCTTGGGCCTGAATTTATTTTGAGGCAGCAGCAGGTTTCTTCTCTTCATCATAATTCATAGGATTTTCGATGATTTTTGGTATGACTTTGGGATCCCATGAAACAAAATAGATATCCCCATCCAAATCACCTCCACCACAGTCAGCAGGTATGGAATTTCCTTTGCATGGGAACACGATGCAATTAAAGTATTCAGCAAATGGATTCCTCATGTTATATCTGCTCAAGATTTCGTTTTCTGATAAGGCTCTGACCTTTCGAATATCTCCTGGGTGTAAACATGGGTTTCTAACCACAATGATTTCTCCAGTTACATATTTGTGATCTACATCTATGGATTATTTCACAATGCATACAACCTCTTAACAATATAATTAAACATACCTCCTGGATCCAAGATATCATAATCATCCACTACACCCAATACTCTAGCAGCTTGATCCATAAGAATATTAGACTTGGTTCTCAATTGCATAAGACCTCTCCTTTTCAATCTATCCAATACTCTTTTAATATAAAAATTGTTTTTCTCATTTAAGTTGGCATTGATCATCAACCTTATATTATCAATAATGGATGGAAGTCCTTGCAACTCTCCATTATAATCAACCAAAAAGTGATTGTAGATCGATGAATCTATTGCAGACAGATTAGCAATTCTATCCAAATATTCTAGCCATATTGATGTATTTCATACCTCGCTGAAGTTGCATAAATACTTCCTCCTGAATACCCAGGGTTACCAATAATATGATTATCTATCTATTTAAATATCCCCCTCTAAATTTATTGTAATCCAATAAGGAGATCATGGTTTTGTAATTCCCGTCGTTTAATAGAGTTGGATTAAACTTAATCATGCTCTTTCTAAGTTCAATTGTGTTGTCAGGCAAATCATCATTCAATAGTAATACACCCTTTGCTCCATGGTATCTCACTTGAATAGCAGATATTGTTTGATTATTCATTTCTACCCTGATCATGTTTATCAAATTTCTAGATATCTTCCCTATACCATCAGTGAAGAGTTTTCCATTATCACCTACCTTATCAGGAACTTAAGTCTTCACAATTATTTCTTTTAAGTCAATTGACTTACTTGAACTGAAATTCTAACCCAATCTAGCTGCATTCTTAGCCACTTAATCGATACTCAATGTATTAAAGTTTCCTATTGAATCTATGAAATTTTGTCTTGATATCTAGGCTCTATTGTAATTAAAGATCCAGCAGGACCCTCCTCTCAATTGGGAAGCACTCCAAGTTAATAATCTAAACTATTCCCCAAGCAAATTTAATCCATTCTTCAATTTTTATTTAAAGTAATATTCGGTAATGTAGTGGTGACCATGAATTGTCTCCAAATTTTCATCCTCGAAATGCAATCTTATGAAGTTATTCAATTGATTATAATACTGCCTAATGATTTCACTAGTCTCTTCAGGCAGTTTAAGATTGAATATATATCCAGAGGGTGTTAATGATACTCTCTTTATCATAGCCACTCGTTTCTACTCATTCTAATCAATTGGAATAATCACGTCTTCAAGACATCTTTTTAGATCTCTTTTAAAAGTTAAATAGTTCTTTTTATTTAATTCTGATTGTCTCACTGAAAAATTCAAATCTGTACTGTATCTAGAAAACAATTGAAACGTAGATTCTAACACTTTTTCACATTCGTTTGCATTATCCTTTGAAAATTATACTATGTGGAGAATTAGCTATTTCAGCAGTTCAAAATCTGTGATCCTATTCTGTGAAACAACACATAGGATATTATATTTCTATTCGAAATTCAATTAACTCTACTCTATCAAGATTTGCAATTAATCATATTATGGTATTCTCTATTCCAACTCAAACAGATTCAAATCTATTTAATCTGTATACATCAAGTTGTATTATGACAATTTCTCAATTATAGTTTTATAGGTCATCTCCTCCTTGGACCCCTATTGAAATGTGAATTAAGCAGTAATGAAAGTATTGTTGATCATTATCAACCTTTCAATCTCATTCTTATATTTATTATAATAAGCATTCGAAAATATATTATGCACTCTGATCCAATCACTTTTCATATTGAACAATTCGAATTTTCGTTTTGTACTCAATGAAATACTGTAATTTGGTGGACACAATAACTTAAAATGTATTTTTTTCCCTAAACAATCAGTTACAGCATGACAATATTAACAATTTACTAAATCTACTTCGATTCTTAATAGAAATTTATCAAGAATATTGAGGACGAACTCCACTTTCCTTGCCAATTTCGACTCTTCACAATGGAACATCATATATGCTTTTACCTTGGCTAATTGAGATTACAAATCTGAAAATTTAAAGTAAGGAGACAAGAACAAGTTTATAGGAGAATGAATTGGTTAATCTGGAAGTTTGTCTTTTAAATGTTCTCCTGTCACATACGAAAAGGTTAATTCGTTCAAAGTGAAAGGTATTTTACCCATTTTTACAGAGTATTCCTAATATTATAAGTTATCCTCTATAATCTAGGCATTTCTAAAGTTAATGTATACAGGTTCAGAATTTGAGGCGATGGGAAAATGGAATTTTAAGAAATTAACTAAATGCTTTTTCTACATCCTTAGAGTAACAGTGAGAGGACTATCTAATTTAGAGTCTAATGGAGCTTCTTTCAAATCATATAATTGGATATCCAATTTGGAAATCTTGTTCAATGCCTTCTCTAGTTTTTCAACCATTTAATTGATTTCTTGCAATTTATGAATCTTATTTCTTTATTTGCTTGCATCTATTAATGTAATATCTCTTATTTCTTCTTCTTCCTCAAGCATGCTTTAAAATGAAAATACTCCTTCATCGTCATCATCCTCATCATTTTATTAATTCATAAAACTTTCGCCTTCTAAATCAAAAATGCAATTTTCTAATAGATTCATCAAAAACTTATTTTTTTAGAAATTGTTGAAATTTGGCTCACTAATTAGCTTACTTGCATAATCTTCATCAGCGAGTTGGGTTCTGAATTCCACTTTCAATACCTATTGTATATTTTGCAATATTTTACGATAATTCCTTTATCAGCAAATTATTAATTAATTGCTAATTAGAGAGTCTCCATAATTTTCTAGGCTGTAATTGTACTCAAATTCTGCTTTTGTAAATTGCGTAGGGCAGGTTTGATTATAATGTAATCATCATCTTAAAATCTTCCCAAAGCATCAATAACCTAATTATAGTATATATTAGATACATGCTAAGATAATTCAGGTTCTTTACTCTAATTTTTTTGATTCATACTCTTTTGATCACTTTATTTAATATTTAATATAGATATTTAAAATCAATTTAATTACTAATATAATTAAGATGACTATTCTTGCCCTTCCTTCTACTTCCAATTTTGTTTTGATTTAATCACCCGCCATGCATACGCTACAATCAACAATACTAAGATGAAAGTAATCAAAATTGGAATCAATTTATTATAATTTGAAGCAGGGTAAGTCATGGCAAAGGTAGATCCCCCAAGAGGAAGATGAGTACTCTCACAAATCACTGCAAAATAGTTGAAATTGTCTTTAGGATCAATTTTAATATAAACAGTAGTGTAATAGTTAAGGAAAGTCATGGTATTTTGCTAAGATTACATATAATTTTGAAGTTTATCCTAAATATCTATCTTAAAATAGCCCAATTTAAGTAGCTCCTTATCTTTTTCATGACCTATATTAACGAGGAAGCTTTCCCTTTAAATAAATGATCCATTTCTTCTTACAATCATAGGGATTTCAAGAATTAGGTACTCATGTTCAATTCTATATTTAACTGATGAATTCTTATAAGTCATAAGTGAAGTCAAGTGCTCATCTTTCTCAGTTGTAATCAGAATTGGTGGTATGCCAAATAAGTGTTTTTCCTATGATAATTGAGAATATATACTGAAAATCTATATTGAGGAAATGTGGCTCCACCTTCTGATCCATAGCATACATATTTTACCGGTACTCTAAGATTCCTATCCACCAAGTCAGTAAAGAAATATGTTCCAGGCAAAGGCTTTAGTTCTAAAAATTTTCCATCTTAATCAACTCTAGCAAATTTGATTGGACCTTGAAATGAAAAAAACTAAACTTCTATGTCCCATGAAGATTTAACTGTAAAATATTTAGTTTCATTTAATTCCAGGACTCCAAATGTATCAAACAGACCTGTCACAACATGGGTGATAAATAACAGGATAAATTTATTAATCATAATAATTGATTGATTGTAAGCTACATGAAAGTATTATATTTTCTAAATTAATGTGACAACATATAATAGTATTCCATATTTATTCAATTGTAGACGGTCTGTATTAACTTTATGTAGATAACTGTGTATTGAATGTACCATCATCACCCTTTATTTCCATACTATTGGGATTTTATTCATTATATTACATAATTTAATTTCAATATATTATATCAATTTTAATTTATTATATTATTTATATAAAAAATGCTTCTGAATTGCGTAATTCTTTGGACTTTATTGCAATTCGTTCAAACTTGTATTGTAAAGTTGTCTAATTATCATAGTTGCGAAACCAATTGTTCTAAAACTCATACAATGTTTAAAATTAACCCAATATCATCCCTTTGGGATTACTATTTAATGGATCATCCTTGCAATATAGCATTAAGAACAATAACAATACACAAGGATACAAAATATTTCAATCTGTTGATCTATTGTAAACTTATAATACTGCTTTGAATGCTAATTAAGTAATCACGAGTTCCCAATTTCCAATTATTACGAATGCTCAGGTGTAAATATAGATTATTTTCCTCACATAAACATAATCAAATTATTAGTTGCTTAAGACAATTTGGTCGACCAGTTCAATTAATACTAATTACTAGGTCCTTGCCACTCTTACTAATTAATAGAATTGCAATCGAGTAGCTCATATGAATCAAAATGGGATCGTCATTCTATGCTAGAATTAATTAGCATTCTATAATATGACGTCAAATGCAATAATATATTCATAGATAACATGGCCTACTTTTACAATTAGCTATTATTGGCTTAAAGCAATTAATGATGGTATTATCAATAATTAATCCTAAGATACCGTCTATGTATCTTTTTCTGATGGAAAATCAAGTTTCACTTCAACTAGCTATGTCAATACTAATGGGTAGTTCGTTAATGTCGACACGCTAAATTATGATGGTATTGTTACTGGGTTTGATGTCTATCCTGATAATACCTATTTTATTCTCAGAAACTCCATACTCTCATATGTCAATAAAAATGCACAAATAAACTGCAACACATTGTTTACTTCCCAATCCTTCATGAGTATCTTTTCAGGCCTCAATAAATTGGGTCAAGCACACTTCTATATAGCAGTAATTAATTAGACAAGGCTAACCCAATTTATTTTCAATACAGATGACTCTTTATTTAGTTAACCTTTCCATCAATCCTTCCCTGCTATAGATCTAAATCAACAACCACAACTCTTTAATGATTAATATTATTTCGTCATCTAATATGGGTTCAAATATGAGGTTTTCAATGGATATGAGAACCAATAAGTAGGTATTTCTCCACTATTCTACCAATCAATATCCTCAAACTCATTGATTTTGTATATTAGTTACTCAGATTAAATCTTAATTCAGACTGTGACTTAGGCATCTCTGAACCAAGTTAATCAGCCAATTTTGGTATTTGAGAAACCCAGATTAAATATTTAACAGAATTTTATATATACAATTTAGGCAGTTGATACTCTTACAGGACTTGATACCTGCACTTAGAACTTAATGCAAAAATCAATATCTGCTGAATTTAATCAAGTTCAATAGTATTAGAATTGTTCTTAGATTAATGTCAATTTGTATAATCCTCAAATCAAGCAAATAGATGTTGGATATTGTGCATTGGGACCTAATATCACATACTAAGCAGGCACCTTTGTAAACATAGAGGGATTGGGAATAGATTCATAGATTGGACAATTTGTAATTTAGGTTGATGAATTAGAGTTGTTTTTCTAAGAGTTGGCTATCTATTAAATAAATGAGATTTATACGTTTTAGAGTAACCCTAGGGAATTTACATATTTCACATATTTGATAAATCCATTAAATAGTAAGTAATACATCTAATTAATTTAATTCAATGATTTTCAAGTTGAGTATCAAATTTGCGATAAATGGATATGTTAAAATACAACTGTCATCAATTTGGATTATCAGGTCACAATGTCATAAATAGGTGTAGACATAAGTAAAAAGGAAGACTTTATGTTATTAATAACCAATGCTGCAACATCATATTAATTGTGCATTTATCAATTTTAGAACCTACAACAAATTGATTTGTAAGTATTGGATGTGGCAGAAGACTTGAATATTGATCCAACCTTTTCAATTAAGTAAATAATGCTCTCGGGTCCTTATTTATATTTGATCATTGACAATCCTAATTAAATGGTAATTTATGATATTTACAATTTCAATTTGGTTGAGTTTGATGCTCCAAATTTATAACCCAGAAAATTGGAATAAAATTATGCTTCTTATGGAGATAATATTTTCTTAGACAACACAGATAATCTTGTCATTTTCGAAATGGTGAATGGTTAATTTACAATTGGCGCTCAAATAGAATATCCTACCAATGCAGATAGTGTAGCCATAGGATTACTTGGTGATGGTGTGTTTATAGCACTTTCAAGTAATACTGGAGACTCCTATTTGTACTATTATTCAAGATAATTATTATTCCAAAGTGTAATTAATCCACAGTATGTAATTCAAATTCCTTTATACAATGCCTAATTTATATAGCCAATGATAAGTTCATTTAGCTCACAATTCTTTTATATTTAAATGATTATGCCTGATACTAGCATTTAACTTTGTATTTTCAAATCAGATTATTATTTGCTTTACCTTACATATTATTTTAAGGAGCAATTTAATTCAATCAGTGTGATTTAAGTTGATACTTTGTAAAATTATGATTTAATTGGTTTTTAATCAGCTTAAGAATTTACGATTCTCTAAAACTATTGGTAGGTTTCTGTTATTTTAAACTCAGAATTCTTAGTGCCTGGAATCCAATTACTCAATGATACACAAATATTGCTGATTTGCTCAAATAATTACTTAAGTGATTATGCCTTTTCTTTTCCAGTATCTGTCAATAATCTATATTACGACATCTTAAGAACAAATTAATATTACCCCACAGTTAATTAAACAGAATAAAGCTTCTCCATCATGGTTGATCCTTTGCAGTACTTTTAGGGATCGATTATTAACTATAATGTGAGATCAAGGGGCAAAAACAATGCCTTTATTAGTTAATACATCATAGATTACTACTTTGATTTTGAACCAACAATAAATAGTGCAGCTTATTCTCAATCAAGAGAGTTAATATTTGCTGTAAACAATCAATAAGCAGTTCAATATGAAATTGCCAATAATTAAACTGTGCCTATGTATGAATTCAACAACAATCAATACACAAATTGTCCCCTTATAATTGTAGAATATTATCAATAAACACCCATCTCATTCTGTACTAATAATACAGATACTTATGTTTATCTGAGTGGATCAAATATTTATTCCATCAATAGTCTTACAGGGACTCCAATGCCTAATTTATTTAATGGTTACTATTTGAATTACATATTGATTATGGGATTCTAACAAAATTCATTGCCTAATTGCTTGATAATTAATACATATCATGTGACTTGGGTTGATTCATTTTAAATGATGTTAATGGAAAGAACAGAAAATTGTGTCTATTAACTCTTCACATTCACTATGATCAACATCAATACTAACCCTTCAAATATGAAATAGCTTCAATGTGCAGGTTGGATTGGAATCACAGATGATATATCCACATTCCCATTCCATTACAATTGCTACAACTTAACAGAACCAAATATGTAAGTGAATGTTTACACTCCAAAATAACTTTTTATTTAATCCATACTCTCTAATTCTATTTAACTGATTTAGATTTCTTAAATTGGATTGCCAGTTATCTATTCCAATTATTCTGAAATTACACTCTTATTTGGAAGTCAAAATAATGCCTATTCATTTTTGGTTCAAATATACGAAAACAGTGTGGAAATTGGAGATAAATTGTTGATTTTCTAATAATTCAGTAATCAAAAGGCTATTCAAACCGTCAGCGGATATAATAGTCAAGGAAATTTAACTGTTATCTCAATGTTCTTATAAAAAGTAGGGTCTCAAATATTCCAAACTCTATGTATATATTAGCCATTCAATTTTAATTTTACTGGGAAACTCAAAGTAGTTGAATTCCTATTTTGCCGAACTCTCCATTACTCATTGCCATACACTCAAAAGTATTCACCCTTCTTGTATTACTTGATTAACAATTTGGTGTTGACCAATTAGCATTTGCTTATTATTTCATAACAACTGGAAATCACAGTATAAGCATTTCCTCATACTGAAAGTATTGTGTATCTAAATGCTTCAAATTTTGATTCATTCCAAAATCTAACCATCAATATTATTTAAACTGACTTAGATCGTACATATGTTGGATGGATAGTGTTTTCCTTATTAGTTGTACTCTCCATAGCCATCATTTGGGGCTATTAATATATCAAGAAATTACGTAATATCAATACTGATGTTGAAAATTATATTGAATTATGAGATATGTAATAATATTGTATTGAATAATTTTCAATTGCCAAAACCTGAAGCTTCCTTAAAATTCCTCATAACTTGATTATCTGAATTGTTATCCCATTGAGCCAACTCTATACGTTCCTACATCTTATTTAAGGTCTCTTTGAGCATGTCTGCAAATTCTAATGACATGTCATCAATCTTCTTCCTTAGTTCTGCAATATCCTGATCTTTCTTCTTCAGTTTCTCCTCATAACTAGATCGATAATCGGTTATCTGCTATTCTTTTGTTTCTAGGTATACTTTATAATATATTTTACTAATAACCTCATCCTTCTCCTTGACAGTAGCATTCAGCTCATTGATGTCCTTAAGTAATTCGTCTTGCATTTGCTTATATTGTCTATTCATATCTGTACTGATATTGAATAACTTTTCCTTCTCTCCTTTGAAGTCCTTTTCCAAACTTAAATATTTTTATTGTAACTGCATCTCTTATGTTTTGGAACGATCAGCTCTCATTTGTTCCTCCACTATTCTCATCTACAATCTTTTGGCTTCGAAATCGAGCATCGTGATCTTGGCTGCATTGTTTTATGCTCCATCATCTTTTTACTTTTTAGGAGGCATTGTTATTTATATAAACTTATGACTTTAATAAAATATAATTGAAATAACAAAATAAACAATAAAGAGATGTAAATTATATTTAACACAAATAAATATATATATATTGACTGTTATATCTCAATGCTTGTGGTGTTTCCTATTAAATTTATATATATTTTAATTTTACTTGTTATGCTTTCTTGACTTGCTCCTCTCTTTCTCTTTCTCCTTGTCCTTCTTCTTCTTACTACTCTTTTTCTTACTCTTCTCTCTTGAATTCTCTCTACTTCTCGATCTCTCCTTCTCCTTCTTGTCCTTCTACTTCTCTCTCTCCTTTTCCTTCTCCTACTCCTTATCTTTTGCAATGTCTTCCTTGAATTCCTACTTCCTAGCTTCCTCTTCCAATATCTTCTCCAATACCAATCTTCGCACCTACAGTTTTTGCAATTCTACTCTAATTGTTGAAAATCCTTAGTGAATTCTACCATCGAGATGAGTTCTAAGTAATAATACTAAGATCAATACTTGACTTTGTTCTCTGTCTCGTAAAGAGATTGTCTAGCCCCGCAAACCTCACAAATTTTATATGTTTTAAATGGATTGTTTGTACCCTCATACGCAAGTAATACATCTTCTCTAGCCTTCTTTAAATTGTCTGCCTCCATAATCAATCTTTCTGACTCCTCTATCTTTCCTTATTCGCCCATCTTCTCACTCTAATCTGTCAATAGATTAATCTATCTTTCCATATTGTCAAGTCTATCCTATATTTCCTTGGGTCTATCTGCCACTTATAGTTTACTTGATTATTCAACTTACTCTTCATGCTTGGTCAATATCTTGTCTACTTCCTTCAACTTATCTTGGATGTAAGCTAATATAATTATTAGGTTCATACTAAACCTATTGCTTCTTCTATGTATTTCTTTTCTCTCTACTGCTTCTTTAAACTCCTATCACTGCTGAATTCATTAATGAAGAATTGATCATGTCTCTTATTGCATTCTCCCTCATGATCATATTTTGTATGTTTCCAAAGATCATTAAAACACTTCGAAACCAGTATATTCTTGCACACATCCTCATTCCAATAATGAGCATCGTTTTTCCTCTTACTCGCAACCACATTTCTCTCCTTGCCAAATAATTCATCTAGGATTGCACGAGAATCTTCGCACATTAATTAGTTATTTAAATATTGTATTCATTTACACTCTACCCTTCAAAACTGAATAATATAGATATATAATAATCTCTTATATCTCAAATTAACTTGATAGTTGACTCACCAATGGCTAGTATCTTGTCTTTAATAATGCAAAAGTCATAAACTTTAAAAAGTGGAATTTATTTGCATTGATTGCTCACTAAATCCCACTCGTATAAGTTTTATTTCTAGTTAATTACACACTTCTTATCTAAAAATAAACACTTGTTGATTATGTCTCCCTTTGTTTTGCATATTTAAGCTAATTTCAGATCTCTTATTATCCATTCCATTTACCCATTTAAAAATAAATACTGTGAAGAGAATCTTATCTGCTTGATGATGCTCGGCCTGCAATCGGCTATTAAAATAAATATACAAATATACCTTTCTGAACCTACTAAGAAGTCACTACATCCCAAACTTCAATTTGATTTTTGTTATTTAGAACATATAAAAGATCTGGTGTAGGCATTCCAAATATGTCAGCATTGAATTACTATTAAAATTGAATCTTCAATAAACGCTTTATATTTTCATCATAGACACTTATGCCAGTGCTTTGATTCTGATCATCTACTCTTTTGGGTGCGAAGAGATTGAATTATTGTGAAGGAGGATTATGAAAATCATAACTAAAGACAGAACGATTCTGATATAATTGACAACTCTTATATTTTTCAACCAGCATCTCTGATTCGCTGTATTCGTTGGTTATAAAGTTCCATTTGACTAGGAGAGGATAAACACTCTTGGAGATCTTGAGAATACATTATATTGTAGAATCATTGAAAAACATTACAGTCTTAATCTCAAGATTGTCAATTTCCTTTCTTCTCTAGAATTCTAATTTGTTATCGAAGGGATAAATTTCTATTTCTATATGAAAGATCACTTCTTCATCATAAAGCAACCCACACTTTTGTACAACAGCCAGAAATTGTTAATTGGGACTTGAACAGCAATGTAAGACTTGCTTTACTCTGGCTTTGTAAAAAAATTGCTTTTCTAAATTAGTATTCAACAAAATAAAATCCTTTTTAACTTTGTGCTCAGCAATTATGATTTCTTAATTCATTGCGATTAGTGAATAAACACCTGGACAAAACTTAACTTCAAATGCCTTCGATTTTGTTCCCTACTAGATATTCCAACTAGTAACTACTGCATTCTTGCTGATAGAAAATAATTGGTTGTTGGTGTAACATAAATCATGATGAATGTCATCTTTTGATGAATTCAATATGATTTACACAACAGCCTATTTATTAGATTGGAATTTAGTAATCACAATCTGACCATTTGAAGCAAATGCTACTGAATCATAAGTTATTGGTGTCCAACATGTCACTGCACAACCATATGTAGTTTATAGTTCCTCCAATGAATCATTCACAAAATCAATTATGAAGACTTCGCCTACCTTTTTCTACTTACCAAATACCAATCCATTTTAAAGCATAAGTAAATCATCACAATCATCAAGTTTCTCTGAAAGTACTTTTTATAATTCAATCACTTTTTTTGTTTTTGGTTCCAAATTATTATACTTGGGTTCCATTTGATTGGGTTTTCCCAAATTGGATGTTCTCCATAACATAAGTTCCCCATCTTAGACACCTATGATTCTAGGTATGTATATGACACTACCTTGGATTAGGATGATCTGATACACAAAATGCTGTAAGTGGTTATTCAATCAGAAATGTTTTCTTATTGGTTTCCGGCTCAATCATCATTAAAATGTCTCCGAAAATTAAATAGATCTTATCATGAACTGCCACCATTTAATAAGGCATATTCTCTATTAATCCTTTGTATTCTTTTTTCAATTTCATCTCCTTGTCCCAAATTGCCAATGAGTCTGCTCCAGATGTATCGCATAAATACCCATTAAATGCAATGAGGTTATTCATAGAAGGTTCCAAATAATCTTCACTAATTGGAATCTAATTTCTCAAGACAGCCTTACTTAATCGAATTGTTAATCTTAAACTGTGACCTTCAATTCCAAATTCAATGATTCTAATGAAGTCTATTAAAACTGTTGACTCTGTTTTTTATTCACATGGAACTTCTTCTTCTATGGTAAGTCAATGCCAGGAGGTGGGCCAATTTGATTATCATCATCATCACCTAGTCCAGGAGGCGGGTTCATTCAATTATTTAATTTATTCTTTAATTTCAGAATAGGTACTTGTTATTTATATCTTATTATTAAATAATATTCATTATTTGTGATGTTTCTTGCTCTTATAATGACTTTTACGATGCTTCTTTCCTTTGCTCTTAGATTTCTCTTAATCATTAAAATCGTAATTGGGCTAAATTTCTCCTGGTTCAGGTTCAGGTTCATGTTCCTATTTTATATTTTTAGTCTTCTCTGGTTCTACTTAACTGAGATCTTGTCGAACAGAGCCTTCCTCTTTTGATTTCTTTTCCTTCTTCTCCTTTTTCTCCTTCTTCTTTTTCTTCTTTCTCTCACTCTAATCTTTTTCAGAAGTCTATTATTATTATATAGGCTCCTCTTGAATTTATGTAGATTGTTGTTATTGTTATTATTGTTATTATTATTATTATTATTAGATTTATTGTTATTATTATTATTAACTAACTATAGGCACAATGGGAAGTTGCTATTATTAAGTTTGTTATTATTATGATTACAGTTACTATAGATTGGAAACAAAGGATTCGTATTGCGCCTTCTTTTGCTCTTCGACCAATCCAGCAAGTTTTGGATTCTCTTGAATCTTTTAATTGATGATTGGTAACATCTCCTCATAAGATTTGTAATCAGGCAATGATTTTAATAATTTAATGTATCTTTTACACATCTTTTTATATCGTTTGCTTTAAATGTTGGATGACTACTTAATGTTTTCTTGGAAGTAACGATAATAATATTTTTTCTCATGTGATGGCATTTTCATCCAAATCTGATTATCAACAAAGTAAGCATCCACGTCCTCAAAGCTGACATTGGTTAACACCTTTACTCCCTTTTGTTAGAGATGCATCTTTAACTCGGATTTATACAACTAGTGGTTCTGCTTTAGATGTGATATGAAATCTTAAAACAACTCATGAGGCTGAGAGCCTGGTTATCCAAGCATGCAAATAAATCTATCATCTTATTATATTGTCTATACAAATTAACCCCATTTAGTCTTGTGTGTCAACAAGCCTTCCGCCAGGTGTTCTTAGAGCAATTCCCTGAAGTTGATCCTATTCTACCTGTATTTTGAGATGATTGACTATCTCCATTGTTCATAGAGAGGATTAATGACCTAAATAAAGAGATAATGTACCTCCTCAAAGACACCGAGGGCATCGATTGGCAACATCTACTACAAGAGTCTATCTTAACTGAATAACTTTAAGCACTCCTCCCAAGTGGAACTATGATTTAAGACTCCTATTTCTATATGTCTTTGTAACCTCTTTCTGAAATCCTCAGTGGTAGTTTTGCGGTTCTCCTTCATCTACTCTTACTCTTATTTATATAACTTATCTAAATAATCCTGGAATAAATTTTCCCTTTCCTTTTCATCAGGGATAGCTTTCCATCTTGCATCTGTAACAAGATAACTTTATACTTTCCATAACTTAATGTCAGAAATGTGGATCTTGTGTTCCTCCAACATTTTCATGAAATCCTCCTTTGCCATGCTCAACTTGGTCTTGTTCTCCTCTTTTTCTTGCTTTTTCATCTCTTCCAAATATTGATTATAGATCTTCTTTTTGTGACTGATACTCCCTATACATTTCCATCTTGAATCGCTTTGCAATTGCTTAACAACAGAATCCCACTTTACACTAGATGTAATCTTGTTATCCTTCAATAATTGAGTGAATTAGTCGATCGGATTTGGCGGGATGATGTCCTCTTCCTCTCCTGATCTGCACTAATATTATATTTCCATACGTATATTGCTCCTCTTCTGGCTTCTGCCATTTACTCTCCCTCGTTATGCGATTGTACCAATATGGTTTACCATCTTCTGTCAAGTATTATTGCCATTCCTCTTCAACTTCTGATTCCTCATCCTGTAGACACTCTGGCTTATCCCACTGAGATTGTCCTGTCTTCACATTGTAGTAATACGTCTGTCCATTGGCAGAAGAGTGTTTTGACCAATAACCTCTTTCATTGTCTACTTCCTTCTCTATGCTATCCATTTAATTATATTTAATAATTAATTATTACCTGCAGCAAATATATGAACTGATATATTTATAAATTCAAAATCAAATAATAAAATGGAAAATTCAAAATCAGAAATTCTTCATTGGATCAATGCCCTTCTTAAAGTAATACATTCTAAATACAATAGACAAACTTTACCAAAATAGAACAACTGGGCAATGGAGTGGCATACTGCAAACTATTAAATATGATTGATCCAACTTGCTTGAATCCTACTAAAATAGTACTAAAAACTAAAACACAAATTGATCACATAAGCAATCTCAAGCTCTTCCAAAATGCTATGCAGAAACTTCACATGAAGAAGCAATTTGACATTGACAAAGTTAGTAAATGTTACTTCCATGAAAATTATGACCTAGCCTTGTTTTTGAAGAAACAACACACCTTGAGATTTGCAGGCATAAATAAAGAAAACACATCCATAAACAATTCCATTATCTATGAAAATCAACCTAATATTATCGAAGAGTAACAAACTATTAATAATGCCTTGCTCGCTTAAATAGCATCGATTATGCAGACGACGGAATAAGCTGAAACCAAGGTGTTATAAACAATCAATTTATTGAAATCACATAACATTATTAAATAAAGCACTCACTTCATCGAAAATAATAGTATGAATGATAGTACCAACAATATATTTAACATTTTTAACAACTCTAATCAAAATGTATTTAATTCAGACAATCTATTCAAAACAGATTCGAAAAATAAATAATCTCTTGAATAGTAAAACAATTTACTTTGTGAAACTCCAGAAATGCTTCTTGATCCTCATCAGAATAATGAGGATATATTTGAACACCAATCTTCATCAAAATTGATTATGAAAATCTAATCATAATCAAAAATTTAATTGGAAATTAAGAAGGAAACCCCAAATTTTTGTGAATCTCCATTTATTCAACAACCACAACAAAACAGTCTTGCTGAATTCATCAAATCAGAAAGCAAATAGTAATAACAATACATGCAATAATATTCTATGCAAAAGTAATTGCAAATGTAAAATCAGATAAATAATAATCCTTCACAAGAATATCAATCCCCATTTAGAGATTAAGTCATTTAATAGTAGTTGTCTTAATAGAAGGAGATATTTAATTAAACTACAAATCCTTAAGTGTTTTCTTCCTACAAAAAAGAAACCCCTTAAAATAACAATTCTATGTTCTATTCCTGTAAGGATTAAGGAGCAATAATTGAAGAATGATAATAATATTAATTATATGATTTTATTATTATTATTTTTTTAAGTTAAATCAGAAGTTGAGACACAAGGCAATATCGTGTTGTATAGAAAGGATGCCTAATATATTTACATAGATTTAGACACTTGCCCAATCTTATATTATAAGTAGCCTATATATTCTTCAGTAACTTTATCATTAACATGGCCGCAATTCTGTTAATCAATATAGGTAGCTGATTTCCCTGAACCAACAACGTTGGATGTTATATAATAAAGTGCGGAAGCTAAGAAACTATCTACTGATACAAGATATGAGAAATATTACTGCACTGCATTAAAAGAATTTTCAGATATAGGAACAGATGCCTGTTGTTGCCAACCTGAAAACATAGATACTGAGCTTTCTACTTAAGGATTGACGGCTGTCATCGTAGTTCCAATAGTATTTTTTATTGGCGGATTGATTATGGCAAAATTGAATTCTCATAATAGTCGGACAGCATGGATTCATGAATTTGAATAAGCATTATCGAAGGCTTGAGTTGATAACATTAAAATAAATTAAAATATATATGATATAGTCATAACAATAATAATACCCTTATTGGTCGAAAGTGCTAGAGAATTAATGGCAAGAGAAACAACAGAATGACTTTCAATTCAAATAGGATCAAGAATTAAGAAAGTAGAGGTATAAATAGGAATTGTAAACTGACATGATGCTTCATCAATAGAAGAAATAAGTGCAACAAAATTTTAATCAACAACTGGAATCTATAATGTTGGAAACTTTAAGATAGAGAGAATCCAAGAAATTAAAGGAAATAGAAGAAAGAAAGATCAAGTAAATTCAGACTAGTTTGGATAACCTTAATAATCTGATGATTAAAAAGAAAATGAATTTGGAGAGATCATATAATAACTAACAATTAGATAAGGAATTCATTAGACAGGAATAGATGAAGGAGATGAAAAGTATCGAAGAAAAAAAATAAAAAAAAGAAGAAGAAGCAAAATTATTAAAAGTTACATATGATGATATGATCTACAATAAAAGAAAATTAAGATAGGAGTAATAACAAAATGCTCAAACATCCATTCCAACATTAACTAATGAATAAAATAGAACTAAAGTTGATACAAAGAAATATCAAGAAGAATTGTAAAAACAGCTTGAATAAAAATAAAAATAATTGGAAGAGATGAGATTAAAGAAGATTGAAGAAAGGTAAAAAGTGGAATAGAAGATAGAATTCGAAAAGCAAAGGATGATGGAGAATAAACTCAAGAATTATCAAGCATATAAATAATATGAGACCGAGAATTATGAATTGTTATTAGATAGAAAATAATAGTAATAGAGCAATCCAACAGAGTTGATACTACTACAAAATCCATCTTAAAGTAAATTACCAAGGATTTATTAAGATAATTATTATCCAATAGAACGTAAAAAACAATTAGAATTACTCGATAGGGATCTCCTAAAGTATTAATTATTACAATAGCAGCAAAAGATTATTAATCATAATCATACAATTCTCTCCCCTGTCTAAGATAATGTATAAGATGGAACTAAATCTGAGAGTTCCAAACATACAAAATAATCCAAATAATCTAAATAGGCCTCAAATGCTTTAAATTAATAAGTTCCATAACAATAGTAGCAATAAGTCTAGGTCTCCACTCCATCTCAAAAATCCAGAAATTCGAAACTAAATACAAACAACCCGATTGTTCATTTGAATTAAAGATATGTTCCAAAAAAACGAAGCTTTAATATTGTAACAGGAATTATCACTCCTAATTGATAATCCTCATTTATTGACTAAAATGTAATTAAATATTTATAATAATATCTATGTATCATATTCATTTTATAGATGTTAAACACATGACTCGGTCTAGTTATGGTTAGAAGCATGAAATTATGAAACAATAATTTCAATATTTTATTGTATCTTTTAATCATTTCAATAAAACGAGAATTTAAACAAACATTATAATTTATAAAAAATAATTCAATGGCATATTAAAAAATTGTTTAATAACTCTGATTTGTGTTACCACATGTACAAAGATTGAAAAGTAAGATATTATGATGAGATAAGTAATTAGGGGGTGATGGATTAATATAGGAATAGAGGTGTGTAATAGTAGATTGAGGAATTAACATAATAAAAGATTGGACATTTGGTAGTAGATTGAGAATACTTAATGGGAAGCTGCTGACATTTAAATGAAGCATTAGATTTATTAACTGATTTCTGGTGAACTTAGAGCTGCTTTTATTGAAATTACAGATGAATAAAAACATAAAATTAATAAATCATTAAGATAAGTTAAATCTAATACTGAAAACTATGTATATAACATAGATAAGTATTAAAGAAATGTGTGATTTCTTAAATACTTTAAGATTATATATATTTGATGCTTTAATCAAACCTTATATAGATCAAGACTCTTAAAAATAATAACATTCATTTCTAAATTATGATAGATTAACAACTTAAAATAATAATTCTTCAGCCAATCTTAAAATAAATGATGATATTCTCGTAATTATATATTTTCTATAATCCTGAGTCTTCTGTTCAGTAAGAATTAAAGTCTTAGCTGAAGCACTATAACTCATTAAACACCACCATTCTTAGATTTCTTAAATGCAATAATACAAAACCAAGAGTTTAATAAAAATTGATATCAAACTGCTATAAAATAAATGTTTTAGTGTCAATAATCAATCTATGCTCATATTAGCTCTGTTAAGATTTGATTAAACTTTTAAAGAATCACTCTATTCTTTTTAAGATTGGACTCTTCTTTTGTGATCTTTGTTTCCATTAATTTGGCTGTTTAAATAACTTCTTATGGTATACCAGCTCTCTATGCTACATTGGTAGCAAAACTCCTTTCAGCAACTCCTTCCACTAATTTGTATTTAAAGGTAATTTAATCCTTATCCTAATAATATAACATAACACACTGGTTGATATTCTTAAACAATTCAAATTCATCCAATAAGATGTGATAATGTGTAGCAAATATAGTCAAGGGTTTGATTTTATCTGATAAATATCTTAGAACTGCGGAGGCCAGAGCTATACCATCATATGTTGAGGTTCCTCTTCCTAATTCATCTATGATAACAAAACTCTTAGAAGTAGAATGATCTAGTATTGTTTTTGTTTCTTCGAGCTCTATGAAAAAAGTGGATTTTCCTTCTAATATTCTATCTGCAGCTCCAAGTCTACAGAAAATCCTATCAAAGGGAGTTAAAGAAAATGACTTTGCTGGCACTGCACATCCAATTTATGCTAAGATGATAGAAACTCCTATTAATCTCAACAAAGTGGATTTGCCACTCATGTTTGGACCTGTTAATAAGATAGTATCAATAGAATCACTAAATTTGATTGTGTTTGGCACCCATTCTACACTTTTATCTTTTAGTAGACATGGATGATACGCTTCAATAAGTTTAAATTCTCTCTAATCAGAATCTTTTTATATTTTTGGAAAACATGAAACATTCTTCTACTAATTTGATACTATTGCTAAAGAAATCCTAAGAAATAAATTAATAAACATACAGACAATCTGCTTCTGAGATATTCGAAATTAATTGAAGGAATTCTTTCCTATAGGAATAAAATTTAGTAAAATATTAATTTATAAAGGGAAGTAACTTTTAGGAAAGTTCATCTTCTAATAATCTTAACTAATGCAGTTATTCTTCTATAAATGGAGACTAAAACCTTTCATATTCTGGTGTTTTTGAAGTGATTATAAATTCTTTCGGTTTTTACACTTTTTACAATTGGTTTTCAGGTATTTATATTTGATATCTTAATTTTGTATGATAGTAAATGATGTCAGGACATTTCAATTTGTTCTTCCACTTTTCAAGTTCATCTTAAAGTGAATCGGTGATCTCAGTTATTTTAGTCAATGTCTCATCATATTCTTAACTGACCCCTTAAATAGGTTTTGGTTCATTATCCTCCATAATCAGATATTTTTCTAAATCATCGAGTGATTATTTTAAAATTTAAGTATTTTATTGATAATTAAAGATGTCCTTCAATTTTTAACATTTAAAATTTTTCATATCATGATCAAATATCTTGAATACTTCTGCAGCTTATCTGACATTGCTCAACACATTCTTAATTTCCTTCAACTTAGATTTCCCTATACTTTCACCTCTACCATATGGTACTGCTTTTAATTTGTGTGAATGAATTGTATTGAAACATCTAGTGATTGCACGCTCTAGATCTGGTAATGAACAAATTTTCTTCTGGAATTCATAGCATTAAGGTAGAAAATTGCAAAGTTCTTAAACGCATTGTTATCTTTCAATAATCGAATTATAATTCTATAATGGACTCTAAACCCATTTAGTGAGGAGTCTTTTACCAGAATAAGTAGCACATCGGTCCAAATAACTGAATAAACTGTCTGAAGTAGTCGCTTTGGTTTTAAGATTTACATTAAAGATTTCTAAACTTTCTAATGTTTATGAATCTAAATAAAGATGAGTGATACTGATCATATTCGAATCTAGGAAATTGAACTTACCCCTTCTGTAAACTGAATTGCTAATTAGAAGTTATCTCAGATAACTTAATAAAATATAGAATGATTGAAGAGCATAATAATAGGAATAAAAATTAGATTCATTATCTTCCTTGTTTAATAACTTTTTTTCATGATTAAACTATGTCTCCAATTCTATCAATAGTGTTGGATAATCCGAACTCAATTAACAATTCTCAGCACCTTAGTTTTCTCTAATCTCTTATTTTGATATTTAATCAATATTCATTATTTATTCAGATTAATATTGTTGAACCTGGAAAGGTTGACCATCTAATTATTTTGATTAATTGTTAGTTTGTTGGTTGTGTAATTCCAAATATTCAATTTTTAATTGACCAAAGATAAACTAACAATCACTGAAGGGTATTTAGGAAATGACAACAGTAGGGTGACATATATTTCTATATTGATATTTTGATGATATTTATACTTGATAATCTGTTCAATCTCATACGGAATTCTACATAAGATGACTTCGAGGGGTTTAGTATTATAAATAACAGATCTTAGATGATTGGATTATGCATCATCATAGAATTAATCAAAAGAAAATTGGTTAGTAGTGCAATCAACAATTGAGACTCCGTAAATATATGAGTGACCTTTCGAATTAACTGGTGCATTTGAAAAAACCAATACTAATAAATTTCTTTATTCATAAGAATCTGTGTCTCCTAAGTCTTATAGAGTACCTCTGGTTATCATTGAAGTGATTTCTCTTTTAATAATTTCTCCATCATCTTTGTTAGTCTTTTCTGAAAATTCCGATTGATCAATAATCATGATTTTGTATCCTTTCTCTAACAAAGCCCTCTAATATATTGGCAATTGATTATCATAGACAGTTAAACAAGGTGTATCTTTTCCCCAGAATCCAAGATAACGATTGAACATTTAAGCAATAATAATAGCATCATTGTAAAGCACAGCTACCCAACTCCCACATCTAAAGAATGCAATGAAATCAAAATTATTTTTCTTTACATTCCAATATTACTTGAATATTGGTGACAATTTTTCATATTGATAATTAGGAATGTCTATTGTAGAAGGATTGTAATTTGGTTCGATCGGTTTTCTCCCTTTAGAATCTCTAATATTTTCAGGTTGCATGAATATGGGTAATGCTTATTGAGCCAATTTAAAATACTCTTCATCTCTTTTCGTATGTTATTTTTCCTTATAATGTGATTCTTATTCTTATTATTCAGATTTTTTAGGTTGTTTATCTTAGTTTGCTCCCTTTGATTTCTATCTTTGATTAGACTATCTATTTTTGTTCTACTTCTCATCTTCAATTTAATGTTAAGTAGAAGTTTATCCTTTTGATGCTTCAGGAGTGTTATCATTGTGATGATCATCGTCATCATTTTTTGCTCTGCTTGTAGATTGATTTCTCTTATTCGATTTCTTCTTATGTTGCTCCTTAGATATCTCAAAGAGCATGTCATCATCATTTGCTTCTTTATTCTTACGCATTTTGATTTGCTACCAAAATATTTCTTTAATTTAATTTTAAATTTTTTGTCTCCATCCTTAATGTCATCAGAGAGCAATAAAAAGCCTATAGTAATAATCCCACAAACTACCATGAATATTCGCAGATTGGAGATTGAATAAGTGGATTAGAGTGATGAATTAGAAGCCTCATCTGAAAAAATCTCAGAATAGCAATCAGATGATCCCTTTTTAAATTTTGTTGCCTCTTATTCCCTCTTCACCAATAATTCAGAGGATACTTAATTAGATCTTTGTTAAGTTCTGTAGCAACTCAATGATAAGATTTCAATTATCAAACCACCATCGAATCACTTATTAGACTTTCATTAGTAATTATAAATTAAAGAAAATCAAATAAATGAATTAGCAGATACTCTCAAATAATTACCAGACTCCAAACTCTTCTCTTGTATTCAAGATGTTGAGAAGTAAAACTATCCTCACCTTATCTAGACTCTATTATAGACTATCCGTTGATTTTCAAGAGGAATTACGAACTGCATAAAAACTAAGAATTGTTTGATCTATTCTATATAAACATTAATATTTAAGTTAAAGTATTTAGCTTTATTTACATTAAAAAATTTCAGTTTCTTTCTAATCTAAATCAATTGCGTTCAATCATTTTGTTCTCTACTTCTACCCCTATGAATGAGGGAGCATTGAATTTTTCCTCCGTTGATTGACAAATAATAAGAATCATTAAATTCTCTTTGTTTTTGATTGAATATCATCACGTTTGAAAGAGTGGGAGTTATTTTTAATCATATTTGAAATTATAGGCTAACAGGAAGTGCAACAAAACGATTCAGTAAAATAATACTATATATAAGAAGATAATTAATATATAATCATGAGGATTAGGGGATTAGTTGCCTACTATTTGGATTGGTAATTGGACTCTAAGACTATCTTTTAGAATAAAGGGAATTTTGAGTGGCAGGCACCAAAACTGGTACTTCTACAATTTTATTCTGGTTGTAGTCAAACATTCTAACTGTATTCGACTTATCTATTTTATTAGTATTTGAAGTGGATTTCCCTCCATTATGTTTATTCTTTTCAATTTTATTCAGTTTATTATTTGAACTTTGACAGATTCCCATTTTTTTATAAGAGCAATTTTAAAAACTTAATAAATTAATATATTAAAACATAAATATCAAAACTAAATAGTGAGGACTGAATATCAAATTGCTGTCAAAGAATTTGATCTTTATCTTGATATTGTTTTTTTTTAATTTGGATTTTGAATTGCACTTTTAATCCTTTGCCGACTGTGAGTAGTGCTGCAAGAAGGCATTCTTTTCAAAGGACTGATGCAAGTCGAATTTCGAGGTGATTCTTAATCTAAATGGAATAAAACCATCTGAAAACCTGTGAGTAATTCTAAAATGCGATGTTACAACAAACACTAGGTGTCACAATTGGCAATAGAAGCTCTCAGCACAAAATCATTTTGTATCAACATATCTTGTTTGAGTGAGTAAGTTACCTTTGATCATCCCCTTTTGTTCATAGGTAATCAAATTCTTCTGATATAATGAGTAAAGTGCATACAACACCTCTGTCTCGATCGCCATATATATTAATTTATTATATTATATATTAAAATGCCCCAGATGAGTCATAATTATAAGCTAACACATTAAATTCTATATTATTATAAAATGGAAGGATTGCTTAATTGTCAAATCGGTTTCTCAACTTAAAAATACTATTTCATTCTTCACGACTCTGTGCTGTTGTATTGTAAGAAGAAAGGAAATCGTGTGATTGGACAAATACATTTATCAATAGCCAAAGTCGAGAAGAGAGAGTGTCAAATAAATATCACTACAGGAATTGAAAAGATTATATTATTATTTGAAAATAACTTCGAGAAGGATGTTTGGTTTGATTGCATCTAAAAGTAGAATCAGAAATTGCATTTGGAAGATGAATTAGAGAAAGTAAGATCATTACAATATCAATTCGAAAGCACCCTTAAATTTGTGAATAAAACTATTGAGTAAAATCCAAATCTAAATTCCTATTCTGAAAGATTGTAATCCTATGGATCAACCTTCATTGGTATTGATAAAATTCATATTTAGATAAATTAAGTGAAATCGTAGATCTACTTTATTAATCAGCTTAACCAGAATTTCAAAGCTGTCAATCTATCAATTCAATACATACTCAGAGTTTGAAACCAGCACCATAAATCAAAAAATCATAGAAACTCAAATAACAATAGTACAATGTATGGGGCACTGTAAAACATCAAATTCTAAATAACAACATTTACCAAATGAAATTGCCAAGTATACTATCAAATAAATACCTAGTCTATCTCCATTAACCATCAACAATGTTGTAATAAGTAGCTACTCAAATGAAATACATATCAATTTTAGATAGAGCAAGTTCAATCAGGGATCCTGATTTCAAAATTGCTTTAATCTTTGGATTTCTTATATCACAATATTCTGCTATTCCAAAATTATTGCCTCTTCCTTCTAAGATCAATGAAACCTTTGAAATTGTTGATACTTACAAGTATTTATCATAGCAAATCAATGAAAATACAATTGCCTTCTTTGCCACATCTCCAAGTCTTGATTACAATGGATAAATTGAATATAAGTTCTCATTTGACAATTTGATCCTTGATATTAATTTGTTCAAATCCTTGTTTATTTCTTTCAAGAAAAATCTAGACACTTATAAAATCTATTCAACCAATCATTTTATTTCTATTAGGAATTTAGTAACTCAAAAACCAGAAATTGTTATTGAAGGCAAATTTATAATAGACTTTAAGGGAATCAAACATGAAATTGAAATCAGATCCAATTAAATTAAGGCAATTGTTGGGTAATTCTCTATCTCTGGAACCACTGATAAAGTACTATATAATTGTAAAAAGAGTAAAGCTAATTGCTAATAACTATTATAATGAAGAGTTGATATTGTTTTAAAAAGATGAGAAAGAACTTGAATTCAATAAACACAACCCTTTGTTGCCTCCCTCAGATAGCAGATTTCGACCTGATTTGATTTCTTTGCTTGAAGGTATTTTCTCTTTACTAAGCAAGGAAATTATTATGAGGCGTAATAAGAAAAAGACAAAATGCTTTTTGAAGGCGAATTTCAATAGACATGGTTTAATCCAGTACAAGCAGATTAAATTATGTATTCTATCAATATCTATATTAAGAAATTCATCTGAAAAGAGATATGATTACAAAGGAGGATACTTTACTTAATCTATCCAATGAATAGTATTATTATTGCATTCACATTAATTACATAATGTATTATATTCAATTATGGAATCATTTAAACATATTTGTTTTAAATTTCAATTAAAATTCATTTACATTTTAGATATATAATTTTGGAATCTTTTCTCTTTGATTCTTAATACTTCTACTTTTCTTTGATAGATTTTAATTAAAATGTTAATAAAATTAAGATAACATATCATTTAAACAAGTATGATAATTTGACAAAAATTAACAAGGTTACATGATATTGTTAATTATCCTAATATCCTTACAATAATTTTATCACGTAAATATTTATGATACTTAATTTACAATGCGCCAGCTCTATCACAATATATTTTAATTAAAGTAAAAGGAACATTATTAAACGGTAAGAAAATTTAAAGATTGAATTAGATTGAATTTCTGTAGATTTCTAAGACTATCACCATGTCAATGTAATAAGGACCTTGGTATTATGATGATGGTTAATGCTCTAGAGTAATGATTGGTGTATACATTAAATATTGAGAATATTTTGGATATAAAATCAATGAAAACAATGGATGCTTTATATATCTATTATTTTAGGTTTTCTATATATGAGTTTAAGGAGGATCATTCTAATAGAATATTTCTACATAATCTAATAGGCGATGATGGAAATAATTTTATACTATATTGATTATGAGATACTTAAAATTGAATCTAAAGTAAAACTTATTGAATTTTTTAATTTTTTATTATGATCTAAAAAGTAAAATTTGCAAATGAATCTGTGATAAAAATTTAACTTTTAAGGGAGTTCATGCACATGCAAAAGCACTTATTTTAATAATTATTAAATATAAATTATTTTAAAATAAATTAAATGTCAAGAGAAAGAGGTTTGTCCGATTAATTTAATAATGATAGAGATAAGATTAGATAATTAGAATCCAATTTGACAGCTTAATATGAAAAGTTATTTGGTCTTGACAACAATTAAGAAATCAAACAATAATAAGAAAAGCCTAATTAAGAATAACCATTTGATATTTTAAATCAACTTATTGAATCATAACCAAAAAGAAGGAGTTTCTGATATCGATTTAATTTATTATTTATTCGATCGTGCATGGCGATCATGTTAAATTATATATAAAGCATTCTTTATAATTGTTAATCACTTTTTAATATTTTTATAATTCTTTCTCCACTGCTTATGAAATTAAGTTAAGCATATTAGATTTTATATAAACAAAAAATATGACTTCTTTGATGGATTTCAATTATTATGAGATTTTATTTATAATCACATTTAAGTTATAATAGGTGGGTTTTCTGTTGGGAGTATTAAAAGCATGAAGATTAATTTAAGACTTATTTGTTGTTTCTCCCTTCTAAAGTGTAATAAGAAATAACCCTTCAAATTATCAGATTCGTTTAAATTAGTAATTATAAGCTTCTTCAGATTATGAATTTCCAATAATCTAACTTGTTTACATGTTGCCAATTTCTTTTTGATAGAAAACTGATGATTTTGTTCAAATTGCTCATCTGATTTATTATATTAAAATTAGAACATAATTTTTAATTACTCCAAAGTTGTAAATATTGTACCTAATGATTTCGATAAAATTATAGTTGTTCGTTTCTATTCATTATTATTTATTTTATAAAAATATACACTTGGTGAATTTGCATTATTTCTCAAAATGCGTATATTTTGGTTTCTAAAATAAAAAATAGAGCAAATTGTTTATTTATCAATAAACTTAATGTGCTTGATTAAATGATGAAAATTATAATGAGTAATATTTCACTTAATTAAATTATATGAATACTCCACTTTTCTCAATTTAAAAATATCAATTATTGATAACATTGAGGTTATAATAAAATACATTTCCTTTATAGTAAATATAATAAAATTATGGAGCTAAACGTATATAACCTAAATTAAATTACTGGAATACCTTCTCTTAATTAGTTGATATTTAATTATTAAATTCAAATGAATTGTTAAGCCTAGCGATTAACTTTTGAGGATGAGATTTTAACCATAAAAGATTATAAATAAACATGTCAAGACAAACTACTATTTGTTAAGATATATTCATTAATGAAAGTGAGAGCCTATGAATATGATAGATTGCATAGGAGCATCAGTTGACAGAGGAAGAAATCGAGGAGTACGAGGAGTAAACCCCATCGGAAGCACTATTTTGGCAATTCTATTAATTTCAAAGCAATCAGTATGGATTGATGAAATAGCTAATCCTATTCTTCTGGAGTAAGGATTATTTAATATTTAAAGAACGTTTGACCGTAATTTTCTTGATACAAATTGTTTAACTCTCTGCTTAACTAGTGATGCCATTTGTCATTAGACAAATACTCACTTATGTGTAGAAAGAAGAGAAGAGCATGATTGATGGTTTGATTATGATTGGGGTGATATTAATGTTGAAAGTAATGAGTTTACTTTCAGCTACCCATTTGAAATTGCAGATGGTAATAAAATTAATATCAAAAGAGACTGGTTGGATATGATGCAATGTCAATATTAAGTATAAAGATTATGAGTAAATGTCTAAGAATATCGATGTTAAGTAACACATAACGTACGATTGGTGAAATAACCAATTTGATGCAAATCGATGCATAGAAGATAATAACAGCTGTAAATAACCTTATGAATATCATCATAATGCCAATTTAGACAAGTATGGAATCTGTACAATGTATTTAGTTATTACTTTGATTTTTATCTATTAATAAATTGGGATTTCTGTGATGGTTGGAATTGCAATAATTATATTAACATTAGTAATAAACAATTATCTGGGTAGACACATTTTATAAACTTAAAAACAAGTGTTATTGAGTAAGGATAATAGAATCAAATAAACAAATGAAGTATTTTAATAAATTAAATTTATAAAAATAAATTCATATGAATCAATATTTAAATCGAAAATAGAATAATTAAGAGAAATAGAAAGAAAATGTATTGATAAAAGACTGGAGTGTTATTCATTGAATGTATTTTTTGGTTGGTTATCACCTCAATTAATATTAAGTTTAAGTTTTGGACTCTATATATATTTGGGAAATTAATTAACTCCAGCTAAGGTATTTCCCATTATAAGTCTTTTGTTGATGTTGGCATCCAATTTATAACTGTTCCCAATATCAATTAATGCTTTATTAGAAATATCATTATCATTAAAAAGGTTGAGTAATTTTTTTGAAACTCAAGAAATAATGGATGAATGCATCTCCCAATGTGATAATGCAGAATTTTCTATTCAAATCTAAAACGGTAACTTTAGTTGGAATAAAGATTAATAAAAGATATTAAAGGATGTGTCATTCAACATTAAGAAAGGAGCATTTATTTCTATTATAGGCGATGTAGGATCAGGCAAATCTTCATTTATTTAGGGTTTGCTTGGAGAAATGGTGTATGATTTTAATGAAAAGAGTCCAAAAATTTAAATCTCTGGTACTTTGGCATATGTAGGATAAAAAGCCTGGATTCAAAATGGAACTGTAAGAGACAATATCACTTTTGGAAGACAATTTAATTAAGATGTATATAATCAAGCAATATATTATTCATGTCTATCACAAGATTTAGAAGTCTTAATTGATGGAGATCTAACAATGATAGGTGAAAAAGGCATCAATTTGTCAGGTGGATAAAAAGCAAGAATCAGTTTAGCAAGAGCCATTTACAGTGGAGCATAAATTCTGTTGCTAGACGATCCATTAAGTGCTTTGGATGTACATGTTGGAAACTTTATTATGAAGGAATGTTTTCTTAAACATTTATCATCCAAAACAAGAGTCTTATCCACTCATGCATTGAATTACTCTCAATTTACTGACTATATTTATTTACTTCAAAATGGTGAGATTATAGATGAAGGGAATTTCGAAAAAATCTCATAGAGTACTAAATTCAAAGAGATTGAGTAAAATAATATTTTAAAATCTGATAATTCAAAATGTTTATAATTAGATCCAAAGAAGAATAATGAATCTAGATAAACTATCTAACCAACATTAGCAAAAAGAAACAAAGCAAAAACTGAAGATATTATTTTGAAGGAAGATCGATAGGTAGGAGAGGTTAATTTTGAAGTATATTAAAAGTATTTTATGTATAATGGAGGTCTTAAGAACTATTCAGTACTAATTCTAATTATGATTTTGTGGATTATTTCATAACTCATCTCTAATTTCTGGATTGCAAAATGGGCATCAGATACTAATAGTCAAGATCATAATAGTTATGTTTATTTAAGCGTCTACTTTTTACTAGGCATTTTTTAAGCCTTATTCGCCTATGCCAGAGCAGTTTCTGTTGTCAATTCAAGTCTTAAATCAGCATCTAGAATACATAACGAAATAATTGAATCATTGCTAAAAGCTCCTTAATGCGAATTCTTTGAAAGAATCCCAATCGGCAGAATCATGAATAGATTAACCAAAGACATTAACTCACTTGATATCGATATAAACATCAATATCTCTTTATTTTCTACTAAATTAAGTTAAATCATTAGTGCCACTTTACTTGCCATTATTACAAGTACTAAATTAATCGTACCACCTTTTATAATATTCTTTTATCTTAGTTTGAAAATCAAGAATATCTACATGCAAGCTAGTAGAGAGTTATAAAGACTTGAATTAATTACAAAAAGTCCAATACTCAGTTATTTTGTTGAATCCTTGCAAGGATTAACTATTATTAGAGCTTATTAGAAGTCCAATTTATTTCTGACAACTTTCAGCTAAAAGCTAGATTAAAATAGATAAATTATTTATGTTTCCACCGTTGCTAACTGTTGGTTTACTTAAGTGTTAGGCTTCTCAAGTTTGATCGTTAACATGACTGCTATCACTTATTGTGTTCTTTTCCAAAATAATGCATCCTTTATTGGGTTGATTTTGACGTATGTAGCCAATTTAGATGCTCTAATCTAGTCAACTATTGATACATTAAGTATCTTAGAAAATAATATGATCTCCTTTGAAAGGTGTTTGGATTTCACTAAGATCCCTTAAGAAAAAAGCACTTATACCTTAGAAGTAGAACCAGACTGGCCAAAACATGGAATTATTTCATTTGATAATCTAGCTGTCAAATATAGACCTGATTTACCTTTAGCTCTTAAGTACTTCTCATTTACAATCCATAAGAATGAAAAGATAGGCATTGTTGGAAGAACAGGAGCAGGTAAATCTACTATAGCACTTAGTTTATTAAGGATTTTAGAAGCCCAGGAAGGTCAAATATTAATAGATAATATAAACATCTCTTAGATCTCTCTGGAAAAACTTAGAAATTCAATCACTTCTATTTAGTAAGATGCTATTATATTTAATGGATCCATCAGATAAAATTTAGATCCGTTACAATAGTTTAATGATGACTAAATTAAACAGGTACTTAACGATTGTTGTCTAACTAATTTAATTAATCAAAGAAATGGCTTAGAGACGATGATCAGTGAAAGTGGTGACAATTTAAGTGCTGGTGAAAAACAACTAATATGCATTGCTAGAGCTATATTAAAGAGAGCAAAGATTGTTTTAATAGATGAAGCCACAGCAAACATTGATATAGAAACTGAATAAAAAATACAAAAAGTGATTTCAAATTCATTCTAAAACTGCACTGTTTTAATTATTGCCCATCGTATAAACACCATTATGTTATGTGATAGGTAATTATGTGATATAATTATATAGAATTATAGTAATAGATAATGGATAACTAGTTGAAGAGGGTTTAACCTAAGTTTTGCTAAATAATCCGTTATCAATTTTTTATAATATATATTAAGAAGTAATTAAAAATGAAGTATTATGAAATTAGTAATTTTAAGAATGTTAATAAATATTATAAAGATTTCTCTAAAATGAATTTTACATTATCTATATTATAGACTGAATTTACATCTTAAACTTTAAGTATTTTTTAAAAAACTTCACAGATGAGTTCAATTTTTTTATTTCAATGACTTTATTTTTATCAAAAGTTTTTATTTATTATTTAATGAATTTAATAAAATCACAGTAAAATAATTAATATCGACCGATTTAAGTTCCAATAAATAATTATTGATAGGTTTATTAGAAATATTATTTTTTATAAATAATTTGATATACTAAAAGAACTTGATATTAGCTTATCTTTCATAAACTATAGGATTCTTAAATTCTTAACTAAAAAAGGATCTAAATTTTTCTAGTGCTTCTTACCACTTTTTGGACTGACTTCTACTAGATACTAGATTAGAGTAATCAAACTATTCTCTCGATCATAGAAAAAATGATATAAAAAATGAAGTGATAGTAAAATTTCGGATATTATTTATTAAGATTCATTTTTGGATAGTTTTGATAGCATCATTTTGTAATTCATTCTAGATTTTACATTCTAAACTATTTTTACAATTTATATTTGCATGGATTTTTTATTTTTTAATGGACAATCATTATTACTATCGTAAAGAATATGGGATTTGAAATACAAAATACCAAATCCTGAAATAATTCAAATTATCATATTAGAGTTTTCTTTGGTATATTAATACATAAAATTTCAAATTTAATCAATTAATCTAAATTTTTTTTGCACAAATTTTAATATTTAGATGTTTTCTATTCTTATTGTTCAATTTACGATAATTAGTGCAACGTATACATATATTGCAAAGAATGATGGTAATCTTGATGGTATTGAAGTGAATAATATTCTTAGGTTGGTTAATATAAAATTCACAATCTCAATTCACAACGAACTGCGGAGGTGTAGCAATGTTAGGTGGAATAAGCTCATTTAATGAAAACACAGTCATTAAAAGAATTTTTAGTGGTTTGCAACCCCATTATTAACTGAGGTTAGATTTCTGGATTTGGATGTATTTCTAATAATTTACAATAGTATAGATGCATCCTCAATTACAGATATAGAAGTTTAATTGGATTAAGAGGATTATGCATAATCTGTATCTTCGTAAGTTATTGAATAATCAAATTATTGTGGGTTGACAAATCAAAATGAAACTATTAAATTGGTTTCATTTACATTAGGACATAATATTGTTTAAGCAATAGTGTTTGTTAAATTTAAATATCATGAATATAATCGAGTAATTAATTGAAATACACTAGATCTAATGGGGAATGTAATAGATGCAATTAAGCTTAGATTTGTGCTCAATTGAATGTTCATATTGCACCGGCCCTTTAAAATCTGATTGCTAGACCTGGCAAACTATGAATCATAGATTTCCTCTTGGTCTTTTCTCGAATAAAATTATTTTCAATAGTTAAATTAATGAATTTAGTTAGAATTATGAATGCTAAAAATGTGACTCAATCCTCATTTTAGATTTAGTTCAAACAACCATAACCACTCCTATTTTAAGGTAATCAGAAATCTTTATATCATAGATAAAATCTTTCATTTCATAATGATATCATTTTTGAAGTTTACAATAATGGGACATTCATAATTCATTTGATTCAGAAATATGGAATAGCGGAATTCAATTTACGACTATATTCAAGGTGGGATCAAGATACTCAATAATTACTATTTTAATACTAAATAAATTATCACTTGGAGGAAACTTTTTTTCCATTTATATCTGGTTGTTAGGATTATTTTGATAAGGAGTGTCTATAATGTCTGCAAGGATGGGAACTTAATCTAATAGAGTAATTGTGTTACCCTGTTTGTGGAAATAACAAAATTGATGGATATGAAGAATGCGATGATGATAATTTTAGTCCTTTTGATGGATGTTTTGAATGCAAATATTAATGCATTAAACATTGCGACGAGTGTAACTATGGAATTTGTGAAAAATGTGAATTTGGATATAAATATGATGAAAAGAGGAAACTATGTTTACCAATTTGTTAAGAAGGGGTAGTTCCAGTTACTGAGAATTTCTGTGAAGATGGATGTTGTGTTTGTTAAATAGGATTTTAGTTGAAGAATGGTGTGTGCAATCCTATATGTGGGGATAAAATAGTGTTACCAGATTTAGAAGAATGTGATGATGGCAATAATAATAGTGAAGAATGTCATGAATGTAAATTAGTTTGTGAGGAAGGATGCGAAATTTGTGAAAAAGGTATATGCAAATTGAATTGTCAAAAAACTTATGGAATTGGATTTTATTTTGTAGACGAAAATTGCAAATAAATATGTGGAGATTCTATAGTTACAGCATTTGAAGAGTGTGATGATGGTAATGACATTGAATTTGATGGTTGCTTTAATTGTAAATACTCTTTTGAATAAAATTTTTTGGATTGCAAAGGAGGCTAGTGTTCTCAATATCAAAGCAGTTGTGGTGATGCTAAATTATAAGACTAAGAAGAGTGTGATGATGGAAATAATGATTTATTAGATGGCTGTTTTAATTGTGCTGTAGAACCTGGTTGGAGCTGCATTTAAATATTGCAAAAAAATACTTTTTGTAAGATAATTAACCCTCCTTAATTAATTTCTAAGTTCTTATCTATATAAAATAACAAATAATTAGTTCTTTTGTAATTTTCATAAGAAATAAAAGTACTCAAAGGATGTAATCTAACTGAATCTTTGGTCTTCAACATCCTTAATATTTCAAACTCTGAATATCTATTGACATATGTAGAGAAAGAAGAGCCTTTAGAAGGAAAAGTTTAAGAGGCTTATTATATAATATAAATTGAAATTAATACCTAAACTTTATCTAAACCACTCTTAATTATAGATTTAAATGCTACTATTCTTAATAATGATAATGAGAAGATGCAATAATTGTAATATGAATTACAACTGGAGTTTTCATAATATTTAACACCAAAATAAAGAGAACAAAGCAACAAAATCAAAAATATTAATTCCTTTTTCATTTATGGTCAAATAGCAATTGGAGGTTGTTTTTTCCTCATAGGATAACCAGATATTCTTTTTAAAATGTTGGACGTTTTACAATAATTTTCATATCTTAGATACCTCAAAGTTACTTTTCCTATAAATTTAGAAATTTTCTTTCAAATAAGCGATCAAATAACTTTTTCACTACTTTATGAATTAATCAACTTTGAGGAAATTTTAAATTAATTTGTTCCACTAAATTATATGAGTCCCTCATTGGGTAAATTCCTATAATATGACTAAAATGCAGATTTGTTATCAAACATCATCCCTTAAATGATTTAAGGTTTGATTTTTATTACTATTTATAATATCTAAGAGTTTCTTTTACAGATTTCTTTACTAAATTATGATGAATATAAAATTGTTTACCTGCTTGACTTTTTTGCAATCTAAAATCAACTCCAGTTTTATATTGCGAACATATTAATAATTATATAAAGTAAGCAGATCCTTAATTAAAGTTCAACAATATCATTATAGTTAATAGATAACCAATTTAATGATTATTAATGGTTGGGATCTTATTTTCAAGTGTTTTCTCTACTTAAAATCATTTGAAAATTATTCAAATAGAAAACTCATTTCAATTGTTCTTGCTAGTTAAATCTTAGCTTTTTATGGATATTTAATACTTAAATCAATGGGTATAGGTACAATGATTATGAAAAGTCATAAGTGCTAAAATCTTGAATAACGATTCGTAGCATTTGATTTAATTAAGTAGATTATTCTGCTTTATGCTTTGATTTTCATTGATCAGAGTGAAATTATCCAAATAGCTATATTGTTCGCTAATTGTTTGATCTCAATGCTGATAATTTTAAAGAAAAAAAGAAGCAATCTGTAATTAAATAATTTTATTTCAATAATTTTGTCAGATGGATCAATATTATTATTTATCTTCATTTGCTTAATATATACCAAAGATTTTCCTATTTATTTTTCAGTTGAAAATAAAATTATTACCGGGTGGATTAACATATTCCTTTTATCGTTTATTATAGCACTACCAATTATAAACCTTGCTAAAGATTTTTCCTTTTGGATGTATAAACAATTGCGGGAAAATGGAAAATAAAAAAAACAGATACATCGCTAAATTTTATTGTTTTGAATATGAATATTTAAGATATATATAATTAATTTTTCAACATAATTAATAGTTTCATAAATAATAGTAGGAAAGTAGCCAAAATAAAAGCTTCCAATTTCAACACTAAATGTAAATTAATTGATAATTTATTAACAAATATAATTCAATTTTATACTAAATAACCCTAAAAAATGTAACTTTTAGTAAGCATAGTTTAGATCTGTTAAAGAATATTAGTGAGAACTTTGTGTTTAAGAATTAAAATAGGTTAAAATTGAGATTTTGAATTATATAATATTCTGCATTAAAAGATTTTAAACCAAAGCATTTTTAATGAATTAGATGATATACATTTTTACTAAACCAACTACGATGATTTTTTACTTTGGCTAAAATATATTTCTAAATACTATAGTGCTAGGAAGTAACATCATCTTTTAATGGTTCATAAATTGTTTGTTGATTATCTATTGCATCTCTTTATGATTAGAAAACAAAGTATATTAGAAAAAGATTCTAAAACCACCATCTTCTTAGGCAAATTGAATCAATTTTTCATATAAAGTTAATACAGTCAATAATATACAAAAACAAAGAAACTCTTGTACAAAACGGAATTTAATTTCTAGAAGCTTTGCATAACATGATTTTTCATTAATCGCTATAAATCTTGCAACACAAAAAAAATAGATCCGATTAAAATTTGCATGAACCTTTTGCAAAGAGGATAAGCAAAGACTTTTAATGACCTTCTATAAATATCTCTAGAAAAACTTATTACAATAACAAACAAAAAACGAAAAGAGAAATAATTGGAATTGAAGAAATAATAGCAAAAAAATGAGAGAGAAAAAGTATTCATCTTTTGATATAAAATTTTATAAAAAAAGTAAAATATTCTTCATACTTGCTTGATTTCATTTAAAAACTTAATTGAGGATAAGAATACTTCGGTATAGAGTATTAGAGATTGAAATACAAATACAAATAATACATTTGGAAATTTAAGGAAATTGGTAATGATATGCTAAAGTTGATTATTTTTAAGCTTAAATTAGAATAATCGAAAATAAATAATTATAAAATCCAGAAATTAAAATTGATGGATTGAGTGAAACAAATCCAGTGATTCAGATGGTTGTTTCTATCTAAAAATTACCTTAAATTATTCATACTTTTACACTAGTATTGGGGATAAGTGAAAGATGGAGAAATTGCACTTCAATCAAAAATTGATAAATTTTCCTCTTATGCACTGGAATTTCATGATTATTGTCTTGATATTTTCGTTAAATCATCATAATAAACCATGTATAGACATTTCCTCTTAGAGCATAATTAGCTAAAGATTCTTTTAATTCTACTACCCTTAAAATTCCTATGTTTCCCTATCGCTTTTAGATGATCGAAAATCTCGATTCTCTCTACTCACTTTAGTGGCCTGGATCAATATCACAATTGCAAACTTGATTATATAAAATTTAAACTTAAAATCTTTTTGAACAAATATCTTCAGTCGAATTGATTTTGATGATATTTTCTCTTTCTTTCTCTTGTAACTAAAAAGATACTTTTTTAAAAATCTTTTTAAATTTTCTTAAACTATTGAGAATTGATTAAAATAAAGAATTCTTAATTTAGAAAGAGAAAAAAAATTTGATTAAGTCGAATAGTTTATGCTAAAAAATAGTTCCTATTTGTGAGGTTTGTCAGGATGAAAATTAAGATATATGAGAATATAAATTTATGATGGTTGATTTAGGAATATAAAAAAAAATTAAGTTACAAAAAATTATTTTTTTTGTAAGTAAAATTTCCAAAATTCTACTTCTAAATTGCTTTGATTATAATTTTGTTCAAATTTTTCCTGATAATATATAATTAATATTAATATAATTTATCAGATAAGGAGATAAAATATGCCTACTTATCTCCTGAAATATAAATTCATGAAGATTAGCGAAAATCGGAAAAATTATTTGGCAAATCCTTTTTGAATTTAAAAATATGATTTCATAATTAAAATAATCATCTAAAATCAGAGGAGCCATTTAAAAATAGTTTTCCTCACTCTTAACATATTTTCTTAGAGATAAAACACCTGTCAGTAAAACTCGTATCTAAAGAGGAATTATAACCGAAAAAAGTTATTTTAAAATAAAAATACGAAATACTTTTATTAATTAATTAAATTTCCAATCAGAATTTAAAAAATATTAAATTTGGCAATCATCATTTGTATATAAGAAAAGAAGAATCACTAATTTTATAAATGAAGACGCTAAACCAAAATCAAAAAGAGATGCCATTTTTCTGTTTCCTAAATTTTATGAAATTAGTGCACAACACAGAAATGATTGTTCAGAGTACCACGTTGCCGTGGGGCAATTATATGGATGTGGCTGTGATTTCAGGTACAGCAAGCGGTGTAAACCCGAAGGTCAAGGCTCACCACTATGATACAGTCCCACATGGTTTACATCTACCCAACTTATATAGGTCCCAAACGATCACATCGATATTACATGAAGTTTTTGTGAAGGAAATAGGTTAAATTTCGTTTAAGCACTGAGCTATAACTGTACAGAGTAAGATAAGGTGAAGGACGAAGTTTCGGTCATTGCCACTGCAAACTTCCTCTGTATATTTAGTACTGTATCAAGAAGCCGTAAAATAGGAATTAGAATTCTTAAATCCAAACGCCTTTGTCTTTTCAATGAATATTATTTCACCAATATTATTATTATTATCTTAAAGATTGATTCGGTAGAGGTTGATCTTTTAGAAAGGTATTATCCTTTCAAAATATCAAATACCAGTTTTGCTTTTTGAGTTAATTCTTTTAGATTAAACGTTTAATTTTCATACAATTAATACACCTAAAGTAAGCAGTACTTTTTAAATTCAAATTTGTTTCATATAGTATTATTTAATTCTAACTGAAAAAATTTATTAATTAAAACTTATGATTAATGAAAAATCTCACGCGAATTCGAGCTTAATCAAACTAAGAAATTCAACGAAAAGATCATAAATGTGTTGGTGAGTGTTTAAATTTTGATACCATCATTACATTTAGATATTACGGTTAATTTAATAAGCAGGCCTGAATGAATTCATTTTGATGAAGCCTAGTCTTTCTGCTCGTAGCTTATAAAAATAGCTACTAAATTAAAAAGAAAAATTGATATAAAATTTGAATTCTAAAAGATAGAATCACATTCTAATGAAAATAATTAAACTAAAATTAATTAAGAAGATATGTAAACAATTCATTAAAATAATATTCATCATTTTATTGGGCTGTTATGAGTGGGTTATCAGAGAATAAATTGAAAAATACATTAAAAAAAATTAGTATCTTTCTAAATAGATAAATTGATTATCTATTTTCAATCGAAAATTTAACTTGATCAAATAATTTTTGATTCATAGGCTTAAGAACAATTTTGCTCAACATAATTATGAATTCATACTAGTTTTCTAAAATACAAAATAAACATCAATAATCACATTTTAATAAGCAGATATAAGAAAAACAGTAATGTGAATTAAGTAAAATTTAGGAATGAGGGGATATGATCATCCATTAATTGAATAATTTTATCATAATAATAGATTCTTTGAATTTCAAAATAATTATTGTTGACATTATTTCGATTTTAAGATTATGTAATGATTTATTTTTAATGGTTAATATTACAATGTTTTTCTTATGTTATTATTGTCTCCATATGTATTTGAACAACTAAAATTCAGTTTGTTCATAAAATTAAGTCATCAATCTATCTAAACGTGAATATTTAAAGAATATTAGAGGAAATTAAATTATCAATATTTTAATATTTAATGCGATGTTTTTTCAGTCCATAGGTTATTGTTGTGATTAGAGCGGGATTTTAATTAATCTAAAATTAATTAAAATCTAGATAAGGTCATTAAAGGTTTTTATCTTTAGAAAGTTTATATTTTTCATAATTATCCTTTATTGATAACTTTTATACACGATTCAACTCATGTTTCAATCCGTAAATGCCCTCTAGTTAATTTTTCCTTCATCTAAAACATCGCTTATCCTCAAAATGTCAAAACATAACCTTTTGAGCTTTCACCATCTATAATTTGATGTTCAGCCTCCAGTATGTCTATCCTTTATCATAATATCGATTTTATTTAAATATTCTGGAGGGTTTACAAGTCTTTCTTTATGTCAACCTCTCTAGCTCTTCATCCAAGCCAAGCCTTTTAAAATTTCATAACTTTAGGAGGAAGAATGCTATCCTATGACTCTCAGAACTACTTTGCTCCCTTTCTTTTTCTAGGTTTAGGTTAACATAAACTGTCTATATCTTCTTAAATTTTCTAGGTATCCTCACTACTAAAATCTTCAATTCTATCTTTATGTTTATTTTTTAAATTAAAAATTATTTCTAATTCAAATTCTTGTTTCTATCTCCAAAATTAGTTAAACTCTATTATCTATGGCTATTTGATTGTAACACAAATAAATATATCAAAGTATTAAATAAAAATAAAAGCAATCAATTTTTCAACATAATCACTTTCTGATTGATACTGAATTTTTAAAGCAAAATTGATTCTCAAAATATTATTTTTCTCTTCTCGTGCTCATCCCTCTTCAACACTTATTACAAAAAAACAACAACATTGTCATTTTAATTTATTTCATTCTGAAATAGTAGATGTAAGATTAGTAAATGGTAATTTTATTTAAGATACATTCTTAAGGATATGGTGAAAAAGTAGAGCAACTTTTCTCATTCTCTGATCGCTACTAGATTGAAATAGTTGGGTACACAAAAATTTACTTAAAATTAAACCTAAAAGAACATTTTCAATTCAAATGTTCTTTTAGGTTATGCCAAATCTTCTCTAGTATATCTACCTCACGCAACATTTTTTGATATGTTTTCGTCCATAAATTATACTATTATCTTGGGATTAAAACGAACTTTTTCTTCATTAAAATGATACTTAGGGTTGCTTTTCAGCTGTTAGAGTGATAGGAAATACACAACGAGTAACCAAACGACTAATAGCTTGATAAGCTAATAAATTTTTATGTTAAATGGAACTAAAAACCCAAATATTCGTTTTCTTGCTATCAATCACTTAAAATCTTTGATTTTTAAAGTTCGCTGCATTTCTTCAATTAAAGCTAAACATATTTCATCAAGCTAAAAATCTTTAAGCAACTCAAAATCATAACAGAAAAAAGTTACTGCGTCTAGATATTTTTCTTTCATTAAACTTTTAGAATAGCTGTTTATATTTTTATAATATAAAACTTTTCAAAAAAAGTACTTATTTTGAAATCCAACAATTTATTATTATGATATAATTTTAACATATAATCTATTCTAAATTCTCTCCATATAAGAATATAAGATTTAACTATGGCGAATACGGTGGACAAAAAGAAGTGATTCACATATTTTAACACAACTTCGTTAGGTTAGATTCATTTTCAAAAACTATGACATAGTTTCTAAAACTTTATTTCAGCTTACAAAACTGGATTATTTTTAGAACGAACCCAAGTGTATATAAGCAAAATAGTATCCAGAATGAAATAAAGAGGTGAAAAAAAGAACTTTATTTTCTTAGATCAATCCTAAGCTTACAACACGATAATAAGGGAAGGTTTACATAACATGATTAAGGATAGAGGAATGATAGACAACTAAAAGCTGAACCTTTTGTTTAATGTAATGGCAACTTTTTATAATATTATCCTATAATTAAAAGAAGGGGAGATTTATTTTTTTACTATGCAGATGATGTTGTGATTTACACGAGAACAGATATTGCAGATATTTGCACACTAGGGCTTATGGAAGGTGAACTCGAAGAAAACTGAATACCTGTCAAATAGGAAAATCTGAATTGAATGAGTTATCGATTGAACACTTAGAGAATTTAGATACATTGAGAACTTGGTTAGCGATTAGTGGAAATTTGAGATATTAAGTGGAAGTGACAAAGAGGATTGTCACATGGAATGAATCGTAACTAAGTGTAATAAGAAAGATAGTACCCTTTAGAATTATAACCAAATTATGGATTGTTTATATCCTCCCACATGTGTGGATATCATAACCTGAAGGTGTGGAAACAAAAGAAATTAATGATAAAACAATGGTCAAAAATTAAGAGGAACTCATTTCGAAAGACTATGTGTTTGAATAAAGCTTCCCGAAATCTATCATTGGTTGTATAATTGGAAGACTAGAATTTGATACCAGAGAAGATTAGTTATATCAGGAGATAACTAAAAATTGCCTTATTCAGGATACATCTATACTCTTATGAATCAGAGGTTTTATGTGGCTCTAAACCATATAACTTTACAATTTTCCTCTAGAAAGAAAATGACTTGAAATCCTATTGATTAGAGGAGAAATTTGATACCTTTTTGACTTACTTTTAAGAAGTTCCATGAGGAAAACAGAGACAACACTTCAGGTGAAAGTCTACTCCAAAGAGAATTCGATGAATGGAAGGCAAAGCAAGGACAGAGTCGTTAGCTATGGGGAAAATGAGAAGATTGGAAGAGGTATCCAACAATAAGTGATTAAAAGAATCACTGGTTATGAATTTTTTGAACCTTCTAAACACAGCTGGAGGATCTGTAATTCACACAAAAATTAAATGTCTTTGAACCATACAATGGACTATCTGTTTGGTGAACCAAGTAATTGGTTTGAAAACTGGAAAAGATCAAGGAATATGTTTAAGATATAAAATGGATATCCTATACAAACATATAGACAGCAATGATAGAACAAATGCAAAAATTAACCGAAAACTGATTAAAATTGAATGTGACCCTTTGAAAAGGAACTAACCAAGCAAATAACATATTTTAACAGCAATTATTATTATTATTTATTTTAAGCAAAAAAGAATTGAAATGAAATTAAAAATCTGATCTCAACTATAAAACTTATAGAGATAAAGATAGTGATTTATTTATTCATAAAGAAAATTAAGAATTAAGCTTTTACAATTAAATCTAATATTTTTCTTTGATATTTTTTCGGAAATTATAAGTTCAGGACAACGTATTTAATTTTTTTAAAGTGCTCTGTTTAATAAGTAGCTAATAAATCACTATATGATTTAATATTGTATTTGAATTTTGAATTGCATTATAAATATATTGATTAGTATATTTATATTGCTTAATGGTAAATTTACATAGATTTAATAAGCAACGGGAATGAGTTTTTTTAATTCGAATCTGGCTTCATAGATGTATGGTATGACCTAATATTCTAAATTGTGTAATTTCGAATAAATATTCAAATTATTCTTTAAAATACTTGAATTATAGCAGTATTGGAAATGCCAAACAACGATTAGTTGAAAAAATTCCTAAATCTTATTGGAATTTTAATGTTTTCAATTGTTTATTATTATTATTCTGAGAATGAATTAAGATTGATAATAGTTTTTGGATATTTGTTAAATTTATCGTAGGGAAATCCCTTCATAATTTACAATACGATTTCGAATTTCTAAAAAATTGAATGTTGTCTCCTCTTTATCAATTTAATAAAATATTTAAATTTTGATTATGTTATCAAAATAGCAATAATAATTGTAAGAGATAGTATCCCAAAGTGTGTTGAAGACGTAAATTTTAATAATAATTAGATAAACAACAAAGGCATCTTAGAAATTAAGTTAATCATTTAATCCTAATGGATTGATAGGTTAATCTTTAAGTCCAACACAAAAAACAAACTAAAGCATGGGATTAAAAAAAGGGAATAGTTTAAAATAGTATCAATAAGAATTGCTTAAATTAATGGCAAGCCATAAGCAATTCTAATCTGGCACCAAAAAAGCAAATTTGTCTGATATGATGACTTAATAAAAGGAATCTAAACGAGTATCTTCTGGCGCTAGTTAACCTTAAAAATCATTAAACTCAAACAAAACTAGTTTTGTAAATCCAGCCCATTAGATTATAATAATTGTTAATCATGAAAATCAACAAATCAAATTTACAATTGACCCTCTAAAATCGACAGGATGGTTGGAGGAATACTTGAAATAAGAAGTAAAAAAACATTCAATTCATCAATATTCATCAACAGGATCTTAACCAGATGAAAGAAAAGTAACTTGTGGAACAGGAAATGAGTCATCAGATTTGGAAATAGTATCATTTCATACAGTTGATAAAAATTTGCCTATAGATTATTATTTATAATAGCCAAATAAAAGCTTAGAAATTTTTAGTGGATAAACATTAAATCTATAACCATTTTATGGAACTCCTTAATAAAGTAAAATAACTCTTAAAGATTTTATATTTGTAAAATGCATAGGGGTAGGAGGTTTCTCAAGGGTTTATATGGTAAAGAAAAAATCAAATGGAAGATTTTATGCAATGAAATTGATAGATAAGGAATTCATTTTACAACATAAAAAACAAGGTACAAATTAAATATATGTAAAGGTATTGTATAAAACGAGAGAGATATAATGACTGTGCTTGATCATCCTTTTATAATTAAATTAGAGTATGCATTTGAATCTAAAAACTTTATTGTTTTCGTATTAGAATTTTGCAGTGGTGGTGAACTGTTTTGGTAATTAAGATAAGTGAAAAGAATGACGGAAGAATAAGCTCGTTTCTATTTTGCAGAAATTTGTTTGGCTATGTTCTATTTACATTCATTATCAGTTGTTTATAGGGATATTAAACCAGAGAATATTTTAATAGATATTGATGGTCATATCAGAATAGCTGATTTTGGTTTATCTAAGCCAAATATGACAGAAGAAGATTACGCCTATAGTTTTTGTGGATCTCCAGAATATATGGCCCCTGAAATGTTATTGAAAGTAGGACATAATGTTTAGGTTGATCACTACTGCATGGGAGCATTGCTTTTTGAACTGGTAACCGGGTTACCTCCTTATTATTCAAGAGATACTGATGAAATTTATGAATCAATCCTTAACGAAGAATTAACTTTTCCAGAGAAGTTAAATTTATCACCAGCAATTAAAGTATTGTTCTACATTATCAAAGGATTTGCTGTAAGGATTATTATGCAAATAACCATCTGAGAGATTAGGGGCAAATAAAGGATTGACTGAATTATTGACCCATGTTTGGTTTAAAGATGTTGATTTAGTGGCAATCTTACAGAAATAGATTCCTCCTCCATTCAAACCTAATCAACTGAAATTTAATTATGACTCTAATGATTTAATGAAAGGTGAGTTAGAAACAAGAGAGAAACTCTTAGGAAAAGCAGGTCTATCATAAGAAATAAGAATATTTAAAGCATTTTACTTTGATTCATACGAATAGAAATAAATGAAAACTGAATAGGCTAAAATTTTATAATAGCACTTTATGATGGTGACTTAATAATAATTAGCTTTAAATTAAAAGTTTAAACCTCAAAGAAAAAGCACTGAACCAAAAGAGTATTAATCTAAACCTGCTTCTCCGCAAACCAGGAATCAAAAACAGCAAAAGTTTACTCCAGAACAATTTCAATCTCTTTAGAAACGAATTAAATCTTAGTAAATAATTAGTGTAAATTTAGATAATCTTCTATGAGTAATGTATAATAGATTAGTACTATTTAAAGCCCTGCTTAATCTAAGTTGTAAGGTTTGAAAAGAATTATTTCTTAAAATAATTTCTTTGCAGACAGATAAAATACATTGCCAGCCGGTTAGAAAGAAGTGAATATAGACTATCAATAATTATTGTCAAATGTGTCAACGGAGTAAATGTTACATAAACGAGTATCATCTTTAAAATAAAGAAAAAAATGAATTACTAATAATAATATATTAATTTTATAATTCTAATATCTCTCTATGAATCAGAACAAAGAAATAGATGAACTTCTATTCAAAAAAAAAGAATTAAAATAAGATTTGAAAAAACCTCACTATCCTCCAATAGATATAACAATAACATCCTATAGTGAAGTATCTGATGGCACTCCAAACAAATTTCCAATTAAAAAGGTTTATACGGAATAAAATTGTTTTCATCATCAAAAGAAAAGAATATTAACATAGGAAGAGCAAATTAATTAATAAAATCAAATGCAAGCTTCTAATTCAATTATAGAATCTATGACGCCTTAAAGAATGAATAAATTAATCGATTGGTCTAAATATAATGTCACACCAGGGGATGGCAAAAATATCTTTCCCTAAGTTTCAGGACCAAGTCTTGAATTTCCAAAATTCATTATATTTTAAATTACCGCAAAAACTTAATATAAACAGCGATATTCTCTTAAATAAATACATTGAAATTGAGGAGAGATTAAAATTGTTTTAGACAAAGCATAAAGATTTTTCGACTCTTGAAGCCTTAAGAGGATAGAACCTCTAAATAGCCTCATAACAAATTATTTGCTAGTAGGATGTTAGCAAAAGCATAGGATAAATTTATTGATGAATTAAATTTGGAAATCAAAAAAATGAAAGAAAATGAATTAAATATAAAGGTCTACTCAAAGAAAGTGAAAAAAAGGATTAAATTTTGAGTGAATTCAAAAATAAAGTTGGTAAGGATTAAATAATAGAAAATCAAGAATAAAAAATGCAAAATCTGACCAATAGGTTAAAAATGGAGGTTGAATATAAAAAACATGATGAAAAAATGTTATTGGAAATAAAATAAAAAGAGATCAAAAGATCAAGCATATTCGAACTAAACTCTAAATGTTAATCATGTCAATAATGTAAATAGGAATTACAAAATATATTATAAGAATGCTAAATCGAAGATGACTAGAACATTATAGAAGGGGAATTGTAAGTACCAACTTAGATCAGAGTAGTTGTCACTCTATTGTTGACTAAATAAAGAGAATAAATTGATATTGCATTTTAATAGTACGAAGACTAATTAAAAGAATTATATGATTAAATTGAATACTTTAAGGAACAAAATAATAATTTAATAGAGGAAAATAATAAATTACAACATTAATTATCAAGTATTCTGAATTAAAGAGGAGAACAAGAAAATAAATTGTATGAGGAATTCGAAAAATTAATAAATATCAATTTAATTTTGATGTAGGAAAATCAAGACCTTAAATTATAGGTTTAATCTTAGAACCCAAGGACATTTAAATCCCTTAGATGGAGAGAATTTAGGTCATTTTAAATCTATATAGACAGATAGAACTGGTTTGAACAATAAAATGGCTCAAATAAAACAATAGTATTAACATTAGATCAAGAACTTGCTTCTAAAAATATCTGAATAAGAAAAGAAAATACAATCATTAAAAAATGATCCGTTTCGAAATTTTTCCTCTTCTAAATAGAATAAAAATTTGTAGAATCAAGCTTTATAAAATGAAGCGAAATAATCATTATAAAAAAAAAAATGAAAGAAAAAGACGAAAAAAATTTAGAACTTGTTTCTTAAATAACGTAAATGTATTATAAAGTCATAAGAAATTTAGAATACAAAATATAAATTTATAACAGTAAGTTTAAAAAGAATGTGAATAAACAATTTTTGAACTAAGTTTGAATTGGATAAACAAAAAATAAATTAATCATAAAATTAACTAAATTAAATAATTAATCGATTAGAATAAAGTATAATAAGATAAAAACACAGAACTGAGTCAAAATGTTGTATTGCTTTAATAACAATTGATATATAAAGAATCTAATTTTTAAAATGAACTAAAATAATCGCTAAATGATAAGAGAATTGAACATGAGAGTCGTTAATTAATATATCCAATCAAATTTGAGCTAGTAATATTTAAGTTAATTGGTGGATGAATATAAGAGTTATCAATAAGAATTTATAGATTTGAAACAAGTTTTTACAGAAATGCTTCGACAACATGAAATATTATAAAATGTATTGTTAATAATATTTATCATTAGAGATTATCAAAGCTTCAACAAGATAACAATCAGTTGGCTTTAGAAAATTAGAAATTGATAGAGAGTTAAAATAATAAGGATGACAAATTAACTAAAAGAATATCTGAAGAAATTACTAAAGGAGTAAGATGTTCTACCGCACCTGGGGATTCACTAAATATTAAATCATTTGTCTAACAAGGAGAAGAGGAGAATTTAAAAAAAAATAGTTCAACATTTTAGATCTGATTTAACCTGAACAAATGTCTACTTAAGAAACTCTTTATGTAATGAAGGAAATACTGATTCGATCTGTAAAGTCTAATGAGTTGATAAAGAAGATTTATTAGATTGCTGAACTTAAGTAATTACTGTTTATCATTCAATAAGTGGATGAGCAGTATTAAAGGCCCAACAAAAAATTGACTAAAGTGATAAGTTGTGTTTTAGGAGAAAAAAGGAAAATAAAATACACAAACAGAAGTGAAAAGCCAGATTTCTATTATTCTTGATATGATCTATAAGTATCAATATTTTTTTGGAATTTGTTTCCCAATTGATGTTTATTTTTCAAGTCCTGATTTCTTATGAATTTACAATCTACTATCTCTGATGACTGATTCTAAATACTTTTTATCAAAATATTTATTGTAAAACTCCTTCTAATCGTTTTAGTTTATACATTGAATGGGCTCAATGTATTATTAATATTAATTTTTAATATTTTTTATTAAATATGATGTTTCCTAAAATATCTCTTGATTTATTTGATTTAAACTTGTTTAATCTTTTGTTTATTTTTATGGGGAGTATAATTGGGTAGCAGAGGCTTACAATTTCTACATACTATCAAAACTTCTATCTTAACAATCCGACAAGTAAAGATAAATATGGTGTTGTTCCTTTTATTATATATATACAAAATGTCATACTTTCATTTTTAATTTTGGGTTCAGTCTCAACTTTGTTGATGAAGATAGCGACTCTGATTATTGAACACTTTATTAAGGGACTAACAATGGATTTAACTAGACAGCCATAGCTAGAGATTGACTTAATAAATACAAAATTGGCTTACTTTCCTTCATCCTCTTTATTTTCAGAGCTTGTTGGCTATTCTTGACTGTCCTATTGTTTCAACGGTGGGTTCGGCTAGAATATTGTTACAATTTTACCTTTGACCGCTTACGCTTGAGTGTAGCAGCCTTTTTAAAAACTAAAATTAAAGGAAACTTACCTCTTCCTGGCGTTCTTTCTCTTGTATTCGTTGTAAATACTATTTTATTTTTCTTTCTTCTCTTGTTGAAGTTTACTCATTAATAATTAAGGATTGTGATGATCCCTTTGACAGATTGGCCAATTCAGCTGGTTTTACCTATTTCTTTTATTGTTCTTCTTATGAAGATAATAAACTTGAGTTTTCCTAACTCTCTCCCTTTGATTATTATTCACTCATTATTATTTAAATTAATTTAAAGATATTTATTTTTCTCTCAAATTCAGAATTTAATACCTCAATTAATCCAATCCATCTTAGAGCCTTTTATGTCAACACTTCAAATCAATTTAATTTTACTTTTTTTTTATTTTATATTATACAAAATTTAGAACAAATTAATACCTACTCAATCGAACAACTAGGAATCCAGAGTCATAACTATTTCATTTCTAATAAAATTAATCTAATCATTTAAAACAAGTATCTTCTCTGTTATAAAGTCATTTCTAATCTACTATTAAATTTTAATATAAGAGGAGCGATATCAATAATGTTACTTAATAATAAAAATACCTACAGTGTAATATTCAAAGACACATCAGAATTATGAAATAGAATGATGTAGTTATAATTTATAGATGCATAAATTAAGAAAACCATTATAAATGAAAGGAAAGTACCCTATATAAGAAAATTTGTATCAAGTCAAACCAGTCTGCAATTATTGTATTCTCCTAGAAGAAATCAACATTATCTTTAATAGCAAATTTAGATATCTTAAATTTTAACATATTTAATAATAAAATTGGATTTGAAGGATATAAAATGAGAAAACGCAATGAAGTTATCAAAGCAAAATTGACAACATATATTAATTAATCAATTTAGAACCTTCAACTCTTATTAATTCAATAATTCATCATTCTAAGGTGAGACCTCAACTCTTTTCTTGAAGGCTCTTATACATGATAACAGAATAACCCCGAATATAATAGTGCATAATGCAAAAAGATGTATTGTTGATCTTTTGTCAACAGTATAATTTTCAACCTTTATCGTGCCTTTTATCAATTGAGTTATTGGTTCAGTTCGAGCTGTGGAGGCCAATTATTTTGAATAATTTTGTAAAATTACTATTTGTTCGGCTGTTATCGGCAAAGAATCAGATAAAATGAATATCTTTCTACCACAATTCTCATACTATACAAAATATTCAACTTCCTTCAATTATTCTGCTAAATCTACTAATCTAAGTTAAAAATTATTTTAGAATTGAAGAGTAGGATTTTCTCTAATATTATTATTTGTTTCAACAGGGATAACAAGTTATGTAAAGGCTAAGTTATCATCTTCCGTTGTATTCATTTGATACATGTTTACTGTGATTTCACATTTTGCCTCTTCTTCGTCAGGAATAATATGGACAGCTGGGCAATAGATTTCAAAATTTTATGGTCCGAATGTCAATGAAGATTAAAGAATTTGTATTTTTGATTTATCATTTATTTTGAAATCCTCTCCGTATCCAATTATGTATTCTCCTTCCAATCTTATAATAATATCAGTTTCAGATTATTATTTCTCTACTGAATTAGGAATTTACAAATATGTATTCTCAATACATTGGCAATGAATAATACTGAGCAAAGAGAAAAAATAAATTAACATTTAATNTATTTTATATTATACAAAATTTAGAACAAATTAATACCTACTCAATCGAACAACTAGGAATCCAGAGTCATAACTATTTCATTTCTAATAAAATTAATCTAATCATTTAAAACAAGTATCTTCTCTGTTATAAAGTCATTTCTAATCTACTATTAAATTTTAATATAAGAGGAGCGATATCAATAATGTTACTTAATAATAAAAATACCTACAGTGTAATATTCAAAGACACATCAGAATTATGAAATAGAATGATGTAGTTATAATTTATAGATGCATAAATTAAGAAAACCATTATAAATGAAAGGAAAGTACCCTATATAAGAAAATTTGTATCAAGTCAAACCAGTCTGCAATTATTGTATTCTCCTAGAAGAAATCAACATTATCTTTAATAGCAAATTTAGATATCTTAAATTTTAACATATTTAATAATAAAATTGGATTTGAAGGATATAAAATGAGAAAACGCAATGAAGTTATCAAAGCAAAATTGACAACATATATTAATTAATCAATTTAGAACCTTCAACTCTTATTAATTCAATAATTCATCATTCTAAGGTGAGACCTCAACTCTTTTCTTGAAGGCTCTTATACATGATAACAGAATAACCCCGAATATAATAGTGCATAATGCAAAAAGATGTATTGTTGATCTTTTGTCAACAGTATAATTTTCAACCTTTATCGTGCCTTTTATCAATTGAGTTATTGGTTCAGTTCGAGCTGTGGAGGCCAATTATTTTGAATAATTTTGTAAAATTACTATTTGTTCGGCTGTTATCGGCAAAGAATCAGATAAAATGAATATCTTTCTACCACAATTCTCATACTATACAAAATATTCAACTTCCTTCAATTATTCTGCTAAATCTACTAATCTAAGTTAAAAATTATTTTAGAATTGAAGAGTAGGATTTTCTCTAATATTATTATTTGTTTCAACAGGGATAACAAGTTATGTAAAGGCTAAGTTATCATCTTCCGTTGTATTCATTTGATACATGTTTACTGTGATTTCACATTTTGCCTCTTCTTCGTCAGGAATAATATGGACAGCTGGGCAATAGATTTCAAAATTTTATGGTCCGAATGTCAATGAAGATTAAAGAATTTGTATTTTTGATTTATCATTTATTTTGAAATCCTCTCCGTATCCAATTATGTATTCTCCTTCCAATCTTATAATAATATCAGTTTCAGATTATTATTTCTCTACTGAATTAGGAATTTACAAATATGTATTCTCAATACATTGGCAATGAATAATACTGAGCAAAGAGAAAAAATAAATTAACATTTAATAATTATATTGCAATTACCTGTTAAGATTATTATTTATATATAAATGAAAAAAATATAATAAATAGAGAATATTAAGCCTGTTAATACAGAATTTAGATTAAGTGATATGAATTTATCTTTTAAGTGGTAACAAATTATCGAAATATGAAAGGAGNTATTTTATATTATACAAAATTTAGAACAAATTAATACCTACTCAATCGAACAACTAGGAATCCAGAGTCATAACTATTTCATTTCTAATAAAATTAATCTAATCATTTAAAACAAGTATCTTCTCTGTTATAAAGTCATTTCTAATCTACTATTAAATTTTAATATAAGAGGAGCGATATCAATAATGTTACTTAATAATAAAAATACCTACAGTGTAATATTCAAAGACACATCAGAATTATGAAATAGAATGATGTAGTTATAATTTATAGATGCATAAATTAAGAAAACCATTATAAATGAAAGGAAAGTACCCTATATAAGAAAATTTGTATCAAGTCAAACCAGTCTGCAATTATTGTATTCTCCTAGAAGAAATCAACATTATCTTTAATAGCAAATTTAGATATCTTAAATTTTAACATATTTAATAATAAAATTGGATTTGAAGGATATAAAATGAGAAAACGCAATGAAGTTATCAAAGCAAAATTGACAACATATATTAATTAATCAATTTAGAACCTTCAACTCTTATTAATTCAATAATTCATCATTCTAAGGTGAGACCTCAACTCTTTTCTTGAAGGCTCTTATACATGATAACAGAATAACCCCGAATATAATAGTGCATAATGCAAAAAGATGTATTGTTGATCTTTTGTCAACAGTATAATTTTCAACCTTTATCGTGCCTTTTATCAATTGAGTTATTGGTTCAGTTCGAGCTGTGGAGGCCAATTATTTTGAATAATTTTGTAAAATTACTATTTGTTCGGCTGTTATCGGCAAAGAATCAGATAAAATGAATATCTTTCTACCACAATTCTCATACTATACAAAATATTCAACTTCCTTCAATTATTCTGCTAAATCTACTAATCTAAGTTAAAAATTATTTTAGAATTGAAGAGTAGGATTTTCTCTAATATTATTATTTGTTTCAACAGGGATAACAAGTTATGTAAAGGCTAAGTTATCATCTTCCGTTGTATTCATTTGATACATGTTTACTGTGATTTCACATTTTGCCTCTTCTTCGTCAGGAATAATATGGACAGCTGGGCAATAGATTTCAAAATTTTATGGTCCGAATGTCAATGAAGATTAAAGAATTTGTATTTTTGATTTATCATTTATTTTGAAATCCTCTCCGTATCCAATTATGTATTCTCCTTCCAATCTTATAATAATATCAGTTTCAGATTATTATTTCTCTACTGAATTAGGAATTTACAAATATGTATTCTCAATACATTGGCAATGAATAATACTGAGCAAAGAGAAAAAATAAATTAACATTTAATAATTATATTGCAATTACCTGTTAAGATTATTATTTATATATAAATGAAAAAAATATAATAAATAGAGAATATTAAGCCTGTTAATACAGAATTTAGATTAAGTGATATGAATTTATCTTTTAAGTGGTAACAAATTATCGAAATATGAAAGGAGGAAAACCAAACGATAAATATCAATTGCATCTTGTGTTTTTACATTTCCATTAGGATGTTGTACTTGCCAAAAAATTGACAAATGTGTTACTAAAATTTTAAAACCAAAATGAATTTGATAAAGTTAAATGGACTCTATTGCATATAGCTGTGAAATTTAATTATAATAAAGCTGTGATTTATGCTTAATAAATTGGAAAATTCAATTTTCATCTTTTAGCAGGAAAATAAGGACTATCATTAATGCATTTGGCTGTTTGAGAAGTAATTATGAAGTAATAGAGATTTTGATTGTAATTACATTATTTACACTTAACTATTATTATTATTATTATTATTTATTCTCTAACAATAGGAAGAAAAAGTATCATTATTCACAGAAAATGCAGATGGTGTTTTACCAAAGATATTTGCTCTTTAATCACCAGTTAATTTTAAAATGATTAAGAAATATGAAAATCAACAAATAATGAGATTTTTAATAGATCTTGAAGATATTGAGGATGATGAACTACATAAGCAAACAAAATTTAAAATCTGAATATTTCCTAATAATCAATTAAATAATGTGAAGCAAATGATGTACTGATCACCAAACCAAAAGTATCATTAACCTACCATGTAATATTTGAAGGAATCGATGTACTTATTTGATACCTTTGAGTATTGAATTGGTTATTAAACTAAATTGAAGTAAAGTGTATGGGATAGAGTAAGAGCTTTATACAAGTATGGTACTGTTGTTAGCTCTGAGCAATGAAAAGTTCCTATAAAACACATTCAATAATTAGTGCAGTAATTAAATGTTACAATACCAATTCTTAGACAAGACTACTTTGATATTGAGAATAAATTAGAAAAATTCAGCAAGAAAATAAAAAAGGATTTGGTTTACGAGATTATAGAATGGTATATAAACATAGAATATGTAGAAATTGAAAGGTGTTCTGAATATTTTTGGAGAGCCTAAAAATGAGGATACGATAAACAATTTGAAAAGATTCACTTCGAATAAGTTAGAATTTGATACTAAGAATTACGCTGCTTTAGCTTCGATGCCTCAATTGATGCAATAGATTCAGAGATTGGGGTCATTTTCACATTTTAGTTTTTTGATTTGTGGATATCCTCGAATAAAATTTCAATCTAATCATTTAGTATTGCATAAATTTGAGTGTCTAAATTAACAGGAACAATGTTGCCTAAGTGAGTCTTCTCGAATGAAAGGATTGAGTAGCAATGAATCTCTTACGCATTTGGAAAAAGAATTGAAGATTAAAAATATTTACAATAATTATTAATTATGAATAAATCACAATAAGAAGCTATTCAGAAAAACCATTATGGCAAACTAGAATATTGGGAAAGAAGATATTCAGAGTATTATTTAATGTTATTCTAGAAACGATAAACCATTTGAATGGTATTAGAATTATGATAACTTAAAAGACATTGTTACATAATATATTAATCATAATAGTCGTATTCTCAATATTGGATGTGGCAATTCAAGTATCACAAATCATATATAAAATCATAGACATTCCCGAGGACATGTATAAGGAAGGTTATTAATGGATTGTTAACCTAGATTTTTCGAAAGCAGTTATAGAATTCATGAAGGAAAAGTTTAAATCTTACCCTGCTCATTTCTAATGTATTATATAGATGCATATATAGTTGTATTGGCTGATGCAAGAGAATTACCATTTCCAAATGATTCATTTGATTGTGTATTTGACAAAGGATTATTGGATGCAGTCTTAAGTGGAGACTACTCAGCATAAAATTCGAAAAAGGTGATTAATCACATTTACAGAGCCCTAAAAAAAGAAACTGGTGTTTATATTGTTATCTCTCATGGATTCCCTGAATAGAGACTTCCATATCTAAGCAAATCAGAATATAATTGGAAGGTCACCTACAGCAAAGTCTATAAACCTGATGTAAGAACAAAAAGTTTAGAATTCGATGCTTCAGATCTAAACAATTATCATTTCATCTATGTTTGCAAAATGGATAGATATCAAGGGTAAACTGCAGCTTAAGTCATTGGAATTTGATTATATTTTACAGACTTATTAAATATTCATAAATATTCAATTAAAAAAGTCAATATTAAATAATTATGATAATATTTATTTTAATTACACATATTAGTGCTTAATGCTCTCATCCAATATTTTGTTAAGGTGACATTCTACATACAGTCTAGACACAAAAAATATTCAATGATGGGAAAACTTTTGTGGATATGTCTATGAAAAAGACAGAAACTGAGATTTTAAATGCTTGGAAAACTATTGACACCAAAAATAAAGAATAAGTGACAGCTTTTGTGGCTGATAATTTTATTGAAGCAGGCAGCGATTTAGAATCTATCAGACCCAGTGATTATAAAGAAAAACCTGATTATGTTGATAATATTAAGGTTTAAGACTTAAAAGATTGGAGTTTAGAAATTAATAAGATATGGTTGGAACTGTGTAAGGAATTTAAGAAAGGTATTGAAGATTCCACTTCGATACTATATGTTCCAAATCCTTTCTTTGTACCAGGAGGTAGATTTAGAGAGTTCTATTATTGGGATACAATGTGGGTTATTGATGGATTAATAATCAGTAAAATGTTCGAAAGTGCCATCAAAATGTAGGAAAATTTTGTGTATCTTATAAATGAGCTGGGTTATATACCCAACGGAGCTAGGATCTATTATAAAGGAAGAACTTAACCACCTGTACTGGCTTAAATTACATATAACATATATTAAGGATTGATAAAAGATGGATAGGAAGAAAGAGCCAAATAGTTTATAATTAAATCATTTGGAGCAGTCGAAAAGGAGTTTCAATATTTTTATGAACATAGATCCATACGAGCCTGCTTGATATTTTAAAATGTTTATTGTGATGTGATGTTGTATCATTATGATTCAGACATTTATTATCCAAGACCAGAGTCATATAATGAAGATATTTCGATCGGACATGCAAATATTCACATGTATCATGAAATTACAGCAGGAGCTGAGAGTGGTTGGGACTTTTCTACAAGATGGTTTTCAGATTAGAAATCATTGGAATCCATTCAAACCTCATATATTTTAAGTGTTGATTTAAATACCTTTATGATAATCAATATGAAAAGATTAGCTTCATTTTCTAAGGTTTTGGGGTTGTACGCCAAGTAAACCTTTTATGAAACACTGAGTAAGAACACAGAAGAAATATTATTAGACAAATTTTACAATAAAGAAACATATTAATGGAATGATTACAATTATAGGGAAAAGAAGTTCAATAAGAATTTTTATGCTTCCAATTATTTTCCTTTAAATTTAAAGTCAAAGTCAGATAGCAAATTGATCGAAAATTTGAAAAAAATGATATAATAATATCCTGGAGGGATCCCCACTTCTTTTCTAAATACAGGATAATAATGGGATCTTCCAAATTCATGGCCTCCTCTTAATTAAATGATTATCCAAGGATTAATCAACAATGATCAGAAGGAACTTGCTTTATAACTATCATAAAATGTTATCAACAATGCTTATTGTTGTTTCTAGAAATCTATAACTTAATATGGGAAAGGATACATGTTTGAGAAGTATGATGCTACAAGCGTAGGAACATCAGGAGGAGGTGGAGAATACGAAGTATAAACAGGATTTGGATGGACCAACGGTGTGGTTATTTGGATATTAAATACATTTGGATAATAATTAGTATTACCAACATGTCCATAATAGATATGAATTATAAGAAAAAGAAATGGTCATAAATGTTACAAATCTGTAATCTTGGTTAATTTTTTAGCTTCTCTCTATTCTTTTTAAAGTCGCTGTTGCATACGATTATAGCGTCCTTGAAATAGTTTTGTATCATCTTTAAGTCTTTTCCATTTTATGGGTAGGAAACATTAATCTTTCGTCATGAGATTATCCATGAGTAACTTTTCATGATACCCATTGTAGATACGCTTCACATACTCGTATTTCATAATATCTGGATCATCGATGAACTCTTTCTGTTGAGATTCTTATAAATGAAGAGATTCCCTTTGAGTTAATGGTTATGATTTAATGACTTTAGCCATGTTGTCTAAAGGAATGTATAGAGGATTTAATCTCTCAGATTCTAAAATCAAATCTGAAACTTTGTCAATTTCTATGGCTTACTATAATTTTGTATTAAGAATGTGTAATGGAATTCTATTCTTTATTTAACTTGTTCGATTCACATTTTTTGAAAGTAATTTAAACTATTCCCAAGATCCTTGAAAGTTCTTATTATCCTTCACATCTCTCTCTGTTTTCAGTAGCTGTAATTTCCCTGATTTCATCTATTCTTTTATCAATTCAAATTTAATTGTACTAAATCGAGGTTTGTGTTCTGATTAGAAACCTAATGTTTGTAATTCAGAAATCATCATTGTGCTTCTTCTTTTTAATTACATCACATATAAGGATTGTTTCCTTTGCAAACGAGAATATAAGAAATCTTCAGGTTATATTGGTTTAATCTACTATTCTAATACTTTCTAATTTAACTCTTAAAGACATTTAGTTCTCTTATTTTCATCATAAAATACATTTCTTACTTTATTGTTTTTCAATTCCACATAATCTTTATATTTCTTAACCTTCTCTTTAACTTATTATTTAAAATGCTCAGACACTTAATAAGCTTGCTCATTTCCAATAAATAATACAATGCCATCTCCACATAAAAATTCCTCACATCTAAATCCACTCTTTATCAATTAAGGTTTTGGAAGTTTAGAATTCCATTAATATAATCTACCAAGCTGATCAACACATGCAGCTTGACTTTAAGATACATGAATTTTACGAATATTTGAATATTCATTAGGCATCCGAACTTCTTTAATTTTTAATGCTTATTCAAATGTCATAGGTTGTAAACCATTCCCCCATTCATATACTACCCCTTGTTAATTCAAAGCCAAACTATAATGATTTCCGCATTAAATATCCTGAATTCTGTCCAGATGTTTGATTTGAGTAGGAGTACTACAATATGTCTGGAATGAGTATCCTGCCATTTACAATCCTAATTCTCCATTCTTCCCATTCCCCCATGAATATACACACCCATTTTCATCCAACAATAACGAATGACTTATTGAACATGATATCTTCACTACCTTATTCAATATCAGTAATGGTTTTGATGTAGAAACTACAGTAGTCTTAACTCCAAGTAAATGAGTAAATCCACTTCCATATAAATCGCCATGTTAAATGTAATAAAATCGATCATTTTATGCACATAATTATGATACTCCCTTTTAAGGCAATTGTTTTGGATCCATACACAATCCTTTAAATATTGAACAACCATAATTAGTTTCTCCCCAATAATAAAGACCTTCCCAATTGTAAGCATAGGTATATGTTTCAGCACAAGTTAGAAGATCATAATTGCAATAGAGCCTTTAAGGTTTCTTTTGTACTTCAGAGACCTCACCTAAACCTAATTGAGCATGAGAATTATCCCCAAAAACCCATACATCATCCCTAATTATTATACTTAAGTACCGATTGCCGAATAGAAAAAAAGAACGGAATCCTCCGAATATTCTAATGATAGTAGCGTCAACTAGGATCTAATTCACTGAACCGTGAGGTACAAAGTCCACCAAATCAGTACGGCCGATAAAGAAGACTACTTTTATTTGCACACACTACCATTGCTCATATTTGGATGGGGTTGTTAATTAATTAATATTTATGAAAAAAATAAATTAAGACTAATTAAAATCTTGATAGATAAAAGAAGACATATAATTGTACATCAATTTATATAGAAGATGATAAATTTATTTTAATTTCACATATAATACTTTATGTTTCATATGTATTGTTGTTTTTATCTCATTATAAATGAATATCATATTGATTAAGCAAATCTAACAAGCATTTGGAATTTGAATGAAACAATTTTTGAATAGATATCAAATTATTGGTTAATTAGACCTTAGTAAATCATTTTTTTTTAAATTTGTATCAGGAATTCAAGATTGTCAGGTGATTAAATGGCTCCATATACCTAAAACATATAGGAGAAATATGGGATAAATTTATTAATATATCATCATATATTGGGATGTTAAATTTTAATTAAAAATATAACAATTCAAATTCTTATATAGAAATTAGTAGAATGTATTATAAAGGATATTAAATAATAGAAGTCATAAAATAATATTATATGAATGTATATCGATCAGGATATTATTTTAACATTGGGAAGTGTTTATTATTATTATAATAGTGTAGGTTACATTTTTTATATAGGTTGGTCTTGGATGATGTATTATTTATGAATTGGTTATTGAGGATATGATTATGATGAATCTATTACATATTGTGCTTGAATTGGTCGAGTAGTAGTGGTTTATTCAAGGATTACTCGTTAAGGAGATTGCTATTGGAGCAATATTGATTATCTTGATAATTCTACGCTGATTCGTTACTCCAAAGATTTAATCAAATCATCCTTTTGTCCTATGATTGTGGCCATCTTAATATTCTCCTATTCTATAAACCTAAAATCATTGATCATTCTACTGTAATCCTATTTTAATCTAAGTTTCTCAGGATCTCCCTTAAATGACAATTACGATAATTCAGAATTAGTGAATTTGAGTGAATCTACTTCTCTTAATAAAGCATTGCGTTCTTATTCTAAATATCTCACCTAATTGATTAGCTCATAATTCTCTTATGGCACTGGAACATGAACTACAGATTAAGGAAGAGGTTGTCTTAATCTGAAATCTAAATCTGAGACCAAACCACTCTTTTACTAAATTTCCATTTGCATATTGTTTATTATTTGTTTCAACTCCTTAATTTTCTTCTTTTTCTTATCCAATTGGTTTTACAATCTCTCCATTTAATAAGGATTGATAATTTGAGGTTATTGCTATTATGGTTGACTCTATTGAACTCTTGAACTTAATTGATTTTTAATATCAAGGAGGGATTATTTTAAATCTGATATTTATCGTTGTTATTCATCTTAGAGTTTTTAATTGTGCATTTAGTCTAATTATTATTACATCTTTAATTCCATTTCCTTAATTTCTTGTATGTGCAATTTCTCTATTTCATCCAATTTCTTCTCATAATTCTCATTTCTATTTTACACAATAGGTTGCTTCTCTAAAATTATTGATCAATTTTACCTTTCAATACTACTTATCTTGTAACAACTTTTTATTCCTTATCACAACTTGAAACACAAGGTGTACAAAACATACAGCAATTCTATTCTTATATCATATGATCTTCTTTTATAAATTATGATTCTCCTTGCACTACTCTTCTCTCTCTTATTACTGTTGGTTCTGTTGTTATGATTTATGTTGCTTGAATGTTAGGTACTACAACTATTGGTTATTCATATGTAGAAGCTACGTATGGAGTAGGAACATATGTTTGATAGTATGATTGAGGATGATCATATCTGTATTCGAGTGCTTTAGTTTTCTTTTCAGAGTGTTTTGACATTTAAATAAATCAACGGTTAATTAATTAAAAATTTCACGACATAGTAGCATTGCAAGAACAATCAAGAATTGACCAGAAGGAAGGTGGGTGGATATATTTCTTACGATTTTGCACGTCTTCAAATTAACTCAATATCGATTCGCAATAGTCCATTCTCTGTTTCTGTTGAATTGCAAATCTCTTTGCATATTCAATGAATTATGATTCTTTCTTGGCTTTGTCAATCATCATTTTTAAGGCTGTCTCTTTATTATTAATAGCCTCAAGAATAATAATTTTAAATTAATCATTATTTTAACATTGTATTTGTTACACTTTTTTATGCTGTAATGAGTTTTCAAAATATCTCTCAGCTTTCTTTATCTTTTTAGTCCAATCCACTCTGAATTCACAAACCTCTCTTAATGTCTTGCCTTGTTAATTTTTTTCATATAATTATTCATGTATGCAATTTTCCATGTGTAAACAAGGTTGCATAATTAAGGAGACCATTAATTCTAAATCCTTTTAGTTCTTATATTCAAAAAGTTTCTTATCAGAATGTGTTGGTGTATTTAGCTTAAAAGTATAACTATTCTAAAAGTTAAGTTATATTGAAGTCTTTAAATTGTCATATATCTGAATTTAAGGAGAAGGATGTTTTCGACGACCACTGAGTCTTAGTTAATTGATTTGAGATTCATCTTGAATTAAATTTGATATATTCTTCATTAATTTAAATTATGTTTCCACGAATGCTAAAAACTCAAAAGTAATTGGATTGTTGTTAAGCTAAGCTCATTTAGTCCATATACGCTATTCATGAATAAGAATTGCTACAATTTGGCATTGGAATTGAAATAATATCTCTTGTCTGATTATTTGCATACTTAATTTCCAATTTTGTAATTACCAGACTATATGGAGAATACCTTTGCTTTGCATGTGAATATCTTGCAATAGCGTCTAGTAAAATAAATTTGATAGCTCTAGTTGAATGAGAAGACCACTTAATCTGAGAAGGACATTGATCATCTGAGATTCTTTTTGAAAACCTATGTTTATAGTGAATTGGCAAACAAATATAATGAAAAATATCCTGCTGATGGTAAGGAAACAACTTAGAAAAATAGCATTTAGTGATTATTTTATAGAAAACTATTAGAACAGAGTAGAGATCATGGCTGCTGATATTAAGATTTTAGATAATGACATGCAAACTTTACAGAAGGATGAAATTGATGAGAATACAAGAAAATTTGTTAGAAAATTCATTTTTCTAAATAAAATAGGGACTACAAATAATATTATATAAAAATATAGTAGTTATGTGATGGCTCATGTAAGATGATTCCAATAAAATAGATGAACTATTTGCACTCATTGTCATATTTAGAAATTATGCAATATAAAATTTATTGGGGAATGTAAGAGGAATTAAAATAGTTGAAAGCTTGATTGAATTGTGAATTAGGTAATTGTATAAATTTGATCATTTGAGATTGTAATTTTCATCTTATGGTTTTTTCATTTAAGAATTCATTTTAGACAAGATCGATTGATTTTTAATAGATTTTTCAAGTCTATTGATTTCTTGATTTTGTTAATTCTCTAATTCTTTTCTAACATGTTAATATTTTGATAACATTCTATATAATTATTATTTTTATAATACTTTTAGAGTTCTAATGATTTGTTTTTGCTTAATTCTTCTTGTACTGAGAGAATGCGTTATTACAAAGCATTCAATTCTATAATTTATTTCTACCTTAATTGTTAGATCAAATTCCTGATTTTGTTCTATCTAGTATGATTCCATTTATCAAATTCTTCCTTTTCTAAATTCAATATCCTCTATTAGATCATATGAGCTTCTTTATAACTTAAATGATTTAGGTGCTGATTACTTTTCTAACTTTGCTAATTGTTCTTCGGTCTTCTTCAATTTTAACAATTACGCAGAATCCTTGGGTTTTAATGGAATTGTATTATCTAGTTCTTCAAGAAATGAATTCAATTCTAATTCATGTCTAGTTAATATCTCATCCTTAGCAGATTTAGTTTCAAAATCGAATTACTTAAATTTCTCATCCCAAAACAAGTTAAATTGATTAAATTCGTCAAAATGAGCTTTGTCGATTTGTTGCTTTTCATCTGAATGTCTATCAACAACCTCGTGTTTTTATTAGAGATCAAAGATTTTTGTCAATTCATTCAATTTTGTTTTGGCTAGATCTGCCTCTAAGTATTTTCCTTATTTTTCGCAAGTCTTTTGATGATGGTATAAGATTTAGCTAGAAGTGGGTTATAGGAATACATTTATTCTTGTAGATCAGATTGTTGAATGGTGATTTTTTGATGAATGTTATTCATTGATATTTTTATATATTATTAAAATGATAATAATTGACATTATGAAGGAGAGAGTATCAGACATTTAGAATATCTATAATAATACTATGGCAATAAAACAAATTAGTAATCTTTGATATAATTTAGAGTATAGAGAGAAGCTTCGTTAAATATAAGAGACTGACCTAATGAGTTCACTCTATTAATTTCGTAAATTGACACAATAGGATTTAGCTCAATTCCAAGAAGGAGCAAAATAAATCTTTAAAATAATTGCACCAGGATTTGATGTACACGATAACATTAGTTAAGACACGATTTAGCAACATAACTCTCACTTCCACCAGCAAAGTGTTCATAGAGTTGTACAAGCATTTTGGTTTCAGTTAAAAAAGTGACGCTTTGTACAATGAATTACTTCGCAATTCCAAGTAGCAGATATTTCTTTGTCTCATTCAACATCTGATGGATTTCACTAAGTTGTCCTTGTAGTGTGCTGTTAAAAAGTTTTTAGACATGAAACTTCTCTGTACAGGGAGAGAGATTGAAAAGTCTCCCAATCCTAGAAAAGTAGACATAATATAAATTGCATCAGTTAAGAGAAATAAAATCAATAGAGTGATGCGAAGTGAATCCAATTCTCTCCATTAATCTGATAACAAGTAAGACCTTAGAATTGTCATCGATAAAAGAGATAGACTCTCAATAAACGAGGCTATTTCTAATTGTGATAAAAGTGAAATCATCAAAAAAAATATTAGAAATTATGATGAAATCAACACCGACAACATTTCTACAACTTGCAATAGAAATATCTAAAGACATTAAAGTTTCTAGAAGCATACAGAACCCCCTGCGCAAAAATTACAATTCCCAAGCATTTATAAGAATTCCTCCTATGTTCTTTACAAAGCTCTCAGATCTCGTAATCAATCTGTCTGTCAAACCATTACTAATTATATTAAATAATTGCAAGAAAAAGGCATTTATGAAGAATGAATTAATAAAACTAAATTACTTTATTATGAATATTTGCTTATTATCTCTCTCCACTTAATTTAAAGACTTCATCTATCTAATTAATAAGATCCTCAAAAATCATGACGGAATCACCTCTGTTTCACAAAGACTCTATAAACCACCCCCTATAGTAATTATATTAACTAAAACCTTTAGAAATCAGATTATCAGAAAAAATAACTTAAGCGCCCATCCAATGTATTCCATACCCAATCACATCCTCCAAAATAATAACTTCAATAACAAATACTACCTCCAGAATAAATACTGAATTCCATAGTAACTATCGCTAGCGATGAACTTGACCCCTAAATACAGCAACATGAAGATCCTCATTTCGCATTTCAATAAATACCCCAAACATTTTTACAGACTATGAGTTATAATCTCAAAGAACAAGGTCTAATCAATAAATTAAAGAACACTCTCAAGGATCAAATTAGCTACTTACAAGAATCTTTGGACTTTTATAATAACATTAATCAGAAATATGAAATCATTCAAACCTCTAGAGCCAATCTAGAAGCTAATGATAAAACACAGAGATTAAAAGCTTGGTCATATTATAAAGCCAATCAATAAATGAAACTAATCAATGAGAAAATTGACTTATTTTCCATTCCTATAGGCTTTAAGATTCAGCATGAAAAAATTTACAACACTACTAAAGAACAAATGAAAACCATCATTCATAAACACATTCAACAGCTCAAAATTAGTTAAGATGCTCTTAATTCTTATAAATTTGAAAATTTCTTTGATAATCAAAATGTTGAAAGGATTTTTAACTTTCTTATTGCATTTTAAGAAGCTTATGAAAAATGTGAAAATACAAAGTCATTATTGATTATAGAAAATTCACTGTGTGATGCTCTACATACACTTAGAATTCAATCTTAAACTTTATTTGACTAAATTAAGGCAAAGTATGAAGATTGGTATAATAAATTCTAAGAAAAAGATGGCCAATATTAAATGTTTCTCAAAATGCTTCAAATTCGTATACATCATATGCCATTCTACTATCTGACACAAACTCCTATTTATGAATCTAAGCATCATCAAGATGTCCTCAAATATATGGATGAAATGCTCTTCATCTAACAGTCTCTTAGTCAGTATTAAGATCAAATCCCATTCATTTTTAAATTCTTAAAATTAAGAAACAAATAGTTAAAAACATTAGAAATCATTATCAATTATGTGAACTCTGATTACCCATATAATAAAAGTTTAATTATTGATGTGTTCTATCTTAAGGAAGTCAAGCTTTTAGATTAAGATTTAACTACATTCGATTATCTCTTATACCTTAGTACTTCAATTAAAGAATTGTAGGATACATTAATCTAAAAATCAAGATTTGTCTCGTCTATAACATTGCAAATATTAGATTTATCTAAATTGAATACGGAGGAAAAGATAATTGAAGTTAAAGAGATCAAGAAAGTGTAGAAGAAGGAACCTAAATAAAATCTGTTAGATAAATAAAAATAATATCTGAAGAACATTTCATAGAAAAATAAAACAGAAGAATAATTTATTTAGTCAAGACTTAATAAAGATGATGAAAAACTAAAAATTGAAAAAGAAAATAAGATAGAAAGACTAAAGGCCAAATTACTTAGGTAGACGATTGCTTAAAAATAAGAAGAGAAGAATTATGAATTTCTACTTAAAAAATATAGATATTAAGAAAACTAATCTAATTTGATTATATAGAAGGAGGAGAAAAAGAGAAGGAATTTTGACATCTTAGGACAAATGTTGTACTTAATTTTGGATGCTCGATTAAAATTATATAAAACACAATAAAAAGAAACATATGATTAAATAATAAATTTTTATGGTTAACATATGTATTAAAAAGGAATTCCCAAGAAATTTAAATTAAGTACAATTTAATAATTATACGAGAGCATTTATGAATTGTCAAAAGATTTTAGAGACCATTTTAATTAATATTTCCTAGATAAACAAGTAAAAAATTATCTCAACATTGTTTAACAACAAAAAAATTAGCAGGTTAATGAATAGAGCCAATTATTTTAAGAGGCAAAATAAGTAGATTTTATAAATTTTAGTTTAACAATTTCACTAAAATTACTGAATATCATATATCATCATAAAAGTTGTTACTCAATACAAAGATTTATAGATTTTGACATATTATAATTGCCAGACCTAGATTTCTATTCATTAAAACATTATTTGTAATGGATATAAAAAAATGCTGAGAACACCTTTGATTACTTATAAAAGAACAGCGATGGTCTATTAAGATTTGAGTGGATTCCTTTTCTAAATGGATAGGTGAAATGTAGTGAGAAGTAATAGGAGAAGCTATTTGAATTGATTAAGAAGATAAATCACTGTTACATCTTAGAATTTGAAGTGATTAGATATATCGTTAATTCATTGACAAGAGAATTGTTTCATGAAAACACTTTTAAATTTGATTTAAGATAATTGACTAAGGATTATATTGTATAATCAACAAAACAACAACTTCAAGATAAAATGAAGTATTTTCCAAAATTAAATCAAGAGTTGCTTATCTAATTAGAACCCTTCTTGTTGTATTTGGAATAGAAAGTACTTTGCAATTTAGAGGCCTATTATATCATTTCTATAATTTAGAAGGAGACAGTATAGAATTTAGAATTAGAGTAGATAATATAAAATAATGAATATTTTCGTGATTCAAATGATGTGTGGAAGTTTAAATATCAAGGAATGAGATATATTTTAGAGAAAAATGAATTTAAGAATAATAATCTAAGTGAAATGATAAATGAATAGATGAGGAGAAATAGTAGTATGAAAAGTAAGGGAAGTAATCAAGGCCAGTTTGGCAAAAGTTCTCTGTAGGATAAATATTTAGAATTAATACAATTGAATAATCTAAAAAATGAAAGAATTTAAGTGAAGAAACCATTGAGTATAATATTGGAAGTGGATTATAAGGAGGATTAGAAATTCTTAGTGAGATTAGTGAATGAAAGTAATTAGAGGGTTAGTTTGGAAATAAAGGAGGAGGTGGTTTCAGATGTTGTGGAGTTGATTTGTGAAAATGTTAAAGATAAGGGTAAGGGGAAATGGGTGATGAAAATTAATAATGAGAAGATAAATTTTAGTTAGATTGATATTTGGAGTTATGGAATTCCAAAATGGTTTAATTTAATTATTAATGGACAGAAAAGGGATATTAGAATGGACTAAAATATTCTATAATTAGAGAGATATTTAATGTTGAGATATAATAGTGAGAGTGAGAAGGAATTATTTAATATTTATTAATATAAATGAAGATTTGATTTATTAATTAATTATATTTTTGTATTGGTTTTAATTTTAACATTAATTCTTGAGATTTGACTTAAAGCATAGCAGTATTTTTGAAATAATATCTCTTAAAATTCATCATTATAATATTATAATTAAATGGAATTTGTAATGTGCATGCAGTTAATGAGTAATATGTTTATAACGGGACTGGGTGTATACATCTGCTATATTTGTAATTTTGATTATAATGATTAAAGAGAATTAGAATTTGATGGCTGTGGGAGTATTATTTGGATTGTCAATTATACTTGAATTAATGGCTAATTCGAGATTGGAGAACAACAAACTCAAAGTAATTTTGATCTACTTAAGTTTTTGTTCCAAATATTTGGGTATTTGGTTTTTGAGTAATTCTCCTGGAGCGAGCTTCTTGCTTTAAGGAATAATGTGTTAATCCTTGAAATCTAAGAACATTTTTGATCATATTTTTTTATATGAGATGATAGGATTGTTTGGTTTGATATTGAATATATTCAATAAAGAGAGAATTGTTACTTGGAATGCAGCAATATTAGCAATAGAATTAGTGATAGCCCTTATATTTTTGATCCAACTTTTTAAGCTCATAATACAACATTACCCTAATAAAAGGTAACACAATTTAATCCAGAATTAAGTCATTATCGATTTGACTGCTAATCACAAGATGAAATAAGATTACGAGGTAACCCCAAGTTAATCTCCAAGATCAAACTTTTAGAAATTATTCTAATCTAATAATTTCATTATTATCAGGGAGAATTTAGAAATTCTGGAGAGTAATTTTGATCTCAAAATTCATTGGCTCAATGAATCTTCTCCCTAACACATTATTTTAGTTGAATAATTTATGTAATTGCAAGTAATTTCTTCTAATTTTGGGGAGAGTGAATAAATATACAGTTTTAAAGAATTTATGTTGAAATTCAAAGACAACCTAAAGACTCAATTTATATCTTTGCTTATTTCAAAGAGTCAAGTTTTTGATTTAGAAAATGTTACATTAAACTTAATGCCAATTCAACACCATGACAGTCTTAACTTTATTGTTTCATTTTCATATTTAAGTCAGTTGTTAGTGAAGAGACTGCAAGATGATAGTAGCAATCAAGTATTGATGGATATCAGTCGCTCTCTATCTCATGAATTAGGCACCAATCTAAATAGTATAATGGTTTTCTCTAGTTTGGCTTTGCATGATGATGAGGTACCTGAGTCTGTGAAGTAAAAGTACATTTCGCCACTAAAAATAAATAGTGAGCAACTCGGTTTGATTGTAAGTAATATAAGAGATTACAATTTAATAAGCTTGTAATAATTCAATCTAAAATTAGAGGAATTCAACATCAATGATGAAGTAAAGTACATTGAGACTCTAATGATTGATATCATTAAAAATAAGTAGATTAATTTGGTACATGATTATTAATTGATCAACTCTATTATTATCAATGATCGACAAAGATTTCGATAAGTATATTTTCAATTTCTACATAATGCTGTTAAATACACTACTACAGGTACAATTCGCATCAAAATTGAAACTAATAGATCATAATGTTAAATATCTATCTAAGATTCTGGACCTGGATTAGTATTATAATATTTATTATTCAATATAGTCTGAAGAAGAGATGGCCAGAATGTAGAATATTCTTATTGGAAAGAATCAATTTGTAAAGATTTCACCTCATTCAGTTGGAAGTGGTTTGGGAATTGGCATTTCAAATAGTATCATTAAACGATTGAATGGTCGAAATATTCCAATTATTTGTGATTAAAAGGAAAAGGGAACTATCTTTACATTCTTAATCAAGAACCATCTGCATGAAATTAGCAATTACGATAATAAGAAATCTATAGAACTCAGATCAAGTAGATCCATCATTAGACTTATTTCTGGTAATTCATATATTGAGTCACCTTTCAGTAATTCAGTTAAATTCATACTCCCATCTATCAGTCAAAGCAGTGATTCAGTAAATTATAAGAATTCAATTGTTGAAGATGACAATGTTCTCAGATAACCTAAATTACTCTTAGTCTAGGATCAAGGATCGGTACCTATCAGTGAGGACGAATTCTTAATTATTTAAGAGCCACGTAATCTCAGTCCAAAATTTCAATATGAAATTATTGAATGCTCCATTCAAAGTAATTGTTGTGCAAGAGTTTTGATTGTTGATGATGAGTATTTTAACATTTTAAGTCTCCAACTCTTAATGCAAAAACATAGAGCTAAATGTGACTATGCATATAATGGAAAAGAAGCACTTAATAAGATTATGTAAAAATTGGAAATAGGGTGTCATATTTGTTAGAACAAATATTACAGTCTCATTTTTATTGACATCAACATGCCCATTTTGAATGGATATCAGACAGTCAAGGAAATCAAGAGTTTAATCAAGAACAAAACCATCAGAAGAGCATGGTGTGTTGCCAATACAGGATTTACAGATCTTGATACTAAGATATAGTCATTCAATTCTGGAATGGACTACTTTCTCACTAAACCATTAGATGCAAAAAACCTTCATGAATTAATTGTTTAAATGTTTCCTCTACATAAATGAATTACTCTTAATTATTATTTAATTAATGTTCATAACAGAGATTAGAGATTTATATACTAACTCTGAAATTATATAACTCTTGTATTGGAATTTGGTTTTGGTAAAATAGATTAAAATATTGGAAAAATTGTACAAATATATAAAAAAAGTTAACTAAATANGACTCTAATGATTGATATCATTAAAAATAAGTAGATTAATTTGGTACATGATTATTAATTGATCAACTCTATTATTATCAATGATCGACAAAGATTTCGATAAGTATATTTTCAATTTCTACATAATGCTGTTAAATACACTACTACAGGTACAATTCGCATCAAAATTGAAACTAATAGATCATAATGTTAAATATCTATCTAAGATTCTGGACCTGGATTAGTATTATAATATTTATTATTCAATATAGTCTGAAGAAGAGATGGCCAGAATGTAGAATATTCTTATTGGAAAGAATCAATTTGTAAAGATTTCACCTCATTCAGTTGGAAGTGGTTTGGGAATTGGCATTTCAAATAGTATCATTAAACGATTGAATGGTCGAAATATTCCAATTATTTGTGATTAAAAGGAAAAGGGAACTATCTTTACATTCTTAATCAAGAACCATCTGCATGAAATTAGCAATTACGATAATAAGAAATCTATAGAACTCAGATCAAGTAGATCCATCATTAGACTTATTTCTGGTAATTCATATATTGAGTCACCTTTCAGTAATTCAGTTAAATTCATACTCCCATCTATCAGTCAAAGCAGTGATTCAGTAAATTATAAGAATTCAATTGTTGAAGATGACAATGTTCTCAGATAACCTAAATTACTCTTAGTCTAGGATCAAGGATCGGTACCTATCAGTGAGGACGAATTCTTAATTATTTAAGAGCCACGTAATCTCAGTCCAAAATTTCAATATGAAATTATTGAATGCTCCATTCAAAGTAATTGTTGTGCAAGAGTTTTGATTGTTGATGATGAGTATTTTAACATTTTAAGTCTCCAACTCTTAATGCAAAAACATAGAGCTAAATGTGACTATGCATATAATGGAAAAGAAGCACTTAATAAGATTATGTAAAAATTGGAAATAGGGTGTCATATTTGTTAGAACAAATATTACAGTCTCATTTTTATTGACATCAACATGCCCATTTTGAATGGATATCAGACAGTCAAGGAAATCAAGAGTTTAATCAAGAACAAAACCATCAGAAGAGCATGGTGTGTTGCCAATACAGGATTTACAGATCTTGATACTAAGATATAGTCATTCAATTCTGGAATGGACTACTTTCTCACTAAACCATTAGATGCAAAAAACCTTCATGAATTAATTGTTTAAATGTTTCCTCTACATAAATGAATTACTCTTAATTATTATTTAATTAATGTTCATAACAGAGATTAGAGATTTATATACTAACTCTGAAATTATATAACTCTTGTATTGGAATTTGGTTTTGGTAAAATAGATTAAAATATTGGAAAAATTGTACAAATATATAAAAAAAGTTAACTAAATACAGATATTTTCCATATAATATTTAACATCTTTTTTGAGATATCTACTCTACCAACGCTGTATATCAATATATGGAATCTTAATATATTGTACTTATACTCTTAGCATAAGAACATTATAGGACAAATACTTTGATTAAGTATGTTCAAAATGATATTAGAATTGCTTTAATTATTTTTTTAAAGTGAAGAGATGGTTCGAAAAGTTCTAAAACACCCTTCAATAATTATTATTCTGTTTGCTACTGTATCAAATTCATAAAAAATGTTTGCAATACGGTTAAAGTAGTCACTCATTCTATTGCTATGTAAATGCAATCAAATGTTGATAGTTATGGCTCAATCAAATAAGTTTAAACAATTCTGAAATCAATGGATAGCTAACAACATTATTATCATTGATGGAAATGTGTAACAAATATATTGCCGGTTTCATTAATTAAAAATTTAAGACAAAAATCAATACTTTACATTCTTCAATATCATGATGATAATCAAAATAAAATACCCAATGAGAGAAAGATACATTAAATTGTGCATTTGTGGAATTCCTTTTTTGAAAATAGAAACTAATTTTTTCCATTAAGACTGAGGGAATTTTATAAAACAATGTGGTTACCCTTAAATTTAGTTGCATTAAACGCCAAGTCTCCTAGCAGGATCAAAAGCTTATATGCTTGATTTAAAATAGTTATCAAATTAGTGGAAAGCAAAGACACTTTCACTTGTACTTTCTTTTATTTAATAGTTTAGCAGGACAATGAAAATCCTTTACAGAATTCAGAAAAAACTATTTGAGAGATGAGCATTTAGAAGCTCAAGATTTAGTGTATATTGTGACATTGAATGACATACTTAGAGATGTGAAACGAATATCATTTAATACATCAAAAAAATATAGAAATAGCAGTCCTCTTATATAATAAAGTGATTTAATTTCTGAAGCAAACAAAAGACGAAGAGAAAATATTGTAAAATAAGGAAATCAGTGGAATAAAATTAACACATGAATAATTAAGAAATTAATTAAACAAGTAAATTAAATTCCAGTTTTTTGAAAGAATCAATCACAAGGGCTGCAGTTCAATGCAATTAATTTCGATTAAATAACAAAGGAACCTTAATAAAGGAAATTATATGCAATGATTTTGTGTATCTTTTATAGCAATCATGTTCAATAGAGAAGAAATTTTTTGAATATGGAATTGACAGGGTAATTGAATTTATTCATAATTTCCATTTGTGTGTTTTTCATCTGAAATGATTATAGTAAGTTCTTATTTATTGACTGTGATTGCGATATTATAGAAGATTGGAGGAGAGTATGGGTTCATTCATATTATCTAAAATCATAAGGAACATGGATTCTAAATAGACTTCATTTTTTAAGAAAGTGAATAATTTTCAATCTCTGGGTAGTTGAGACATTAGATGAGTAAGCCAGAAAAGAAAGAGATAATAGCAAATAAACTTAGAGAAATAGCATTAACATAGGGTATCTATATGACAACCAATCCTAGATAAAGGATGGACAAAATGGAAATATTAATCAGCGATAAGGGAGACCTGATACACATTGATTTTGAATTCCTCTTTGATATTAGTCCAGGGGGGAATCTTAATATTGAGTCTGCTACTTTCAAATTGACCAAAGAGATGAGTCAAATTATGGGTAAAGAGGTATCCAATAGATATGATCATATTAGGCGTTTAATTATTAAGTGGATCTAATAGTGAGAGCGATCTTAGCAATGCGACACTACTATGAGCATTTCTATTTTTTGATAACTTTGATGACGAATTCTTGTCTGGGATACTTCATGAAGAATTTGATGAAGAATTTCATAGAGAGATTTCATGTATAAGTAAATTTACATAATTTTAGCTAAAGAAAATGATCTGGCTTGCTGCGAAGCATATGTAGAGTATTATTGAGGATGGGAATGATAAAATAACTACGAGGTGGTATGATAACATTTAGTACTATTAAAATGGAATATCAAAATAATATTAAATAATACGTATGGAATATCTAGATGATATTAAATAATACATAGTGTAAATATAATTTATATTATTTTAAAACGGATCTATGATCACAGGAAATTTGTTTGAACTTGTATGGGGAAGTGTTGAGTTGGCCCTGAATATTCTATTGTACTCCAGATTGAAATTGCCACAAAAAGTGATGTCTCACGGTCTATTACGTATGTCACTCGTTCGTGAATGCAATTACAATTTTGGGGTTGATACTAAGGTACATTAGGATGTACATTAGTTCTTAGATTGTCAGATATGTAGTTGCCTCCTTACTCACTCCGAATATTGTTACACACTTTCGTAAATCTAATAATTCTTATCACTTCATATATGGTTGCTTCATATGCTTTGATGCCTTGATTGTTGCCGATATCCTTCCCATGACAGATACGATATATGCTATGATCCTCATTTTACGTTTGTTTCATCTTTTAGAAACCATACTCAAATTTATCAAAGCCGCCCTGTCAATAAAGATTCATGTGAAAAAGGCAGTAAAAGTTTAATACAATTTGTTGAATTAACTCAATACAACAAATTCAAATATTATAATTTCTAAGAAATTAGAAGTATCTCCTCCAAATTCTTCACAAACTACGAATGCGAGTTCACTCAATGAATTTGAGAGTACCCAAAAGAGTAAAAGAAGACCTCAATTTCCTAATGTCTATTAGATCAAAGTACAGACATCAAAAACAACGAAAATCAATATATTAATTGATGAACCTGATAAATTTGATCTACTATTTGATTAATAATTAAACATGGATAGAAGGATGAATCTTTAAATCAAGCTGAATTTATGTGCTCAAGTTTATTAGAATTTGAAAAAACATTATCCCTGTGAATGGCTGCTTAGTCAGATTGCTCAATATCAAGCCGAGTTATTACTATTAGATTAATGATTTTCTTTAACCCGTTTTTAATTTTAATTAATGAAATTGCTCGTGTTGCTATGCATAGTGACTCTCACATTTGCAGATTCAAGGATTGACTTTTTCAACAAGCTCAGTCAATCTGACTTCGGAAGAACAATCTTATAAACAATTCAAGTCCAAGAGTACATATTTATATTCAATCCTCAGAAACAATGTTGAACGTGTACTCTAGTTTATTAGACAATTGCAGGTGGACATCAATGCAGCCTAAACTGAACACACAAATTACTTACAAAACAGAAATGGACAAATCACATAATACATTAATGAAGCTGATTAAGCTCTTGCTAAAGCTAAATAACAAAAGGCACAAGATGAGGCATAGCGTATACTTATTATTTCTATTTCCTAATAGTTCCTTTGAAAGAGGAGGAACTTAATGATAAGAGAGCTCAAGGTGAAACCAAATTTGCTGAAAAATAACGAAATTTAGATCGCATTGCTGCACTCACAGCTGAAAGAGAAGAGAGCAAGAAAGCCTATGATTAAAGAAGAACTGAAATCGTTGGTTTATTGGCTGCATTGAATTAAGGCAAGAAACTGATCCAATAAATTAAAACTGGGTCTGTCTTCACACAATAAGAGATCTTTGCAGATATCGAACATCATCACAAGAAATTCGTTCAGAGATTCCCAGACAGAAGAGGCTTCAATTCCTTGGTTTCCTTGTCCCTTGCTATGGCTCAGGATTCCACCTTAAAATCTGATCAATCTGCATTAGAAAGAGTAGTCTAAGTCATTGAAGATTTGGCTGATAGTCTATTTTAACTGTACAAATTATATTCGACATCATTTTTAGATAGAAACAAGAAATGGAAGCTGATGATGCCAGAGAAGCAGCATTTTAATAAGCAATGTATTAATTCATTTTTATTACTATAACAGTGCTCGACTAGAAATAGCTAATCAATCATTGGAAGGTGCTGTTGCCTATTTACATGCTCAGATCTTGAGATTAGAACAATCGCTCTTGGAATTGTAAAATGACATCGCCACTCAAGCTTAAGTATATATTTTAATATATTTTAATCAGATGGTCGTCAACAAACAAAATGAAAAAACAGACTGGTTGAACATTCAAAGAGATGAGACTAAATCATATGGAAAGCAAACTGAAAACAGGTATGCCATTTTTTTAATTTCATAGAAAATCACAATTAGATTTACTTGGAGAAACTGAAAATGTATTTTCAAATGGCCCCTTGACTCCTGAATAGCAATCGTTCTTATAACATTTAAAGTGATTAATATAAATGAAAATTAATAACAATATTAACAACGATACGTAAAATTCCTAGGCATAAAAGAATTTTAATCAATTTATCAAACAGGAGGCAGACGATTTCAAGAGACAGTTCAAATTTATAGATAAAGAGAAACTTTTTATGGAACTTCAAAATTACAAAATTGAAAACAACAATCTAAAAGAGGAGAATACCAAGTTACGCACACGCATCCAACAGACCGAGGTAAGCCAACCACATATGCTCAGAAAGAGCTCCTCAATTATGAGAGACTCTGCGAGAACATGACCGAGTAGACACCCAACAAGAAGAAGGCCAATGAGTTACTACTTATACAACTCAAAAACTAGAATAAGGACCTCCAAAAGCAACTTAAAGAACGTACTGTCTAACTTGATCACCTTAAAAAAAATACCAAAGTCACCAAATTTCAAGAGCTAGAGTGTGATCGTAAAGCCTATTTTGATGAAACTGTACGTATGCGTAAACTCATAGAAGAGAGTTAAACATAATTCTAATCCATGCAAAGGTACATATATCTATGTCTTAATTTGATAGTAAATACAATCAAAGTCTATAACTTGAAAATGAAGTTCAAAAACTACTCAAAACTAATGAGAATCTAATTGCTGAAAATAAAGCACTTAATTAAAAAAGCCAACAATCAGATGAGATGATGCGTTAGTTACAAGTATTTTGTCGATACATTTATTTAGCAATTGTACAAAGTAAACCAATAGAAACAGTAAGCTTTGGACAAAAGTATCCAAGATCTAAAAAATCAGATTAAAAAGCTATAGACAGACAAAGCCAATCTTAAATAAACTATTAAATAGATGCAGGATGCATAATACTAAAATTTCCAATAAGCAAAACCAAAAAAGGAACCTACTCCTCGACAAGCTTAATTGCCAAATTTAATTTTGGAGGAATTACGATTCAAATTGATATATAGAGGCATTACAGTTGAATAATTTGCTGAGATGTTAGAAGGATTGAAACAATAAGCACGAGAATAAAATGTGACTGTCAAAGTAGATGATTTAAGACATATCTTTGCTCAGTAAATAAATTAGATTCATAAATAGAGAGCCATTTTCATATACCGACGAGAACAAAGTACAATCCATATTAAATTCACTTAGTGGTCATGGCAATTAATTAGTTGAGAATTTGAAATCATTGGTTGGAAATTTTAAGACTTTTATGAATTTTCCAACGTTTGATTTCGAATAGGCTTAAACCAAAATGAAGGTTCAACTCAAATAAAATGAGAAAAAGATTTAAGATTTTTGGAACAAACAAAAAATAAAGGGAGATGTAGTTACCAAATCAGAAGTTCGAAAAATGTTAAACTCTCTTTCATTAAATTGGTAGGAATCTGAAAATCTATTCTATTTTCTATAACTATTCGAGAAATCAGGAGAAGATCTATCGCATATTCCATTGATAGATACTTACGACCCGTTTACTTTAGAAGATCCATCATAACAATAGTAAATGACAGGACATCAGAATATGAGAATTTCGGAAGAATCAGATGAGGAATTGTTCGATAAACAGAGTCAAGATTATTCACTTGATGAGAATGCAGCTAAGAAAAAGAAAGAATAAGAATAAGATCAAGGGGCAGGCTTACAGGTAGCTGATCAAGAAAGGTAAAAACAAAATGAGGATGAATCATTTGGATGTGAGGGAAATGATGTTGGGAAAAATGAACAGGATGAATATGAATATGATCATTAAGAGGAAGAATAGGAGGGACACTAAGAGAACGAATATGAAGATTAAAATTAAGAAAATGAGAATAATAATCATGAAGAATAATAAAATGAATATGAAAATGAAGAATTTGATTGATTTATTTAAAATAATAAAGAGTACGCATTTATATTTAATTACGCATTCTCAATTAATTAAATTATTATTACAATTAATGAAGTGCGCACTTCATATTAATAAATACGCATTTGTTTATAATTTGTAAAATTTATGCGCACTCTAATGTTTACAAATACTAATTTGTATATATTTGATTAATAATTAATTCAATCAATGAAAGTTCAATCAACAACAACATAATAAGATGATCACTTCTTAATTTCAGACTATGATTACAAGTCAACCAACATTGAAAAGAATGGAGACAAGTACATAGCAAAACCATAAATAACAAATTTCAAATTTAAGACTGACACTAGAATTCCAAAATTAGGTGTTATGCTTGTAGGTTGGGGTGGTAACAATGGAACAACTCTTACTGGAGGTATATTGGCCAACAAATTCAATATTACTTGGAATAGCAGAAGAGGAACTCATTAACCAAATTTCTATGGATCTCTTACATAAAGCAGTGTCATTAAGATTGGTACCTGCAACACTGAAGAAGTATTTGTTCCATTCAAAGATGTCTTACCAATGGTTAACCCATGCGATATAGTATTCGGTGGATGGGATATCAGTTCATTGAATTTGGCAGATGCAATGAGCAGAGCATAAGTTGTTGACTATGATTTGCAATAAAAATTAAGACCATATTTAGAGAAATTGGTTCCATTACCTTCAATCTATTATCCAGATTTCATTGCAGCTAACTAAGGTGATAGAGCAGACAATGTCATTCCAGGAAATAACAAATTAGAACATCTTAATATCATCAGAAAGAACATTGCAGATTTCAAATAATAAAATAATTTGGATAAAGTAATCCTCTTATGGACAGCAAATACAGAAAGATTCTGTGTTGAAGATCCAAATGTTCATGGAACAGCTGAGAAATTGATGAAATCCATTGAATCAAGTCACCCAGAAATTAGTGCATCAACAATCTTTGCATGTGCTGCTTGTTTAGAAGGATGTTCATTCATTAATGGATCACCATAAAATACTATTGTTCCAGGAGTTATTGAATTAGCAGAAAAAGCTGGTGTCTTTGTTGCTGGAGATGATTTCAAGACTGGATAAACTAAATTTAAGACTTGTTTAGTTGAATACTTGGTTGGTGCAGGTATTAAACCAAAAGCCATCATCTCATATAACCATTTAGGAAACAATGATGGAAAGAACCTTTCATAAGAATCATGTTTCAAAAGCAAGGAAAGAAGTAAGAAAACTTGTGTAGATGATATTTTGGAATCCAATAAGGTTTTGTATCCCACAGAGGAGGAATTGAACATTGATCACACTATTGTTATCAAGTATTGTCCAGAAACTGGAGACAGCAAGAAAGCTATGGATGAATACATTGCTGAAATCTTCTTGGGAGGAAGATAAACCTTTGCAGTTTATAATGTTTGTGAAGATTCCTTATTGGCTGCTCCATTGATTATGGATCTCTTGTTGTTATGCGAATTATTCGAAAGAATCCAATTCTCTAAGGATTCCACTGAATTCCAAAGATTTGATACAGTGTTGTCTTGGTTGAGTTACTTGATGAAGGCACCAAAATCTGAGAGTGGAATTACTACCATCAATGCTTTATCAAGATAGAGAGCTATGCTTGAGAATCTCGTAAAAGTATGTGCAGGATTGACAGTTGATGACAATCTTAGATTGGAAGTTAGATATGGTGCTAGTAGATTTTAATAATGATTTTTATTTAAGTTTTGTTTATATCAATTAATAGAATATAATAATAATACTTATCATTGATATGTAATCATACATCAATTTAAGATTAATATATATCAATTCAACATTAATTTATAATAACGCATTTATTAATTTCTTTTAACAATGAAAATGCTAGATGATATTAAGTAGTAGGTAGAGAAGGAAATGAAAAAATTTGATCCAAGATTGGCAGAAAAGAAATATTTGAAAATAACTCAATCTATTAAGGATTTATTTCTCAAGACAGTTGTATGTGATAAATAAAGCATTAAAGCTGTATTAAAAAATTTGAAATAAGGCAGCCAATTCTATCGGTATCAATTATTCTTCAGCCAAAGCCATATGGGCTGAATTCAGATCAAAATAAAAAATGAAGAAAAACAAGAAAACTAATGAGCAACAAAAAAACGAGTCCTCTGAAGTTATGAAAAGATGCCAATACAAAATTCTAAATGGTTGCAATAAGATCAGGAAATTATTCCTGGAAATCAAATCGTCTGTTGCATAGCGTTTAAGTTCTACCTACTTGATTTCCTTGGAGTAGCATATATGAATATTATTTAATTAAAATGAGTGGAGGCACACGAGTTAACTAGTATTTCCAAAGCAATAAACGCAGAGGAGACAGTGCTCTCAAAGCTGTAAGATTAGAAACTAATATTCGAACTCCAAAAATGCGGATGCAAAACTCAGCTGATGATTAATTTAATATACACAACTTATAGAACGTCCCTCTATAATTAAGGTATAGTCCTTCCTTAAGAATGAAAAACCATCGAAATTCACTCAAACCTGATGAAAACCCAAAATACACTGAAACATACGCTAAAACATCAAGAAAAGCAATGTTAGATTCGTTCTACCATCAACTAGGAACTGACGAAGACATCACACTTATCAAAAACACAAAATAAAGAAGACTTTAGCCCATCATATCGACTCCCTAGTCTAAAACCACTACTTTTGGAAGATAGAACATAATGATAGAAAATGAAAATATTGAGGAAGTTCATTTTCACTTTGTACATATGCAACAACAATATAAATCTTGGATATAAAATTTGGAAAAGAAGAATTACAGCAAATGATCCTATAAATCCTCTTGTTTTGTACTCTTACTTAAATTAATTTTATATTTATATAATATAAATTTGGAAGCTATGAAATTATCAAACAGATCTTCATCATTAACTATTTCCTAAAGCGATATCTACTCTAGATTCCTTGATATGCATGAAGAATTGACCAAATCTTCATAAAATATTAACAATCTCATCGATCACAGTCTTAGACAATTAGCAAGCACAAGAGAAGCATCCAGAATTAGTTTATCTGTCAATTCTCAAAATCAATAAGAACTCAACTCTTTTGAAGAAGTGGTAATAGAAGAAGATTTGAACTCAGAAACATAACCTTAAAAAAATGAAAGAGAACTAATTTTAGAAAATAAAATTAAGATCTATGAATCTTCACTTATTAAATTTGAACAGGAAAACTAGTAAAAAGATAGAGAAATTCTTAGACTCAAGAAATTGTAAGAAATTCTATCAATAACAATAGATTGAATGATTAAAATCTATAACAAACTATGTAGAATCCAGACGAAATTTATTAAGAATAAAGTGTTATTAGATAGAAACTATAAATTCTTGATGGCTAATTAGATTATCTTTAGGAAAAAAAGGAAGTTCGCAAGAGAATGAAAGAATGGGAAGTGATTATCAAAGGACAATCAGAAATTATAAATTCGCAGAAACTCGAAATTAGTCGATTAAAACACATAAATTCATACTTACACAATTCTATTGAAAAATTATAAACATTATGATAATATTATTATGTATATAAACTGAATTCATATTCTACATACATAGGAACTGCTCTATGTAATATACCTTACCCACCTATGTGGATTAGTAGTATTACCTCGCTCCTCTATTCTCAAGTATTTGATTTGCAATCTGCTCACATTAAACATTGGTATTTCAAAATTCATAGCAATAGGACCAATCTCCTTTCTTGCTGTATGAGCAGTCTGTGTTGCTTATAGAGTTAATTTTATCTAAAATAGGACACAAGTGAAATACTTTTAGTGATCTCTCTTAACCACCACTCAGTTTCTTGATCTACCATTCCACAATCTTTTTATTTGAATCATATTCAGCAGTCTCCTGTTAAGCATTCTTCACTAATTCTGGATAGGCATTTGCAGTTTATTTAGGGATTGGAATACGAACATTTGCATATGATGCTATAATTTTGGCATCAAAGCAGGCTTTCAATTTAATAGTGACTTCTATTTTAGATGATGAAACCTCTTCAATAATGGGAAACAATCTAAAAGGAGCAGCATAATCTCCACTTATACGATAATTCATAACAACGAATTAACCATCAGGTGGTTGTATACGTAAGGTTTTATTCATGTCTAATTCATTAGCATTGACACATTCATGAAAATTGCAATCATCCTGTATGTTATTATTATTATTATACCAAGATGACTCCTGCTGAATATTGTCCTTATTGTCTACCTATTTGCAAATCGTCATTCAATGCTAATTTTAGAGGTGGATTGCCTTATAAAAATGATGTCATTTGAATCTAATATATTATTGAATATATTACACATCCTTCAATACTCTAATTGATAACATATGCACTAGAGTTAAATAGAACATTGAGTTTTTCATAAATATCAACAAAAATTTCATTTGCTTAATTTTTGTTTAATACCGATCGTTAGACTGCTTGACTTCCAATAGTATTTGGAACAAAAATGTTGAATGTTTGAATCTTTGGTCTGAGGGAATTCATGACTGAATCAGGTTAAGGCTGGATTGGGTCATTTACAATGAGTGGTTTGATTTATTCTGTAGCCATGAGTTGAGGGTAGCCAAAATCAAATGATTCATCTAGAATCTATGAAAAATAGAATATTGTTGACTTCATAGATTAGGATGAAATTCTTTCTAAGGACTTCCTCATTGATGACTCCACAGAAGTCTTTGATCTCTTTGGCTAATCGATCCAATAATTCTAAGGACATAGCTGGTTGCAAGTTGAATCTAGATGTGCCCACAATATACAATCCTAGATGTAAGCATGAGAATAGAACCTCCTCTTTTGATGTGAACAAATTGGATGCAATCAACCGTAAATAGAGGATTGGCATCCCCTGAGTAGGTCTTGGCTTATCTGAAGAATGTTTCAGGTGTTGATTTGGGTAAGTCAGATCTGAAATCTCGATTGATGATGGTGTCACCTCTGGGAGATAGAATGAATATTTATGAAAACATTATTATATATATATATATTTTTATTTATAATGTATCAAGCTCTTGCAAGGAACTCCTACACATTATGGACTTCGTTGATCTTCTTTAAAGCATTCTTAAATGCGCTTCTATCAACCGATCTGTCATCAAACACATATTTGATTCTCTTTTCTCTATAAAGAATAGGTAGCCATAAGTTTGTGTATCCGAAGAGTACTCCCTCTAGAACGAAGCGTTTCAATTGGGAGTCTTAAGCAGTTAACACAGCCCATGTATTGCTCAATTTGAATGAGGTTTTGACTTGATCCAAATAATCGAATTACACAGTATCCCATCCATGATAGTCAATTGGCTGCAATTCCCATACAAATTCCTTATTCTTAATGCCAGCAAAAAATTGTGACCAAAATCCAGCATCTTTATAGTCTTACAAACTAACTACTACATCGACAATGTTCTAAGTGGATAAATACTTAGCATTTTTTTATAGGTTTGACAATAAGATGTCTTTATTCACATCCTTTAATAAGGCATTATTTGAAAGCACAAACAATAATTGAGCACTTGTCTCTACTTCTTATCCCCAGTTGTTATTTTGAATGAAAGTAATTGCCTCCCTAGCACATTGAGCTGAAAATTGATAATTCAATTATGCTTCATCCTTCAAAGCATCCACTGCATTAAATTGTTAAGCTTCATAAGTCAAAGCACTTGCTATCTAAGCCAAAGAGAATGCTGTTAATTCATGTCCTAATTTCATAAATGCATTCTGATACCTTATGGTAATCCAGTATATCGATAAGAAGGATTATAAAATAGGTTTGCAGAATTAAAGGTCCATCTTGCTGGGTTTATTATTAGTTTGTTAGCACTTGCAAAAACTGAGGCACTCACAAACTTAGAATAATTTTTAAATAATCCTGACATTTATATTTATTAAATTTGATATCGTGTATTTTGATAAAAACAAGAAGCATCTAATTGGGATACTATTGATTATCCAATTGAATAGGTCTGTTTCTGTATAATATAAGAATTAAATGAATCATTAATCATCCATTCCATCAAATAGGTCTTCTTCTTCATCTGAATCCTAAACAGGTACCATCCCTAGTTTCTGAGTTGGTTTTTGCTGCATTTACACATTTTTCATTGCATCCTGCATCTTCATATCTTTAATTGCTTTATCCTTATTAGGTAATTATTGCTATTGTTAATATCTAGCTAAATTGGGATCATCGTCTTCATATAATTCCTTACCTTCAAACCACTTCTTTTTGAATGCATTAATGTCTTTGTCTTATTATTTCTCAATAATTTCAGCCAACGGATCTAATTATACATCAATAAATTGATATACCTGTTGCAAATTCAGCATTTCTATTTACTTTAAATGGGTCTACATCATAGGGTGAAACATAAAATTTAACATTCTTGTACACATCCTAATAGTATTCATGATATTATTGAAGAGTAATCAACTTTGCCTTTGTATAAAAGACATCAACAATTTAATCCCAAGTCTTGCAAGCCAGGATATCTTTTCTTATACAAAAGCACATAATTCCCATATTGATAAAGATTTCTAATTTATTCTTGACTACTTTCATAATCATTTAATCGATATTAAACAATGTTACGTCTAAGGGTAAAAATGCAAATCCAAGAGAATGTACAAATCTCTTTATTATTATGACTAACATTTATCTTTAAGTTGGACTCTTTAGGTTAAGGACACTCTAAAACTTTAAGGCTAATTCTTCATCTAAAACATTAACACTATTCATAAATAAATCAGTCATTTCTGATTCATACTTTTCATCATGTCTAACAATCAAATCGACCAATGGATCAAAGAATTGTACTATCAATTATAATGAGTAAAAATATCCAATCAATTCAGTTGGTATTTTAAGTAGATGCTTACTCGAACCAAAAACAAAGACAAGTGGAATACATATCAAGTATAAATAATCAGTAAGAATTCTATCTTATTTTAATTCGTAGTAACTCAGAATGGTTTTCATTGCAAAAATCATATTGCCATCGAATTGATCAGGCTTAGTCATTTATTTCACTATCTGTTCTGTGTCCTTGATAATTTAAACATCAAATCTTGACATTGTTAACATTCTTGCCTTCCCTAATAGACGACTATAATCATCGCTGATTTATTTATTTTCTAAACAAAATTTCCACACTAACTATCTAACATCAGGTGGCAACAGTTTCTTTTAAAATAAATCAAAAATGTCTTTATTCCCCTTATTCTTATTTAACAATAGTTGTAGTAAGTTCAATGTCAGCCCCCATTTGGATTCTCTCTTTATATATTATATATTATATACTGTGTTTCTCCTCATATCTTCTAATTTATATGTTATAATCTTTCGAACTTTATCCTTTAACTCTATTGCCTCTTCTTAATGATCATAAATTCGTGAAATCTCTTTAATAAGTATCGATATATTACATCTCGATAAATTTATATCTTCTTTTCATTTGGCAAATTATTCAAATAATCATTTCTAATATATGAGATCAAAATAATACTCCATAGTTAAACAAAATTTAGATGTTGACAATTTGTACTTCTGAATTATGGATTTATATTCATGAGTTTGTTTGACACTTGAATCTACTTCATCTAGAAATTTCAGCATAACATCTAAATCAAATTTAGTAGGATTGGGTAATTCCTTTTGATCCTACTGATATTTGCTCTCAAATTCATAAGGCTATTAAGCTTAAAAATTGCTTTGGTTTAATCGTTCCACTGCACTTTTAGCTAATGATTAATTATTCATTTAATATATTATTGCAGATGTAATGTGAATTTCTTTATTATTAAATAAACTAGATTGTAATCATTATTAGATATCTAAACAATTTACACATTATTATCATTAAAAAATAGAAATCTCACTAAGATCTACATTAAGCCTAATTTCGTTGATAAAATTGAAATCATTATTAGAGTTTTATAATAGTATTTCCAATCAATTTAATGTGTGCACTGATTTATAAACTATAAGTTTGACATAAATTGTAATCTACTATAACAATATTGATTAGGATTATTAAATCTTGAAATAGAATAATATCATTTCAATATTGTAATAAGAATTTTACATTTAATTCTTATATGCAGGAGTGTTTACAAGGGTATTTTAAATAACAAGTAGGAAATGGATATGAAAAAAGCGATTAAGAAAAGAATAGAAATTTAACGTAATATATATAAATTTATATAAGTAAAATAAATGAATAAGCAAAGTTTATAAGAATTCAAAGTTAACTTCTGCTAGAATACTAAATGTTAAGTAAGATAAGATCATTTTATGCCATTATAACAAATAATATAATGTCAATATTATCATAATAATAGTGATAAAAGAAGAAACAGTAATAATTATAAGCCAATATACATATGTGATTAGAATAATGAAGGGAATGACTTTTGCAACAATATTATTGAATATCTGTATCATCCTAGGATTTATGGCACTCTGCCATGCAAATTTGAAAAGTAAAAATAAAAATAATAAATAACATCAGATCTTAGAATTGCAATGTACAACATTGTCCATTTAAGCATGATGAAAATCAAATAAAATAAGCATTTCAATACAAGATATTCACAAAATTAAATTAGATCTTAGAGAGCAAATCAAAGGAGAATGATGTATGATATATATTAAAATATTTAGTTATTATTTAATTCTAAAAAATACATTCAACGCATAGAGATCAATTAATTTGAAGATTTGAAGCATGAGTTTAAACAATTTAAGGAGATTCGCATGGATTTGATCATGAATTACATTTGCGCTTTTTTGAACTCTTAAGGTGGAATCTTATATATTGGAATCACAGACAAAGGGATAGTTTAAGGCATTAAAATGACTAGAAAATAGAAGGATGACTTCTAAATTGAATTCGACAATAACCTGAGACATTTTGATCCAATTGTTCTACCAGAGTAAGTTGAATTAATGTTTGTACCTATATACAAAGATGAACTAATAATGATATAGGATTTATTTGTTATTGAGATAAAAATTAATGTTGTAGATAAAAAATAATTATATTTCACTAATTAAAATGAGGCCTATATCAAGAGAAATGCAACAATTAATCAGTTAAAACCAAAAGAAATAAAGTAATTATATTTATTGTATGAAAGAGATTTAGTACTACTTAAGTTAATGAGTTGATTATAAATATTGTATATATAAATTTACATAAAAATGATGCTCATAGATCCATAAACAGAGTTGCTCAAAACATAAATCATGGATTGGATCTCTTAGATATATCTATTTAAATATTTGCATAAATTAAAAAAATCAAGAATTGTTATATCCAACTATCATAGCTATTCACACACTACATTGGGAATATAAAGCAATAATTGTGTCATCTCATGTGTTAGCCTTATCTATATTTTATGTATTTGGTGGAACTTATAGTATATAAATATCTAAGATAATTCCCCACTATTATAATGAAAATATTAAGAACCCTGCAGGAGAAGCTTGGAATCTAATATTTTCATTCGATGGAAATATTCTAAAGGTTGATGTTCAAAAATAAAAAGCTATCATTCAGGTTTAAAATTAAAATTAATTGGAAAAAGTAACAAAAGATTTCTCATCACTTAAAGAAGCATTAGAATAAAAAATTATCCAATTAATAAATTATAAACATTTAATTATAGATTTTAGCTTATTCATCAATTAATGGATAAATTATTAAAGTAGACTTGTTAAAGTAATAATTTCCATAAAATTAAATAGATAGAAATTCCTAATTGATAACATTAACTTTATTCTTAATATAGATCCTATTCAATCATCAGCAGTTTATTTCGATACAAATTCCTATGTAAAATTTTTAGATATGTATTAAGCAGTATTTTTGATCCTCTATTACATGAATTATGATATTGAAATATTAGGTAGTGAAAAGAAGTAAGATGAAGACGGCTTAACTTATAATTTATAAAAAGTCCATTATTAATAAAGAAAAGAAAGAAATAATTATTAAATATTTTATTGTTTAGAAAGTCATAATACTTGAGCAATGGCTGACTTTTTGGATTTCAGCATAATTTACTTTTGGTAAATGAAACATTAATTTTTCTGCCCATTACTTCTTTTCCGTGAAGTAAAGCTGCTCCATTCAATGCTTCTTCTAATGATGATAATCTTACTAATGCCATATGTTTTTATCTAAATGATTAGGTATTGTATACTTATCGATGTGGATGAATTTGATAGCCTATACATTTCCAATGCCTTTGAATAATTCTTTAATGTAAGTATCATCTTCACACATTTTACCTTTAATGTTACTTAAATGCAAAGTTTGACTTGGTGGGTTAATAGAGATTGATTTTGATTCACTAAATCTAAATTATGATTGTTGCGGCATAAATACCAAAGTCTATGGAGATTGAAAAGGTAATGGAAATTATATTTCTTAATAGTTCGAATAAAAGATTTTGAGTTTGTAACCAAAAAATACTTAATTGTTCAAATGATCTAAAGCATTTTGAGCATGAGAGAGCTTCTCAAATTGAACCAAGGCTGATGTCTTATGTTTAATATAGATTATGACTAAAACATTTCCAAAGTTTGACAATAAATTAAAAATGTTTAATGGTGTAATATTTTAATTAATGAGACCTCTCATATAAACTACTTTGGATGGTTGATTTTCTCTAAGAAATTAAGGTGATACATAAGTATATGGATCTATGTCTTGATTTTTTGATTTATCTTCGACTTCAGGGATTGAAAACATGTAGGAATTCAGATATGTATTTTTTTCAGATGAGAATGCAAGCATTATATCTTCATCTACAGGATCATGCTCACACTCATCAAATTAGATGGATTTAAAAGATGAAAATCGTTTACATGAATCTCCATCATCAATAAATTCCAGCGAAGTTTATATTTTTGAGGGTTCCCATTCATTTCTCTACTCCTACGGGTCCTATCTATCATTTAAGCTAACCCTTGTTCTTTCATTTCCAAAGCTAGCAATACTCAAAGTGACATCTGATTATTGCTACCATATAACAGGTTGACTGTATATTTTTGGATGATATTCTTGCTCATAAATATTCATGGATTTTGTGGAATTCCTTTGTTTCATCGCTCTATAATCTACGCCTCCTGAATTATTATTGAGAAATGTGACATTCTGTAAAGTTGAATAATAACTAATAGTCATAAATAAAAGTGTACACATTCATTATTGTTTAATCATATAATTAACATCCATTTAATTATTATTAAGAAAACCTTGCCTATTATAAAGTTGCCATCTCAATAAAACATTTCCATAGTTTGCCCTTCTCAAATATCAGAATTTTGTTCACCTCCCCAAAATTTGAAAAATACCTATAGAACAAAGAATGGGGAAGTATAATTGATTAAGGATTCTAAACAATCACTAGCAAAACTCTCGTACTTTCATTCTCAGATATCATTAACACTAAATTAAAGTATATATATTTTATTGATTGCTATTTCTAAATAATATTTCACAGATCTCAAATCCTTAATTTAGCAATTTAACATATATCTAAATTTTGGTTATTCAATCTAATTTGATTTGATAATGTGGATAATGTGTAAATGATGAATGGAGAAAATAATAAAGTTAAAATTAGTACATGCTCAAATAATACATTTGAGAGATTGAGGAATTTATTTGTAAATAAGTAAGAACGTAAATAAACCCAAATAAGAGGAGATTGTTTTAAAAAGAGATTCAAATAAATTATTTTTTATTACATTCCAATTTAACTAAAGAAAAATCTGCTTTTTGAAACACAATTTGAGGATTAGAACATTATTTATCTAAAAATGAGGAACAACCATATTTCTTTAAAATGTTAATTACCCATAAGATGGAAAAAACTATAACTTCTTTCATTTTAAAATTCAATTAAATTGTTCTTAAATGCTTTAATTTGTTAATTGCAGTTCTTGCATGTAATACCTTTTATAAAGATAATACATTTTTACAGAAAGTTTTAATCAATGTATTTTATTTAGGAAAATTAAATTTTATATTGTTGATAAATATTCAGATTATTGAATTAATTATAAATAAAAACTATTTTACAATTTCACACTTAATATATAATTAATGTAGTAATAGTATTTTTAAGAAATTATAGCAATTCAAACAGAATAATAGAAGAGTAATTGTAGAATTGGATGAACGATTATTGCAAACATAATTATGCTCTAATTCCATATGAGAAAAATAAAACTTAATCTGTTCTAATAAATTTCAGAAGAATAGTTCCCCTTATTGAATCAATTTTTTATTGGTCAAAATCAATGAATTTTACAAATAAGCAGAACTTTATTTAAAAGTAATTCAGAATTGTAAAACATCAAATAATAAAAATGAGAATTAGGAGATTTGCAAAAGATTTTTGGTCCAATCAATTCAAGAACCAAAGGTACATAAATTGAAGGATATTAAAGATGGAAAGAATTTTATATTCTTAGGCTGAAATTGCAGTTGTCAATAATGTTAAAATTAAAGATCGATAAATCTAAATAATGATATCGATACAATAACCAATTCTTTAAGCATCCAAAATTACTAAAATATCGAATAATGTTCAACAGAGAATCTGTATTGAAAGAAATAATTTAGCATCTTGTAGGATTTTTGGAATATTCAAATTTAGGATGAAAATAGACAATTAACTTTGTTTACAGATAACAATTAGGACCTAATTGAAAATATTCTAAAATGAATAATTTTAGAAATGTCACCTGACGTATTATTTTTAAGCATTAAAATTGCCATCTTGAATTTATTGAGTATATAATCTCCTGTATATTAAATTAATCTTTTTGAGCAAACGCCTTTATATATATGGATAAATGTATTTTTTTATAGCTATTTTTAACAAAATACTAACCAGAATTTCTGAGGTAATATCAAATATGATACGAAGTTATAAAATAATTGTGTAACAAAAATGCTAACAGAATAAATTAAAATAATGATAATAGATAAAAATTCTTAATAATAGAAAGAATAAAAAATTAAAAAAATTATATTGATTTTTTTTTTATAATTTTTATATGATTAGTATAGAATATTTTATTCAATTTTCCAAAAAATGTCCTTAAAGTGGACAATAATATAGAATATGTAAGTTATCTCTAAATTTGATACCGTCAAGCTTGTTAAAAATTTTAGATTTACATAAATCTTAACAGAATGAAAGATCGATTGATTTTTTTCAAATTTATTACATCTTGTATTTTTATTGTATTTTATTTTTTATTACATCATGCTCCACATATTATTTATACTTGCAATAAGTTCATATTCATAGATCTTGTATTCAGAAAGTTTTACAGGCAATTCATTTACAACTTCGGAAGGTATTGAATTAATTAATAGAAGAATGGGTGATTAGTGGAGAAAATTTAATATATAGTGATTGTGGTTCAGTACGACTTTTTGGTGGATATGATGCATTCGCTCGTCACACATCAGCTACGAAGTTATTTTAATTACCACCTCATCATACTGTTTTAATTACTTTAGAATTTTGGAAGTAAGCAGTTGATTTAATAACTTTAGAATAGACTCTTGGGATAACGAGAAATTTTTCATTTATTTAGATTAAATTTTAGGGTTCTAGGATATTTATGGCCATGAAGGTAATAGCAATTGTGGATAAGCATCTGGAGAAGCTATTGTGCAAATAAATATTAATTAACCCCATAATTTTTAATCTCTTTTTATTTTAATGACATCGAATTTAGACTAAAACCCTAGCGATGTATTCTAACTTTTATATATTTAGGAATCATGGGGAATAAGGAATTTCTAATTATATATATATCCATGTCCTTCTGGTTGCTAAACATGTGTTTCAACAGATTTGAGAGAAGATTGCATAATTTGGAATAGCATTGAATAAAGCCTTTTGGGCGTTGATTTCAATACCTTTAACTTGGATGGATGGACAATAGATTAAGGATATAAACTTACTANATATATATGGATAAATGTATTTTTTTATAGCTATTTTTAACAAAATACTAACCAGAATTTCTGAGGTAATATCAAATATGATACGAAGTTATAAAATAATTGTGTAACAAAAATGCTAACAGAATAAATTAAAATAATGATAATAGATAAAAATTCTTAATAATAGAAAGAATAAAAAATTAAAAAAATTATATTGATTTTTTTTTTATAATTTTTATATGATTAGTATAGAATATTTTATTCAATTTTCCAAAAAATGTCCTTAAAGTGGACAATAATATAGAATATGTAAGTTATCTCTAAATTTGATACCGTCAAGCTTGTTAAAAATTTTAGATTTACATAAATCTTAACAGAATGAAAGATCGATTGATTTTTTTCAAATTTATTACATCTTGTATTTTTATTGTATTTTATTTTTTATTACATCATGCTCCACATATTATTTATACTTGCAATAAGTTCATATTCATAGATCTTGTATTCAGAAAGTTTTACAGGCAATTCATTTACAACTTCGGAAGGTATTGAATTAATTAATAGAAGAATGGGTGATTAGTGGAGAAAATTTAATATATAGTGATTGTGGTTCAGTACGACTTTTTGGTGGATATGATGCATTCGCTCGTCACACATCAGCTACGAAGTTATTTTAATTACCACCTCATCATACTGTTTTAATTACTTTAGAATTTTGGAAGTAAGCAGTTGATTTAATAACTTTAGAATAGACTCTTGGGATAACGAGAAATTTTTCATTTATTTAGATTAAATTTTAGGGTTCTAGGATATTTATGGCCATGAAGGTAATAGCAATTGTGGATAAGCATCTGGAGAAGCTATTGTGCAAATAAATATTAATTAACCCCATAATTTTTAATCTCTTTTTATTTTAATGACATCGAATTTAGACTAAAACCCTAGCGATGTATTCTAACTTTTATATATTTAGGAATCATGGGGAATAAGGAATTTCTAATTATATATATATCCATGTCCTTCTGGTTGCTAAACATGTGTTTCAACAGATTTGAGAGAAGATTGCATAATTTGGAATAGCATTGAATAAAGCCTTTTGGGCGTTGATTTCAATACCTTTAACTTGGATGGATGGACAATAGATTAAGGATATAAACTTACTAGTAATTGCTTATGTAAAAGATATTATTACAATCTTAAGCTATTCCAATGATTGGAGGTTATCTATTAACTGGAGAAAATAGTTATATATTAAAAACTATTAATTTATCTGCCCATAGCCAGATTAAAATTTAATTCAGATTTATGTTCTTAGATTCTTGGAACGCTAAAAATGCGTACTTATATATAGATAATAACTTGATTTGGACAGAAACCTATGACTTCAACAATAGATAAATTTAGGATTTATGTGGTTGGATTTTTGATGATAAACCATTTAATGATTAAATTACAATGGCTCATACAGGATCATCAATAACATTAAAGTTCACTACTAACTTAAATTAGGGTCTGTAAAACGAATCTTTTGGAATAAGAGACATATAAATTTTTATTGGTAATTATCTGTTTATATTTTAGCCTGTCTTTTTGGTTCTTCATTTAATCAAGCTTGTGGAACAATTTGTGGAAATGGAGTTATAGAACAGTATGAAGAATGTGATGATGGAAATATATATTCTTTTGATGGATGCTTCAATTGTTAATATTCTTGTGTCGAAGGATGTTCAAATTGTATTAATGGAATTTGCTTTGAATGTTCTATTGGGTGGTCATTTGATACTAATTTTAACACATGTACTCCTATTGTTGATGATGAGAGATATTCAATATGGGAAGAATGTGATGATCTTTTAAATTTTGAAATTTGCTAAAACGGCAAATTTATTGCTCCATCAAATTGCATATCCTATTAATTTGGTATTTGTTTTAAGTGTTAAGTAAATTATGAATTAATCAACAACAAATGTGAGGCTATCTGTTAAAATCAAGCTATCGTTAATGATATAGAATGTGTAGATAATAATTTATATGCTCTTGATAGATGTCATTAATGTGCTTATGATTTAAATGAAGGTTGTAAATTTTAATAAAATGGAATATGTATTTAATGTTTAAATGGATGGAAATTAGACATGGCAACTCATATTTGCACTCCCATTTGTGGAGATCATATTTTAGAAGGACCTGAAGAATGTGATATTATTATAAATACAAAAAATTAATTTGGATGCAAATAATGTTATTTTCATTGCTAATATGAATGCACGGATTGTTAATTTGGAATCTGTCATGATTGCATTTCAGGGTGGATATTAAAGAATTAATAATGTGAATCTATTTGTGGAGACAATCAGATTTAATTTATAGATGAATGTGATGATATGAATACAATTAGATTTGATGGTTGTCATAATTGTAGAAATGATTGTTAAAAAGAATGTTCCTATTGTTTTAAAGGTGTGTGCTTGAATTGTATTTATGGGTGGTATTTGACTGCCTATTTCACGTGTGAATTTGAATGTGGAGATTCTTAGATTGCTTTAATCTCATAAGAGGAATGTGATGATTCTAATAATATGTAATTAGATGGATGCTTTGGATGTAAACTTGAATGCTGTCGCTATTGTACTGAATGCATATATGGAATTTGTTAGGATTGCTAGTATACATTTACATTAATTGAGTAAAACTGTGTTCCTGTTTGTGGAGATGGACTGGTAAGTGTAGAATTTGAGTAATGTGATGACATGAATCGAATACCTTACGATGGTTGTTATAATTGCAATTATTAATGTAGATAATTTTGTAAATTATGCATTCAAGGAGTGTGTTATGATTAATGTGAACTTGGGTACTATTAGGTGGATAATGTATGCTACCCTATTTGCGGAGATGGAATAATAGTTGAAGAGGAAGAATGCGACGATTAAAATGATGATAAAAGTGATGGATGTTTTAATTGTTTTTTTTTCTGTCCTAATCATTGTGATATATGTGCGCAAGGAAAATGTAAAGTATGCGAATAAGGATACGAATTAAATAAAAGTCAAAATGAATGCTAGACATTTTGTGGGAATGGATTGGTCTCAATTGAAGAAGAATGTGATGATATGAATTAAAAGGATGGCGATGGATGCTCTTCGTAATGCACTATAGAACCAAATTATATTTGCAAGAACTATTTATATTCGTTTACTTAATGTATATATGTGAGGTACCCTAAGTTTAAAGCGTCGTTAATAAGGTAGGATTATTCAATTTAATATGTTTCCTTACACTTTGACCAATAAGTTAAAATTATAGAGAATAAAAATTTTTCAGATTAAATTTAATTGAATTTAATTGGTGTTGATTTGGAATTATATAATATCACTTTAATGATAGTTTAAGAAGCATAACAATATTGCACCTTTGTAGAATATACGGTTGCAATATAAATTAATTCCACTCTGTTATCCAAACCTATTCTTGAAGTAATATTAAAGGAGTAATTGTATAACGAAAATGAAGCACCTTTGATTAATCAGATTGATAGGGTTCAATTAAATCTCCCTAAGTACGTGGTTGATAAAAAAAAATAATCTGCTTAAGTTTTAAAAAATGTGGGAACTAATATTATGAAATCTATTGGTGGAATGGGTATTCTCTTGCTACTTCTTGGTCACTCATTTAGAGGAATTATTGAAATACTCTAATAATAGTCATATCTGAGATTCATTAATGTAGTATTTCCAATTAATTTATTCATATATTTTGAATCAAGCAATATTATAACAGTTTAACCATTGTTAGATTTCTTTCATTTCAATTCAGTAGTTTTAAATCTAATGAATACCGAATTTGTAGAATCAAAAGAAAAATTCTATTTTTATGAAATCGATGCAAGTATACTTTTTAATATTTAAGCTTAAATATTCTTAAGTCTAGGCGTTATCTTCATTTATGTAGGCTGTATAATTTTGATTTAGAAGTTCATATCTATGTAGGATTTACATTATTTTTATTGTGGAATAACAGTTGCTTAATTTTTTGTGAAAATTTAAAACGCTTGCTTTATGATAAAAAGATAATGTGAAAAAGTGGGTTTGATATAATTTTTTATAACAAATTGTTGGGATTTACTTTTTATGTCTTTTTTATAAATTAGTTCATAATCGTTTACATCGATTAAATCTGCAGCTTCCATTATTTTAGGATATTTGATCTTATATGCTTGTGCTATTGTAATATCTAACTATTTCTTTAAAGACACGAAATATACTTCATTATCACGATATAATATTAAAAAGATGGATATACTTTTAATTTTTAAGAAATTCCTATTTGTAGGAGTTTTAGTGTTATTTCAAAGAAATTAATAGATTTAATCAATACTATTAGCATTTGTAAGCAATTGTAGTCTGATATATTTAATTTTATTTAAATCACGTGAGAATAAAGTTGATTATTTCAATCAAATAATAATGGAGGCTAGTGTTTTTGTCTTTTGTTCGACAGTTGCCCTGTATTGGGACTTAATGTAAAAATCTTTTGATTATAATAATCAAATTCTACTTGGCTGGTTTCACATATCTATGTTGCTCTTGGTTTTAGTAATCAACTTAGGGCTTTAATTATATATTATCTTAATGAAATTAAAGAGAAGTTTAATAAAAAAGATGTAAAAACTCTAACATCAAGATTCAGTCTAATAGAAGGATCCAATTCCATAGTACCAAATAAAGTAAATAGTTGAATTCAAAAAATGATTTTGAATGCAGATTTACTTGTTTTTGTATCTTTGAATATGATATTTATCAAATACTGAATATCTATATAATAAATATTTATAATAATTAAAAAATTGAATAGAATTTATTAACGAATATTTTGTTAAGAAAAATATTTTCAGATTACTGAATAATAACTGTTTATAAAATCTTAAGATTGACATGAAATGCAATATTTGAAGAGATATGAAATGTAATTAATTGAATTTAATAAATATATCGTATTATCATTCTTTGATATTCCAGATACGGAATAACGCAAATCCACTTAAAAACACAATTATTAAAAATATGATATCTTCAAATAATGCTAGAACACCGCAAAAGGGGAGACTAATAGCTATTAAACTTATGTTTACAATTCAAAAAGGAATTATAAAATGATGAATCCATTAAATCCTAGAATGGCAACAATTGAAAATGTTATCCAACAAAGTATCAATATAATTTGAACCCATTTATACAAAACCAATAGATACGGATCAGATACTACGCCCTTATATCCTCGATAGAATATAAAACTCTAACTATACAAAATATGTTACAATTAAATTGGGTTGAAGGAGAACAAGAACATAAAACTATAGAGGATGCGTATTCCATCAATTCCATATCCAGCTTAAATACTGTTATCAATAATATTTAAGAGAGTGTAAGCTACAATAAGTATGCTCGACAACCATAATGATCTTACCACCAATCTATATTCTGGCTACACTTCTTCAATATTGTAATGAATCACTTTTATCAAGGGTGGGTAGTTGAAATCGTTCCAGTCTATTTTTTATTTTGAGTCATTTTGATTAGATTTGAATTGTCTCATTGATTCATTCAAGACTGTATTAGTTACAAAAGAAGCCATTTTAAATATTATTATTATTTATTATTTTAATGAAGAAATTATCAGCAATATTTAATTTAAATCAATCATCTCTCCCTAGTTTAGAATTCAATCATTCCAGGCCTCTAGGTATTAAATTAACTAAGAGAGATAAAACAATTGATTGATAAGATAGTTTATGAAAGCTTTAAATGCAACTTGAGATATAATTACAAAATGAATAGAATATGATGGAATTATAAGGACTACTAAAGTAAACTCCTAAATATTAAACTTTACTACCAAAACTATTATTTTCATTTATTATAATTTGAATTGAGAACCTTAAAGTGATACAAGAAGATTAATACCTAATCTTGTGCTAAAAAGTTTTAGTATTTGAATAATTTGATTAATTTAAGCATATATAGAATCAACATCCTTCTTTTCTTATGTGTCAGACAATTTACACGATTTGAAGACAAAAGTATATATAAATGGAGCTTAATTGAGAGCATAAATGAATATTATTTCAAGGATTAAATTAGATTCATAGATTTTATTCAGAACTTATAAACTATTTTAATTAGGATATTAGATAATTTCAAAATGAAATATTTGCATATTTAAATAATACTTAGGTGGGCAAATGATATTCTAAAATTCAATTAAATAGTATTTGATGAGAAAAAATAGATCCAATTAGTCACAATTAGATTAAATAATCCAAAAATAATTATAGATGTCCCAATGATTATTAGAATATATTTGAAAAGAATATGATCTATGTAAAAATAGAATATAATATTAAAAATTAGTAGAAGTTAGAAATCAGATCTAAATAAACACACTAAGACTTTTTAATTTGATCATATGTTCAAAAGCTTGAGTTGGCCAAAGAAATTGTGAGATTCCTATAGAAGGAATTGTTAGATGTAATTTTCCCTTAGAGTTTAATTAGTCCTTTAAATTTTTTATCTTAAATATTAATATCTAAGATAGTTTCAACCCCAATATTATCTAATAATCGCTCTCATGTTAACAATATTTTATAACTTCTAAATTTCTCATTCTTTTTACTCTCTTCGAATACAATTATCATTTATTTATTACTGGTTACCTTAATAAATATCTTCTATTTCGCTCATTATTTAATTAATGAATCAATCTCTTATATAAATTAGGCAATAAAGAAGAATTTATTCAAACCACAAAAAATATTCAAAACCATTACCCCAAAGTGGATCTAAACGCAATACTACTCTAGTTTAGAATCGATCAGTATTCATAAACGAAAGAATAAACAAAAATCTTAGAATTCAGAGGAATACTTTTGGGGAGTCAAGTTGCTATTGTGATACATGTGGTAAACGATCTAACAATATGAAAAAGATATTTCAGTTATATTAATTTCCATAAACTAAGTACCTTATTATCCAAAATAAATAGCCAATGGAGAAAGCAAAAATAGTTTCGTAAATTTAGAAGACTTATCAATTGTATAATCTTTATTATCAGATACAGAATCATGAAAAGAATCAAAACAAAAAAAAAATTTACTATTAAAAAAGTACTAACTAAATAGATTGTCAATGAACAATAATTTAAACCATCGACTATTTAAAGTGCTATTTTGGAACTGAAGTAAATAATTAGAGTGGATTCAACGTAGTAATCCAAGAGAGTCAAATAGAAAAGCAAAGATACCAAATATTAATACTCTTCTTTGCTTAAAGGAAGAAGGAATTTAAGATCATTATTTTTTATTCCCCAATTTGAGAGTCCGATCAAATAATTTATTATTAAAAATTCGAAACCAAATACTGCTCATCACTCTCCTATGTAATCATTGTACGATTTCAAAATTTAATCCTCTTTTAGAGGATCATGATAATATTTTAATTAAAGGTGAGTTATTTACTTACTTTATAATGTATTTTAATTTAATGATGTGGTTCAACTTCAATGATCTTTACTGCTTGAACATATTTAAAGCTTTGACCAGTTTCATTTTTCATTTGATTTAATAATTATTAATAATTTTATGCAAGTACTTTAACCAATTAACGATCAATAATAACCTGTAAAAATTACTTCAGATTACCGATTTCAAGAGGCTCCTTTAACCAGATGTATTTATCATCCACAATACATACGTCATTTTTGTAAAGAACCCTCTTGTTTGATGCCTTTGTGTTAAGATTGTATATAAGTGCATCCACATTAACATTCTCGCTATAGTATATCATATTCTAAAGGAATTAGTTGACTCAATCGAAAGCACATTAACTTAAGTCTACAAAGGGTATGCGAGTAGGGCAAATGAAATTGCTACTCATCAAACTGGTGACATCCTATAAATCAGACAAGACTTACACAAGTTGATTGATACTATCGTGGATGATGTGTTGAATAAAGCAGATAAGAATTACCAATATGACTTGATTGTTTAATGGAGAAATCTGATAAAGAAACTGGAAAGATTGAGAGATCCAAATAACTGTTTAAAGGAAACTATACTATATTTTGCAGATCAAGATAATTAGAATCCTTTATTGAAGTATTAAGGAGTGCCTATCCAGGTGAATTATGAGGCATTGGAATAAGCAAAGTTTCATCTCCATCATCTTTTCATGGTGACATTGGAGGATGGAGAATACTTCTTTAGACCAGGAGAAAGAACAGGTGATAACCCTATAAGAAGGGTATCAAGAATGATATATGACCCTGTTTTACCCACTCATGCAGATTACTAACCATACAATTATAGTCCTCAAAGAATGATGATTAGTCAACCAATATAGCAATTACCTTAGCCAGTTATTTATCAAACTCAGGTACTTCCTCCAGTATAAACTTAATAACCATAAATTGTGTAAATAGTCCCTTAAGTTTAACCATATACTCAAACTCAAATACAACCATAATAACCACCATAACCCTTATAATATGCATTACCTTCACCTTAACCATAGCCTATTGTAATCAATAAACCTGAAGTTCCTCAACCTTTAGTTTATTATCAAGAAAGCCCCATTAAAATGGTTTCTTCAAAATAAGATCCCATAATCTAATAAAGTACAGTACCTCAAGTTGTGATTCAACAACAACAGACCCCATAACCTCAGATTATTTAATATGTTTAACCTGTAGTTAGAGCACCATAGCAAGTAGTTCCAACAGTTTATGCAGTTTCAAACTCTAAACCATTTGCTCCTTTATAAGTATAATCACTAATTAATTTAGCAGAGTGGAGAATACTCACATCCATACCCTTTGGTGCAGTAATGATGTTATATGATCAAAATTTTATTGATGGCTATAGCCAATAATCAATAATCTATTAGGATAATATGTGAGTTGTAACTAAAATTCCAATTTTTATTTTCTTTCCCTTGGATTATGCCAGTCATTCCTTCTCTCTGATAAGAGAAGTTGTATTTTGACTCTTCTTCTGTTGGTCATTTTGTATAATATTAATTGAAATAATAAGTAACGTCAACAAGGCTGAGTTAAATTAAAATTGATGATCAGCATCTTTGATGTTTCTATCCTATCTCCAATGGATTTCTTAATGTAGAAGGAGAGAATAGATAGGAAAACTTAAAAAAGAAGGGCAAATAATTTCCCATTTCTGAATAAGAGATCTCGTGTCCTATTTAACAAGTGTTATGAATAATTTGTGCATTTTTTCCATTAAAGTTTAATTATCTTATAATTATAAAAAGGAGACTATTATTCAAAAGTTTTGCATGGGAGAGAATGGGGTTTTGAATGGATACTTAATAGTTGAATCTGGAGGAAATAATAAGGAGGAAAGATGAAATATTGATATAAATTTGAAATTTATCCTGGAAAATATGTGGGGATAGTTTACAAATGGGATGGGATTGATGTTTTATGATTTTGGATGTATATTGAAATATTTAATTACTATTTATTATTTGTTTTGATGAGAAGATTGTTTTTGTTCATAAATTTGTATATCACAGTGGAGTTATTGATTTGTAGGGATGAGTTGGGACAAACATTGCAAATTGACAAGTCTGTTCAGATACCTCAATACAATTGTACTCTAAATATTAGCAATGAGAATTTAATGAATATGACATCTTTGGGTGGCTAACTTAAAATAGTAGGAACTCAATTACTATTGAATTAAACAGTAACGTTGATAGGATTTAAGCTTGTTGAATTCCAGAACATCACAATAGACACACTAACCGACTCAATAGACATCCTGGGCTCAGTTCAGCTCCAGAACGTCATTCTCTTGAGGAATTGTCAAATAAAAAGCACATATATGCAGATTCACAGGTCTTAAATGATAGGGATGACATTTTAAAATAAGGCAGCATTTTAAGCTCCAATTAGTGTAGACGGACTTCTGATTTAAGATTGTACTTTTTTCAGAAGTTAACTAAGTTTGCAAATGACTTAATTAAGAAACGTCATTATTGATTAGGTTAGCTTTATTAATTCAACCATATCTCCTCTCACTTATGTAAACACGCTCACTCTCAATAACTCTTTTGTAGTTTAAAGCATTTTGATTGAGACTGATATCTCACAGGAAATCACAATCACAAATACCTACTTCACACTCTCAACCGGAATTCTGGCCAAGGGAGTTCTCTACACTACTATTTTCAACGTGACTCTATCTCAAAGTGTTTTGATACGACTCCATAATCAAAACTAAATCAAGTTGTCTTGCTTGAATATTTAGAGAGTATTATCTGATTCAAGGTTGATTATGGCAGAAAGTCAATATGTCTCCATATATAATAGTACAATATCTGAATTAGAGAGTAAAGCGTTATTCTCTATGAATAGTCAGAATTTGTTTCTATAATAAGTAACTATATCCACTTTAATTGGTCCATTATTGATTTCAGTAAGCAATCAAACAAGCGTTGTCCTAAATTACTTCAATATCTCTAATAGTTCAACTAGAGGCTTATTTTAAATGAATGGATCCTTGTCATTATCAAAAGGCAATCTCAATTAACTATATGGACTACTCATTTGCTCAAAAACAATTACAGAATTAAATATTGATTAGGTGGATTTCAAATAGCTTAATAAGTCTCTACTTATTTATTTAAAAGAAACATCTATTGTACAATTGAACAATATTTTGATTGAAGATTGTGCCTCAATTTAGGTTGCTAAGCTCTATACCGTAATAAACTTAATTGTAAGAAATCTGACAATCAAGAATTGCAACGAGTGTAATTTCTTGACATTGAATGCGTCTTCTGCAAATCTTTCTCACATTAACGTATTTGATATGAACAACTTTGCTAGTTCATTAATCGAGGCAACAGATTCAGATATGAACATCAAAGGAATGTATTTGAACTCAATCACTCATAACAATAAGGAAATAATAACGATTGAAAATTGCACCAAACTGCTATTCAATGATCTACAATTTACACATATGGATTGTCCATTTTGTAATGGTATTATAAGTATCAGATAAAGTAACGAGATTGAAATATCAAAGTCTTTGTTCAAGAATACTCAAACCTTTTCTGGCTTTATCAATATCCAAAATTCAAATAATTTTATAGCCAACAATAACACCTTCACTAATATTTCAGTTAATTAAGGATCTGCATACTTATTGTCCAATGCTGCTGTTCAAATATATGGAAACTAATTCATTGATCTTTTTGCTCCAGAAGGAGGAGTGATCTACCTCAATCAAACATCTGGATTATCCCATTATATCGACCAGAATCTTTACAATAATTGTTCAATGAAGACAAACAAACATATCTATTTATTGACAAATCAAATAGTGGAACCAGATACTTTGACTTATATAACAGGGCCGGTGTATCTTGATTTTAATAATAAGACATATCTATTTGATGACCTGATTAAAAAGAAACAATATATATACATACATAACTATAAGAGTGGATAGCTATTAGATCTGAAAATCGCCATCTAAGACAGTGGATAGAATAGAATATGTGAAATTACGAATTCCCTTACTATATCAGATAAGATATTCCAATTTGACTAATTGAAATGCCATTATGAAGTGACTTACGTTTACTATTAAATATAACCAATCAATGAGACTGTACAAGTACTCCTTGAATTTCAATCGCTCAAGTTCTACAATGATACTTTTAGATTGCCAATATTTTTGAACCTCGTTATTTGTGATATAGGAGAAGAGTGGGAAAATAAATCATGTCTTAGATGTCCAACTGGATCATATAGTTTTGACAATTTCACTCCTTGTAGATAATGTACTACCTCGATAGAGACATGTCCTGGAGGATCAGAATTGATTTTGAAACAAGGATTTTGGAGAGCCAATAAAACTACTGATAGTATTGAATATTGTCAATCATCAGAGGCATAATGTTTAGGTGGATCTGATGAATTCACTTGTAGTTAAGGATACACTGGAGCATTGTGTGATGATTGCGATTATTATGCAGAACATTGGAATAATTCATATACTCGTGGTTTTGGAGGCAGCTGTACAATTTGCGAGAATAATGCGTTCAACATTTTCAAGATAATTTTCTCTTTTTCTTGGATCCTCATTGCCTTGTTCATATCCATTAGAGGGAGTTTAAGATTGGTTAGAGCATAACTATCAGTTCATTATCTCAGAATTATGGGCATATTCTTTGCCACTCGATCCACCATGGTGATTGATCAAACTGAAATCCTGATAAAGCTGTTTTCCAGTTACTTTCAGTTGGTATCCATAGTACAAGTCATTGATTTTGACTTCCCTACTCCAATAGAAATCGTTGCCCAAGCAATAGGCAACCCCTTGTCCACATTGGGGTACTCAATAGAGTGTTTCCTATTGAATTCTCATTTGGAAATCGAGATTGTGTATTTGAGACAATTCTGGAACTTGTTTGTGTCCCTCCTGTTTGTGTTTGCATTTGTATTCATATATTTTCTCATTCAACTGTGCAGATAACGCCAAATGGAAAACTCCATCCAGACAATTTTCATCACAAGTCTGATTCAAGTACAATTTTATTTTCAGGGTGACATAATTGAAGGTCTCCTGTAATTGATGTTCTGCATTAAGGCCTCAGGACAATATTACATTCAGGCTGCAACATCGTACATGTGTTATACTGAGGAATACTATCTGTATCTAAGAACGCTGATCATACCCACTTTGATTTTGGTTGGGGTAGTGTCGCCTCTGTTTTATATCATAAAACTATTCAGAAACAAAAACAAATTATGGACTTGTCATTTGCGTATTCCTTATGGATATTTATATGTGGAATACAAAGACAACTATTATTACTGGGAGTTTGTGTGTTTCTTTGTTAAATCATTATTTTATCTGCTGGAAACTCTTTTGATCCAAGACATAAAGCTGATGTTTTTGTTTGCAATACTCATTTTGCTTGTCTATCTAGAATTACTGAATAAGCATCAACCTTACATTGAGAAATAGTACAATTTTATCGATAAGATATCAACACAATTGGCAATGATAACTCTAATCTTGTCATATAGTTAAGACAACAATCCATACATTTCATTAGTGTACATTTTGTCAATCCTGTGTTCTGTACTTAATCTATTGTTTTGTACTTACATATTCTCCAAGATCACAAGAGAATACATTTCCAGTCTAAAGTAGCAGCATATCGAGAAAATTGTAAATCTTATAATTCGTTACCCATGCTTCAAATATTGTATCAAATAGCCCAAGAATTTCCATAATAAAAGAAAGGCTTGTTTGCTTTGGAAGAAGGTCAGAGTGTACGTGATGGAGTTCATAGAGAAACTGAAATTTCAGAAATCCAACAATAACCTTAATTAAGATTACTAATTGTAATCAAGCACACAGCGACCAAATACTTCATCAACCAATACTTCTATCAGTCTGCTCAATTCAATGGCACCCTAATTGTTAAAATACATGTAAGAATCGATTAATATCTTAGTAAACACAATAAGAATAATTGCCGAGTGTCTCCAGAGATAGAAAGTCGGTTGTCTAAAAAGAACTTGGATTCAAATGACTTCAACAGTGTTGTTTCAGCATATATAAATCCCGATCACAGGCTTGAGGTTGAACCACCTGAACTTCCGAAAAAGAGTACTGTATCTACCATCTTCTCTTATGTAGTTAACGGGTAGAGCCAATTGTGAATATGAATTACACTACTTAATATTGTTATTTAAATTGGAATTTCTTTAGGCTATGAAAAGTGTTATAGATGAAATAGAAATTCCCGTTGGCTTGAAGAACTATTTAAAATTATAAATATTCAATCAGATTAATTTTATTAATTTTAATAAATTAAAATGAGCTTTTCTACAACCTGTGAGGTTGATCATTCTAACAAAACTTAGCATCGTAAATTCAAGAGTTTACATCTAAAAAAACAACAAGACCCCCTCTTAACAGATAAGCCCTTTGAAACTAGAACTCATGGCCAATAATTTGAACAAAACTTCTCTCATTATCTCAAAGGAGATCTAAATGTCTCCAGACTCATACAAGCATTGAATTGTCCCAGGTTGACAGCAGAGAATTAATTTACTCAGAACGAAGGAATATCAATCAAGATACGTCAGTAAACAGAATAGCGAAAGAACTTCTTAAAGAGTAAAATTCAAAAGGTGCGGAATCTCATCAAGTAGAAAGTGGCAATCAAGAAACCTCATAACGAGGAGATGCGCTAAGGCAATGCACAGACTTTGACCATTGTGCAGACCATTCTAGACATTGCAAATCACAAGGAAAATGCAATAAGTTATCAAGAGAAGTTGATACCCAAATCGAAGAGTCTAAAAAATTATAGACTCAATTATGATAATGTAGAACCAATCTCTAAAATGCAAAGAGATTTCATAGATACCATCCCTCCCAGACAATATTTAAAATCTGTATTGGAGAACAATGCCTAGTTGTATTTGCAGGAATTGCAATTAAGAGCAGAACAACGAGAAAACAATATCAACAAACTAGTGCGTTTAAATATCCAAAATAAGAGGAAAGATTTTACTTTGTTTCATAAGGCAGCCAAAACAGACAGGAGAAATCAAGATGGTATTCTTACAATTGGAGACGTGCAACTATACGATTATCTATATAACAATCCGAAAGGTGTTATGATTGAAAAACATCCCAAATATATTCAAAATGTTATTGACTCTGGAGTTGATTTTCGTAAGAATTTAACACGACGACTACTTACCACTCGAAAACAAAAAACTCATTACAATCGAGATCCTCCTTAGAACTCTGATGACTCATGTGCTTCTTCTTTATAATCAGCCTGTGAGATTAAGTTGGATAACTATTATGGGGAAACCAGAGAGTGGAAACGCAAACAATACTTACAATTACCCAGACGCATTAAACAATTAATTGCATTGGAAGAATTAAATTAGTAATTACTATTTTATCATTTAGGAAAGCCATCCACACAACAGTTAATAAGTTGTAATCTTAATGACCATAATCATGATAATATTCATATCATTCCTTAACGATTAAATAATCAATATTTACTCTATTCACTTCAATACAACATCTAATTGGTTTTTTTCTTCTATTATCACAATCTGATTTAAGTTATTGTGATTCTGTATTTCAGTAAGTATGATCTATTTTCATTGACTTCTATTTTTATCAGTGAATATAGGTAAATGAAAAAGATCCATAATAAAATCAATTGTTATTTATTTGATATTCAATAATTGTTTATTATAGGTTTGTAATGAATCGACTCTTGATTACATAAACAGGGGAATAACTAAGAAATGAAATGAAATAAACAGTCTACCAATAAAGAAATGGAAAACAAGCTAAAAACAAGGAATAGAGACTTCCTCAACTTGTTCGTTAACCTACCAATCTATTGATCGATACTGAGAGAGATAACATATTGTATCAAAAGACTCTGTCGGAAGTTGCCCTTTCCAATCTCAATAGAGTAGCTAGCCTTAGTTTATTGGGCCAAAGAAGCAAAAATAAATTGGAAAGTCACATCAGAGAAGAGTTGAATCTGCCCAATAACTTTTCTTATTTAAATTAGAGTCTTGATAAGCAATTAAATAAGATTCTTTCCGATAAGGGTATGTGATAGCTTATGTTAAAGATTTGAAAACCAAGAGGAAAAGACATCTCCTGACAGAATTGAAACGAATTGAAAAAAAAAGAACAACTTCCAATAATGATGATATCTCACTCTTCTCCTCATGCATTGAAGATTATGATAAAAATCAAAAGATGACTGCCATCATCAACGCAGAAGGCAAATTGGCTTAGTTGACCAGGAGATACAAGTAAAAGGAATTAAATGATTAAAAATTAAAGTTGAACCTAAATATAAGTTTAGAGAAGATGTAAGAGCGTAAAAACATGCGAATTGATGCTATTAATCCTCTGAGTCCTGTTTAGATGAAAATAAATTCTTAGAGATAATTCGATGAAATGTTTTATGATAATTCAGATGAAAGATTCCAAAATAGATTACAAGAGAAACATGTAAAATAAGTATGTTAGGTGTGGAATCAGCATCAATTTCCAAAATAAACAAAGCGTTGGATGTAATTCATAGAAAATGCACAATAAAAGAAAAAATAATGATTTATTTTAATTTCACAAAATACTGACTTATCTAAAAATTTTAGTTAATCTTTATAAATATGGAACCATAACCTGAAATTTCTCTTCATTAAAGATTTTTAAACTAATTTAATAATTGTTCTTCTGAGATTGCCTGTTGAATACTTGTTTCTTCTTTCCCCTTCGATTATTCTGATAATTACAAGCAAAGGAATATTTTGGCTGAGCTAACTTTTTATTTTAGGGTTCGGTGTAATAGATATATGTAAGATAATGAAGGTAGTGGATAAGAGGTTAGTTTAGATAACCAAAATTATAATCATAAGATTGTAAGATGATTATTTTAAATGCTAAATTTGTAGTAATTCTATTATGCAATATGTATGATATATTTGTTTTCGAGTCGATAATAAATCTTTAAGAATAGTAAGATAAAATATTAAAGTAAATAGAAGGATTGGTTGATTAATGGGTGTAATAAGTGCAGTATTCAGAGGAGAAAGCATTTTTTAATTGACTCTTCTATACATTTTTTATGAGAGTCATGTCAATGATGTCATTATTTTAGGATCAAAATATCAATCTATCGAAGAATATTTAAGTTCTTCTGAAGCCTCCATATAATATAGATTTAGATAGGACTCAATGATCCAGTATTATATTTGGGTTGATAATTGAATCAGAGAGCGTAGCTTAGAAATTTAATCATTATATTTTAATATTAGTATGGATTCTTTGGAATGGTTTAAGAAAACAAGAATTATTGTAGGTGAGGATCTGTATTAGGTTATCAAAAGCAAAATGTAAATAGAGTAATATTCTGTTAATGATGTACTTACAAAGATTGGAGACAAAGGGAATAAATTCTATGTAATTCTCTAAGGATTGGTTGGAGTTTTTGTACGAAATGAAGATCAATTAACAATGATAAATGTCTGTAGGGAAGGTGAAGGGATGGGTGAATTATCGATTATGTCTAATAAATCTAGAATGGCTACGTTGGTATGCTTAACTGATTGTGTAATTGCTACTCTAACTGCATCTTAATACAAGAGATATGTTATGTAGAATGATGTTTAGAGAATAAACAATCTAGTAGCACTAAGTGATAAAGTGAGTTTATTTAATTCGTTAAATAAGTAAAGCAAGATTATGTTGATGCTATGCATGAAGGAAGTTGAAATTATAAGGAAATAAATAATTTACAAATAAGCTTAGTAAGCCAAAAACTTGTATATTATAATTGAAGGGTCAATTAAATTGTGCCTAAAAGAAGGTTCCAAATAAAAGACTCTGTGTGTCATTAGTGAATATGAGATTTTTGGAGATTTGATGGGCAAAGACTTGTATCAGGAAACTGCAGAATGTGAATCTTAGAGTTGCAGACTGTTGATGATTAGCAGGAAAACGTACTTAATTTCTTATGTAGTTTACAGAAGGTTCTTCAATCAACTCATTCTTTAGGGATTCTAGAAGAAATGAAACAAACTGCTCATATCAAATCCTGTTTTAGAACTTAGTTTAAGGAAAGCAATTCTTTATTTTAGTGTGAATAATAAAGCATATATGAACCTTTTGAATCAACTCGGACTCTCTTTTATTCTAATGGAATATATTTGTCAGATAAAATGCTCATTAGATCGAATAGAAAAGTGATGCAATCAATCTTAAATAGAAGCAAAGTTCGAAGACCAGTGATTTGTGTATCTGTTGTCGAGAGAAAATCTAAATTGGATAGTGGATTGAGGTTGTCAAGTTGTCACAAATGAATATATTTTATATATATATTTTAAAAATTTTAATGATTTAACTGTCTTCTGTAGAGAGAACAACCATGATAGAGTTGTTCTCTACTTTTTTCGATCGTTTGAGTTCTCACAATTCCTAGAGAGAGTAAATGCTAAAATCATTGTACTAATTCAAAGCATTACTATATGCAAACGATCCTGCAATAGAAAAATATTTACATGATCTACAAGGGTAGAAATCTCCACTCAAAAGAGATAATTCATAAACTAAGAAATCTAGCAGTGTTAGAAAAGAACAAGAACCAATTATGCGTCATCCAAAACGAAAAACATTAGGATGTGGACATGAAATTGATGTTGTAGATTCCTCCGGAGAATGTCTTGTATGCACAGCATAATCAGTAAATCTAATATTCTAAATAGCCTTTTGATGAATTTAAATCCAAATGCGCAAATGTATTTAAGGTCTTGCAATCTTTAGACAATGATGATTTCTTTAGAACTTTGCAATAATTAGACGTATTCATACCCTAATACATCAGGATCCCTTGACCGTCTCTCTTTCCAAGTAAAGATGTTAGTCCTCTACAGGAGAATTATTCAAAGACCCCATGAATTATTCCAGAATGGCATTAGCAGAATAGCAAACCAATATCCAACAAATCATACGAAAATGTCTCCGATGCAATAAGGATATCCAAAATCACGATTCCAAAAATATTAGTTACTTCTGCAATTCCTGCAAAAACTTTTGACTTCCATTTATTTAGAATTAGTTAAAATATTAATTAATTAATATATAACTCTTAAATATCACATAACAACACAATTATAATCTTCTTATTATGCATTCAATTTTTAAATCCAATAAAAGTATCTTAATGATAATGTATACTAATTGATCAAGATAATTTTTCAATATTGAAATAAATCTTAAGAAATTACACTAATTTTCTTTTATCTCTACTTTTTTAATTAAATTAGGTATTCTTACATAGCCTTTGAACTTAAATTTTTAATTTTAAACCCAAATTCTATTATTGACTAAATTACTATAATGAAAATTCAAATCTCCTTTCAAAATGAATTGCTGTAGCATTTTAGAAATGAGGTTTTCTGAAAATCTTAATAAAATCTAATATTGCATAGATTCTAAATTCTTTGAAAAGAATGTAGAAAATAAATAAATTATTTCTTCAGATAGAATTTATATGATAAATTTGAAACAAATGTCATCTAAATGAATAATTTCCATTAAATTTTATTCTTCAACGATGTGGAGATCATATAGAAGCTTTTCTACTGCATGTTATTTATTAAATAAATCTTCAGTGAAAATTGATGATCAATAATATATTCTTAATAAACTATGTATTTTTCTATAAATGTACTCTTGGCAACCGTGTATCTAAACTTGGTAATCATGATGTGGTTTAAGTGAATCAGATAGAATAATTAAGAAAAATTAGACAAAAACTTAATTAATTATAATTATAGCAGGAGATGAGAATTTGGCATTGAAATTATTTGGCTCTTCAAAAATTTAGTACATTGCAAAATTTTCATTCTTAAATGATATCATTTCGTAAAATCTAAAAAGTTGCAATTCAAGTAAGGTTTTTAATGAAATAAATTCATAAAAATTAAAAAATGAATTTATTCTATTTTAAAATTTATGCTTAGAGAGATGTTCTAAAACTGTAGAGTACAATTATTACGAGTATATACTCAATACTAAATCCAAAACTTGAATTCCAAACAAAATCATGTAATTTTAGAAAAAAGTAACTCTAGAGTGGAAAGAATTTCCTGCTATTAAAAATATAATTATCCATCTAATGATTATGATTTTAAGTATAATATTAATTTTAATGAATTAATTCGAAGAGCTATTGAAGAAACCAGAGATCTATGAAAATTTATCTTTATTTAAGAGCTTTTTATAAGGAGTTAATAAATTGTGTGATTAGTTTGAGAATAAAATAAAAATGGCTTCTGAATAGAAATTATTAGAATAAGAAACACCAAAAAAGGAATTAGGAAAGCCAAGAACGAAAAAATAAAAAAAATATGATAGCGAGAATTCAAAGAGTTAAACTAATACTAATACTAAAGGGGAATGTAAGTATGAAAATTTATGATAGCAAAAAGAAAACTTGATAATGCATGGAATTAATTGGAGCAAAAATAAAATATATTAATGATTTAGTAGTCATAGTGTTGCTCAGAATTAGAAATTGAATCAAGAGTTTCATCTACCCAAGAAAAGAAAAAAAGCAAAAGGTAGTCTAAAGAATGTAAGGCTAGAAAAAAATGCTAAGAGGTTTTGTCAAGAATTGAAGAAGAGGATTCGTTTGGTGGCTATCTTATGGAACAATGCTAATGAGTTTTTATAAAGATGTCTAAATTTTTAATTGATTTAAAAAAATAATAATTAATTTCCCAAAAAGTTTTAAATATATTTAAATGAATAGAAGATCTAATGGTGAGTATAAGCTCATGCTTTGAATCAGGTAAAAATAGTATTTTGAATTTTAATAACAAAAATGATCATTTATTGTACAAATAATTTCATAACATTATTTCATCAAAAGTAGTCCTTATGTTTCCTTGAATCAGTTTTCCTTATCGACCCATTAGAGATCTTATACATACATATCTATAGTCAACCTAAAAGATTCATTAGGATCCTTTGATATCTTAAGACCACATAAGTTTAAGTAAACTAATCTTAAATTTTGATTAACTAAAACAATGATTCTAAAAATCATTTTTTAACCTATGTTTAGAAAGGATAATCGTTAAAATTTAGATATAGATTTTACTCTTAACATTTTTTAGAATAAAAGTATTGCAAAAATAGAAAGAAGAACTAACAGAATGCTTTAATGAACGCTCCTATATTGTTTCTCTTTGTCTACTAACTATATAATTATTATCTATCATTAATTCTAGATAATAAGATTATTTTTTTTAGTTATATTTGTTATTTAATGGTTTAAATTGATTTATAATACTTTATTAAATTTAGGAAGATCTTAATAAATTTGACTTTAGTATTATGATTATTGTGCATTTATATTTTATATGCATGAATCAAAGAAATAAAAGATTTTGAATAAATGTGATTATTGTTATTATTTACTTTTCCATAATCATTTTAGAAGGGATTGCTTCAATTACTAGATTGCTTCATAGTCTTATGGACAGTTGCCATTCGTAAATTTGAATCTCGAATTACTATCACCATCCACTAATTTAGGAGATGTATTATACTTTTTTGTATAACTGCTTCCAATCGCTTCTCCATATCGATTAACTTTTATTATACAGGGATTTCGATTGGTTGTGTATCTTCGACGGTCTAGAGTTGTTGGGAAGGTTAGGGCTAGTCAGGAATGCGATCTACAATGTTATCTTCAATCATTCGATCAAGAATGTTTTAAGTGTTGAGGAAGACAGATTTTTAGAGAGCATTTTTGTAGTTGATTTTGGTATAGAATTTTTTGAAATTTTCTTACGCTATTTTTTAGGAGTAAGAAAAGAGCCATTTAGAATTGTTCATCTCTTCCTGGCATAGAATAGAGGCATACTTTTTTAATGACTTGAGTCTCTTTATCCTTTGGGTGTTGGTGCAAATAAACACAGTCTTTTATCTTACATTACTATCCTTTAAGGAAGTTGGTGCAATATTTGGTTGTACCAAAAGATGCCTTCACATATCTATCATGCAGCGGAAATCTTTCGCATGCCATAAATTTTAAATATAATGTATACTAAAATAGCCATTGATGCTTCTTGCTCATTTCTGTATGTAATATAGGCAGCATGTGAAGGGGGATTAAAGGTGTTGCTCTAAATTACTATTAATTTTTGGATTTAGCCATACTGCCCAAAATACTCTGGCTTCTTTAGTAGCTTTTGACTTAATGAAATGTTTGATACTTCCTCCTTTGCTATGCTAGGTGCCAAGCCAATCACATAGATTAGGTTTTTGCATATAATTCTGATTTCAGCCAATTGGGTTTTATTCTAAAGACTTATCTCCCTAAAGCTGTACAGAAACCTGGGTGATTCTTGTTGATCATCGCTAAAGTATTCGTCTGAGTTGTCTGAATTTTACATTTAATTATTTATTATTATCTCTATAATCTAAATATATCAACGATCTTGAGCTGCTAAAATTTTATTCAGAGTCTCCTCCAACACACTGAGGACATCATTCTCAGTGGCCTCTCTCAACAATTTCTCTTCGTCTATCTCCTTCTTAATTCTATTCACCACATCCTTCAACATCTCAAACAGACTCTGTTCCCCCTATTATCTGCTCACCTTCTCCTGTTAAATAATCTGGGACAACCTCTGCAATTCCTCAGTCAATCTTGCATTGATGTTTCTATCCATCTCATCTCTCTCCTTTATATTTTACTGCAACATCTCCTGCAACTGTGGTAAATCACTCTTTAATAGTTATTCAGCATTCTACCTCTAAACAGTCATTAATCTCTTTGATTGCTTGATTCCTCTCACTCTTCTCCTAACTGATCTACTCTCTCAATTCTTGGATATCCTTTTCAACCTATTCATTGAACTTTTATTAACTTTCCTCTCTCTACTTGCTCAACTCCTCCAACTTTTCATTTACACTCTCCTCGGCCTTCTTCATATCCTCAACCATCTATTATTCATCCTCCTGCTTTGGTTCTTATTCACTCAACACCTATTACACATATTCCAAGCCCTCCTTTATTTTAGAGACCTTTCCTTCTAAAGTATCCCTAAGATCCCGTATAGCTGTTTCCAAGATTTCAACTCTCTCCTCTGCCTCCTTTATTCTCGAAGTCTTCAATCAAACAAACACCATATACTTAATCTTTGTGTCCCAAAGTTAACTCGCTCAATTGTCCAACAATCTTCTCTGCTCTGCTTCTTGTAGGTGAGTAAGGTCTGCTCATGAATAAATTTTATTTTAATTAATATTAATAATCATATCAGCATATATAAAATCAACAAATCTATTTCATACATTATTGAGTTCTATTTCAATTTTCAATTTAATTAAGATAAATTAAGTAGATATATTTATTTATACAAATTATAATTAATTACTGATTTAAAATTCACATTTAAATTGAAATTCCTAACTTTTTGAGATCTTCTATTTTCTTCTTGACTCTAAATTAATTGATTAGATTCTGACCCAAATACACAGTTTTGATGTGAATCTGAACCTACTTCAAAATAGCATTCATAATCATATCCAAAAACTTTTCAGTAATCACATTTGATTACAGATACAACACTTGACAATGCAATTCCATCAATTTCATAGCACCAATATCACTAATACGATTCCTCATTAATTTAACAATTTTAATTTTCTTATTTCTGATTTATTCCTCTAATATCATTATTCCATCATCTCCAAGTTCTTAAAGAATAAAAATCAATTACACTACCTTATTGTGATAAATCCAGATGGTCACCATTACAATTGAATAGAATTGATTCCACCTTGGTATTTAGCTTCTTCTTAGCTGCAGGTTTCTTGGGAGATGCAGATTATTGTCTACTCTATACTTTTGGCGAAACCAAAGCAAACTATTAAGAAGCCCTTTTTTGATGAGGTTATTGTGGACTAATTGTATTTTAGGAGATATTGTTAGAGGAAGGTTGAGATTGACAAGTAGATTCTGGCAGAGATGAGCCTAGGAATTCATTATGAGGTGGCTATTCATCAATTTCTTTTAAGAAACTCTGTTCAATTATAGATAAATCTTTAAGGATATTAGGATCATCGAAATACAGTTATTCATATTGATTAAAGGTCGGTATGGCAGAAACAATGTCTTCAAGATTATTTTAGAATTTGAGTAGATAATCGTCTATTTCTTCAAGGATTTAGTTCCCTTATTTATTGGAGGAGTCTTAGAGCAACAAAGAGTACGGGATCTCTCCTTTTTCTTTGGCTAAATGGAATTCTTAGATTTTTTGATTAGATCTAATTGGTAATTTTATATATACCCAAGTATCCATAAATCAGCTTTGTCAAGAATTTAGGTGATAGTAAGAGTCTCCTTTTTGAAGAACTGATCTTCTAACTATTTATACTTTTATTCGATATCTTCGATCACTTTTTACTATTTAAGAAGTATCTAATTGATTATTTCCTAGGGTGATTGAAGTAAGATACTTTAAATTATTCCTCAGCAAGAGTTTATTATTATTTTATACAAAGCCTAATTTAATCGTGTATCTTCTTATTAATGAGTGGCAACTTGAGTGATTTGATTTTATCTTGAATAATGAGAGTCAAATTTTAGGTCTGAATAAGGTTTTCCTTGATTGATTTGTCCACATACTAAAAGTCAATAAAAACACTTACATCTGCATTTTGTATGTTGTGTTGCTTGTGAATACCAAATAAAGCACAATTTGCACAGATTCTGCACCGGTCATCTATACATATAAGTTCGAGCTGTTTATGGTGTTAGGGACACTACTGCATTTTGTCTGGGTTCCATGTTAAATCATTATCTTGGCTTTTGCATATGATTCTCAGAACAGCTTGATTGACTGGGTAGAGTGTAAGATCGGCAGGTTAAAGTAATCTGATAAATTGACATAGAGTACCCATCTTCAGGACAAATGATCTTACTAGATTCTTTAAGACATCGCATACACATTGAATGACCGCACTTTGGTAACATTTGAGGAGTTCGTGTGTATCTATCAAAATTCATTTAGCATTGAGGACAATGGAGTAATTCTTAACTCATTAATTTTATTATATAACATATTTGAATTTAACCGAAAAACTATGGAAAACATCCAAGTAGCAGTCCGTATACGTCCTGATCCTGAACCTTCCATCTGGGCAATTCATGATTAACATATATTTCTTAACAATTAAATGAGAAAGCCACCCAATGGATAAGGTCGCACAACTTTTGCATTTGATCACTGCTTCACCTAAGACAGCAAAAATACAGATATCTATTCCAAGGAGGTGAAATCATTGGTGCTTGGATCTACCAATGGTATCAATGGCACTATTTTCCTCTATGGTCAAACTGGTAGTGGCAAGACTTACACAATGTTAGGTAAGGAAAATGATGAAGGCGTCTTATTGTAGAGTTTTAAGGATTTGTTTGCTAAAATTGAGGCTGATCTCAATAAGACTTATGTTTTACGTTGTTCATATTTTGAAATCTACAATGAACAAATATTTGATCTCCTAAAACCATCCTCCAAATTATAAGAAACCTTACAAGTCAATGAAGATCAAAAGAAAGAATTCTATGTGAAAGGACTCATCGAATAATCTGTATCATCCATCAATGAAATCTTTGATGTACTCAAAAGAGGAGAAATCAATCGACACTACGCTCAAACTGCCATGAATCATAACAGTTCCAGATCTCATGCTATTTTTCGATTATATGTACAATCAATCACCAATAATTTTATTCGACAATATAGAAGGGAATAATCCCAACATAAATTTCCAACATTAGAATAATTGGAAGCAGAAAACAATCAACTTAAAGGAGCTATGGTAACTGAAAGTGTTCTCAACTTTGTTGATTTGGCAGGGTCTGAAAAAGTTTCCAATCACTTTGAGGATGCTGAAATCCAGGATACTAATCGCAGAGTGAAAGAAGGTCAATATATCAATAAGAGTTTATTCTTTCTTACTTAAGTCATTTATTTAAAGGCTGAAGATAAAGGTCATGTACCATTTAGAAACTCATCTTTAACAAAGATACTTAAATCTAGTTTAGATGGATCATCCAGAACATTAATTATTTTATGCATCAATGCTGCAGCTCTTCATTTTGATTATTCCATTTCCACTTTGAGATTTGGGATGAATGCCAAAAAAATTGAAACAAAGGTCTTAGCCAATATTAATTATTAAAATGATGATGAGGCCTTAAAAATCGTACTCTCTGATTATGAAAAGAAATTGCATGACTACGAGAAGATCAGAGCTGAAGAACAAGAAGCATTTGAATAATAGCTAAATAAATTATAAAATGAAAATTAGCAATTACAAAATAGATTAACTACTCAGAATGTTCAAAATTTCAAATGTATTCCAAAACTATATAGAGAAATTACTTGGGCAGATCGATTCAAATATGATTTCCATTGTGCTGGTGCAGGGGACATTCTAGTTACTAATTAAAAAGTGAAGAAACCACCTCAACATGATTGTTAAGGTAAATTAGTTCTAAGTGCTTTAAAAGTAAGCGAATAAAACAGAAAGACCCTCATTTCCAATTATGAATTAGTTAAAAATTAATATCTCTAAATAAACGAGTGCTACAATCAAAGTAGACTTAGGATTTAATAATAATATGAGTAAATTCAATCTCTTAATGGCTAATACAATAGATTATATAGTTATGCATCTGAAATGAAATAGTAGTTACATTTTGATGTAAAATAACTAGAAAGTTAGGAATTACAACAAAGGATTTAGTTTTATTAAAATTAGTTATTAAAATTGTAAATTGAATAGAAGGAAAGAGAATAGTCGAGCAATTTGGATTAACAAAAAGTATATAACATTGAACAATTTAAATTGGTTGAGTAGAGTTCTTAAAATGAAATTGAAGTTCAAAATTATTAACAAATAAATTTGGATGAAATTATGTATACTAACATAGTGGAAGTTGAAATGGAAAAGGAAAAGGAAAAAGAACTAGACCAAAGCATTGAATCTGAAGAATTCTTCAAAGTAGAGTTTCCTACTTACTTAAGGCATTCAAATAATATTACCAAGCCATCTTTGAATGAAACGGCTTCTTAGTAGACTGTTTAGGATTTAAGTGAAATTAACTTTAAAACAGTGTTGCAAAGCTTTATCAGTGAGATGGATGTTCTACAAACTTCTACTCATCATAAAAATAATAGTACATCCTGTAATAAGAAACAAACAGGGAAGTACAAGACACCTGATAAACTGAAAAAATAGAGCACCAGCCAAACTACTATCAGGGGTAAATAGAATATTGATCCTACTCGTTAAAGTTGTAACAATATTCCAAAACCAAAGATACGGCCTAGGGCAAGTGGAAATGGAAATGAAGAGTTGTCAATTCTGTTGAACAACGCTGAAATGAGTAAATATTGAATTATTTTTTAATTATCATTTATTTATGGAAGAAGCACGTGATTTTTCGCATGTTGGTTAAAAGATACTAACTATCGATAAGTTGTGTTATAAGAAGTGTCTGAAGAATTACGAACGTGCTATGAACGTTAAAGAAGAAGCTTGCTTAAGTATTAAACATTTTGATCATAGAAAATTGTTTGGCCAAAGTAATCAATGGAATAGATTTTCTGCATAGTCTCAATAACAAAGGAGGTTTGGATAGAGCACCATTTAAAACTGAAGGAGGTTTCTGGTCAAAGTGAGAGTTTATTAATATTTATTACTAAAATATGACTCATCAACCATACTTAAGTCTCTCCAAATTAAAGAGTTCTCACTCTCATCACGGTTACCATAAGAAGCTGATATTATAGCTTGATGAAGATGACTAATAACATATGCCAATGTTTCATCAAAATACGAGCAAGAGTAGACATCTCGACAAGGGAACCCTTTCAAGGTCAAAAATTCAGAATATTGCTTAATTATAAGACATGTTTAAGCAATTCAAGCATTTTAAATGCTCTGTTCAAGCGTAGTCTCCAGTGGTTCAGATGATGAAATCCAGTCAGATCTCTAAGAAACCTCAATCCTATTCGAAGAGTACATTGGATGCGAAAGAGGTTTCATTTGAGGACAAATAGAAAGTGATGATTTAAGCTCGCAAGACTATGTTTCGAATAGTGATGGATAATAAGTTGCGAAGTTAATCAATAAAGGATTACGGATTTAATTTGAGACCTTTGTTCAACCAAGTGATAGAAAAAAACGATAGTGTTTTAGAATAGAAAGGTAATTATTGCATAACTAGCTAGTTTAGGAACAAAGGCAAGAAAAGAGGAAATCTGACTTGTTTTCACGCAGTCCCTTCTCGAATGCTTACTATGCAACCAAGGCTCTTTCTAAGAGATCTCGTCTGAATGTTTACGAGCGTCTATCATAAAATCTGCCTGCTGATTCACGATTCCACTACGAATGATATTAATATTAAAAAAGATTTAAAATGACCAACGCACAAGAGCGTATGTAGTAAGACTACATTTGGATCCGTGACCAATCCACCGGTGACGCCGATGTGAAGATGCGAACATTCGGACAACACTATCTCTATTATCATGCCCCAAACAAGAGGGAGAGATTGGAAATGATTTGGAGATCCATGGGAAAAGCTTACGATTGGGAAATGGAGAAATTCAGAGTGAGCCTATCATTAATATCTTCTCTTAGATGCAAAAGAAGTTTATCGATAGAGGCAACAAGAGGAGATTCTTCAAGAATTTCTTCCGATTCATCAAAAACCCATTTGGCTACATCTATTGGAAGACATATCGTATTAGATAACCAAAAGGACGTATCATCACAACAATGCTTGGCTTGGGTGTGATTGGCACTCTCTATAAATACAAAATGGAATCAAGTAATCTGAGCATCATCATAATTAGATCAAATCTAAAAAAGAGAATATTACCTTTTGACAGCTGGTAAAAACTCTGAAGGAAGTGGTCTTATTAACACAGGATACAATAATGATAAGTAATTATTGTCTTGAATTTCAAGATTGGCTCGTCAAGGAATGCCATTGACCCAAATGTTCTACTCTTACCTTCACGCCAAAGACATAGTAGTATCTAGATCAAGAGACTAAAATTACAGAAAGTACTTCGAAATGAGAAAGAAGTATTAAATCACAGAATGATCTAAATGTGTATCATCATAAAAATTATCCCAAAACAAAATTTCACATAATACTTATAGTAAATCAATCATTTTTATAATAATTAATTACAAATCTCTTTGTTTTTGTAGAATTGCTGCACCATGCTGTTAACATCCTCCCCTCCTTTTTAAGATAGATTCTTGAAATCAGATAAAACAGATGTTGCAGCCATACTCAAGTTCCTCTACTTCAACATCATATCAATCCATTTCTCAAAGTCCTGTTGCATTTTCTCTCGGCTATGTTTCAACTATGTGCTCATTCTCTCTACTTCAGCCTTCAATTACTTTAATTTATCAAATGACTATTTATATCTATTGTAATAACAATTTAAATTACATATCCTTCTATTTGTTATATTCAGCAATCAGTTTCTCTTCCTCAGTGCTTACTTGATTAGGATCACTGCTCACTAAACCAAGCAATACTTATTCTTTTCTAGTTTATTCTATTTTGTCTTTTAATTAGCTGATAACATTTCTTTGATTATTAATAAACAAACCTAATTCTTTGCTAGTCATCATCTTTTCCTAAAGTTCCTGCTTTAGGTCTTCTTAAGCTTATGCTTTCCTATAGGATTTCCTGAACATCTCCAAAGCTGAATTTCTATCAAGTAATTAATCATTAGATATATTAATCGGTTCTGATAACATTCCATTTAATTCTTTTAATTATGCAGTAGTTGTTTTAGTAGTTTGACTCATAGGTTCACTATCTAAACTTCCTTGCATAAAATTCTATTTCTTAACTGCAGGCTTCTCAGTTAGAATTTAACTTTGTCTATCAATTTCAGCTTGTTTTGGAAACTCTATTGGTTATAAGATACTGGATGTATTAGCTTATTGAATTTCAGGTTACTCTGAAATTGGCCCTTACAATACCAACGATTGATTCGTATTCGAACCTTTGCCTTTCTATATTAGATTAAGAAGGATCATGATCTCATTGTCTCTTTGAATGATTAATTGTTTCAATCTCAAAACCTCATCATTTAATTATTAAACTTCAACTGTATTGTTATTATTAGTTATAGCTTGTGGCTATGGAACAACAGGTGAAGAGGAGACTTTCTTATTTAAATTTTTGAGCATATGCTTAAGCTAGAAAAAGCATTCATTCATTTTGAGATGGTCATTCACAACCAAAATAGCAGCTGGATCATCTGAGTTTAAAAATTCATCAACTTTCTTTTTGCATTCATCAATCTCATAAGATTCCAAATGATCCTTGATACTTTAGCCTTTTATCATTGCTAATTCTGCTTTCAATTACTAATTTTCCCTTTTCAACTTCTCAATGATAATGAATGGATCCACAGCCTCATTCCTCGTTACTTTGTTTTTAATATTAGCAACTCTTCCTGCGAATCGACAAGTACAAATAGATTCTGGGAGATCATCAGGTTCACTAGACATAGTAGCAATCATTCTTGTTTTGCAGTTTCCACCCAAAGAGTCTTTCAATACAAGAGTCATCAACGAATCTCTATATGGAATATGGATGTTTTCACCATTAGCTTAACGATTCAAACAATCAATAACTAATTCCAGAAAATGCAATGATAAATTGATGCCTGTAGCTTCCCTTTAGAGTATGCCTTCAACTCCAGTTTTTCCTATTCTTTCACTACCACTGAGATCGACCAAACAAAGTTTAGAAACAGTTTTGACATCTGAAGTTGGTTTACGACATTCTAGTATAACAATAAAAATGCAATGTGATCTTGTAGAAGCATCATTTTTTGGTGTTTCTGCAATAACTCTATTCTATTCTCCAATAAAGAGTAGATTTAGAGCATCTTCCTCAGTTTATGCTTTTTTCAAGGACAATCCTTATAAAATAGTTTAGCCATTCGCAGTCGCCATAGCTTAAACCTTAGGTAAATCGTGTAGATTTCTGGATCGATTGTCTGCAACTAGGAGATCATATCCAGATCCCCCATAGATTTCTAGATAACTAATTGTGACATCGATTATCTAATTTGATATTTGAAATTCAATATTACTAATTCTTATTCTCTCCTTGCATAATCATATATGTGATAAAGAGTACGTGGAATTATACCTGCAGATGACCTAGCTTCAGGATTACCAGTCATAGAGTAAGTTTTACCTGATCCTGTTTATCCATATGCAAATATTGTTCCATTGTAACCTATGATAAAGCGATTTGCTTACCTTCAATAGCTGAATCTACAACGTCTTTGGCTATTTTATCGAAGATTTCCTCTTGAGTAGTGTCAGTTGGGAATACTCCTGCAAAATTGAAGGTATGTTTTTCAATTTGATTATTGATATAGCCTTGATCTGGGTTCTTGGGGATTGTGAATTCAGCTGTACCCTCATCTTTATTGAGTTTAAAGAGATTTGATGGATTTTTGGTGGGACGGACTCTGAGGAACACATCAATAACAGATGATTTTGACATTTTTAATTATTAATATTCATGAAGTTCGATGCGAAGAGGAATAGTTGAGGTGATATGTAGAGCTATGCACACAATTCGAATATATTAATTAAAATGTTATATTTATTATTGATTCCGGCTCTTGCTTATGTACAAGAATAATATCTGATGGAAATCTATAATCAGATGAGTGGGATTAAGGAGTCCATTTCCTAATTGGAATATTATACAGCTCTCGAGAAATTGGAGTGGAAAGCTCGCTAGGATAGAGAGTTTGAAGAGGAAGGGATGACAATCTATTTAGAGCATTTTGCTGATGTGAGTGAGAGTATGCTTACTTTAGGTGCAAAGATTGCTCAAGCAGAGACTCTCGACTGAGAAAAAGGAGAAGGATGGCTAGGAACTCTTTCTTCATGAGACATACTTTAAAGTCATAAATCTTCTAAAACGCCTAATAATAGATAAAGTATCATTGTTTTATTCATGGGTTAAGGAAAAGTTGATTGAGACTGACACAAAAGAATTGGCTAAGATCAAACTTCAGGCTAGAGAGGATGCGTAGAAGCGCTTTGATGAATACAACTTTTTACTTTCAAAAATTAAAGAAGGTAAGAATGGCCATTTAAAAATTAGTGATTGATTCTCCAAATATTTAAGATATTTTTAAAACATTAGAATTGTTGGAATCTAAGATCATGATTGGTCTTTTCAAATCGAATCCCAGCTAAGAATTAGATTTTTTTATAAAAGGAGTAGATCGATTGTTTAAATAAAGCAATCATTCTAATTCAAGAAATGAAGCTCTACAATTGTTAAGTTTGATGCACAGTGTCATCTAAGAGACCCTTATCGGAATGATGAATGAGCAGCTAGAATCTTCCTTCGATCTTTTGGATAAAGAACTTTTCTACGCTCAATCTAAAAACACTCATCAACAAGCTAAGGAATCTTTGATCACTCTCCTCAATAAACTTGAAGGTATGTTCTCTTGATATCTATTTAACAGTCACAGGAGCCAAGTTCTGGAATGACCAATTGCAGATAAATGGCAATGAAGATCACCTGGTTCAAATGTTCTAGGGTTTTCTTGATCAAGCAATGTTGATGAGTAATCGATCAATCCAATATCATCAACAACTATCAGAAACTCTTAAAGCTATGTTGGAACGTTTTCTTTAACGTTGACATTTAGTTAATTAATATTCTGTCTCCTTTGTTGGAGTAAATAATAAATATATATACAATCTATGATAAATATTGTTTTTATTGCGATAAATGTAAATGCTCACTAAAGTGGAGTCCAATTGTTAACAAATGGGTTTCTTCTAAATCCAAACTTAACACCTGAAGTATCGACATCGTCTGTTAATTTGTAGGGCTTCAATCTGATTTACTCGCCTTCAGCAATCTTCTCTTTGTTATCAGCAGCAATCCTGGAATATAAAATCGAAATTACTATTGTTGAACATCGTATCTCTCCCATGGAGGCAATTTGTCCAAGAAGTTTCTTCTCACGTTGCTCCAAAAGGCTTCCTCATCAGAACCATGAATGTATGGATTGTACACCCATCTTCTATCCTTGATTGGAGAAGTCAACTGAATTTGTCTTGCCTTTAATTCATAAGCATCTAATCATACTGTCAAGATCTCCTTCTCAATGTCTGACAATTTCCTATTCAAAACTTCAAAATTTCTAATAAATCTTTCTTTAGATTCTGTGTATCTGGTATTCACCCACATCAAATCATGACCCAAACCTGAGTCACCTCCCTTTCTTCTTGCAGTCGAGTAGTAATCAAACAATTGGAGAGTGCCAAACACCACCAATGCTCTGGACACCCACAATGATGAGCGATGGAGTCTCAGGTAAGGAACATTATAGGTCCATCTGGTAATCCAACCATTGCAACAATAAGCAACTCCAACACCCAGCAAAAATCCTACACCATAATCCTAACATCCATACCAAAGTTTCTTCCAATGTTTCTATGGCCGTACAACCAAGATAACTCCTTTGCTTCCTTTGGACTGAATCCCTCTTCTACCTAAACACAATTCGTTCACATTTTTACTAAGGACTAACAGAGTACATCAGTCTTAAGACGCTTCCAATCGACTGGACCAAAGAATCTCTCGAAAGTGTGAATGATTATTTCCATTTTTATATTTTTAATAATGCCCACATCGATAAATATTTTATTATTATAGACAATAAAAAAAAGATATCTTCATCCACATGGAGTAACACACGCATTCCTATTGCAAACACACACAACCAGAGTTAATGTAATGAGTTATAAAGAAATTTCAAAGCAAATTTGAATTCTTGCTATCATAAACATGAATTTGAATTAAATATTCATTCTACTATAGATATAAGACTATATTCTATATCTTATTATTTTGTACAAGTGGGTCTCATTATAATTTTAATAAAGTATTCCTTAAGTAGAGCTGCTATTTCAATATTCTAGGGGTTAACTATTTCTAAAGCATTATATCATCACCTCTATTAAACAACTATAATTCCTCTTTATATTATTATAGATATTCTAATAATTGTTATTTCAAATAGAAATATCAAATAAATATTTCACTATTTTTGTTAAAACATAGGAAAAGATATTTATATACAACTAACTCTTAGAATAATGAAATAATTCATCTCGAATTCTTCAAGCAATAGAAAAATTTTGGTAAAATTGAAATTTGAACTCCAAATGATAAATTTTTTTTGATTAAAAATAAAGTTTAAAATTAAATGATATTAATCAGAAACATTTTCTGTGCACTATTTAAGGTCCAGCTTCGTCGTATTCTGATCTTGTAACCCACATTGCCTAAAATGTTGATAACGATGATAAGATAGATCCTCCTATCCAAACAGAAAACTTTCTTTCTGGTGGAGCCACTACTTTCACTTTCATTGAGGATGGCGCCAAACTTGATAATTCCTTACTTAATCTCTCAGGGATACCTGGGAACATAGTTGTACCTCCAGACATAACTACATTTCCATATCTAGATAAATATAAGATGTATATATTACAAGTCCTTTCTAACATCAATATCTGCCTTCATTATTGATTTAAATGTTAATTCATGAATTCCTGGCACTTCCAATCCAATAAAGTTTGGTTTGAATAACAATTCTGGACATCTGAATCTTTAATTCTATATCACAACAACATTTCCATCTGGTAATTCATAGGGTCTGTTACTGGCTGCACTCTCTTTGTAAGTTTTCATTTCTGCTTCATAATCCAATGCAACATAGCATAACTTCTCCTTCATATCTCTGGCTATTTCCAATTCAGCTGAAGAGGTGAATGATATTCCCAACTCATTCAAAATATTTACAAGATATTAGGTACAAGCTCTTCCTGCCAAATCAATTCTTTGAATTGCATGAGGAAGCGAATAACCTTCAAAAATAGGGACAGTGTGAGTGACACCATCTCCTGAATCTACAACTACTCCTGTTGTTCTTCCTGAAGCATATAAAGAGAGAACAGCTTAAATTTAAACATAGAATGATGGGACATTAAATGTTTCAAACAATATCTGAGTCATCTTCTCTCTGTTAACTTTTGGGTTCATTGGAGCTTCAGTCAATAGTGCTGGATGATCTTCTGGAGATACTCTTAATTCATTGAAGAACGCATGATGCCAAATTCTTTCCATGTCTAAAATATATATAGAACACTTACCATCCCAATTATTGACTATCCCATTATCAATTGGATACTTTAATGTTAAAACACCTCTTCTAGCTTATGCTTCATCACCTACATAGGCTTCCTTTGTATCCATTCCCACCATTATCCCTTGATGTTTAGGTCTTCCTACTATGGCTGGGAAACAACATCTTGGAGCATCATCTCCTGCAATTCCTGCTTTGCATTAACCTGAACCATTATCAATTACAACTGCTGGATGTTCTTCACTCATTAATATTAAATTATTGCTATCCTAATCAAGATCAATCTATTTCTACTACTCCTCTAATATCAATTCTGATAAATTCTTTCAATATTATAAATTTTTGGTTATTATATCTCTTCATGTTATTATAATAACCAAAAATTTAAATATAAAATTAATAATAATCTGAATTGAAAAATCAATCACTTAAACTCTAAATTAAATTTAAATTATTTTTTAATTTTAAGTTCGATTGCATATTAAATTTCTCCAAATTATATTTTATGCTCATTAAGATTATTGATAATTGCTTTTTTGAGAATATCCTATCTATTGATTTTATCAAATAATCTGTTAATAGAATCTCAAATTTAACTATTGATATTTATATTTATTTATAAAAGGATAATGTATATTTAACAACCCTCTAGTACATGTATTAACTATCAATCATATATTTCTACGAATATAAGAACAAAACTTAATTAAATTTCTTTTTAGAGCTATGTAGCAGATAGTAAGAGCTGATATAACATCTACAAAAAAATTCTTTAATTGAGTTGCAAAATCTTAGATGAATGATTGTGTGTCCTTTGAGGTTCCAGCTAACCCGATTGCTGTTCCAGCCATCACCGCAACTTCCCAGGCAGACTTACAAGCTTTTAGAGTCTTTGAGAACTTCATGACTTCTACAAATGATGATAAAGATAAGATGTCACTTGAGAGAGAACCATCTTCTAAGTTTCTAACAGCATTATTAAAATTTATCATAATTCCACCAATTCCACGAACACCATCTAAACAATCTTTAATGTTTTTGATTTTGAATTTGATTACTTTTGCATTTAAAATTTAATCAAGTACTCCTTTAAACACTATTTCTACGAATTCGCCATTAAAAATAAAAGCCTCAATGCTTTTTGTTACTTTAAGTAGTTAAACCAGCATAAATCCAATCTATTTTCCAAAATCTTCATAAGCTCCTTGTTTCCAGTCGTTAATAGCAGTGTCTAAATTATATATAGTAATTACTGATTCCCTTATAGATATTTAGACCATTCAAAATATACTTATAACTCATTTCATATGAGAATGTCTATGGGTTTCTCAATTGTTCCAACATGTTAGTGAGAAGTTCTATTTATTAATATTATGTTTACATGACAAAACTACCATTTCCTCGGATCCAGATTCACATGTAGTAATAGANATCACCTACATAGGCTTCCTTTGTATCCATTCCCACCATTATCCCTTGATGTTTAGGTCTTCCTACTATGGCTGGGAAACAACATCTTGGAGCATCATCTCCTGCAATTCCTGCTTTGCATTAACCTGAACCATTATCAATTACAACTGCTGGATGTTCTTCACTCATTAATATTAAATTATTGCTATCCTAATCAAGATCAATCTATTTCTACTACTCCTCTAATATCAATTCTGATAAATTCTTTCAATATTATAAATTTTTGGTTATTATATCTCTTCATGTTATTATAATAACCAAAAATTTAAATATAAAATTAATAATAATCTGAATTGAAAAATCAATCACTTAAACTCTAAATTAAATTTAAATTATTTTTTAATTTTAAGTTCGATTGCATATTAAATTTCTCCAAATTATATTTTATGCTCATTAAGATTATTGATAATTGCTTTTTTGAGAATATCCTATCTATTGATTTTATCAAATAATCTGTTAATAGAATCTCAAATTTAACTATTGATATTTATATTTATTTATAAAAGGATAATGTATATTTAACAACCCTCTAGTACATGTATTAACTATCAATCATATATTTCTACGAATATAAGAACAAAACTTAATTAAATTTCTTTTTAGAGCTATGTAGCAGATAGTAAGAGCTGATATAACATCTACAAAAAAATTCTTTAATTGAGTTGCAAAATCTTAGATGAATGATTGTGTGTCCTTTGAGGTTCCAGCTAACCCGATTGCTGTTCCAGCCATCACCGCAACTTCCCAGGCAGACTTACAAGCTTTTAGAGTCTTTGAGAACTTCATGACTTCTACAAATGATGATAAAGATAAGATGTCACTTGAGAGAGAACCATCTTCTAAGTTTCTAACAGCATTATTAAAATTTATCATAATTCCACCAATTCCACGAACACCATCTAAACAATCTTTAATGTTTTTGATTTTGAATTTGATTACTTTTGCATTTAAAATTTAATCAAGTACTCCTTTAAACACTATTTCTACGAATTCGCCATTAAAAATAAAAGCCTCAATGCTTTTTGTTACTTTAAGTAGTTAAACCAGCATAAATCCAATCTATTTTCCAAAATCTTCATAAGCTCCTTGTTTCCAGTCGTTAATAGCAGTGTCTAAATTATATATAGTAATTACTGATTCCCTTACTTATAACTCATTTCATATGAGAATGTCTATGGGTTTCTCAATTGTTCCAACATGTTAGTGAGAAGTTCTATTTATTAATATTATGTTTACATGACAAAACTACCATTTCCTCGGATCCAGATTCACATGTAGTAATAGAGTCTGGAATTTATTAAATGGCTACTCCAATTAATTTGATTCCTTCTTTGACTTCCTCAATGGCATTCGTTTTCAAATTTTCGATAGCTTTCCCAATAGTATAAATTAATTATTCTGAATTTTTTAAGCAAGACATTATTTATTTTACTTCTACATGACCATCAACTTACACTCCTTCTATAACTCCTTTCACAATTAAATAGGCATTTTTAGCGTGGGTGCCAACTTACTAAGAATTACCTAACACCAAGAGTGTTAAAACCATCAACAATGTTGCTTTCATATGTTTAAATTTTATAATAAGGAAAAAGAATAATCGAATTATAATTATTTATATGATCATATAAAATTCTATTACAATATTTTATATAGACTAATAAAATAAAAATATATAGAAAATGAAGTAATTATTTGAAAGAGATATACCTAATAATTAGAAATGAAAATAGATTTTTCGATGTTCTTTAAGGATATTATTTTATCATATATTTATATGATTAATTCGTTAAATTTTATTATAAACACCTCTCAAATATCTATCTAAATAAATGACATTTTTAGAAATTATAAGTTAAATTTAATATTAAATTATGTTTATTAAGGAAATATTAAAACTAATTTTCTTAAGTGAATTGAAACTGGATATTAATAGTTTATCCTTATTCATTATATTGTTTTTAATTAATAAATATTTTTATTATGCTATTGTTATTCCTCTATTATTAATTAATTAATCCATCCATTATTTTGCATCTGGTTATTATTCGTTACAAATATTTTGAAATATTTTCTTCTCTTTATTTTGATTAGTCATTGATAATATTAATTATTTTTAATAATTCATATTGGTAGATTTCTTCTCTAAATTTTATATTTCATTTTCTTTTCTGTTGTAAATATTTTGCAAACTCTATAAAAACTAGCTAATTTTGAAAGTGACAGGTATTTGAATAGAATCAACTCTTACCAACCACTTTGTTTTAATTTATGTACTTTCTTCATACTCTGTCAAAACATAATCAAATAATAATTGTTTCACCACTTTAAATAAATATTAATTAGATATTATGAATTAAGACAAATTAAATTCTTATCAGTTCTTAATAAAAATGCGATAATTTATTGAAATATTTTCAATCTCTCTTGATACATTAAAATCAATTCAACTAGATTTGAAAACATTTAATTCAAAATTCTCAATAAACACATTAATAAATCAGAATTGAAAATTTATGTATTATCTTTATAGGATGATCAAATAACTTTGTAATGATATACCCTTTTTTTTGATTCAATTCTAAGTAAACTATACTTAATATTTAATAGAAAATGATCAGAAATTTCATAAATGAGCATTTTATAGTAATTTAATATGATTCAATGAATATGCATTATAAACTTTATCAAGGAACATTATTCGGTTCGACGTATATAGTTTCATTATCTTTGATTTAAATATTCGCCAAATTTTAATTTTATTCGAGGATCCTCCCTTTAAAAGATAATTTAATTTTATCATTTATTTGATAATTATTTATGATGTATTCAATTATCTCTGAAATTGTAGTTTCGTATGACAGTTCAATATTTAATTCAAAACTCTTTTTCAAATTATTGGTTTAGAATTTGATATTGACTTGCTTCTATTTAAAATTGCTATTGTTATTTATATTTTCACCTTTTTTATCTTCTGATCTCATATCCTCTATATTATTAACAAGAATTTTGCTTTTTGGAAATTTTTAATTTTATTGTGGTTATTAGTTTTGTTAATTCTATTGATCAGTATACTAGTTGGATTAAATTTTATGATCAACTTTACTCTAACTTTATTGTTAAAATTGCTGATTCTGTTGAATAGAATTATTTTTCTATTCTTAAAACTGTTTCCCCTATCCTTTTTTAATTTATACTTCCACAGTCTAGCCATTCTTTATTCCTTAATCTTTTAATGACTATTTTGGATTAATTTTTATTCCTTTTTTTTCGTTTATTTCGTTTATAACTAAATCAAAATCATCTTCTATCTTATAATAATATTTAATTTATTGCTGTAAATCTTCTCCTTGAGTATCATAGGTGACTTCTAAAGTCTACATTTTTTGACCATTAATGATAATAGTTATTTTCAAAATAGCTATTTTAACAAAAATTTCGGTATTATCTTTTATATCATTTTCTTCTAAAGACTTTTAAGAATCTAAATTTCTTTCTTTTGTTATTAAATAGATTTCTTAAGATATTGAGAATTCCTACTTTATACTCTAAATTACTGCTTCTAACAATGTATTTCTTTGAAGCATTTGCTCGCGTTCCTAACTTTCATATTTTATTATAACTCTTAATAACGGGTTTTCCGCTTTTCCCTATTCAATTATTTTGATTTTAGGAAAATTGCACTACAATACGCATCCATCAGTTATTCCAGCCTGTAAAAAGGATTTTTTTTAGGGTAAGATAATATTTTAATAAAGTAATTAAATTTGTTTAGAACAATTCAATTCCTCTTTCATTTTGTTCTCTAAATCTTCAATCAATTGATTATTTTGAAATTAAAATTGATATTTTTATTGCTAATATAAAACAAACACTTTGATAGTATTGTTATTATAATTGTAATCAGCTCCATTTGATTGTCTAATTTACTAATTGTAATCAGCTCCATTTGATTGTCTAATTTACTACAGTTAAGGGAATTCCACTAATAGTTATGTTCCATTTTGGATATTATACTATTTTAAGGTATACTTTTTATGTACTAATTTCTATCCATTACTTAATTTTAACTCAATATTTTTCAGTTAAAAATTAGATTAAATTTGTGAAATGAGTTCTTCTATCTCTGTTTCATTATCAACCTCCATTTTTTCGATATTATTTTCAATTTTGATTTCTAATTTCAATGTGTTATTTTATTTATGAACAACTTTTAATCTACTCATTTTTTAAATATTTAATTAATTAATTGTTAAATCTTTTGGCAACACTTTCTAATCTTTCATTATGTCAATATCAGTCAAATTATGCTAGCTTTTTAAGAGATCAATAAGTTCACTTATTAATGTGTCGGTAGACACTGATAAAGTAAATGATTATTCATTATATTCTAAGTCTATATCAACAAATGATAAATTTTTCTAATATGAATCTTTTAGAAAAATCAAAAGACAACGGTTTTTATTTATATCAACTTCAAAAAGCAATTTATCTGGAAGCAATATTTATTTATCGTTTAAAATACAAATGTCTTACTTTATTTAAAATAAGGCTTTTGCTTTCTCCTCTAATTCAAAAATCTTGCCATAGAGGTCGAATTAAAGATTCTTACATTCCTTTTCATATTATAGTATTAACTCAATCATTTATTTTTATTAAAAACATTAGTTTTATGTTTTAACTTCTACAGTAGATGTTGCGTCTATTTAATACTGTTTTGTTGGATTCATTTTTTAAAGAATTTAATCATTATAAGTAAGTTTAAAGCTATCCTTACTTAATGAAAACTATTTTTCAGCTTAATCATATAAAACATTAATCAAATCATCTTAATAGACATAGGCGATTCTTATTTCATTAGTAAAACGCAGTTTTATTCCCTGTAATTATTTTATTTATTCAATTTTCTTGAGCTACACTATATCATTAGAAAATAAGAATTTTTATATTAATCTTTCGTTTTTTTTGAGTTCAATTCCATTTACATATAAACCTAATTATTAATTCTATTCCTTTAATTTTAGCTTTTATATTAGTGCATCTATAGCATCAGACACTAAAAGGTTTTAATCTAATTGAACAAATTGGACCTTTGACCCCAATACCTCGATTTTGAGATTCATCAAAATTTTTTATTTATTTATTAATTAATAGATCCAACTCTAGGGTATTTAATTGCTTATATAATAAACAAGACTGAATCTTTCTAATATAATTAATTTTAGTAAAAAAATGCAATTCTATTATCATTATATTAATTAACAAAAAAATCGAAATATATAATATATGTATTTATTTATATGATTATAATTGTTTGTTTTAATTTAATTAGAGTTAATTAGCTTTGGGAAATCTTCAATACCAACCTCTCCGAAAATCTTATTCTATTTTAAATGCGCTACTTATCTCAGCTTTAATATTAACATAATTTAATTTTCACACTTTCTTATTTAATTATCCAATTTTTTTTTGGTTTTAAGTTGTTATTGAATCTCCAAATTTAGATGTTTAAATAGATCCATCTCTTTTTAGGAAATATTCTTATTCCCCTTGCCACAAATCAGCTTTGCATTAAGAATATTATATTTATTGATTAATTTTTTGTGATAAATTCCCTCATTCTTCATTCAAACTATGGTGATGTTATTTGCTGCAATGTTATTTAATATATCCTATTAATTGATAAAAAATGTTTTTTTCTTCTCATTTTCGTATGAATTCTTAGCATTATTCTTATAAATCCATATAAATTTCATTAAAGTAATGAACTAGCAATTACTCAATATTCTTAATCATCTTTGATATAATTCTTTTTGATAATTTATAATAAAATATAACATTTTAAAAATATTCTAGATCTTTATTTACAAGCAAATAAAGAGTTCTGCTATTGATGCTTTCTATCTTGAGAGTTACCTAATATAATTCTACTAAACGCTTCTGTTATTTATTCAACCTTTTTTGAATCAGTATATCATTAATTTATTTCCTTATATATGAATTCTGTTAATGAAAACAATAATTAAGAGATTTTCTTAATAAAACTTGCTTCCACATTTTAACGTACAATAAGAGTAAGAGTTAAAATATAAACGAAAAAAAGTAATAAATAAGAATATTTATGCTTGTTTTAATGATTGAATATTATGTAGGATGAATTTATTTAAGGGAAATATTAATAAAAAATGAAGGAGAAATGTAAATTTATAAAGGAATATCCCCTTTGAAATTACCTTAATCTGTTTTAATTCTAACATAATGATTAAATAACAAGTCCTATGGAGGTATTCTAATAGATATAACTACATAACAATCTGATTGGACAGCTAATTAGTATATTAATATGGAAAAAGAAATGAAATTCTTAAGTAGTACAAACAACTTAAAGAAATAATGAATGATTCTATATTAGTCTATTAAGTTTCTGTATTGAATGCAAAATAATTGTTTTTAATTATAAGTTTCTCTTAATTATAAATAGCCTTTTCATGAATAGTTTATTTGATACTTAGAATGCTATAATTTAATGGTTAATACTATTTATTGTTTATTTTTTATGAGCTTTTGAAATTTAAACATTGAATGAATGGTACTTTTTCATTATTCTTAGGGAAGAATTTTACTGGTTTTTAAATTTTTTCTCATTTTTAGTTAAAGCAATACAAATTTTGTTTTATAACTCTATTAAAGTACATGAGTTGATTATTTATATGATATATGTTGTTTCTTCTATTATTTCAAAATCTAACCAAATCTAATTTAATGAAATATTTTTTGGAGAATGGATGAGGAGACCTTCATATGATCATAATTATGTTGGACAAAAATTAGAAATTATATAAGTTTTGATTTTTTGGATTGTTCTATTTTGTTAAAAACACTTAATCCTTGGAACAAAATTCCATAATATTTATTTATTTATTTTTTATATTTTGTCGTAAATTTAATTGAGATAAACTAGTAAATAATTTTTGAATTTTTTATAAATATATAAGAGCGAATTCGAAATAACGCAGTAAATTAATTTGTTAACTGATAACTATAAATTATGAGAATAGTTACTATTTTGTTTGATTCAGTTTTAGTATTTGTAATATTTCTGTCCAATTTATTTCAAGCAACCTTGGAGAATCATATAATTAGTTTGAATTAACATATAAAAGTACTGAATGATGAAATTATATTAATTTAATAATTGAATTAAAATGAATATCAACAGAGTTTTGCATACTTTCAGAGAAGATGCTTTTACAATTCACCTATGAAACTTTTGGTTATTTCTGTTATTTCTGGAAATAAGTTAATAGAAGTGATAAGTTATTTCAACTCTTCTATTTTTTCATTATCTGGTTTTACTAGAGTATTTTTCAATTATTAAGTAGTGTCAATGTTATTGGGGTTCAATTCTTAACTTTCTTTCCTTTCAATCAACTAATTTCTTAAGTGCTTATAGTATCTGTTTTTCACCATGCTATATGATTTACTAGGAAAGTAAGTAGCAATTTTAACGAATTTAGGGCCTAATTCTTTGACGTATTAAAGAATGCTTTCGTCTTCTTCTTTAGTAAATTAAGAGTTTTATGAGAATTTATGTATTTTATAATAGGATAATTCTCTCTTTCTTCTCTTTTGATTTGTTGTTTAAGTGGTTCGTCTTGGTGGAGAGTATTCTTCATATCGCCAAGCCTTTGAAGGTATACGCTTTTCTCTTTGCATTAATTAATTATAATTATGAATTAATGAAACCTATTACTCTTCAACCTTTAAACTGTTGAAGCAGTTGAGACATTCAGTTTATTGTTCTAAATTTGACTGCCAGATTTCATCATCCACATGATAGTATGCTTAGACTTTAAATTGAGTGCTATTTATGTTATACTATCGAACCGCAAACAATACTGTATAAAAAACAAGAAATAGAAAATAATTCTAACTTATAATCCATAAGTTTAGAATATCTCACTTTGAGATGACACCTTCAATTATGTAAGGTTAACATTAAATCAAATAGTTTAAATTGCTATTCTGATGGCAACCATTTGAATTAACAAACTTTTAAGATAATAAATAAATACATTTGAGGTAATATTGAATTAATTATATATATATTTAATCAAAAGATAGTGCATGGATCACATGTTCTATTCTTTTTATCTTTATTCTTAAAGGAGTCTATTGAAACATTTTCATGTTCATCAAATTGTTTGAAATCAAAGGCTGAATTCAATTTATTCTCTTGCGACTTTCTCAATGCATAAGACCTGGAACAAGAATCAGAATTGAGAGTAAGCTTTCAATATTGATGAGACATTACCTGCAATAAGGCGTGCTTTCCTTTATACACTCTTACTTTCTGTCTATCAGGACTCAAGGAAGCATTAAGTTAATCTTCGGGTATCGACTCATTAGTTTTTCTTTGATCTAACTGCTATTCAATTTCCCTTATTTTTTAAGCGTAATATTCCTCCTTTTCTTTTTTGGATTATTTGAGTTATTCAATTTCATTTTTTAATTAATTTAATTAGTTCTTGATTTGATTAGGTGGTTAGATTTCACTTCTCTTTCTCTTCAACGTAGAAGTTCGACCCATATAATATTTTTTATCATGTTCTTGGTCTTCCAATTTCAACATAGTCTCATATATTTACTCTCCCTAAGATTTTACTTATTGTAATTTTAGCTTTGCATGCAGAATATCATCATCTATTTGTTCAAGAACATCTTCTGCCTAATGTTTTGCTATTTCAGTATTTTTTTGTCTTTCTTTACAAATAATGATTTCATCTTAAAGATCCTATACTTTTTCTTGTATTTCTTGGATCTGCAGCTTTTTGACTGTAGATTTCTCCTTATTTGAGGAGAGGATCTCTTAATGTTTTTGTTGCAATTCAGAAATATAACTAGGCATATTAGCGGATGTGAATCTCATTGATTGATTAGTTTCTCGAGGAGTAACATATTATTGAATTTAAATAGATTGAGGAATTTGATCTAAGCACAAACTCTGTTTTTTCATGTGAGATTTACTCTTAGGCAGATTAAATGAATTGAAATTCTCCTTCAATGCTTACTTCTCTGCAAGCATTACTTCTAAATAGTCAATCATTGAATGCGCTTTTTCCAATTGTTCTTGATAACATTTAATTTGCGAACTAGGTGAGAGACTTGGAGAAGGAGGCTAGAAATCTGATGATGTTGACATAAATTTGAAATTAAATTATAGTGAATGTTAGTTATTATATAAATTAATGTTCCAGCAATCAAAATTGATCGGCAGCAATCAAGAAAGAAGACAGGTTGAAGACATCATTCGTTAGACTAAAGGTCCATACCAGCCATTCTAGAAGAAAATCAAGCTCAAAAACTTGGTCTAAATTCTGTAAGAGATTTGGGAAGAAGACGAGGATTATTGATTATATATTATTATTGTCATAATATCTTGATTTCAGAATTTACCTTTTCCTTCTCATTTCCACTCTCCAAATACTTCAATGATTCAATATAATACTGTTTGGCCTCCTCATTTCTCCGTAATTATGAATGCACCTAACCCAAGTTCATTAACAACTTTCCCATATTCGAAATTGCTATCTTGGAATCATAAACTCTCATCAAAATTGATCGACAACTTTCATAATCGAAACACAACGACATCTCCTCAGCTAATTCAAGCAACAAATCCAAATCATAAACCTCAGTTTATTCCATCCGTTACAAACATTGCTTTGCTTGTTGTCCTCTCTTCTACAATAAGCAATTCAATGCCAAATATCCCCAAACTTCCCCATTGAAAGGCTCATAGATATTTGCTTAGCAAAGACATTCCTCAGCAATTGGATCACACAATCTTAAATTTGCTATTCCCAAACCCAACCATGATAAAGAACTATTCGGTTATTGATCCAACGCCTTCTCAAATATCACCTTAGCATCTTGCCATGATTTCCTCTTCAAATACAAGTATCCTAATCTCAATTGAATTTCAAATGATCTCTTTGATTATATTGAAAGTGCCTTTAAAAACGTTTCTTCAGCTTCATAAAATTATTCTGTCTAAAAACACAAAGATCCCTTAATCAAGTAAACATCATAGAATCTCGAATTTTAAGTTAATAACTTCTATATCAAAGCTAATGCTTCAGGATAGTTCTCATTAAAAATGTGAATTTAAGCTTTGATTATGTTTATCTTTTGAGTTGTTTTGTCCTTAATTGAAACCAGTGCTTTCTCAGCTAAATCAAATAAATTCCTAGATGCAAAATATTCTATCAATTCTAATTGAATTGAATCAATTTACTCTTAAGTTAATACTGGTGCTTTTTTAGCCTTCTCCTATTACTCAATCATTTGTTGCTTGAAATTAGGCAAAAGATGAGGATCTGGCTATTATTTTGCAAACCTATGATACATTAATAAGCATAATACCCTTTAGTCAATAAGCCCATTGTTCTCATAAATATTCTTTGAGTGCATCTTAAATACTTATCAGCCATATTGTCATTTCCCTGCTGTCTATAAATGAATGACATTAACAAATTAAACAACGTATTAATAGGTTCTTTTTGCAATAGTTCCTTTAAAATTTGAGTAGCTTCCTTAAATCTCTCTCTTCGAATATAAAGACAAGCCATGAGTAATTCATTTTCCTTATTCCATTCAACATCCCTAACCATTTGAATTAATTGCTCAGCTGCCTTAAATCTCTGTATTTTGAGACAATATTTTGCAAAGGCTGAGGCTGATGTTTTATCGACCAATACCATATTAGTGTAGTATTTGAGTGCCTGGCTCACTTAATTAATAGTTTCATATTCTTTGGCCAATCTTTGGAATTTTTCTAATTGAGATTCTTTGAGTCTTTTGAACACTCTATCTCTTTCCCTGATATTTTATTCAAAGGTTAAAACCAAATCTTCGTGAATGTCATCTTCTTTATTGTTTTGTATGTATTCCCCTAGAGTCGTTTGCATTTATTCCATCATAAAGACATACAATTCAGCAAACAATCGATCCTGTTCATCCTTATTTACTCCAACAAACAACCCTTCCTTAGCAAATTTATCAATGCAAACTCTTATAATAGAAGATCGTAGTCTCTCTTGTAAGATATTGTATTTGCCAGAGGTATTCATTTCATTAAGAAAAGATTCTTTCTTCTTGGTCAATTCTAGCCACCTTTGATGAGTCATGCTAATCATGGGTTAAGTCTTGGCTTTCTAATCACTTTAATATAGTTTGCTGTATTCTTCTTCAAGGGACTTCATAGCTTCCTTGATATCCTCTAATAGATAATGAATAGAGTATACTCTTGAATTGCCATACACATTCAAATTTGCTCGGTATCTTTTGGATGATAACAGGTTCTATTTAGAGTGATGGTACATCTTCAACTAATGGTGTTAATGCAGGCTCAGTGTTTACTTCAATTTTCATATACAATTTATCACAATTATACTTTGGACAATCAGATCCTTCTTCTTATTTTAAAAAGACTCTCACTATAGTGTGAGTGCATCCAGGTTCTAATAGATCAGCTAAATCAAAAACTCCCTTGAAAATAATCTAAGTCAATTCCGCATTATTCAAATTCTTTGTCTTGCCCTTTTTCAATTTAACTAATTCCTCTTCTGTCACAGCGGGTTGTCTAATGAATTGAATAGTGTTTCTTTATTCCAGAATCTCTTCCTCTAATTACCTAACATTAGTAATGTCAATTGAATGTGTTTCCTCATATTAGATGCTGGCAGTTTTGAATTTATCTTCTGAAATGAAAAACAACTTTTCTTACTCAGATAAGGTTTCTAAATGCTACTATTTTTATAATTCTTCCTCTTCTTCTTAAGCAATAGCCTTCTTCATGGCTTCCTCTTCTTCTGGACTTTTGGAGTCCTTTTTGTTCTTTTTACTATTTTTCTGATACTCCTCAAATTTCTCCTTCTCCGTCTGTTCTCTGGGTTTTATTTTACCAAACATATCCTCTCCTTTGTATCTAATCACATTTGCAAATATCGCCGGATTGGTCTCATCGGTGACCCTCCAATCATCTGTAAATCCATAAACACCCTTTTATTATGCTAATGTCTGATTACCTTGATTGTCAAATGAATGGTAAGCTTTTCAATTGGGTTATTAACTTTTTCTAGAAGAGACAATAATTTGGGATCTGGTTCCATTAAAATTAATAACTTATTATGCAATAAAATAATTCACCGCCCTCTACTGCTTCATTTGTGCTCGAGAAACTCAAACACTACAGAAAATCTCACATGTCCTTTGCACTTCGCAATCTTCTCAGCACAAACTCCAACAAATCAAAGACAACTACGAAACCGTTTATGAAGTTATTTTCATCCTCCAATTGCAATTCTCCACTCCCCAGAGATATATCCCTGTTCGAACATACCCAAGATCAAACTACTAAACAACTAGACCTCAGTAATATGCATGAATTCGAGTACAAAATGACTCCGCAATCCCAACTCAACTCATTTAGCAGAGTATTAAAAAACTCCTCAAAATAGGACCTAAAGCTTGTTCCCTTCATAAGTGCCAAAAGATACAATAAACTGGACAAGCGATACTATATTATACTTTACTTTGAAGAGAATTCCTCCCAGTTTCAAGAATTAATAAGAAGAAAAGATGCCGAGAGAATGATACATTTATTTTAGAAACCTATGTTCATAGCACAAGAACAAAATGTATAACAATATTGTATTAATCTAGTTAATAGAGTTGTTTTCCTATATGATCTATTTATTAGCTTAGTTCTTTTTTGATTGCTAAGAATACTCAAAGGCTACATATTTCTTAAAGGATTGCTTCACTTTATCGAATCTATCTCGTAACCCTAAATTGAAGGTTAATTCTTTACTATCTATGGCCATATGTGCTAAATAGTAAACTATTTTATATTAATAGGTTTAAGTTATTTGACTAATAGATTATTTTGATTCAAAAAGCTTTGATGTATTCATGGGCCTATTACTATCATGACGAAGAAATACAGTGTTATGATGCTATGGGATTGGCATATTTCTATTAAGGCAACATAGAAAGAGCGGAGTTCTATCATTAAAAATGGTCGAGTGGGTTTTTGGAGGAACCATCATCTTATTACAGAGTAACAGCCTTGGAGTTTATCTCGATGTTTGAAAGAACCTTGCCTACAAAGGCTGTAGACTTTATGTCATCAATACAAGGGTCGATTAGTGTTCCTTTTGTGAATATTGCTACTGGCAGAAATTATGATGATCGGAGATTCATCAAGTATAACAATTGCAATCCCCTGGAGATCATCTACTCCATTACTAAAACAAAGGAATTTATGGAATTCAATCTGATTCATCACGAGTAGACTTTGGTGTTGAATCAACAAACAAAAAAGCAACCAAAACTACCGAAAAGAATCTTGGAGATTACCGAGAAATACCATAAGAACAAGGATTTGTACTCCTTTAATCATAAGATAATGGAGAATCCTAAATATAAATTGTCTCTTTAATAGCAAGTAGATTTCAGAATGACTCAATCATTTTCTATCTAGGAAGTCAATTCGAACGTTAAGAAGTTTATATCATCACAGAGAGAACCCTTCATGAAGGCTTAGCAGATATATATCAGAGCAAACAACAAATAAAAGGAATTCATCCCAGCTGTTATCATGAGATATCAGAAAATGCTCACCTAAATACTAAAATGATTATTAAATTTTTATAATTAGATAAATAATACCAATCTATTGCCAATTATTAAAAGGAAAAACTTAGCTCACAATATTTAAAATAATGAAAGGACTAAAGAGATGGAGTCAGCCTTTGGGTATGTTTGCATCATGCCCAGGAGAATTTGAAAACTTCACTAAAAGTTTCATTGATGTAATCCATTATGAGAATATACTCAATAGGCAAGTAATCTGCAATACAGCCAAGAAGACATCGAGAAATTTAGGACTGACAACAATATAACAATTGTCAGAGATGGAGAATAAGATAATGACATAATTTAACCCTTTTTAGATTGGAAACATTTCCCATTAGGACCTCCAGAATTTCAATAACCAACTGCCATTTAATCTGAAGGTACTTGAATAATACATTTAGTCATACCAATCGTATTATCTGGTAGAAATGCCTTAGCAATTGCTCAAACTGGATCGGGTAAGACTCTAGCTTATTTGCTGCCTGCTCTCGTGCACCTGGAACAACATGCTATGATCAAGGAGTCCCCATAACCTAAACTGCTTATATTGGTACCAACAAGAGAACTGGGAGTATAAATATATGATCAATTGCTTTAACTAATTGAATTTTATTATGGAAATAAGAAGTAAAATGAGAAGGAGAACAGTCCAAATTTAATGAATCTCAAGATTGTCTGCATTTATGGTGGAAACCCAAATAAGAAACAACAAGTTGAATTAATTCAGAAGGGTGTCCATGTAATTGTAGCCACTCCAGGAAGACTAATTGAATTAATAGATGAAGGAATGGTAAATCTCAATAAAATCACTATGCTGATACTGGATGAGGCTGACAGAATGTTAGACATGGGATTTGAACCTCAAGTGAGAGACATAGTCTCTACGATCAGAGAAGATAGACAAACAATATTGTTGTCAGCAACTTGGCCCAATGAGGTTTAGTAATTATCAAAGGAGTTTTGTTACAATCCCATCTTAGTTAAGATTGGGAAAGGAGCTCCAATTACATAAAAGATTATTTGCACAGGACAAAAGGAGAAGTTACATGTTCTCATGAATGTCTTAGACGATTTGATATATACCGATAAGGTCTTGATTTTTGCAGAAACCAAGAAGAGATGCGAAGATCTAAGTCAGAGTCTCACAAAATAAGGTTATTTCTGTATTTCATTACATGGGGACAAATCGTAAGATCAAAGAGATGCAATCATGAAATAATTTAAAGATTCCAACACCAGATTGATATGCGCCACTGATATTGCATCCAGAGGCTTAGATGTCAAGGACATTACTGTTGTTGTAAACTACGATTTCCCTAAGTCCTTTGATGATTACATTCACAGGATTGGTAGAACTGGAAGGGCAGGAGCTCATGGAAGAAGTTTCTCCTTGTTGTCTTATGAAAAAGATGAAGGAATTCTTGCTGATTAAGTCATCACTTATTTAAATTCCTGTAATCAGGAGGTCAATCAGGAATTGCTGGAATTCAAAGATAAAGCTCTTAAAGTCAAATAGGAAAGATAACAAAGAAAACTATAACAATATAATGACAGTTCTAATCTAACCGGCATTCCAAACTCCATCTACCCTCCTAATAATTTTTCCCAGACTTCAGAATCTAAGTAGGAGAATTGTAATTAATGGGAAGGTAGATAATAGTACATCAACCAAGGAAGCAATCAAAAAAAACCATACCACAAACACAGTCGAAGTGAATACAATGAGGAGTATAAGGGGGAAATACAGCAATATCAATAGCATCATTAAAGAAATTATAATATGGATTTCAAAAATAAATAATAGTAGGATAGATAGCCATAACAGTAATTTCAACATTAGTAGAAAAAAAATTAAGGTGATTCAAGATAAGGCAATGTGAGAAATAGATTTTCAGATGCTGAACAACCTAAAACTTTAGAAATTAATTAAGAGTTAGATTTAAAAAATTATAAATTATTGCCATAATTTTAAGAAGAAGATAAAACTAATTCTTTTCCAAACAAGCGATTTAATGATTAAGATTAAAATTAAAAAACTTATAATATGGACTTTAGAAGTGAACATGATAATTAAAATAGGAGAAATAATAACAATACACAAAATAATAATCATGAAGCTTAATTTTATAATGATAAATATCTTAATCACTTGAAAAATGATAAGACGTATAATAATGATAGAAATTACAATAACCATTAGAGGAATTATGATAAGAATTTTAATAATCATAATGATAGACCAAATAATAATAATTTCGATAGAAATAATAATGAAAGAATCACTTTTGATAGAAATAACAATGAGAGAAATTTTGTAGATAGAAGTAACAATGAAAGAAATTTTGTAGATAAACCGAATAATGAGAGAAACTATGTAGATAAACCGAATAATGAGAGAAACTACGTAGATAAATCTAATAATGAAAGAACCTACGTAGATAAGCCTAATAATGAAAGAAATTATGTTGATAAAGCAAATAATGAAAGAAACCACGTTGAAAAAGCAAATAATGAAAGAAACCATGGTGAGAAAGCAAATAATGAAAGAAATTTTGTAGATAGGCCTAATAATGAAAGGAATTTTGTAGACAGGCCTAATAATGAAAGAAATTTTGTCGATAGGCCCAATAATGAAAGGAATTTTGTAGATAGAAGTAATAATGAGAGGTATAATGAAAGAAATAATAACGAAAGATTTAATGATAGAAATAATAACGAAAGGTTTACAAATGAAAAAAATAATAATGAGAGATTTAATAATGATAGAAATAATAATGAAAGAAATTTCAAAGTGAATAATAATGAGAGGAACTTCAATAATAATGCTGATAAAAACTTTTCTAATTAAAACAATTTTGACAGAAACAATAATGAAAGAAATTTTAATAATCAATAAGCATCCAGAAATTTCACAGGTGGAAATGATAAGAGTTTCAATGAGAGAGTCTTTGCTGGTAATGATAAATATCAAAATAACAAATAGATCAACTCAAATTAAAATGATAGACAATTTAATTCATAAAAAAACAATGCTAATGATTAAAACTATGAGAATGACTAAAAAATATCATCTAAATAATATTAAGGATTTTCAAAATCAGATTTTACAAAATATCAAAATATGAAGGGTTAATAAAAATGATTAGTATAAAAATAATATATAGATATTTTATCAAAAGATATTTTGAATTGCATTGACAAATAAATAGTATTTACAATTTTGTTTTTATTTAGGATAATTCCTTCTGAGGGAACTAAAAATAAAACACTATTTATTTAAAAATATTTATTTTAATAATGTCTTGCAAAAGTTCATTGAAAGTGTTTATTTTTATTACTCCCTATGCTTCTAAATTTTTAATTGAATTACTTGATTACCTCAATTATCTAAGCATAATAGCGAAAACAATATTTATGTCATTTTTAAAACATTTATCAACATTAATTTGATTGAAATTTAAACAACAACCTTAAAAATTTCATCTTGGGGGAATAATTTATCTTCGTTTTCACCTTCAAAGCTAATAAGAAGATTTAAATACAATAAATTTTGGTATTATAAATAGGAAATTCATTTTTTCTGAAATTAGTTTATTATTTGAGTTTATGTGAAGAATAAGATATCCTTAATGATTTAATAATCTTTTAATATGATAATTTGATGTATTAAAAGAATAAGAAAATTCTTTCTTCCTATAATTTATTTACAATAATGAATTATTAAATGATAAAAGTTTATAGTTTTAGTAATTGGAATGACAAAATTAATAAAATTAATGAATCAATTTGAACATACAGAAATCCCATTAATATAATTAAATAATGTCACTGCATCAGATTTATTAAGAAGGATAGGAATTTGATTTTGATTAAATTTTTTAAAATAAGCATATTAGTAATATAAATATAATATGACAGAAATAAGCACACAAGTTAATGTGAGGAATCACGAAAGAACTATACAGCCATCTCTCTTAAAATGCATAGCTACAATTCTTGAGGAGATAGTTGAAGAAACAGACAAGCTAGATTCTTCATCAACATCATTTCATGCTTCGAAAATACCTGCAATTACATTAGAAAATTATTTAATTCGAATAGCAAAATATGCAAAATGCACGGACGAGTGTTTCGTTATTGCCTTGATTTACTTGGATAAAGTTTAAGAATTAAATCCAAGTATTTTGTTAAATAGCCATTGTGTTCATAGGTATGTAAATCATACAAATTAGGTTTCTAATCATTGCAATAGTTTTAGCAATCAAATTTCAAGACGATGATTACTACAGAAATGATTATTATTCAAAAATAGCAGGCATCTCTTTAAAAGAGTTAAACCAATTGGAATCAGAATTGCTAGAACTATTAAATTATGACTTATTTATTTCGAAAGAACTCTACAATATTTACTTAGAAAAGTTAAGGTAATACCAAGAATAATGAAAGCCATGTGTTTATTTTTTGTTGGTTTTTCATATTAAATTTTAATTATTTTTAATTAATGCCTAAAGTTGGAGGAAGAAGGGTAAAATGCATATTTATCATAAAACTAGAAAAAAACAAGAACTCATAAAGAAGCAACAGAGGAGGATCTTGATTTGATAGGATAAACACCTAAAGGTTTAGTTTAATTTATATTCTCAAGCATTCATATTAAAGAGAGGAAAAGTGTCATCAACCATTCGTCAGTTAATTGATGATTACAGAGATGTTATGTATCCCTTCACAAGCATGAATTTGTAAGAATCAGATAAAACTAAAATGAAAGATTACATATAAGCAGCTGGTTATTATTTAATATCACATATGATTATAATGACATAGACAAATAAGAGTATTCAAAAATGCATATTAACTAGATTCATACATAAGATTTATTTAAAACCCTAGAGGACCTACATTTACTTTTCGTATTCTCAAATACGCAAATAGAAATGAAGTTCTCAATGCCTAAAGGAAGTTCAAATCATTTTCTAGAGTTTTCTCACCTCCTTTACTTGTGATGAATGGTTTCTAGACTGACTTTTAGACAGATGATCCTAAAAGACCAACCAGTGAGCATATTAAATTAGTAGGAAATATGATTTAATCTATGTTTCCTGCTATTAATGTTTAAAATACCAATCCAAAAACATAAAAGAGAGTTATACTCTTCTCATATAAAAATGATAAGATATACATAAGACATTATTACATTAGTTTTAATTTGAAAGGAATAGACAAAAAAATGAAAAAAATCATTAAAGCAAACAAATTACCAAATCTATCCAAATACAATAGCTTTTCTGACTTTTTACAAAACAATCATTAGATGTTTGCTTCAGATACAGAATAATCTGATTTAGAAGAGTTGGAAATTGAGAATAAATAACATAAAAAGTAATAAATGAGTGTCAGATTACATGAAGTTGGGCCTAGACTAGAATTAAAGCTCTATAAAATAGAAGAAGGATTTATGCAAGGAAATGTGGTTTATAACAGAGTTGGTAAATAAATAATATTATATTTTCAGTGTCTAAAACAAACAAAGCGATAGAGAAATTAAGAAAAATTAAAAGAAGAAAAATGTTATTAAAGTATAAAAGAAGGGAAGAATAAGAATAGAATTTATAGAAAAAAACAAAAAAACAAGACATAGAAGAATTTGATAATGTAAATAAAAAGGTTAAAAAATAATGATGAATTGATTTTATATTATTAACAGATTGTATAGTAATTATATTAGTGCTATTTCATTTGCAATTTCAATCTTGCTTTTACTTGCATATTCTCTAAGTTAAACAAATATAAAACAATAAATCAATTACAATATCATTCATATTTCCAGTCGAATAGACCCACCTCCGACCTATGAGATGCTTAAGATATTTAAGCTTAAGCAATTTGTAAAATTTATTACTTCATTCGTTCTTTGTTATTAAATAAAATTTATATTTTTTTTCAGTTGAATTTGCTAAATGAAATATACTGTCTATTCTCCAAACAAAAAATTGCACTGCCTAAGCAGGGGTGGTTAATAATAGTTGTAAATACTAATTAGTAAATGTTTTAAAGGTTATCGCCAGAGTAAAAACATGATTAGAAAGTTCAAGGTTTGTTGCAAATGATAGATTCACAATTCGAGAGCATGCATTATTATCAAAGTTCGATAGAAAACCAACCTAATTTCAGAACTGACCCTGACGATTGTTTGGTTGATCGTCAACAAACTAAAACTGTTAGACACTTCAAATCGCAAGATAATATTTCCAAAACTGCTCTATCTAATCTCCTAAACCTTGTGGACACAAATATTTTAAAATCTACAAAATTAAATCATTCTAAATCTAATGCCAATAAGTATAAAATTGTATAATTTTCAGTGAGGATTCTTTTCCTAAATATAGAAAGCCTTTGAAAACTGATTGTTCAGTTGGATTTTAAAATGACTCATAAGAAGATCGAATTAAGACATAAATGACGAATGTTTCTATTTAAGATGCTTGTGTATAAACAAAGCCAAAAAAATAGAAAAAATTGGGTTTTTTCACCTATGAAATCTCTTATATTTCACCTAAATGCAAGAATTGTGGGTCTGAAAAGAAAATGCTAGAAGATAAAAGCATTTAAAATTAAAGAGCTCAAAGTAATTACGTAAATGCTTTTAAAGAGTATGCAAAAAATGAAAGTATATAAAAATGCTTTATCTCGAAATTTAACAATAAGTTTAATTTAATTTTAATTTATTTTTAGGAACAAATCAGAGTTTTCAGTAGATCAAAAGATCGAAGATTAACTATTTGGTTACAATTCTATTGCTTTAGAAAGCAAATATCAGCCATAGTAATAATCAAATGGCCAGAAAGATCTATCTTTTCAACAAGCAATTAAGAAGAATAAATCATAGAAGAATTTCACATAATTAGCACAAGATGTTAAAATAATATCACCTCCAAAATAAGGATTCTTTATAAATGCAAATATCAAATAACAAAAGAAAGTATTGGCTTAACCATACAAACTAATTTCTTAAAAAATGAAATAAAAAACATTGATCAGTTGACTATTGGTTTTTATAATTTTTATAATTAAATATTAATACTACAAATGATCTTCATTCATGTATTTTGAAGAACTCTAGAAAACCTTGTTAAAAGTATGAAGAAAGATTATGATTTAATGATAATTATTCATTCTCGATTTATGTTTAGAAATTTATTTTAATTGTTATTAACCTTTTTATTTCCGACATCTTTTATTTAAATCTTACCTAATTTTATTTATAATATTATAGATTTAAAAAAATTATGATAATATTTTGCTTTGTGACGAATAATAATTCATGTTCAAGATTACTAATTGTGTAAGCCAACAAAGATTTAATACATGGCTTTTCCTAATTAGTATCCAAAATCATTCCAGTTTCCTTACTTCCAGTCATCAACTGCAATGAAAATCTAAAATTATTTAATTAACATACTTCTCTGTAGATATCTTTACCATTTACAATAAGATCTATTCCGATGTGGAAAGCAAAGGATGCTGGATTTTATAAGGCCTTTATTAATTCCCTAAGTTGCTTAGCTAGTTTAGCAGCTTCTTTGATAGAGGCCTTGCATTAATCTAATGCTTGAGGGAAATGTTGTAGACCATCTCCAAAGATTTAAAGTGATTAAACAACATTATGTGGTAAACCTGTCTCAAGAAGTCTTACGGATTCTTCAAAATCAATGACCATAAGATTGACTCCATCTATGCATTGTCTAATGTCTTATCCTCTTATTCCACTTGCATCCAAGATTCCATCCAAAACTCCATCAAAAATGACTAAGATAACACTTTAATCATGTATCACAGCCTCTAAATTTTCTAATTCCAGCAATAATCTGATCATTACAGAACCAAGTTCTTTACCATATTATTCATAGTTCTCACTTTGCCATTCAAATAATGAATCCTCTAATATATATATAAAATAAGATATTACCTAAATCTTATGAGATGTTAACACCGTTAATAACGACTTCGACATTGTCTTGGAAGTGGAATCTTAATGGATTTCTGAGTTACTCCAACAAGTTATTGAAAATTTCTTTTAAGAAATTTAGAAAATTTTACTTGATATTATAATAGTCTCTTCTGTTTATTCTTCCAAGCTGTCTATAGAATCTGGAATCTATTGTAAGGCAACTCCAATCTGTTTTATACCCTCCAATATTGATTCTTCTGTTAGTTCGTCTTGAAGATTGACAGCATTTTAAAGAATTTCATAGTATTATTTACTTTCAATCTTTGAAAATACTTGAATAATATCTAATTCATTCTAAATTCCAAATGCTTCAAAGATTCCTTTGGTGATTAAATATGCTTCTTGTTGATGTGTATTTGCAATTTATGCATTAGAAAACACTAAATAAGCACAAATCAAGATGATAAATGATTTCATATTTAAATATTATAAAATAGCAAAATATCTTCGAAATTTATAAATAGAAAAATTATATCACAAAAGAAAATTTACGTAATGACTCTAATAAAGATAATTGTCTTAATTAAATTGATACATTTCTTAATTTAATGTTATTTAATTATTATGACTTTTATTTAAATTAAACGTAATAATTATTAATTATTGAATTATAATATAGAAATAGTAGCTATGATGTCATTGGTCCATCAATTATAAAAATATATTTTTCATTACCACTCTTTAAAATACTTTATATAAAGCATAATTTTGTACTTAAAAAAAGCATCTGATGATTTTGATAACTGTTTTATTTTTATCAGACCTTTTTCAAATCTCTATATTGAGTGATATATATATGATTAAAAACAACACATATATTAATTAGGTCACGATTACTTATGTAAAGATTTTACAGAGAGAGAATTACCGATAATTCTACGAAGAAATCTATTTTATTCTGAATAAGCAGAATGACCACTGGAATTTGTCTTTTTATGTTAATGATGTAATAATGATCTAGGAGAGCAAGTCGTTTTTGAATTAATTTTACTCTCGCTTATTATTTTATCAATAATGTTAGTCTTTTATAGGGTTTATTTTAAAATAAATTTATTCGTTGTTTCTATAATTAAATGTGAATGTACTCTTTAAGACTTTGACTCTAGGACTCTCTCCTGGGGAACAACTAAAGACACCAGTATGCATAGTTTCAATGCTAGGATCGATCTCTACTTTAGACAACTTCTCCTATTTAATCACTTTTTAGAGATTTTTGTTGTGTAAATCCATTCCAGTTTTACTATCCGAATTAACTTCCTATTCTTAATGTCTAAAATCCTTTAATCTTTTATTAAAAGTGCTGATGACATTATTTGGTGGCCCTTGTTATTTAACAACAATATTTCTAAAAGAATTTTATTGAAGGGAGATTGGATTTTTTTCTAAATAAGAAAACTGATACTTAAATTTTAGACGATTATTTAGGTAAGTCTCTATTTTTTGTGTTGAGGGAATTCAGCACAAAGATCATGAAAAATCTTATATTTATTCGAGTAATTTCCAAATTCATCACATTGCTCAGATTTGCATCTCATTTTTTCTTGTAATTATTCAAACTTTGAAGGAATCGAGAAAGAGTTATTATTGAGTGAAGGTTATTATTATTATTTTTCTTATTAATTCTCCTTTAGTCTCACAGATTCATATTTTAAAAGATGAAATGAAACATTCGACCAATTCATATTTTAATATTGATATTAAAAATTATTCAAAGTTGATTATATAGCTTAACTAAAACAAATGTGAAATTGTAGCTAGAATGATAAATTCTATTTTGTCTCTTGTCATCTCAGATCAACTAATCAGAATTTACTGCCATTCATTTGTGTTACGTAATCATTCAATTAGATCTTTTCTAATAAATTTTTGATACAAATATTAAAAATGATATATATCTATATAATTAAATTTCATGTCAAGCAGATGTTGCTGATTCTTCAACTATTTTATTATTGTTTTCTTGATTTTCACCTTTTGGTTATTCTCTTTCTTCAGGTTTTTCTTCCTATATTTATCCGTCTTTATTCTCTGGTTTAGGTTAGGTCTCCTCTTCAATTTTTTCATTTGGATCACAGCAACTTGAACCTTCTGATTTGGCCTCCTTTATTTCTATTTTTTTTGGTTCAATTTCAGATTCATCATAAAGTTTTTGTTGGAACAATTTAGAATAGATTTCTTTTTCTTTCATTCTAGCCTCCTTCAATAATTATTTGACTCGTGATAATTCCTCAATTACAGCAGAATTAGTAGAATCCATTTTAAAAGCTTCTCTCAAGTCAGCTAATGCTTCTTCAAGTTCAGCTAACTTAATGTTCGCAAGAGCTTTTCGATATAAACCCTTTAACTTTTATTATTGATTAGTTTTAAGTTCAAGAGCTTTCTTAGCATAATCTAACGATTCCTTGTATTCTTCTAATTAATAACAGCAAATTGATAAATTCAGTTATAAACTAGCTTTTAATTCATTGCCCTCATCGGTGGTTAAAGTACAATAGGAAAGAGCATTCTTGTAAATCTTCTCAGCTTCCTTGTAATTCTATTGTTTAAAGGCCGCTGTTCCTTTGGTTCTTTTATTAATGGCTTCTTAATGCTTTTCTTCAGGAGTCATTTCCCTAAAAAATTATTAAATTCAAATACCATTTCTTCTTTTTAGCCTATTTAAAATTAATTAATTCTATTTCATAAGTCAGATTAGCATTCTTAGGAACGTTTTTAAATGAATCTCCTTCATCCCCATAACCATAACTTGGCGTGATCTTCAATTCAGCCTTTTCTCCAATCTTCATAGATTTTAATGCAATATCGAATCCCTTTATTAGTTCCTCCTTTCCAATTCTATACTTATAGGGACTTTCTTTGTCCAATGAAGAGTCGAACACAGTTCCATCTTCCAATGTTCCTTTATATAGAATTTTGCATCTTGATCCATCAATAGGCATTTCTCCTTGTCCTTCTTGGAGAATTCGTTTTTTAACTCCGCCGTCTTCAACTAAATTAGTGAATTCTGTTTCCATTTTATATATTAATGACTTGTGTAAGAGAAGAGTTTTCAACTCAAAAATATGAATTTTTCTCGAAATAGATTTTTCTATTAATTTCTAGAAATAATGTAAAGAAGAATTTAATAAATTAATCAATCATACATCAATGAATCCGTTTATGATAGTGAATAGTTCTTGTGGTTTATCTCGTGGAACCTGATGACCAGCATCATTTATAATAGCGAAGCCAAGATTGCCAACCATTTTTTTATACCCGATGGTTCTATTGTTAAATTGTATGGTATCAAAATTTTAATTTAGGAACTCACTTCTCTCCTTGTAATGAATCCTATTGATCCATTTCTGAGTTCCTGAATTGGTACATAGAGCATCATTCTATCCATTATAAATTAAGACTGGAAATTTGGAAACAATGAATTCCAACTTTTGAATTGCATCACTCTATCCAATATTGTCTTTCAAGGCCAAATACACATCGCCTTATTTTTCCTATTCATTTTATGTCAAAGTGAAAGTGACAGCTAATGGAAATTTAAATAAGTTCTTGACTGTCTCTGAATTCAAATAGGATTCCAACTTTTAATTTTGTTTAGCATATGATCCAAACTTTCGAATGTTCTAATAATTCATTCCTCCACTCATTCTTGTTAATTCTGTAAAATAAGTTTATAAATTATCTGATACTTTTGAGAACTCCTCATTTTTGATATTGTGAATTGTTTTTAATAGGATTTTGTCTAATTTTTATCTCTCTTAAAGATCAATTAAGCCTAAGTTAAATGCGTATGAACTCATTTCACTTATGATGGCTGTTGGTTCAGTCCAAGGGTTACCTAAAATAACTCCTTAAACGTTTACAATAGGTTCCTATTATTTCAAAAGATCATAAACAATTGCAGGGATGTATTTTCCAGCATAACTTTCCCCAGCAAAAAACCACTTTGATTCCTTTGATAATTCTTAGAGTTGGCATTTTTCTATAAATGACGCCAAAGCGTAATTGAATTGTTATGCAATTTCATCTAAATTATTAGGTATTTCATCTTTTGTGTAAGCGTAGGAATAGCCAACTCCAATTGGTTAATCAACAAAGAGCATATTAAATCTCGTGTTCCAAGAGTATTAATTCTTCTCTAATTTCTCCTTTTCGTTATAATTTAATGGTCCCAAGCCAAAATAATTCCCCAATTGTGATGAAGTTCCAGGACCGCCATTGAACCAAAGAACTGTGTTATAGTTATTTAATTGCTATCATCATGAGAAACATAAATTTACTTATAAATTTGAAGCATATTGCGAACCATAGAATATGAAGGCCAAATATGAATGCGAGCCTTCCTTAACTGGCAATTAGCCTGATAGTATGTATTAGTTCACAGGCAAGGAGTCGTGTATTTATTTAGACAATATCTTGTTGCAAACTGGTTCGAATTAGTTTGATAGAGTCAAGAGATTCAATATTCCAATAATTTATAAATACATATGTTAATTATAAATATTATATGATTTTTGATGATAATATCAAATGTGTTTAGTACTCAATTTTAGGAAAATTGGAGAAATAGTAATTGGAATTAGAAAATATTAAAACAATATGAAATTATTAGCACATATTAAATATTTATTGATAATATTAATATATATAGATGCCTCCTGTGCTATCTAAGATCTTGGATGTGAAACAGTTCATGTTGAAATCAACAAAGCGAAAAGTATGATCAAATCCATAATTTAACTAGGTGATCTCAGGAGCCGTAATTGCAGTGATTCTATATTTACTTAAGATCAGATTGACCAAATCAAAGACTGAAAATATGAAAGTGAAGAGAGATGAAAAAAAGGGAAAAGGCAATGTCGATCGTATGTTCTTGAAGAGGATATTGAAACTACTCAAAATTGTTATTCCAAGGCTGAACTCACCAGAAATTTTAGACTTGGTATTGCTTACGTAACATATTCTCTAAGTAATAGAGCATCACTAGTGGCGAGGACATTTTTAAGTATCTACGTAGCTAATGTGAATGGGCAAATAGTCAGAGCAATCATCGAATAAAACCTAAATATGTTTTTGTAGAGGATCTTGAAATTGGGAGTTGTGGCAATTCCAGCCTCCTTTGTGAACTCCTTCCTGGATTATTTGAACAAATCCTTAGCAATAAGATTCAGAAAAAGATTAACCTAACACTTCCATGACATCTATCTTAATGATATGATCTTCTATTAATTGAGTAATTTAGACAGTCGAGTTGCTAATCCCGATTAAAGATTAACAGCTGATATCGAAAAATGGGCTAACTCATTGTCTTAAATTTACTCCAATTTTTCTAAACCTGTTTTGGATATTATTTTGTTCTCCAGAAAATTGGCTGAATTGGTTGGATATTAAGGACCAATGTATGTCATTTTGTATTATCTGATATCTGGATTTTTATTAAGATTCTTAAGTCCACCTTTTGGTAAATTGACTGCCATTGAGTAGAGACTTGAAGGAGATTATAGAGCTTGTCATAGTGATTTAGTTTATCACAGTGAAGAAATTGCATTCTATAGGGGACATGCTTGGGAGAAAACAAGAATCACAAATTCATTCAATAATTTGATTGGACACACAGGATAGATCATACTGAAAAGATTATATATGGGAGTTTTCGATAGTATGTTGGTGAAATACGGAGCTGTAATGGTTGGTTATGCAGTAGTGGGTTTACCTGTATTCGGTAGTAGAAGAGTGGAGTATTTGAAGAGTGTTAACAATGATCCTTCAGCAATTACAAGGGATTACGTTAGAAATTCATCTCTATTGATTAATTTAGCCAAAGCTATTGGAAGATTGGTGGTTTCATATAAGGAAATCTAATAGTTGGCAGGATACACAACTTTAGTGGCTGAATTAGATGAAGTATTGAAGGATTTGATAAATGGTAAGTACATGAGAACTATGTTGTAAAGCAATGAGAATTAACCAGGATATTTTGCATAGAAATAATCATTGGTTTCAATGAATAGAGGTTAGATCGTTGAAACTGAAAACACAATAAAATTCGAAGAAGTCCCAATTATATCACCAAACAATGATATCTTGGCTTAGAAGATGACATTTGAAGTAAGATAAATGATTATACCTAGATTCAACCAAATATGAATTGCATTGTGACTGGTCCCAATGGATGTGGAAAGTCATCATTGTTCAGAATTTTGGGTGGTTTATGGCCAATCTCAAGTGGTAAGTTATATAGACCTCACATTGATAAATTATTCTACATTCCTTAAAGACCTTATCTGCCTGCTGGAACATTGAGGGATCAAATCATCTATCCACACACAAAATTACAAATGTTGAGAAAGAAAGTATCTGATGATGACTTAACAGAATTATTGAGACTAGTGCATTTGGATTATTTAGTTGTAAGAGAAGGAGGATATGATAAATGCAATGATTGGAATGATGTGTTGAGTGGAGGTGAAAAACAAAGAATTGCTATGGCTAGACTGTTCTATCATAAACCAGTGTTTGCCATCTTAGGTATATTCATTTTTGTTATTCTCAGATGAGTGCACCAGTGCAGTTTCAATGGATGTTGAGGCTACCTTATATTAGACTGCCAAGATGTTGGGTATCACTCTCTTCACAGTTAGTCACAGACCTTCATTGTTCAAACATCATGATTATATGATCTAGTTTGATGGAGAACAAGGATGGAATTTCAAAAAGATAGAGCATAGTTCAGAATGATAAATAATAAAATATATATATATATATAGTAATATGTCTAGAATAAGTGATTTTGAAATACTCAGCCGTTTGGGTGAGGGTTCCTATAGTTAAGTTTACAAAGTGATCAGGAAATCAGATCAGCAAGTTTATGCCATGAAGAAAGTTAAACTTTTTGATTTGAAGGAAAAAGAGAAAGAAAATGCTCTTAACGAAGTTAGAATATTGGCTTCATTTGATGATCCCAATATCATTAATTACAAGGATGCTTTTATCGATGAAAATATGCTCTACATAATTATGGAGTTTGCCACATAGGGGGATTTGCAGAATAAAATCAAACAGGCTGGTAATCAATTATTCCCTGAAACTGAAATATGGAAGGCTTTATTATAAATTACAAAAGGGTATTACACATCATTTAATGTAGTCTCAAGAAATTGCATGACAATAAAATAGTTCATAGAGATTTAAAAACTGCCAATATATTTATATCCAATGGCAATTACAAACTAGGAGATTTGAATGTCTCCAAAGTCACCAAGAAAGGACTTGCATACACATAAACAGGAACTCCTTATTATGCAAGTCCAGAAGTATGGAGAAACGAAGCATACAACTCTATGAGTGATATTTGGAGTCTCGGATGCGTGATCTATGAAATGGCTTCACTTAAACTACCTTTCAAGGCTCCTGACTTATAAGCATTATGCAATAAAATTTAAAGAGGACTCTTTGAGTGCTTGCCTAAACAATATTCCAGAGATTTATAATAAATCATCGTTCAAATGATCCAAGTCCAACCTATGAAGAGATTGTCATGCAATCAAATTTTGCAATCTCCCCTACTCATCAACAATTTAAAAGTAGTCCCACCCATTGAAAAATAAACCTCCAAAGCAGAATTATTATAAACAATCAAATTACAACAAATCCAACTCCCCAAATCCAATTACAAGGAAGAACCTATCAAAAAAAGTTCAGAGTAGCCTAAACTCAATCAAAGAGCTCACAGTGCATGTATCCAATTTATAAATCTATTAGTACCTGGATAAATTAAGGACAGGAACTTGTCACCAATTAATAATTAAGGAAACTATCCATCTGCTCCCAGAAAAAAAGGAGAACCACCCTCTACTCCCAGTTCTAGAATTCAAAGTAGTGCTCCAAGTTAAAGAGATAAAGAAAGAATGCTTTAAGAATAACTAAAAATAGAAATCAAAAAAGAATAACAAAAATTAATTGATTAAAGATAATCTATCAAAACTAGCAATCAAACTATAGCCACTGAAGCTATTCGACAATAGATCATTCAACAACACAGGAAGGAAGATCACAAAAATGAGGATTAACTTTAAAACTAAAGATAAAAGTCAGTTGACACTAAGAAAGAAAGACTCATCGTTTCTGCATAACCCAAATAACAAATATATCAGACTGTTTAAGCCTAAGAAACACAATATCAAACTCAACCCTCAGAATTTATTGTTGCAGGCTTAAAGAATGTTAATCCTCAATCAATTCAGTCCATTTTGTGTCAACCCGTCTTAGAAATTGGAGAAAGTCCTTTTCCATAGAGAGCCAAGGTTAAAAAATAAGAATAAATTAATAATCACTAACATTATTTTCCAATCTAAGAGGAGTTATCTGATCGCAAAATAGTTAAAGGAAAAACTAATATATGAATATAAATAAAATATTAATTCATTATGCAACTCAGTCATGGCTAAATTTTAGCATGAACATCAACCAACTCATTATAATATATATATTATAAATTAAATTTTATAACTTTCCTCAAAATTATTCTATTTTATTATAAAAATAATAGAATAGTATCAGTTAAACTATTTTGCCCTTTCTGCTTATTTCACAACTCTATTTCTTATTTTTATTATTTGTACACCATGATATACTTATTTTACAATTTTTTAGAGTATTATCATTTATCAAAATTACTTATACTTCTGTTTTATCAAATATAATGTGTTATTAAATCTTAAATTTCATATTTCTATAAATATGGAGAGCCTCTTTAGATGCTAAACTATTTGATAGTTTTACTTTATTAAGAATCAATATATTTTATCATAAATTTCAATGCCATGTCTATTTTTGGAAATATTTTTTTATTATTCTTAAATTCCTACGTATTATTCAAAATTAATAATCCTAGAGTAGAGCTTAAAATATTCAGGGATTGCTTTTTCACTTAATTTTTATTTATCTAAGCCTAAGTTATTTAATATTCCTTTTATTTTTATGTTGATTTAAAGCAATATAACATCAGCATATTTATATATATAAATTGATTTAAAATACTGCATTTTAGATAAATTAAATTATTTTAATATGTCAGACAGAGTGACCAGAAAAGGAAAAAGCCAGCCGTAAAAGGAAGAACCAAAACAAGCCAAGAAGTAAAAGGTGCAAAAGGAGAGTTATGACCTTGTACAGTTATAGGATATAGGTAATGGAGTGATATATAAATAATAGCTCATCAATTGAGGATACACTCAATTGAGATGACAATTGCGTCTAATTCTGGACATCCAACATCATGCGCATCGATGGCAGAGATCCTGGCAGTACTATTTTTCACAAAGGCAGGAATGCATTTTAATCCAAAGGATCCAGGAGTACTTAGTGATATTGATTTTAGAATTTCGGAAACGATAGATTTGTTTTATCGAAGGGCCATGCAGCTCCAATTTTGTATGCTGCTTGGTCGATGGTTGGTTTTATTGAGGGGAAGGAATTATTAAATTTGAGAAAGATCGATTCACTTTTGGAAGGTCATCCAGTTCCAAAGTAAATGATGTTGTGTATCTAATTAGATTGCCTTTTGTGGATGTTGCAACAGGATCCTTGGGATAGGGATTGTCAGTTGCAGGTGGTATGGCTTATTCATCAAAATTCTTGGACAAAATAAACAATAGATACTGGGTGTTGATGGGAGATGGTGAGATTGCTGAAGGATCAGTATGGGAAGCAGCTCATTTAGCAAGTCATTACAAATTGGACAATCTTACAGCAATTGTGGATGTAAATAGATTGGGACAATCTGAAGAGACTTCAATTGGACATGATGTTAATGTTTATAAGAAGAGATGGGAAGCATTTGGATGGAAGACCATTGTGGTTGATGGACACAATTTGAATTCATTAACTGATGCTTTTGAATAAGTAAGTGATTCAAGAAATATTGTTTCTAGTGTAGAAATGCGAAGAATTAACCACAAGTTATAATTGCCAAAACATTCAAAGGCAAATATTTGGAAATGGAGAACAAGGAAGATTGGCATGGAAAACCAGTTCCATAAGCATAAGTGGAGTTTGTCAAAAAACAAATGAAGTAATAGGGTGGATTCACCCTCACTCCAGAGGTTCCAACATAAATAGAAAAACCTTAATAAAGCCATTTTACATTGGAAGTCAATTATGCAGTTGATGGCAAGTAATCAACAAGAGAAGCATACGGAAAAGCATTGGTGGGTTTGAGTAAAACAGATGCTAATCAATAAATTGTGGCAGTAGATGGAGATACTAAAAATTCAACCTTCTCAATTAAATACAAAGAGGCAGTTCCAACCAATTTTGTCGAGTGTTTCATAGCTGAATAAAATATGGTCGGTTGGGCTTAAGGATTCAGTTGCAGAGGAAAGGTTGCATTCGCATCTACATTTGCTGCCTTCTTCGCAAGAGGCTTTGATCAAATAAGAATGGGAGGAATCAGTGGATCTCAAGTCAAATATGTTGGATCACATGCTGGTGTTTCAATAGGTGAAGATGGACCATCTTAAATGGGTTTAGAAGATATAGCCATGTTCAGAACCATCCCAAATTGTGTTGTTTTGTATCCATCTGATGGAGTCTCTGCCGAAAGAGCCATCGAATTAGTTGCCAATCACAAGTCTCCTTGCTATGTAAGAATGAGCAGACCCTCATTGCCCATTTTGTATCCAAATAACGAAGTCTTCGAGATTGGAAAGTAAATTCTATTTTGAATATCTCTATAGATCTAAAATCTTAAGACATCATGATGATGACAAGATCTTGTTGATTGGTGGAGGTGTGACCACTCATGAAATATTTAAAGCAGCCAAATAATTGAGTGAATAGGACAAGATAAATGTCACAGTTTTGGACCTATTCTCAGTTAAACCCATTGATCATGATGGCATCCTTAATGCTGCCAATAACACTGCTTTGAAAACCATACTAGTCGTAGAAGACCATTACAGTGAAGGAGGTCTGTTCGGTATTACCTATTATGTTATCATTTAGAGGCTGTATCATCCTCTTTGAGTTTGAACAACGAGATCAAGATACACTCAATTCATGTAGATAAAGTGGCTAAGAGTGGCACTCCAGCATAAATGTTATCATTGTATCATTTGGATGCTGCAGGTATTGTTGCCAGAGTCAAATCAATTATTTAATGACAAATCATAACATCATAAATAACAGCAAAATATTCAATTCAATTCAATTCTATTAACTAGTTTATGAACCCTTCATTTATACAAACCACTTCTCTACATTCCTTTACGAATTCATATGCCCTCTCAAATCCCCAATTGAACTTCCTCATTAAATACATCACTATAAAACAAGCAGATCTCGATTTCCCCTATGCACAATGAACAAACACCTATTTTATTACAATCTCCTTCTTACTTTCCCATTCTCCATTAATGCATTCTCTATAAATTAATAAACCTCCTCAAAGTACTGTTTCACATCAATATGAGGCTCATCATATATTTTAATGTTCAAATACTTTACTAAAATTATTAACTTCATTCTTACATTAATCACTGTAATTCTTGATCTCGATAGTTGCATTTACAACATGTGTTATCCCTAAAATATCTATTAGCATCTCTGTATCTTTTGCATGATCGCCTCCTCCCAAATACAATTTGTTCTCTATTATTTCATTCGGAAATGTCTTATCCAAGAATCCCCTGTTTTTGCTTATCTCATAATTTAAAAAGGAATGCTTTCCAAATACTATTTAAATCGGATCCAATATTATAAACAACTGTCTAACCTTATCCTTATGGAAAATCTGGTAGATCTTTAAGGTTACTCCAAATAATTCTGAGTTCATGTGCAAACTGCCTTATCCCTATCCAACGTATTTTGGTTAACTTGCAGATCTCTATTTTATTTTTGGACCATTAGAAATTGTTATCTCTTTTAATTTAAATCAATAGGCTTACCCTGTAATTCTATGACCTTCTTACTAGAAACTATAGTCTGATGCTTTTTCAGATGAAGTATCGTTTATTAGGAATCTGAATCAACTAATTCATCATCATCATCTTACATTACCATGGTATATGCTCTGCTCTTTATTTTATGCTTCTTTTTGTATGGCAATTTCTTAGTGATGTCATGCCACCACTTAGTCACTGTTTCTAAAGAAATGCTAAACTAATCAGAAATTTCAGATCCTTCTCCCTTAACTCTATCCTTCAATAGTAAACTGAACATATCAGAAGTGTCAAATGGAACAAAGAAATTGTAATTTCTCTTTCTAGTTTGAAACAATCTCTCCAACTTCTTCTATTCAGATTATTATTCAGGATACTAAAAGTATTTTTATACATCCTCAACATTCTCCACCTGGTGTATATAAGGAACATGAATACTATTTTTCAAATAACCATGCTGATGTTCCCTTAAATCATAAACTATGAAAGGAAATTTTTGAGAAATGTTGAAAAAGTATTAAGGAGTGCAAAAATGTAATTGCATAATTTTATATAATTAATCATATTCTCTACTTCTCAAAAACCTATCAAAAAGTAAGTTATATAATTTTTAAACTCATATCAAAGCCCCAATTTGCCTCCTCCAACTTATAAATAAGTTAATTAAGTAATTAATACACATAAAAAACTCAATCTGCATCAGTAGTCAACAACTCACCATCATTCGTGTTTGCTTGTCGAAATATGTCAATTGCCTGCCTACTGTCAATTCTCAAAATTGGATCCTCTTGCAACATCCCATACAATAATTTTCTAATAGTTTAATTCTTTATATTTTAGAGCATCTCCGTGTTGAATTAGAATTTCTTACTCATACTCTATAGCTCCATAGAATCAGTATTTTACACTAAATAAATTCCAGAAAATCTAATTATATAATAAATACTTACAATTCATAAATAACAGCCCCTAAACTAAATATGTCTGACTTAAAATCGTAAATGTAAGTCCTCTAAAATACCTCAGGAGCAATATATCCGAGAGTGCCACATACCTGATATTTGTTACGAACTATCTCATCGATCCTAATTGCAAGTCCAAAATCTATCAATTTAAGTTTGTTAACTTTGTTTTCCATAAAAAGAATATTTTCAGGTTTAAAATCTCTATAAATGTACCCTTCTGAATGAAAATAATTGGCCACTGATAATAATTACTAATTTGATGAAATTATACTTAAACGATAATCATCTTCTCTTTCTCATCTAACGAATCTCTTTTTATTAGATTTTTCAATGTCCATCCCTCAACATATTCCATCAGAATGTAAAAACAGTGTTCCTCTCTACAAAACTCTTTAAGTTACACCAAATTTGGGTGCTTGAGATTTTGCATACATTACACTTCATTCACAAAATCCTTATTCATAGGAGACTATTCATACCTTCTCATTGTATTTGCTACTCCTCTTAAGCGACTTGCAAGCGACTATTCTCCCATTGCATATATGTTAACATTTGAAAACCTAAGAGAGTAAGTGAATATTTTACTTTTCCAAATGCTCCTTTACCAAGAAAGCCTACTATTTGATAGAATTTAAAGATATCATGATATTGAACTTTCCCATCAAGAAAATCCTTTAGTAGAGTTAGATTTTATTATTTCATATAGAAATATTCCCATTTATTATCAATCTGAATACCCAAAGCAAGAACATTACAATTCTTTTTATCCAACTTCCAATCCACAACGGAATCCTATTCTAATTCTAGGATATGAGTAATCTAGCATTTTATCTTAAAATTAAGCATGCCAATACATTTTGTAATACAATCTTGTTTGAATGCAGTTCAACATTGTAGGTCTCCTTAAAAATTAAGGATTTCTTGTAGCAAATCATCGAAAAATCAATATTAAAATTATATTATTAACATAATGTCTCCTTATGTAATTTAATTTTAAATATAATTTTATAAATTTATTGGTTTTACCCACAAATTCTTTTCAATTATATGAAATTGATTAAATGGAAACTAAATTTTGATCATTTTGTTTAGTAGCCACACTCGAAAGTTAAAGGTTTAATTCTAATTGCAATCATTAACTTTGCAATGATTATTTATTGATGAATTCACAAAATTGATGAAAGTCTTATTCTTTGCCAATTAAAAAGAGAAAATAATTGCAAATTTTAATTTGATTTGTAATAATTTTAAATAAATGACTATATAAATGTATAATTTTTAATATTTTAACTGGTATTAGCAGAATTATTTACAATAAAAAAAGAGGAATTTAAAACTTTATTCGTCCAACCTTTAAATGGATAGGATTTTGAACTACAAACAACCAATGACAGGTGGAATGTATGCCAATTGTAAGGCCATTAATTAAGACTACAACATCATTAATATGATGGTAGTGATTATAGTAATTTGTCTATGTTATCACTTTCCTAACATTCTTTACTAGTATTGACGGATGATCGACAGATCAATTATTTTTAGGACCAAATCCTATTTTGGTAATACATGATTCCTTCTAATGTCGATATAGAGAAGGCAACAATGAGATATTCTCATATGACATACCTTGTATAATTGATATCGAACCAAGTATATCGATTTAATCCTTATGATAAAATTTAAAAGAAATCGAAATGTTTCTTGACTATTACCCTTAAGAAATAGAATTATGTGATTAATTCATATTTGAACTTGATCAAGGGAGAATTACTATTTATAATAACAGGGATCAAGTTTATTTAATTTAAATTCAGAACTTTTTAAATATTACACAATTTTCAATACTAAATAATAATAAAAATGGTTATAATATCTATATCTTTGATAAGCAAGCAGGATTACTAAAATTGAGTGGAATAAGTTGAATCACACTAAAAATTAGCTTTATTTAATTTAAAATGGTGTAGCTTTAGGTATCCATGATGAGCACAATTTGTATGTGGCATATAAAAGACAATTTAAATATATTATTGCTCAATATTCATTGATTAATTCTCAAATCTAAATTATTAGGAAATTTCAGAGCAAGAAAATAATTTAGAAAATAATAGCATTTTTTAAAATTATACTTTGTTTCTAACAAATAATAAAATAGATATTCTTTATGAGAATAAGATGTTTAGGATCTTAAAATTTGGAATCAAGGACATATCAATTTTTGGTAACAGAATTATAGGAATAAGTACATATGATATATTGTAATATACATTTTAACTGATACCTAATTATGTGTAATGTTTTTATCATTTAAATGAAAAGATTGCTTATAAATTGCAATACTCATTGGTTTATAATGAAATCAATATAGCCATTTAAAAGAAAAAAGGATCGAATTTTCAGTAGAATTATATACCAATAAATCTAGCACTATGAGAGTAGTCATAGGTTTCTTTGTATGTGGAATCTTGATAACGTTGATCTTATTATATTCATTTATAACTCCTAAAGTAAAAAAATCTTTAAATTTGCCTGATGGAGAAGACTCTTAAGAGAGGTAAAGGAAAATAGGGGCCACTTTTAAAAGTTTAGAATGTGCTATCAGTCCTAAAATATAACATTCAAAACTTTAAAGTTTTGACCAAACATCAAATTTTGATTTAAAGAAATTGAGAAATTGATAATACATATTTAAGATAACATTAAATTTAATAAGATTATAATTATTTAAATCCTCTATGTTATTTTAAAGCCTAAATACATTGGAAGGTTTCAACTTAAATTTTAAAAAGTGTATAATACCAAAATTACATGAAATATATACATAAATTATTATGAATATTTTTAATTAATTAAAATTTGATTAATTACGATGTTTTAGTAATAACTTGTCAATCATCTACCTTATTTGATGGCTTTAGACAAATCAAAGGATCTTGAATCCATTGGTTATTATCTTTCTGAACATCTGAAAGTGGCAGGAGGATATTGGACAATAAATGCAATTGCTTGTCTAAACAAATTAGATGAGATCAGTCAGGAGAAGAAGCAACAATTATCAAAATGGCTTAAGGAGTGTTAGAATTAAGATGGCGGTTTTGGTGGCAATACTAATCATGATTCTCATATAACAAATACACATTACGCCATTTTACTCAGTTTTTTATTGAATTGTGAATTGGACTATGAGGCGGCAGCCAAATACGTAGCAGCAAGATAGAGAAAGGATGGATCATTCGAAGGAGATCAAGTAAGTAGATCTTAAACAATATGATAGTGGGGAGAAGTGGATGCAAGATTCTCATATTGTGGGTTGTCATCCTTAACATTATTAAACAAAAGAGATCTGATAGATGTAAAGAAGGCAGCTAATTACATTAAGAAATGTAGAAATTTTGATGGATCATTTGGGGGAATGTATTTAAATTAAATTATATCAATTAGCCCAGATGCAGAATCTCATGGAGCCTATGTTTTTTGTTGTGTTGGAACTCTGTATTTATGTGAGGATTTGTCTTTTAATATCGATGAGCTATCAATGTGGATTCACGAGAGATAAACTAGTAAAGGAGGGTATAATAAGTTCTTAAGTTGTAGATTGAATGGAAGACCAGAGAAATTGGCAGATGTGTGTTATTCTTGGTGGATGTACAGTGCATTGTGTTTATTGAAAAGAGAACAATGGATAAATTAGTAAGCTTTAGAAAATTACATACTGGAGGTATTGTTCTAATGATCTAAAATCTAGTGTTAAGACAGTGATGGGGGAATTGCTGATCGACCAAATAATTAAGCTGATGTTTTTCATACATTCTTTGGATTGGCAGCATTGTCATTGCTCAATGGTGATAAATATCAATTGAATCCTATTGATCCTGCATTCGCACTTCCAAAATCAATACTCAAAAATATACCTGGAGCGAGTAGATTTATTTAACCTTGAAAATTATATCAAATTTAATAATAATAAATGTCGAGAGGAAATTAAAGAGTTTAATTGCCCCAGATTCAACAGAAATAACAAGTGGAGAACTACAATTTCATTACTTCGAAGAAGAAAACAGTTTAATTCCAATAGTCTATGCCACCAGAAGATGTTCAAGAGGATTGGAAGAAGAAATGCGAGGAATTATAAAAAGATGTCGAAACCAGGAATCAAACAATCTTCAGTATTCAGAGGAATTTTGAATCTCTCTCTGCTTTGTTGAAGACTGAGAAGCAAGAGAATATGGGCATTCGAGATGAAGTTGTTAGATTGAGAGAGTTGAATTAACAATTGCAATAGCAAGATAAAGATAACCAATACAAAATCAGTGAGAACTAAAGAAAGTTGAAGGAATTACAATAATATCATGATTAATTGTAAGAGGAAAGGAAATCTAATTCAAGATAGAATGTTGAAATCAATAATTTGAAAAATTAAATTACATAACTAGAAGCAATCATTAACAGAAAAGAAAACGAAATCAGATAAATGTCATCAACCATCACTTCTCTCCAAATGGATCTGTCTTTGCTACCTTCCTTAACAAAAGATAATGAAAAGTTACAATAAACCATAGAAACACTCAAGGAACAAATTGTATATTTAGAGGTATTCAAATCAAAATGTTTATTTAGAAATCTAATGCCGACAAAGAATTGAATCTTCAAATTGCATTCAAGAATCACACGCAACTTAATAGTCTTATTGAAAACTTGAAACTCGATAATATAGCTGCCCAAGGTACCATCAAGCATCTCAAGTCCGAAGAGAATGTATAAATTTACAAATTATCAAGATTTCACTATTGAAAATTGCCAAACAGTAATAAGACATTTAAGAATTGTAATCTCAAATTAAATAATTGCAGGATTAGCTTAACAATCAAAACACTGTGTTACAAACAAGAAATTAATAGGATGGACAACAAAATTAAGCCATTTTACAATTGCAAAAGTAATTACTAGAATCACAAAAACAACATTAAATTATACTTGATGAAAATTAAAATCTAACGAATTTTGTAAATGAAAACATGCCAATAATCGAATAATATTAATTAGTCTTATCTACTTTTGGAAACACAGATTTTGTCTAGTTAATCAAGGATTATTAGAAATTGTAATAAGATTTTAAATAAAAAAATGAAAAACTTGAACAAACAATCTAAGAGACATAAAAATTGAATGAGAAGTTGCAATAGTGTTAATAAGAAATCACCAGTGTTAGAAGTCAAATTTCATAGTTGTAACAACAAAACAAAGAATTAAATCAAAAAGTTTCTTATTTAGATGATGAGTTAAAAACTACTTAAACTATTAAATCTTCATCTCTAAACAATGAGTAGATAATCAAGACCTTGCAATAACAATTGAAACAAAAAAGTGAAAGTGAACAAAATATTTTATCATAAATGAGAATAATGCAATAAGAATTACAAAAATATAGTGAATTTGATGGATTAATTATGACTTATAACCAATTTACCAAACCTGTTGAGTTTATCTTATCCTCTGATCTAAGCTAACTTAAATAGAATATCGAGCAAATTACCTAATCAAATTAATTATATGTTGAAGATATTGAACAAAGAAACAAATAAATTGAGTCCTTAACCTCACAACTCTCAGATAAGAACCAAGCTCTGAACGATTAAACCAAATAATTAGCTAGTTCTAATGAATAAATGCTTTCTTTGAAAATGAAACTAGACTAAGCATTAATAGATTTAGATCAATTAAGCAAAGAGAGTAAGGCTTAGAAAGTTTCGATTGATTCTTTAGGGAATGAGCTGACTGTGGCCAACAAAGAGAATAGGAACCTTTCATAATAGGTTTATGAACAAATGGAAAATTTACAATAATTAAATATGAAGAATGCAAATCTATAAAAAGAATTAAATTGTATTTATATCAAATTAAACATTCCTAGAGAACTAAGACATCACATATAAGCTAGGATTGGATGTAAAGAATTTGACTTAGAAATTAAAGAAGGCTGAAGAAGAATTAGAAATGCTTGTATCAATTATATTTTATTATTAGAATCCTGATAAAATGAGGGGATTGTAATTTTAATTAGATTAAAAAGAGAAGGAATTTTAAAGTCAATTGTAAAATATTGCGCTTGCTTTGGATGCTTAAATCACATCCATTTCCTGTAATAATTGCATGGAAGTATTGTAAAAGACAAATACCTGTTACCCTTGTGGTCATTCATATTGTGAGAAATGCTTCCAAAATCAATGCTAAGAATGTTAAGATTAAGATGGTTGGTTTAAGAATAAGAGATTAGATGACTTAATTAGTAAGATAAATTATTCTAAATAAATTCTGAATACTTATAAAAAGAAATGATAATTTACTATAACTATAATTATTACAAATATATATTATTGTTTTGTATATATTTATTTTACCTTTTGGAAGATGGAGACTATATTATTTAATTCATTAATTGGCTTTTAATTGTAAGCTTTTACATCTTTGTTTGAACGTAAGTCTATAAAATTATCATATTTTCTTTATATGATGTTTGTTGGTAGAATAGTTTATTGGCTTTTATATTTATTAAAAACACTATATTATTTTCGTAATCTAATTGAGCATATTCCTTCTTAATGATTTCTTCTTAGTATACAACAAATTCGTAATAAAATTTTCCGATAAAATTTTTAAATATATAAAATTGAACATAAAAGTTTATGCAAATCTCTTCAATATGCATAAAACCTATGGTACAAAGCTAGTTGATCAGCTAATTTGTCGATGAATTGTAATTTTATTTGTCTAAAATTATTGTATAAGAATTGATCCTAAAAAAGTCAGTTTCTGTTAAATTAATTATAAGTATTTTTAAAGTAAACTTAACATACGCTCCTTTTATTTAATATATTTCTAACAAGATTATAAATAATATATATCAATTTTACCTTATAGAATATACGATGAGTGAGCAGAATCAAAGCTAAAGACTGTTAATCTCCTCTGAATTACCAGAAAATCCAATTGCCACAAAAATGACGCTAAAAGAAGACAAGACTTGTGGAGGAAGATTTCGATGGAACTTAGTTATCAATGCTATAATGATAGCTATGGCAGCCTTCCCTTTCTATCTTCCATTAGAAGCTACTTTGGGAGTAAATTGCTTCTATGCTTCATTATGGTTATTATTTACATGCTTGGCAGCCAACAATTTATTTACAATACACAACACAATCAGAAAAGTTACTAAATGCTAGGATTAACCTCCAAATCCTTCCCCTATTAAATTTATTCTGATAACGTTTCTTTACAAAGAGCCTTTAGAATTACTTTTGAAAACCCTTCAAAATGTTTCTCAACAAAGGATTGCCAAGGAAATAATTATGGTGGTATGTATGGAAGAAAAAACTCCAGATAAGGAATCAAAAATAAATGCTGTATTTGAATAATTTACAAATTCTTTTGGCAAACTCATCATAACGGTACATCCCTATGGAACCCCAGGGGAAATCCCAGGCAAGTGTTTTAATAACAACTATGGAATTAGATCAGTTTATGCCCATTTAAGATAAAGCGAACAAAACTTTGATCCAAACAAATACTTTGTCACTAACTTTGATGTAGATACTATCTTTCACAAAAATTTTCTCGATATCCAAATGATGAATATTCTCAAAGAGAAAGATAGGAATAATTTTGTTTGGTAACCAGTTCTATTTTATAACTGGGGACTTGATAAACTTAGTGTTTTTACAAGAATTACAGGATTAGCTAGAAATATGCTAATGATGGGAGCACTTATCCCCTTTAATATCAACATCATGAGTGTGTATACTGCTTCCTTATAATTATACATAAAAGGAGATTTTTGTCATCCGACTTATTAGATGGAAGATATAATCTGTTACATAAGATGGAAGACTCTGAGCAAAAGATCACTTAAGATTAAACCGATTTATTGTCCTATAATTTCAGGTCCTACATCAGGTTCAAACATGTGGTAGGAATTTGTTGAATGGGTCAGATAAAATAAGAGATGGAGTGTCGGATCTGCTGAAGTTTTCCATTACTTTGTTATAAAAGTTTCAAGAATCTAGTTTTGTTCAGCTTTTCTGTGGGCTTGCAATTATCTCAATTATTATGCATCATTTATTTGTGTTTAAAGCTTGCTCTTAATCACAACAACAATTAGACTTTTTGCTATGAAAAGTGATCCTGATCCTGTTCTTTAGCAATATTTCTGGATACCTCTTATTGCGGTTTATATTTGCCTGTTTTTTATGATATTAATGAATAAACTGGCCTGTTTTTTATGATATTAATGAATAAACTGGCGGTAAAGTATCTTCTTAATGATATTGTGATTGAAAAAATTCCGATTTGGAAAGATTTCATTCATTGGATATTAAGTCTTATAGTATAGGTTGGATATGGACTAACAGTATTTTATGGGTTTTGGGAAATTTTCTTTTGTGGTAAAGGAGTTTGCACTCATGAACCATCAAAGAAAAAAGTGCTTGATAACATTGTCTAACGCAAAGATGAAACAGTTATTTAAGTACTTTAATTTTAAGGTGAAAGATAGGAATGAATATATTTAAGTTAATAGTTTATATTATAAATTAGAAATTACTTAAACTTCTTCTTACTTAATAATCAATGATTTGAGTCAAAAATTAATTCTCTGTATTACTTCATAAGAAAACTAAGCCAAAATAGTCATTAAGTTATAACACTGATAATAATCTCCCTCCAAAGTTTGAAGTTCAAATCTTTAAGTTAAAGCAATTCTACAAACATAATCATTTTTCAATAATTTGAAATTAATACGGCTTGCTTTAGTCAAGAATTTAGTCTATTTTATTAATTTGAAATTTATTAGATAAATAGATTAATAATATCTTAGCTTTAGTATTGGAAAGACTTTTATTTATAAACATCTAAAGTTATTAACGCAGATTATATGTAAAATCTTTGATTAAACTACCTAATGAAAAGTATATAAAATTCAAGAAATTTTAAAATCGTTCCAGGATAACTTATAAATATTTATAAATGTAAAATTATCCATTAAAATAGAATATTCAAAAGGGAAAATACTATAAACTAAATTTATTTATATGTACTATTATTTTTTTAATTTTCACTATTAATTTATTCAACAAAAAGAACTTTTGAATTTTATAAAAAATAGCTCGAATATTTAAAATAGGTGGCGGTAAACTTCTAGTAGAATAATTGCTCGAATAATTCAAAACTACACTGATTTATACTATCATCTGAAAGACACCAAGGTAGAAATGAAATTTAGATTTGAGAAAATGATTATAAAATCAAAAAGATTGAAAAATAACATTGAAATGCTTCATCAGCACTTTATTTATTTACTTATTTTTATGATTTCCATTTTTTTTATAATGTTTGAACCTGATAAATTTTAATTATTGCATTTCATCCATTACTATTGAAACAACTAACAAATTTTGTATCAATTGTATTTTTTGTTAGATTTTGAGATTGTCATAAAAATTCATAGGTATTTCTCAATTGCAGACTCTCAAAAACTGTCTCTAAATCTCAGCAGGATTTTTGGAACAACATTTTCATTAAGTTAGTTAGGAAGTATAAATAAATAGATTTTGCCAAGCCTAAATTATATAAAGTATGAACATTATATTGGAATATCCATTTTTGATTCATGATAGATGACCTAGTATTTTCTTTGCTTTAAATAAATTGAAAAATTTTATATGATAATAGATTAGTTTATCTCCAGGGAATTAGAGTGTTTATTGCATAGGTCTATAGAGGGTGGATGGTTGAAAATCTTGCTTTTTGTTAGATTCAATTGAAAATTGTAAAATCTTAACACTTCATCATTAATTTAACCCTGATTATAAAAACTTTGATAGGGATTGACATTTATTAAAAAAGAGCACATGTGGCAATCAAATTGATTTGATTTTATGCCTAATAGACTTCTAATTCATCTCAAATAATTAATTTAGAATCTACTTAATAGTTGAGGAGAACAAACGATTTCAGTTCTTTAATTATAATTTGAATTATATATAAAATAGTTAATAAAAATAAACTTATTGGGTAGACTATGATAATTAATAATGTGGGATTCATATTTTAAGAGTGCTTCTTACGTTTTATCATGTGATAAAGGAGTTTTGGGATAGGTTCTTGGGGGTAAAGATTTGAGGCAAGTTTTTTTAGCGACTGTTTTTGTTCTTGATATGATAGTTTAAATTGAGAATAATAATTAATTTGTAAAATATTCAAACTTTGGGATGAATAAAATTTATAGTCAATATAATCTTGAGAGATTACGATTGCAATAATCTGAGAAGGATTCATTGAAATTAGAGAGTAATTTAGACATAGTATTTTAAAGGAAGTGATGTGAAAAGGGGAACTGGAAAGAATGCAATTAGAAAGATCTTTGGAATAGATGAAGGTAGTAAACATGAATATGACATTTATGAGAAGTAATAACTAGATGCATTTAAGAAAGAGATTGAAGAAGAGAGGGATCTACTCACAGATGAAATAATATTGAGATTCTTATATGCTAATCATTTTGATTTCCCTTAAGCAATTAAAGTAAGTATTTAAGTACTTATACATAGCACATGCGAAATCATCAATAATGGCTTTCAGACCCAAACAATTTCAAGTGGTCTCTCAACACTGAGGAAATGATAGTATTTTCTATTTAATGACTCACTAGAAATAAGGGGCAATATACGTAAGTGGTCGAGGACAAGGTTTCAAGCCAATAATAGTGATAAATGCGGATAAGTTCGACATCACCATCTATCCAATAGATGACATATTGAGAGCAATTTCGATCGTACTCATGGTTGTTAAAGATTACATGTTAGTGCCTGGGAAGGTGGAGAGTTGGTTTGTGATTGTTGAAGCCAAGAACACAACTGCATTTTCTGTTCCTTTTACTGTATTCCTCCATAACAAATATGATAGCATTTGAACCAGATTTTCGATATGTTAAAGTTGAACTTTCCTTGTTATTTGGAACGAATGTTCATCCTACAACCATAGACATCTATACAAATTACTTGGTAGATTGTTGAATAATTTATACCTTACAATTCGAGACACAAGATTGAATTCGTAACGAATGATTTTTCATTGATGTTCAATTATATCAAACCCAAATAATTGGAGTAAAGACATGGAGGCAGAGCACCAAATGTATATGATTATTGGCCACCTCATGTGGATGATTTTAGTGAAGTTGAGTATTAGATAAAGGAGTAACAAGAAACCAAAAAAATCTAAGAGCAAATCAATTAACTTCAAAAAGTAATGCCTTTTACTTCTTCAATTGATGTGCAAATCTCAAATCTCTTAAGGAAACAATACAAACCTAAGAATAAGATGTACTAAGAAGAGACTCATCTTGAAACAACTAATTATTATGTGAATAAATCCAATTCCAAAACTGTGTTTTTGAATGCACCCAAAGTCTAGTAGGTTATCTCAACACAGCCAAGGATTCAGGATCAATACGAACTACAATAGAAATAAAAGCCTTAAGAGGTTAATGCATCTTTTGAATAACAATTCAATACTAATTACTAGGCCTATCCATCCCAAACTCAATTTAATCCAAATACTCAATTAAGCCAACAAAATTTCAGATAACCAGTGTTTCAATCGAGATTTGTTGGATCCAAGACCAGATTAAATGAAACTTAGAATTCGTAAATGCTTGGATCCCAAAATTCCAATTTCTAATCCAGATTTGTAGGCCCTAAGACTCAACATCTCTTAATCAAATAAGATGTTAGTATAATAGCCAACAGAGAGGAACTTATATCCCCTTAACATTCATAAATAATGTGAATAAATAATAAATAATGTGATTAAATAATTATCAATGATTAAAAAGTTAATTTATACATTTTCAACTCTTTCTAATCCATACAAAGTTTTAGGTATAAATAAGGGTGCTTCCCAACAAGAAATAAAATAAGCTTACTATAAATTGGCTTAGAGGTATCATCCTGATAAAAACTCAGAGAAGGATGCTGCTAAGATGTTCACTCAGGTGAATAATGCTTATGAGATTCTTTAGGATGATGTAATAATATTTCTAATTTAGAACAAAAGAAAAATGAATGATACTTGCGGAGTTTAAGATGATAATAATGATGAAGAAGATTTTGAAGATGAGTTGAGAGGCAATGCAAATAGTTATTAATAAAAAGCAAGGAGGAAATAATCGAAGGGCAAATATTATTCAAAATTTCATTAAGCAGAATACGAGTCAATATTCAGTGAGTTCGATCAATTCTTCCAATAGAAACACGGTAAAAAGAGAGCATACTATGCAAAGAAAAAAGGAGAGGATATTCGATTGGAATTGAAATTGAGTTTCCCAGATTCTGTTTTTGGTGGAAAGCATAAACTAGAGTATAGAGCTTAGAAAACATGTGAAACTTGTAAGGGGAGTAGATGCGCTCCAGGAAAATCAGCACAGAAGTGTTTTTCTTGTGGTGGATCAGGATGGTTGTTTTATTCAGATGGAGGTAGTTCGATGGAAGTAAAATGTACTAATTGTGATGGATGGGGTTAGGTAGTCAGAGATGCTTGTAAAACTTGTCAGGGGAGTGGTATAGTTGAAAAAGAATTTGAGATTGAAATAGAATTACCGAAGGGAATTTAGAATGGAACCATAATCAGATAGTCAAGATATGGTCATGCAGTATTGAGTTCTAGTTGATAGTAGAGTAAATACTCTGGAGAACCAGGAGATCTGTTGATTGAGGTGGAAGTTCAGGAGGACAATACTTTGAGGAGAGATGGAAATAATATCATAAGTGAATTAGAGTTGAGTGTGAGTGAGATGGTGTTGGGATGTAAGAAGCAGATTCAAACTATTTGGGGAGCTTTAGAGGTTGGGACATTGATTGATAAAGTAGATTTCAATTCCAGGAGCACAGTAGCCTAGAACAAAGTTGTAAATCCCACAGTATGGGATTCAATATGGACAATCGCAATGTAAGAAGGGAGACCATATAGTGATTCTAAACTTGGAGATTCCATAGTAGCTGAATGAGAGAACTAAACAATTATATTATGAACTTTTAAAGCAATTATGATTGGGAAATCCGTTTTTGTGTTATTAATAATATAATGAAGTGGACACTGATTATAGTGGCTCTTTGCATGTATTCGTTGCATGCAAATTCAGATCTTGATACTGTCAAACAACTGTTGACAGATTTGAAAACTAATGTGTAATTAGACATCGAGGCCTTGGATGCAGCTTGGGAATTGCATAAGAAAAATAAGCAATCGATTATAGACGCCTTAGGTTTCTCAGCATCAGAGCAAAGAAGTGAATGCGCAAAGAAAGATGAAGATGTTTAAAGCAAATAGAGGGATATCAAAATAACTAATGATTTCGTAGCTTGGATGTAAAAAAGACAAGGATTGAATTCTCAAAGATTAGGTGTTTTGGAAGTCAATAGGTACATACATCATCTATCAATAGATGTTAAGCAAGCAACAATTACGTACATGATATCAAGAATTACAAAATTGCATTAGCTTTAGTCAAATTCTTGAGAGAATAATTAGACAAACTTGATTCCAATGCTACACCTGCCTAAAAGCAAGAATTTCTATAAAAAGTACACAAATTCGTATAGATCTATCAAACAGGCAAGCTCTTAACTATGGTTGAACAAATTTAAATGAATGATGATGGTTCCTATGTATTGCCAAACATCGAAGGCGACGAATAAGATCTTACTGAATCAGCACTTACTCAAACAAGAGGAAAGAGAAATGCTAACAAAGTGCTCCTTCAATAATAATAGACAACTGTCATATCATCAGGAGATGGTGACGATAAGGCTGATAGTGCAGTTGTCCTTATACCTAGTCAATGTGATGATTCTATTAACACTGTTATCGTTGTCTAAAACGATGATGGCACAGGTGGTGATGATGATTTACACATTAAATTCACTAATGGAGGAGGTTCAGGAACTTAAGGAGGATCTTCAAAACCCAAGCCATAACCAAAACCATAACCTAAGCCAGAACCAAAAGAAGAAGAAGACGATACAGAGGAAGAGGCTGAAGGTGAAGAAGGTTCTGTAGACGACAATGGAGAACATTCAGATGAACCTGCAGGAGAAGAAGAATCTAATGATGATAGCAAAACAGATGAACACCCAGTCAGTCCAACAGGTGAAGAAGAATCCAATGATGATGGAAATGACAATGGAGATAATAATGGTGATGACAATGGAGATAATAATGATGATGCTAATAAGGGTGGAGATTCAAACTAAGACAATAAGGACAATGGCGGTTAAACATAGACAGAAGAAGAGGAAGATTTAAGCGTATAATATATTTTTAATTCATTTCTAGGATATCAGAAAAGTGTTGGATGCTATTGAAAAACATTCAAAAAAATCACTAGATTTGGAACAAGAAGACGAAGTCAGAAGTTCTATGATCTATATTGACTTTAAATTACACATTGAATTGGAAAATCAATACTTTGATAAGCAGATTGCTGGAGAAAAAGAGAATCTTGTACTAATTTTATTTAATGTTAGATCAAACTCACAAATCAATTAACCAGCAGAGTTGGTATTGCTAGATAATGCAATGCAAGACTTAAGCAAATCGATATAGCCTATTAAGTCAGCTAAGATGTAATTATCGAATACTTATTCTTAGGATTACAACGATTCATATTAACATTACTTGGAACTCAGAAAACAAAAGGAAGAAGAGCTAGCAACCTTTGATGACATATATAGAATTTATACCACTTAGGTTGTTTGAATTTTACACCATAAATCATAAAATTATTGAATTTTATAATTATAAATAGTAATCCTCCCCTTGCTGACTGAACTATTAGACATTGAGTTTCCATTACCTATAGTAATTATAGTTTATTTTTCCCAGTCTTTTTTAAACAAAAATTTATTAGATTAATTTCTGACTTAAATATCTTGACACATTGGTTAAATTTTATACTTTTTCATCAATAACAATTAGTTCTATAGATATACACACAAAGGATGCTCTATCATATTATAACCTGCGATATGAGTGAAATAGATTTTAGTATTATAAACAGCTTCACCCATATTGATTTACAATAATAATTTTATAATGTCAATAACTGTTTCGACCTGCCAATAGATTTGCCAATCCCCTTTAAACCTTAGTCCTTCAAAGAATTTGTGGACTTTCTCCAAATCCGAGAGATTTGGCAAATTAGCCAATCCAACATTGTAATAAATTGTGATGGCAATTTTAGTTGCTAATAAGCATTTTACAATCTTCCCACCATGATAGAAAAAAGATCAGCAGGAATTGGCAAAGGCAACAAGTATAAAATAGTACTAAATTACAGGATTGATTTCACCAAAGTGGTTGTTCCAAGTCCCTCTCCTTAGCAATATGATTTGGGCAGTGATGTTTAAAATAATCAGAAAAAGAACAAAGGATATAAATTTGGTGTGAGTAGAGATAAAATGGCCAGCACAGGCATTCTTGGCACCTTAAATCTCAAGACTCCAGGTTAAAACTCATCAATTAAATCTAATAGCCCCTGGAACCTATGACTTAGGAACGACATTGAGTGATATTAGATACACTATGAGACCTAAACCATAAAAAAGCTCATTAATCTCCAATGCCAAAGTCCCAGGACCAGGATAATATGAATCATTACCAGCTATCAATGAAAAGGGGAGATATCCAATCTCAAAATATAGCAATTCGTGTGCTACTTTATTCAATCCAAAATCATCAAAAAGATTTACCACTGATTATTGTAAGAATGAGTCCCTCTCTTATGTTATTAGCTACTAAAGTGCCAGGTCCAGGATAATATGGACTTGAAAAGACCGGAATCTAATAAGTATAATAATTCAACAAATATACAGGATGGCAGATATTTTGTATCCAAATTCCACGACTCGAATGTGAGAAGCTTTCCTAAAGAAGCCAGGAGAACAGGATCTAATGAAAAACGTAAATAAATGGATTATAATTAGATTAAACACCTGCTCCTGGCAATTATAGATTGCCCTCTGAATTTGGCTATTATGAGGCCAGCAAAAGCGTTGGACACACTGAACCCAAATGAACAATAATATTATTACAATTAACAATCAATATATAGATTTCTTGTAATCTACTTCTAGAAGGAATAAAATTTGAGTTATCTTCGAAATACTGTTAATTTCATATTAAGTGTTTTGATCCAAATCTAATCCTAATGATTAAATCGAGAATGCATTAATATTATATAAATATTTAATTTATAAATGGATCAAATACCTTAAGAAGAGGTTGATGAAGAGTAATAATTGGAGAATGAGATCAAAAATATCTCAGCTCTCTCTATTTAATTAGTTTGGAAGAAGTACAAAACTCTTAAGGCCATACGACAAACAGTAAAATCTAAAAGAGAGCCCGTGGTAGTGTATTACTCTTCCATTGCCACAAATTAAAAGATCAGAAGCGACCAAATGCAACTCTTTCACATGTTGAAAGTCAAAAACATCAAATTCTATAAATTCGATCTTGTTGATAATAAAATGGCCCAAGGGTGGGTCAAAGATATCTTGAATCGCTATCAATTGCCATTCGTCACCATCAACAATATCTTTGTTGGAGGCTACGACGAATTCTAGATCTTGTATGAATTGGAACTCTTGCCTCGCATAATCAAGAAAGGTAATAGAAAACACTCTATTTTTAATAGATTATGAGCGGGAATGCATATTGTGTGATGAACCAAAAGAAGGAGATGAGTGCCCGAATTGTAATAAGCCTTTTGAATTCTTCAAGAAAGACTGAGTTATATAATATAAATAATGAATTTCAGTCTCCCAGATGCTCTCAATTTAATAAAGGAGGGCAGAGCTAATGAAGCCGTTGATCAGCTAAACAAATTCATTGAGTGTTTACAACCTTTAAGTCCCTAGACATAACTCTTGGGTCAATAACTCGGCATCGATTTAGAATTTTTTAGAATTGTTAAATTCTCTGACTTTTATGATCCTGATCCATAGGTCTAAGCCTTACGCTTTAAATATTATGCTTACAAAATTGCAAGTATTTATTGGTTACAAAAATAGAGTGGGGCTATTAAATTATCCAATAGAAGAGGAAAGTAAAAAGAAGACATGATTTGGTTGAGAAATCGGAATAGTTTGGAATTTAGAATGAGATTGGACGTACTTTTGGAGTGGATAATGAATCGAAATAATTTGCTGAGTCAAGAATTTAAATGATGTCTGACAAATTGTAGAAGAAAAAATAAATTTATCAGAAATAATTATTATTTCAATTGGATATAGAGAAGAGGAGAACTGATTATAAATTATAACAAGATGATAAAATAGAGAAAGTTAGAAAAGCTTTAAAAACAGATTATGATAATAAAATTTAACCTGTAAAAGAGCATTTGGAGATCGTAAATGAGAAATTAAAGAGCAATCATAAAATGAAAAAGAAGCAAGAAGATGATTTGATTAACAAGAGAAGTGAATTACTTAAAAATGCCTCATTGATGTAATTAATTAATTTAATCAAAGAGATGAAAAAATACATAAACTTGAAGAAATGAGAAGAAATTAAATAGAACACATGAAAAATGCAAGATAAATGAAAAAGTAAAGACAACATTCCTTTCAAGAAAAACAAAATTAAAAATATGAAGAATATCTTGAAAAAATGAAACTGAAATTAGAATAAAGACGTATAGATATCTAATATTCAATTTAATAGGCATTGTTGACGTCCATTTTGAATCTCATAAAGATTTTGGCAAGAGATAAGTACCAGATGACTTTGAAAAAAATTTAGAGAATGTAATCATTAAATACTCAAAATAATAACCAATTATTAATAATTTGCTAGCCAAACAAATCGAATAGATACAAACAAAAAAGTCTGTTGACAGTGAAAAATTCAAAAAAGTTATATAGAATCTACAATAAGATCATTCGCATAAAATTGAATCACGCAATGTTGGTGAGGTTATGGTAAGGAAAGAAAAAAGATTGTAAGAAGAGACAATCTTGAGAAAAGAAACTTATTAATAGAGAGTTCTAAATTTTCTACAAAATCGTTAATAATTACAGAGATTGCAGTCTTAATAAATCGATAGATACAATGCGTTTTTCTCAAGATAAACTACTCGATTAAAGAATATGAGAACGACTAATGAGTAAATGAAATCTACTGTCAAGTATGTATATCTATAGTAATACTAGTTTTGCCTTGATGTAAGCCAATAAGATTGAAGAATAGACAGCATTAAAAATGTCTAGAGCAGTTTAATTAATCAATGATCCAGATTTACAAATGTAATTCAAACCGAATGAAAAGCTAACAACTCAGTAAAAAATAGCGAAGAAAAAGCAGGAGGAAATGCAATCGTTATTAAAATCATTTGTAACTAGCGAAGTTGATTTGCTAAGATTTTCTAAATCCGTGACAGAAGTTAAAAATGATGAAAATTAATAATAAAAATGATATTATGTATATTATCATTGTTCTATTATGATGTACTCTGCCTTTTTTATTTTTTATTTTAAGCAAAATAAACAACCACCAATTAATAAGAAAAACGTCAGAATTGGTATGATGATGATGGCTGTCAATTCAGGATTTTAAATTGAAAACCACTAATTTAAATATTGATTTACTTTTTTCGTTCAGGACAGCAACAGTGTTCAGAATTATCTAATGTTACATTTAATGTGCATTAATAAGGAGATAGATCGAATGTTCCCTTCTTATCGATAGTTGAATTTCCAACATCTCTCTCTTAATTAAAAAACTCCTCGTCATCCACAATGTCATTACAAGTTAATTTTACCAAAAAGTAATAGGAGTTTGTATCGACCTTTGAATTTAGGTCTGGGTTTCCAATTTCAATTTATTTGCATGATTCGCTAATTGAAAATTTTTTCCCTTAATTATTTTAAAATTCCCTCCCATTCTTAGTCAATTGATAGCCAAGGGTTGTTATGACTTCTCCTGAGCTTCCATCAATGTTGACCATAAGAAGTAGCAAATTTAATATGATTACCATTTTAATTTAATATATTAATTTTATAAAGCATTAATATTGTTTCATTGCTATTGTTTTTATTATTCTAAATATGAATTGTACAACTTATTCTATTTTTCCCATAACTCTTAAACCACCTTTTTCTATTTCTTAGATAATTCATTTCCATCCTTATCTTTAGTTGGTAAACCAGTCTCATCAAATTCTGAATATTTATCTGCTTGCTAAGAAAAGAATTCTTTTGGACTCAGTTTAGCTTTTTCTAACTTTTCTTATTCTTCTTTTTTCTTCTATTGTTCTTTTTATTGAAGTAGAGCCTATTATTATTCTCTTTCCAATTTCAATTCTTAAACATCATATTATTTCCAAACTGAAGCCTAATTTATAATAATCATATTAATACTTAATCTTTATCTTTGTCTTCTATTTTGATTCCCAAATTGAATAATTGTTAATCTCTGAGTTTATCACATAACTAAAATATTTACTACTTGTTTTTGTTTTGAGATGCAACCAATACTTCTTATTAAAATTAGTTGATAGCATCTACCAAGTGATTTGAAATGTTCTTCTCATATTCTAATTACTTTTAAGACACAGCATTTGTAACAGCTTCAAAATCATTGTTTCTAGCTGCCACCTTGACTTTATCTCTTATAGAGCAAACCTATTCCATCAATGGCTGAATATCAATTTGATTTGAAAATAATGTTTGGTAATTAATTCCCAAAAGCTACAATGTAAAATAACTATATTTACTCCAAAAATAAAGTTGACATAATTAACCACACTACTAATAAGAGGAGCTCTGACATTTTTAGCTGCAATCTAGATATTAACCTAATTTATTAATTTGTTTGTGGCATCTACAACTGTTGGAAAATCAAAGTTGTTTGTTAAGGCTTGATGAATGATTTGTTTAGTCGATCTCAACAAAGCACTCAACTGGAAGTCATTTTCTGTCCACTTTTAGGCATCAGTTACCTGAGATTATCTGAGATAGATCTTTGTATTTTAGAAGAATTCTTAATATGATTTGTCCTTTGCAATAGCCTGCTCCATTTGCTCCTCAGAATAATTTTAAGGAGCATCATATTGATGAATTGCGAAGTTCAAACGCACTTATCTTGGAGTATATCTCTTGAGAACTTCCTCGATGGTCATAAAGTTTTTGAGGGATTTTGACATCTTTCTGTCAGCAATATTTAAATGACCAAGATGTATAAAATAATTGATCCATTGTTCACAATTAAAACATGCTTCAGCTTATGCCAGAGAATTATCATGATGTGGAAACAACAAATCAATACCTCCAGCATGTAGATCAATTGGGTTTCCTAATATTGCACTAGCCATGACAGAACATTCAATATGCCATCCAGGTCTGCCTTCTCCCCAAGGACTCTACCATTTTGGTTCATCAGGTTTACTTGCTTTCCATAATGCGAAGTCATATGGACTTTTCTTTTCCGATTACTTGTTTACTTAGGACTCACCCTCACCCTCCTAAAGCAATTCAGCATTCACTTCTGGTCTCATCTTTGGGTAGGTGTGCTAATGGAAAAATCAAATTATAATTTTATACTCCATCGGATATGTATTTTTAAACTTCAAAATACACACTGCCGTTGCTTTCATAAGCATACCCATTTGAAATGATTTTTTAAATGAAGGTAACAATCTCAGGAACATAATCACTGACTCTAGTGATTACATCAGGAAGTTCAATATTTAGAGCTTCCATGGCATCAAAGAAATCCTTCTCCCATACTTTTGTAAATTCAAGGAATTCTTGCTTCGCCGCATTAGCTCCTGTGATAATCTTATCATCTATGTCTGTTATGTTCATAACACTCAGCAGATCGTAGTGAAAATAGTCTCTCAAGGTCCTTCTTATAACATCAATTCCCAGGTAGGTTCTAGTAAGGGATGAGATAACTAATCATACCTTGCGTGACCCAAATGAGAATTACTATATACAGTGGGACCACAATAATAGAAGCTTTAGGTTATTTTTGAAAAATACTTCACTTGTCTACCATTTATTGGGATAAATGGCACTAACTCAGAGCCTTTCAATGAGTTGGCTAGTTTCAATCCAGTAACATAGGAATCCTCTTTGGCCTCTGGTACTTTGTAATGTGCAAATGGAACTTTTGATTGCTGCATAAAAATATTAATAGATCTTGAAGCAAACTTAATCATTTATGAAGTTAAAATTACCGAAGTCCTAATAGAATTCAAAGGTTGACATATGTTCATATAAGTGCATCATTTCAATAATATTAATTCTAATAAAATTTGTCATAATTAATTATTAGTACGAACCGAAACAACTGTTTAATAAGTCATATATTGTAATATATATTAAATTTAATCAAGCATTAAATTAATAATTCGAGATTGTAAATAATTATAATTTATCATTCGATATGATTGGTGTTGAACTTATGGTGATCCCTTTGGATGGAGATACAATTTAAAACTAAAGCTAGAACAAGTCTAAGAGTCTGTCTAATTTTGATTTGGCCCTAAGAGAGGCTAATATTGTTTGTCTATGCATTTGTTGCTATTATACCTTCAAACTTATCTTCACTTTGGTATATCACAAAGAAATTCAAGACAAATCACAAGAACATTTTATAATCATTAATTTTTTATATGACGTTATTGCATTTATATTGTATGCAATATTACAGTATGTTATATTAAATTTATGTAGTGCTCTCACCGACAATTTGAAATACTCTGAAATTAGCGAGTATGACTAATAGATGAATTTATTGGAATTGAATCATTGCCTCACTTTCTTTACTATTTAGGAACTAGTCTCTCTATTCAAACCACTCAATGGATGCATGATAATTTACACTCTCTAACAAAAGTCCTTTTCAAAATATATAGTCGTTCTAAAATTACTTCATTATTTTACCACCTACTAAGCTCTCAACAATTATCATCTCTTATTCGTTAGAACTAATCCCCTTATACAACTTCAAATAATATTACTAATCTTGAGTTGGACAATTTAAATTATAATAATTGTTGTGCTTTTATTTGTTTATTTTATCTATTCAATCAAAAAAAAAGAATTCCATTTTCATTACAAAGGGAAAATCATAGGAAAAATCTTATTTATGATTAAAGAAATGTCCTACAAAGAAAAATTTAAAAACACTCAAGATAATTTAGCAATTTGGTATTTATCGATACATAATCAGCCCTATTTGTTATCAAGAGATTAATGAAAACGATACCATAATCTAATTGCCCTGTCATTTGAACCATTTTTTCCATTCCAAATGCTGCATGCAATGGTTATTGAAAGATCTTCGATGCCCCCTCTGTAGACATGAGTTAGATTCCAATATTTCGAATAATCTATACTCAAATATCTTATGAAATTATTATATCTTATATGATTTATCACTTAGAAAAATAAATTTAATGTATTTCAGAAATCTATTCCTAAATATCCTCAACATAAGCCAATTCAAAAAATCTAATTTCTATATCATTCAACCTTATTTTATCTGTTCCAACAACTCTCTTAACAGTTTTAAAATGAATTTCCTTATTTTTTATTACTTAGTTCAAAATTATAGCCATGAGTACTTGCAACTAAATTTTAGATAGTTCCCTTTTTTCTTGGGGATCCTAGCAATTTTAAGCATTTCTCTAATAAAATCGATATACATTTAAAACATAAGTTCTAAAGGCTAATTTTATATCATTAAAGTCATCTTCGAAAATTGCCTAAAATTCAATAATTATAATTTATTACATTCTGAAAGTGTTTTTCAATATTTTTCTTGACCTAAATTGAACTTTTGATGGCTTCTATATCATTTCCAATGAAAAATTACGTTTGACAATAAATTGTATCTTTTATTATCATTCTTAATTTTCTAAAAGATTCTCTAGAAAATTGGGTTGACAAATATCTTTCAAACTTACTCATTACTATCAAAATTGTTTTATCAACAATGAATTTTAACTAATCCAAGTAAATCGATTTTTCTTGATCAAAATACTTTTCTTTAATTATTTCTTTTAAATTTGTCAAAATATAAATCTTATACAATTCTTCATGTAACTAATCCCAAATGATTTAGTCCTCATCTATTTTATCGTTATAATATAAGAGGTAACTCATCTACTCTCGACTTTCAAACTATTCTGATTTTTGTTAATCAAATATATCAATTGTGGAACAAAAAAATGATTCTCTCTCCTCTACGATTTTATTAAGAGTTTTACAACAATTTTAATACTTATTTACGTAAAATTTATATGCATCCTCAGATAGATTATTTTTTAAATTTTCTGCTACTTCCCACAATTAAATTCTTTCATTCTCTGGACTTAACATTCGATTAGTTAACTCTTTTAATGTTTGTGAAATAGGAGGAGAAATCAAAGTTTCTATGTAGTTTTTTTCAACCTTTGACGTGCATGTTATCAAACAATAAGCTATTTATCCTAAAAGAAGAGTATCCAAATTATGATTATAATTGATTAGCGTTTCACTAATTTCAGGATATAATCCAAAATTCATCATAGTAATATTAGTTCCATCCCATATTATGTTGTCAATACTAAAACATCTCCCTAGGATACGATTACAGTATAGCATAGCTAATCCTTCAAGAATTTAAATCAAGATAGTCTCAACAATATTTTCTGGAATCCAGTTACTCGCTTGAATAAATTATTCTAGCGTCTACCCCTTAGGATGTTTCACAACAAAGGTTTAATCATCGATTTATTAGACAACCTCTCTAAAATATTTTCCTGTTATCATTATGTCATTAGCTAAATATTCATTTTATAATTTAGCTTTGTATCTGATAAGATTTTCATTATCCATAGAAATGAATTAAATATTATACCCCTCACATCTTAAATTTAATTGTTCTTACATAAATTATTATTTTTTATTTTTCCAAAATTATGAATTTTGAACTCCTAAAAATTCAAGGTTTTAATTCAAAATTCTATTTGGTTTTTTTTTTTATTCGTAAAGATATTAAACAAAGAATGCTTTAGTTCGATGAAATAGCACTTATTTAGAAGAATTCTCAATGAAACAAAATTTATTTTGAGGTTGTAATGTAGATTCTTTTCAAAAGATAAGGGAGCTATTTTGATTATTAACGATAAATTCATTAAATTATTGCTTATTAATAAATTAAATTATTCCATAGCCTATTCGATTTATGTTAGAATAAACAACTTTGTCATAGCACCTATCAAATTTCAAATATTCTTTTTTTCTTTTTTAGTGCAAGAGACCTATTTAATTTTAAAATAACCGAATCTGCTGTTTAGAATTAATATAATGAATATGAATCTATATAGAACCTAATAGAAATGTTCCTAAAGAATTTCGAATCTGCTTGAATCTAATTAGAAATACAAAATATAAGTAATGTACCATTAGATTAATTATTTCAAAATATACTTTCAATTCGCTTGAAACTGATCAATATTCTTATTAATTGCATTTTAATCTGGTTTTAAACACAAGTAGTTCAAAATTCTCTAATAATTTAAAATCCCTCACTTTATGCTTTTATTGACATTTTTTAATGAAATATTCTAATTAAATGTGAAATGTTAAATTCAAAAAGATGAAATATCATTGAAAAGTCAATTTCTACTGCTAAATTTTAATTGTTTGCTAACAGTCCTATTGTTATTGAATATAAAAATGNATCCAAATTATGATTATAATTGATTAGCGTTTCACTAATTTCAGGATATAATCCAAAATTCATCATAGTAATATTAGTTCCATCCCATATTATGTTGTCAATACTAAAACATCTCCCTAGGATACGATTACAGTATAGCATAGCTAATCCTTCAAGAATTTAAATCAAGATAGTCTCAACAATATTTTCTGGAATCCAGTTACTCGCTTGAATAAATTATTCTAGCGTCTACCCCTTAGGATGTTTCACAACAAAGGTTTAATCATCGATTTATTAGACAACCTCTCTAAAATATTTTCCTGTTATCATTATGTCATTAGCTAAATATTCATTTTATAATTTAGCTTTGTATCTGATAAGATTTTCATTATCCATAGAAATGAATTAAATATTATACCCCTCACATCTTAAATTTAATTGTTCTTACATAAATTATTATTTTTTATTTTTCCAAAATTATGAATTTTGAACTCCTAAAAATTCAAGGTTTTAATTCAAAATTCTATTTGGTTTTTTTTTTTATTCGTAAAGATATTAAACAAAGAATGCTTTAGTTCGATGAAATAGCACTTATTTAGAAGAATTCTCAATGAAACAAAATTTATTTTGAGGTTGTAATGTAGATTCTTTTCAAAAGATAAGGGAGCTATTTTGATTATTAACGATAAATTCATTAAATTATTGCTTATTAATAAATTAAATTATTCCATAGCCTATTCGATTTATGTTAGAATAAACAACTTTGTCATAGCACCTATCAAATTTCAAATATTCTTTTTTTCTTTTTTAGTGCAAGAGACCTATTTAATTTTAAAATAACCGAATCTGCTGTTTAGAATTAATATAATGAATATGAATCTATATAGAACCTAATAGAAATGTTCCTAAAGAATTTCGAATCTGCTTGAATCTAATTAGAAATACAAAATATAAGTAATGTACCATTAGATTAATTATTTCAAAATATACTTTCAATTCGCTTGAAACTGATCAATATTCTTATTAATTGCATTTTAATCTGGTTTTAAACACAAGTAGTTCAAAATTCTCTAATAATTTAAAATCCCTCACTTTATGCTTTTATTGACATTTTTTAATGAAATATTCTAATTAAATGTGAAATGTTAAATTCAAAAAGATGAAATATCATTGAAAAGTCAATTTCTACTGCTAAATTTTAATTGTTTGCTAACAGTCCTATTGTTATTGAATATAAAAATGTATAATAAAATTATAATTAATATTACTAAAATACGTATTGACAAAGATTTTTACTAGATAAATCTAAAAATTGAAATAGATGAAATTATCAAAACACAAATTAAAATCTAAATTCTAAATTCTAATGTACTATAAATACGATGATTCATTCAATTTTTGGCCATATACGTAAAATAAGCATAGATAGAAAAATAAATTAAAAATATTTTTAAGGTCTTGTTGTTCATGGAATCATGGAACTCTATATTTAATATTTATGAAAAGCAGAATAATTTATTTATTAGTTTTTATGAGTATTCTTTCTATTTTAATTATATATTTTTGTAAATATAAGTTTATTATTAAATAGCCATATTACTATGATATACTTGATTATACTATTACATGAAATAAAATCATACCTTGGAAGGATTTATTGATTTAAGGATTTCAGAGCAGATTATAATTATATTTACATAAAAAAAAATTTATATATTTGTAAGAACTTTATATAAATAAAATAACGAATAAATCAAAATAAATAAGGGAAAAAAAAAATAAAATTATTTTGTCAAAAGCTTTAATTTATACTATAATTAATGAACTAAGGTTAAAAACCAATTATAAGAATAAAGCTTACTTAAATAAAAAATACACAAAAAACATTATTTCAACAAAAATTCTAAAGACAACAGAGGAAAAAACCTGGTTTTGAGTAAATTTATTATGAATTATCTAAAAAGTTGTTATAAAGAAGATTCCTTGAATTAAGTCTAGAGAAGTAAAAATTCAGAAAAATCAAATAAAAAATATCAATTGAACAAAAAATAGTTGTTATTGAAGTCAATTAACCATTCAAGCTTGACTCAATTTTAACAAATTTCTACAATTAGTCTAATCGACATCTTCGTTTTTTCTTTTTTAAGTTATTTATATCTGGGTTTCCTACTAAAATATCTCACACTCCAAAAATTCATTCCCTAAATTTGAGAAATTTTCGTTTTTAAACAAATATATAAATTCACTAAAATTTTGGAGAACCCAAACCACGAGTAATAAAAATATTTCTTAAATTATAATTAATATTCAAAAATCATTGAAGTATGAACATCCTTGAATTTAATTCTGTGTAACTTCTATCTTATGCATTATTTATAATTCTTCTTAGTAATCTCTATTTTTTAGTTATAGGAATATAGAATCAAAAGGGTTGCTAATTTTTTTGCCCTCACCTTACTCAAATAAACTCAATTTTTATGATGTATTTTATTAATTGATTGAGATTACTTTACCTAAGCATTATGGCAGACCAACTGAATACAAGAAATTTGTATAAAATGATTTAATCACAGAATTAATTAAAATAAAATTTAAATAATGAATATTAGGTTCAGGAATTATTTGAAAATACGTAATAAATTATGTAAGTATTTGAATATCTGATTCAACATTAATTCAATACAAAAAAATCGTTTTTTAACTATGTTGTGAACTAAGATGGAATCATTAAATTTTATGAAAAACCAAACTATTTTGTTGTTGGCTTTAGCCTACTGCTCTATTAGTGTCTTAGGTGAGCCAATTTTAGTCTCTTAGTCCTTTTCGGGGAATGATTTTAAAGATGCTGACGGTAATTTTCTTATGTAATTTGATAGGTTGGGTTGTAGCTGGTGGACTACCTCATATAACAACATGTAGTGGTACCAATATGTTTGGAGGTTTCGGTAAGTTTGGTGGGAAAGCTGTTGCAAGCAAATTATTTGAATTGCCTCCTCATTCTTCTATCAATTTGAAAGTTCAATTCTGGAAGTAACATTCTTAGATTCTAATATAGAATTGACTCATGGGATAATGAAGATGCATTCATTTTTATAGATGATTAACTAGTCTGGTCAAGAAAATTTAAATTTAATGAAGGTGATGGATAGAAGTGTGGATAAGGTGGAGATTGGAAAGAAATGATACTTGATCTTAATCTAAATGTAAAACACACTGGTCCAACCGCTGTGGTTATATTTACATCAAATTTGAACGAGGCTGCAGATAATGTAACTTTTTGTAAGCTTAAGAAATAGGAATCTTGGGCTATCAGAGATTTTGTTTTGTCAATAGAAAGATGTCCAGAGGGTTGCTCTGCTTGCTAAGCGAATGATAAGCCTGAAAATTGTGAATTCTGGTAATCATTTTCGTCGAGTTGGGGATCATTGGATTCTAACACATTAGGAGCCGATGGATGGGAAGTTGCAGGTGGATAAAAAACAGCCACCAATTGTGGAAGTATAAATTTTATAATAATTTAAAAAAGGTGTCGCTTTATTTGGTGGTTTTGATAAGACAGGAGCTAAGGCCGTTGTTAGTAAAATTCTAAAAGTTAATCCTCATTACAAACTAAAAATTAAAGTACTTTGGGCTAAGATTGATTCTTGGGACAATTAGGCAGCTTAGATAAAAGTCGATGGAAAATTGGTTTGGGAGAGAAGATTCTAATGGCATGAAGGTTATTTTGGTAAGATATGCGGTTGTCCTGTCTTTGAATGGAAATCAATGTTCTTCAGAACTGAGGTTGACATTGATCACACTGGTGATTAAGCAAAAATTGAGTTCACTACAACTTTAAACGAGGCTCCAAATAACGAATCCTTTGGCTTAAGAGATTTATATATCTTCTATGCTGGCTGCTCTTAAAATTGTGCCGAATGTACAGGACCTAAAGATTCTGATTGCAAGAGTAATACCATTTTATATAAATTTAGAATGTGAAAATAATTGGTCATTGGTTGAAGGAAAATGCCAAGCATTGCCAAATTTCATCCTTTTAGAATAGTCCTTTTTGGAAGATAACTTTACAGGAATCAATGGGTGGGTTCTTAGTAAAAATAAAGGAGGAAAATAAATTAATTAATGTAGTGGTAAGTCTATGGTTGGAGGCTTTGATATTATGGGTGTTGGTGCTAGTGCTACAAAGACATTTGATATTCCCCCACACAAAAGACTTAGACTCTAATCTACCATCTACAAAATCGATTCTTGGGATGGAGAATTTATGATAATTAAAGTTGATGGTACTGAAGTATGGAAAACTTCATGGAATCTCTAAACTGGAGGTGCTAATTTCTGTGGACAAGGAGTTTGGTTTGATGGTATTACTGGAGTAGATTAAATCTTCAATCACTAAGCTGCAAAGGCAGAAGTGATATTTACATCCACCTTAAATTAAGATGCTGCTGATGGTAATAAAAATATAGTATATTGTAGAATCTTGGGGTTTCAGAGATTTCAAACTATGGTATGAACCAAAGGAGGCCTGCGCAATTTTCTATAGCGAATGTGATTACAAAGGAGCATCATTTGAATTCTGTTCAAAGTCACCTGATTTCTCAAAGGATAGCATCCCTCCATAGATTAGATCAATTAGAATTCCACCTTAAGGAAGAGTAACATTATTTGAAAGTACCGATTATAATGGAAAGAAGGTAACTTACACCTCTGATCAAGCTTGCATTTCAAACTTTGATGTATTCACTTTAATTTCATTACTTTAGTTTTCATTGGTTTAGAAGAGTGCTCATGTTGAAGGAGGCTGGACCGAAGTTGAATAATGATTGAATACATTTACATAGATCAAAATATAAAAATTAATCATATAAAATATATTAGTATTAGAATAATGCATTTTGATTTAATATGATCAACTATATTAGTCGTTTAATGGGTTTTGATAATAATATTAATTAAAATAAATGTGAATTATATTTCTAATTTACTCTGTATAATTATTAGAAGATTCTTTGAATTTCATGTAACTTCTACTTCTTGGGATATATTTTAAAAACAACGAAAAAAATAATTTCATATATTGTGGAATTATGATTGTGACTTATTTAGAAGATGTAGATGATTGAAAATTACCCCATTATAGTAATCAAATTGATTAGAACTTATAAAGGTGGATATCGATACCAAAATAAGAAACACAGAACAGTGCTTCTTATAATGTTTATTATAATATATCAGTACTTATAATACATTACAATATATATATAATTATTATAAAAATGCAAGCAAATCCAGCTCTACACACACCAGCAAAGAAGAATTGTACATTCGAAGTTGCAGGAAGACCTGATGGCGAAGGGTATATTATTTATATATTCGTATTCACCCAGATATTTAAGTCAGAACAATGCCATGTTTGGAATCATTGTGATATAAGAATGGTGGGGTTTGAATGAATCAATGGTGAAAACAACTGATAGGATAGCCAAAATGGGATTTTAATGCATTTCTCCAGATATTTATAGAGGCAAAGTTGCCCAGAATAGAGAAGTAATGTGAACCATTATTATTATAGGAAGCTGGCCATCTTTTGGGTGGATTAGATTGGGAAGGAGCAGTCAAAGACATTGAAGGAGCAGCAAAGCATTTGAGAGAGATGGGATGTAAAAAGGTTGGAGTAACAGGATTTTGTATGGGCGGAGCTTTAGCAATTGCTGCTTTATCTTTTTCAGATTAAATTAATGCTGCTGCTCCATTTTATGGTGTCTGCGATTTAAATACATTCAAATTAGATAACATAAAGGGACCAATCTATGGGTAATTTGGGGAGAAGGATGAAATGAAAGGATTTTCCTCTCCAGATGATGCTTAAAGATTAGTTGATGCAGGGTAAAAGGCCGGAAAAAATGTAAAAGTGAAGTAATTAATATCTTGAAATATAGAATTTGGCCAGGTGTTGGACATGCTTTTATGAATTAAGACAGACCTGAAGCATACAATGCCGAGGTGGCTTAATAGGCATTATAGGAAGTGGCTACTTGGTTTAAATAAGTATTTTCATAATAATTGTGAAATTTATTATAAAATATATTTATATGCAAAGATCCATTTTAAAGTCAAGATTCTTGTTTTCCTTAGTTTATCAAAAAGCAACACCCACAACAACGATTGGTGGAAAACTTCCTGTTTATGTCACACCTGCTCCTTATGGTTTGGTAATAATTTAAGAATGGTGGGGACTAAATTCATCCATTTGTAAAACAGCTGATATCATGAGTACTTATGGATTTAAGTGTGTTGTACCTGATTTGTATAGAGGAAAAATTGCTAAGGATACTGAAGACGCAGGACATTTACTTTCTGGATTAGATTGGAAATAAGCTTTAATCGATATAGAAGAATCAGCTCGTTATTTAAAAGAAGATTTGTATTGCAAGAAAGTAGGAATTTTAGGATTCTGCATGGGTGGAGCACTTAGCATAGCATCAATTACAACCTCTAAAATCATCTCTGCTGCTGCACCATTTTATGGAGTCTGTGATTTAAACACATTCAAATTATCTAATGCGAATGGACCTATTCTCGCTTAATTTGGTCAAAATGATGATATGGTAGGATTTTCATCAGTCTAAGATGCAAAACGATTAGAATTAACTGCATAGTAGTAAGGAAATAAAAGTTTGCAAGTGAAAATCTGGCCTGGAGTTGGACATGCATTTTGTAACTAAGACAGACCAGAAGTTTATAATTAAGCCATAGCTAAATAAGCTTTGGATTTAGCAGCAAAGTTTTTACATGAAAATTTAAAATGATCGCATAAAAATATTCTATTATTTAATGCACATAATCTAAGCAAAAATTATATAAATAAAAATTATCACAAATTATGAAATTAAATAAGTCTTTTTTTCAAAACCCAGGTTTAATTTACATAGATATATCTATTTTAATAAAATTTACAATTCTATTAAATTATCAATTAAAATAAAATTAGTTAAATAGAAATTTTATATATTTTTACAATCCTTCTATTTATTTCCATTTTGAAATTCAATAGTAAAATGAAGAGATCAAATAATGATTATCTAACTTATCTTTAAGTTATAAACAATATTATAAAAATATTTATCAGATAAGATTATTAAGGTTCAGATAATAAAAAATACGAACAATAAAGATATCAATCAAAAACTATATGTTTTTTGTAATCATCTATTACATCAAGAACAAACTATAATTTTTAAGGTTCATCTTACATCACTGTTTTCATTGCCTAAATTATTGAATATTATATGTACTTATTAAAATTCGAAATAAGGTTATTCTCTTATTCTTAATCGTTTATGTAGTACCTCAATATCAGTTCTTTTATAAAAATGAAGTCCATACAGAATTAAGTTAAGTTTACATCTTAGATTTTACCCAACAGGTGATTCATTATCCTTATTTATTTATACTATTTACTTCAAAAACTTTGTATAATAAAGGTCGTTACATTATCTCATTTTCAAGTTTAGATGCAATTCTATTGACAACAAACTATCCACCAAGTTATTTGATGGCAGTTTTTCTAGGTTTATTCAAAAGAATAGGAGTGATTTCTTCCCAATCTTCTTCGAAATCGCTTAATAAAATGGGATCATTAGTCACTTTGCTTACTGCTTACAAGGCCTTCTCTTTGAATTTTTTGAAGACTTTTTCTGAAATTATAGTTTTATTCTTATGAATAGTTTCAATATCACTATCAGTAATTGACTTGACGTTATCTCTAAAAAAATAATGGAAAACATTTTCACAATGGGCAGTAAATCTCTATTTGCCCCTTTTTTAAACTAAATCAAAAAGAATTGGTTCGCTTGAGCACAGACGAACAAAGTTCTCAATGAATTCTCTGTACCCTCCAGGAGAATTGTTTATACATTCTTATAATGATGATTTATTTAATATGGCAAATTTATAGGTGTCCATTTTCCTTAGTAAGATTCTAATGTGTTTGTATCTGATTCCTAATTTTTGCAGTGTAGTAGATAAATAAAACTTAAAATTTGCCAATTAAACATGTGTAAGCTTGTATTTAACATGTCTTTCTCTCAACACTTCCAGTGTATAATTTGGTGATTCAGTATGATCTATTAATTAGGCAAATAATTTCGCAAATTTAATTGCTTATTCTTCTAGCTCTATAGCCTTGAAATATGGACTTAGGGTATAGTCTTTAAAAATCTTCTCGTACATATTTTTAGCAATTTCATTAATTCCAAACTCCCCCCCAAATATCTCAAAATCACTTTTTTAATTTAATATTAATGGTTTAAAATTTTCTAATTTATAACATCCTTTAAATAACAATTCAACTGGAGTCTCCATGTCCATAAATTGATTTATAAACAAATACTTAAATCTAATAAATTGTTCCTTTCTTATAAACAAGGGTGCGTGGATGCTTCTCATTCTAAATGGATCAAGCAAGATCTCTTAAGTGTATCCAATTCCTAAAATGCTCTTGTAAATATCCTTCAAGTATTTTAGTGATTTTCCCTAGAATTTCATCTTTAATTATCTATCTTGTATAATACGCGAATATAGTGTTTCTGAATGCTAATCAAGTAATTCATTACTACCATATTACTTTATCTGAGTTTTTATTATCTTCTGAAATTTGGTTTCAAAGAATTTGCTGATAATTTCAGTCTAAGTCATTGGTTACTATTTTAAGTCTCTATGAGTTGGCTGTATTCTTGGCCTTTTTAACTGCTCCAATTAATCTTGTACATTTCTTAACCCAATATAATTGGATGCCTTTGTTTTTGGTTGTATGGGAGTAAACTTAAAATGGACAGGGGTATTTGGTAGTACGATTACTTGGGAATCACTTATCATTGGTAAATGATAGGCAGTTTTCGTAGGAGATTACTCTTGACTTCTGAAATTCTTTGTTTTATTTATGAAATCTTTCATGGCTATTTGACATTAAGATGAATGCTTAATTGATAATTCATTCTAAGGGTCTTAGCGTAAGAGTGTGCTTAACTATTTTTCCCATCTTTGCTTTTTCGAATTAATTGGAGAGCCTTACTATTGAAACTATCGATCTTGAAATGATGATTTCAGCTCCTCCTTGGTTTGCTGCATTTGAATAAAGTCTCTAAATGTCATGCTTTTACTATCCTATTTCATATGTTCAGTGGGAAATTTAAATGGACATCTAGGAGATGTTGTAAGATTATGCATCATTATTTTAATATTAAAATATATATTGATAATTAAGCACGGGTACAAATATCAGAATTCTTACATTCATAACCAATTTTTTCATCAATAAATTAAGCATAAGTAAAATACTCACAATTTTAACTATCTAAAATTAACACATAATATTGTAAAATAAATTTTAGTTAATTCACAATTATCAAAACACTCAAAAATATTGTAATTGCTTTAAAGCATTGTGAATAATAGCAAAATGTGATATATCAATTTTTTGAAAAATTGCAAGAAGATGTAACAAAAGTTAATTTAATATATAATTATTAATCCTCATTTTTATAATAAAAATTGATACATTAATTTAACGCTTTCTTTAGGATTTAATAAAAAAAAAGAGGTAATTTATGCATAATTATCATTACTTATAGCCTTCTTCCCTTAAGCTCTCTAATTTCCAATTAATTTCAATAGTATCCTTTATTCATTATGGTATAGGATATTATTTATTAAGTAAAATATATAAATGCTTCTAAATTAATTTCTTTACAAGATCTTAATTCACAGCATTATTATTGAAATAGAAACAAACTTGCTTCTTTTATCGAACAATGGTGGAATAAAATAAATCAACTTATCTTTTAAAATATATATTATTTTTGGATATGTTCCAATCTTAACTCAATATAAGATGATTTCATTAGATGCACTATAAAATTATTTTAATAATAAATTTAAATATTCAATATATTTACGTACTATCTAAATTTTTTAATGCTCTAGAACTAAATACATTAAGATTGATAATTACCCATAATAATTGAAAGGCTATTAATTATTTTCACTTTTCAATTTATATGTGTTTGGTGTTCCTGCCTAATAAGGATTATACTATGAAGAGAATTGCTAGTTTTATTAGTAACTTTATGTTGGTATTTAATATGCCTAATACTATTGTGATTATTAATTTTGTTATTATTAGTATTATTGTTATGGTAATTAGGATTACGAGAGTTGTTACTGCTAGTATTACATCTACTGCTAATACAGTTATTATTATTTTAGTTCCAGTTATTACAGTAATTGTTATTGCTATTGCTATTCTAATTAATATTAATAATTTTGTTGCTGTGATGGATATCCATATTCTGTTTATTAATTTTACAATTATGATTAAGTCACTTACTGATTTTCTACTTGTGTTTGAGTTTATAACTATTGTTGACTGCCACCACCAACAAGCATATTGCCTACATTTTAATAATTAACTCTTTATTCATTGGATTGCTGTGAATATCGCTGAGGAGCATAATCTTTTTAATTTTGGTTGTAGGGTTCCTTACGAAAGATATTATCTTTTCCGAGATACGAAAAATTGTGATTGTATCGCTATGGCTCTCTTCCAGATGGACTAGTAATTTAATAATTGATAAGCGGTTTCGTAAAATTTTTGAGAGGATCAGCCCTAGATGATATGGATTGTAATACACATAACTATGATTCTTAAGCAATGATTGACTGATGATCTAAGAAGGAGGCTCGATCTTTCTAACTCTAGGACGTTCATGTAATCGTTGATCATCAGGAAATTGCTAAGGTTGTTTGCGTTTATTTCTTTAGCTAATTTCTTCCTAGAAATTTCGAACGTAGAGCTCTGGGTCCTGCATCAAATTAAATAAATCAATATTTTTAATGTTTTTGAAGACATGACTTAATTTAATATTTCCCTTAAAATCTCAATACAATGAGAAATTATTATTGGAAAGATGAGGAGAATAGCTAATCAACTGTTGTAAAATGCAAAAATTAATGAGATAATTCAATAAACTAGCTTGTTGTTGATCCATCTGCCATCCATGATTTTACCATTCATACAATAGAATATTCCAGGACCATTGATAAAATCCTTCTAGAATGTACCCACAAAACGCTCCCCATTGGTTAGATACAGGGTTCCCTATCCTTCCTTGTTGTCCTGATCAAAGTTGCCACTATACTTGATCCAATAACTAAGGAATATATGATGCTATGTCGTACTCTTCAACATTGTCAAAATCTCTGTAATCAAACGATTCGTGTAATGGTTGCGGATGCTCATTATAGAGGGTGCCATGACCTTAAAACTAATCCTCACTCCATTGTCCTTAATAGGCAGGTTGTCCTGTTGCATAATAGAGTGTTCCTAAAAAGCAATACAATTGACTTATTACCATCTCCATGCATCTTATTTTCTTTCCATCCTCCATCATATAATCCACCATCTTGATAGTAAAACTTTCCTTGTCCATGTCTCATGCCATTGGCTTTCATCCCCTCATAGCGAGATCCATTTGAATAATGTTCAACCACAAATTCTGGTCGATTGACACTGTCTGCTTTGAATTAAGGAATGTCGTATGGTAATGAAAACTCTTTAGTTTATGTTGCTGTTATTTATTGAGGAAGATTGGTTGAGTCACTAAGAATTTTAGAAAATTTGAAGTATTCCTGCCTTTAGGTTGTCTATTCAACATCTTCTTCTGGTGTAGGATCGATATTTTCATCGAATTAAGACTGTTTACTAATAGTTTCACTTGGCTATTTGAATTGTAGAGTATCGCATTAATCAGGTTGCAATGATTAAGTTGGAGCAGCTTACTTTTAAATATTGCTACTCGTTTAACTACTGAATTGATATTCTTATACTTATTAAGTTGTATAATTCAATCTGGATTATTATTACTAGGTAACTGTTCTAGTATTTGATAGTTTATTAGATAATGGTTTTGGAGGAAAATATATTTATTTAACCTACCCACTCTTATTACTAAGAATAGATAAATCAGTAGGAACTGTTGGAACAGCATAAGTGTAGGTCTGATTCGGATCCTTGCTGCTTTATCTTGATCCTCTTAATCTAGGAACTGAACTATCCCTATTATCTCTCACTTTCAATTGTTATTGAGGTACTAAGATCTTGCTTAATGGGGTGAGACTTCTTTATGAAGTATCTGTTTTGATTGTGTATTAATGAACATATTCTAACGGGGAAATGTTTTAAACTTATTGAAATCTTCTTGATTGAATTTACTACACACTATTCACTTGAGTCAGGCATGGCTGAATTGTAGTATTAGCAACGATTGTATGCTGTTGTAGTGTCTATATGGTATTAGATTAATAGGTAGGATCTATGATTGGTATTATCTGCCTTTAAATAACATTGGGAATATATTATTGTTTATTCAGAACTTATTAATTGTTAATGTAGTGTTCCAATTATAAAAAATCTGGTCTTTGATCTTCCTTGATGACTAACATACTTGATAGCCAATCACAAAATTGCTGTCCATATCTCAGCTTCAACTTTTATAGTTTACTATTCAAAACATCTTCAATTAACAAGCCTTGATCGTATGAGTAACAATCCGAACTTGGTTGATTTAAAGCCAAGTGGAGGAAGAGCATGCCCAAAGTGAATACATCACTCTTGTACTCATTATGCTTTGGTTACCAGTTGTTTAACTATATTGATTTCACTAATATTGGGGATAGATAGATGCATTCCAAACAATTTGGATTTTGTAATACCTGCATAAAATTGGTGTTATGTTGAAAATACTATGGGTCTGTCACCTTTATTGTTTCATCCATCAAATACAGATATTTGAGTTATAATGAATTGTGTGGGATCTCATTTTTCTGCATGCATGTCAATCCTGCAACTGCTTGTTTCAAATACTAAATTAATTGTGTTTCATTTAAGGCTGGAACTAACTCCAAATTCCCAGTTGGGTATTCAAAAAGTAAATAAACCTTGTAGAATTGTCCACAGAGTTATTACTCAAATTGGTAAAAGTAATTGCTCAGATTGAGAACATTTTGATGATTGATCTTGTGTCTCACTTGGTATTGTTGGACAGCCTTCTTGAAGTGAACCTCATCTGTTATGTTTAGAGTGCGAAGAATCAGCTTCTGATGTGGGTCTCGTTTATGTTGTAGGATTTAACACTCAGGGAAGTCTAGGATCATCTACTTTAAGACATACCGTTGTTATAAACATTAATCTATCGGAAGTGATCATAGAGCTTGGTAATTGGTTTCGAATCGGTGGCTCCCATTTTTGATTTCAAAATATAATTAACTGCCTATATAATATACACATCAATTATACTATAATAAATGTATTAAATATTCCTTGACACACAATAAATTAAATGTCTAATTATCATACATTTGCATTTCATAATCATTTTGATCTATTGGGCAATTCAAAATAAATTTAGAAATTTTGAAATAACTTAGTACATTATTCAAATGCATTCATTCATTTAAGTATATATATATACATACTAGAATGTAATGCTAGTTTGTTATTGATTTTCATGTAATATTGCAATTGTTTTTATGAATAAAATTAAAACCAAAGAAAAAAACAAGAATTTATAGAGTAAAAATAATAATAATTAATGATTTCAAAGTATATCACTGTAAAGTATTAATACTATTACGAAACTCTTGTTTGACTAATTACACAAAAGATGGGCAATTAGACATGTGTTTTCTAATGATCCGTAAGAGGATAGATTGGTCCAATTTTTTAATCTTGATCAATTTTTCGATTTGATCCAAAAGATTTCTTGAAATTAGGTAATATGTGTTACTCGTTATTCAATTGATTAAATAATTAAGGAGATGGAGTTATACTTTGATTGGATTTGCTTGGAGTTTGGTATTGTGAAAATTGGGAGACTTGTGACATATTAAGCTTAGGAGTTGAAAATTCAGATTAAGTTAATCTCTTGCTTGATTGAGAATTGATCATGTAACCCAATTGATAGATATTATCAGCACATCTACTTTGAGCCTGTTGTATAAGATTCTAAATTACTTGAATCAAGTCATCAATTAAGTCTTTGTATTGATTGGTTTGAACTGTGGTTGTGGATCGATACTTCTCAGTTTTGTGGAGGGATTCCAATTGATCAATCTCATACTTTCCATCCAAAATGTCAGAATAGCGAATATATTCTTAACAGTTCATTAATATTAATATTAAATATGGATTGTATTCGTTTCTGGACTGTCATTTTCGCATGTGGATTCATCTTATTTGTAATGGATCCTCATTTAATTGTAGTTGTCCTTGTTCCTTATCCTGAAATACCAGATTGAGTTTTACAGATATCCCGTAAAGAATTAGACGAATTCAGAAACCACAGCGATTGTATCTGCTTGCGTGTACTTGGCTCTGACTATTGGTTTCATAATTTGGGGGAAGAGAAGGGCTGAGAAACACAAGTTAGATGTCTAATAGCAATACAACAATTTGCCAGCTAATTAATTCGAAGCAGCTCCTGAGATCGAGAATGAGAAGAAGATGGAGTGATGCACAAGGAAACTATATATAATCACAATAATAATAAATCTATAATATTATGTTATTTCACTTTTTAATACTAGGAAGTTTAAATTACTTCTTAATGTCACAACTACTTTTGGTCATAGGTGTTTTGGATTTAAGACCAGGCTTTTTCAAAGAAGACGAAGCTTCTAAGAGAGGACTCTTATTGCAATCAAAGTCAACTGATTTCTTGAAAAGAAGTGCTGAAGTGGCATTATTCTACAATTGAGGTTTTTTAAGCAGTGTGGTTTGACTGTGCATACTTGGATTGGTGATCTTTATTTTGGTGAGGGGATACTTCTTCTTGTATTTGGTCAAGTAATCATTTAAGTCTATTTTATTGAGTTCCAAATCATCCCTTTCTTAATCCAATAATAATTGTCTCTATTTCTAGTCATTCTTAAAGATCTACTCCTCCTTCTCCAGCATCTCTTGATCCTTCTGATCTAAATAGCTTTCGTCACTTGGCTTAAGCAACTCTTCCTTGGTTTGTTAGATCATGTATTGGAAAGAGCGAGATCCGCCGAGAATGCAATCTTATAAAGCATCATTGAACATATTCAAAGTCGGTGCATCATTGGAATCTATCTTCTTATAAAGGATGGGCAAAATCTAAAAGATATAAGAAGGGAAATACCTTGATCAACCTCATCCTCACATTAAGGATTGGATCCTTGGAGTAGAACAGAATATCATAGAACTAATATTGTTTGAACAGTTTTCTAGAGATGTATTGAGTGAATTCTTGGACTATGTCTATAAAAGTGATTCTATTAAAGTAGCTGTCTGATTTAAAGTAGAGTTCAAAGAGCTAGATAATCCAATCCTTTCTCTTCCTCAGATCTCCGATGTTGCTCAAGTACTTGGCAATGTTTAGACAACATAATTGTTTGGTTTTTGGTATTCCTTTGCTGATGGTGCTGAGCATAACATTGAGGAATGTGTTGATGTCAGAAAATATTTATTGGCATTCTGAGAATTTGGATAACAAATCTATTTGTAAATCCCACTGATTTTTTGCAATAAGATCATTTAGCAATTCAATGGCTGGTTGACCAAATTGGGGTTGTTACTGACTACGCATAAGATATACAAACTACTTGTTTTTGGAAGGAATTGACAATTGAATCAAATCTGATTATTAACAATTGTAAGACTGTTAAATATTTTGATTTCATGAAATTAACAAATACTTGTATTAGAATATCTGTATTCTCAGACAAGAGTACAACTTCATGAAAACTGCTTAATATGGATCTTTGAAGTGTTTCATTGGTATCATTGCAACACAACATATATTGTTCTTGAAAAAATTCAAACTTTTTTAGACTCAAAGAAAGTATTGCAGGGAAATTGGAAACAAAGTTGATCCTCACATCTATATTTTTACTTTTGGCATATGACGCATAAATAGTGAGAAATAGAGATATTTAATTTTGATTCAAATTGCCTTTAACCTACTTATAATTGATAATAATTACCAACATATATACTCTTCCACACATTTTAGACATAACTACTTTACTTTCTTCACTCTAGCTTTATATTTGATCAATGAATAGTTTCGTACATCTATTTTTGATTTCATCAGGTGACAATTGGTTGGCTATGGTGTAGAACAATTTCATGCCTGCACTCTTTACAACAATGTCTGTGTCATAATACAGTTCCATGATCTTCTCAAGTAAATAACACTCTATCAAATCACTAGATATCGATTGGCACACTTTCACTATAACATCTTCAGCCATGGTCAATCTGACTTCTTTGTCATGATCAGAACACAAATTTCTAGCTCTGTCCAATAAAGGCCCTTTGATATCATTTCCCAATAGCTTTAGTTAATAATTGAATGTACTTATGCCAAGGTGCCTATGAGTTTTGCAGCACTCTAACGAGAAATCGTTGGTTGTGATGCATCAGTCAACAATAGTATCAATTATGAGATTGGATTAAGGATGATATCGAGGCTGATAACTCTAAGTAATGCATTCATAGTATGTATCCATTCATTCAAAACTGGTAATGACCATATTTTTAGAATTTGAGTAGTCAAATCATAAATTTAGAGTAACTCCATTACTTAAAGTTAATTGTCTTTAATCAATTTATGAAGAGATTTGGCTGCAATAATTTGATTTTCCTCTTCTTGTTGCTGAATCTCCTCTCTTTAATATAGATTATATCATACACGATGACTTTGAACAAAATCTCAAATGCATTTGGTTCCTTTAAAATTCTATGCAAGTTTTGATATACCTATCAATCAATAAACAACATATCTTACTGCCCTCTTTTACAATTATTGACCCTTCGTCAATATCTGATATGACCTCTAGCATTCGCTTAGATCCTCTTCCAGCGTCAATTTCTTAAGTTCGTCTTCACTCTAGAATGGATAGAGAGTTTCTTACCTTTGTACTAGTCTTGTACTCCTATTCGGGGAAGAACATGCAAATTTTAAATATTATTAAATTGATATAATAATATATATTGATTGGATAAGAATGTTAGCTAAATTAAGATATAGATGTGAGTTTTTGGTATTCACATTTTTTATCCAAATGTTTGAAACTATTTTTTATTAGCTTCATTCATCTTTTCCTATTTGATGTGATTCTTGTAAAATTGAATGCCTCCCAAAATATCTTTCTCCAATCTCTATAATCCATCCCTTATCACCACAAATGTTGGTCTTTTCTCACACTCCTCAATCATCTGCAAAATCAACTTCTAAAATATGCTCGAATATCCCAAACACAGCAGCATATCGCACATCTTCTTCACCTACTCCAGATCTACCACCTTCTTCTACCAATTATAGTATGCAGACGAGGCTTAACATATCGGCAATCCTTACATTATTGAGCAGCCAACTCCAACAGAATCAATCCCAAAGTAAATACATCTCCCTTCACTCCACTCTTCTAACTAGCTGGAATCGATTGTTTTAATTCCTCCAGTTATTCAGGAGGCAACAAGTGAAATTCGTCCAGAATAAACGCTTTACTATATGCATCTGGATGATTAGGCAAGAAACTGTGTTCCTTTTCATTTTAATCAATTCTTACTATCAACTTGATGTTCTCTGATTCATCCAAATAGATTGTCTGAGTCTTCAATTCTCCGTGATGCATCCCCTTCTCTTCCAAAAAAGCACAGGCACTTACTATTTGATAGGCTATCAACCACAATCTTGATTCATTAAACATAAATGATTAGGTAAAACTTATTCAAATTCTATAAGTACTTCTATTCGGCCTCTGAATTCAAAGTCATCTAGTAGTATTCCCCAATTATTATTGCTTGAGACACATCAGCACACATCATCGAATTGCTATTTTCATGAAAATGTAACAATCTGACCAAATTGGCATTCTTCCATTATTTTCTATTCTCGAATCTCTTACAATAATTGTCCATCTCCTATTTAGAAGTAGTTCCCAAATGTATTTCAAACACTCTAATTTTCTTTCTTACATTCATTTATACATACCTTGTTCTCCTTGTACTCATGAATTTTTATATTTCCTAATTGACGATGAGACAGATTTTGGCAAAATGTAAAATCTTTGGTAATCTAGAAGGACTTTTCATTATCCAAAACATTACCCATCTCTATTATTATAAAAAATTATTAAATATAAAAGTCAGTAGTGATATAAATAATATCAATGTTCTCTAGAATTGAATTGCAATTATTTTGCCCCTCCTTATTCTACTTTCTAATTACTTGAATTCATTTAGTCTCTAATTTATAGTTTGCATGAAATTGTATGTTTAAAGTAATAAAATTCTTATATAGCACAAGTAATAAATTTTTTATCAATCACTTCACAATTGGAGGAGAAGCTAAATTGTTGTAGTTCAATTGGAAATGAGATCTTAGCTTGAATTGTTAAAGGGATTTATAAAAAATTTATTACTTGTGCTATGTTAGTCCATTTTCTATGCCTTAGTCATAAATGGAATTCCAAAAATATTTAATGATTAATTTAAAAAAAAGTTATAAAAGTACATCAATTTTAAACTTTTGTTTTTGTTTATAATATCCAACTAATAAAACCTTCAATAAGTAGTTTGACGTTATAATTAATTAAGTATTCTTAGGCAATTTTTTACCTTAAATTTAGAGACTGATATAAGTTGACTCAATCGAGGGAATAAGCTGACTAGCATATACCCTTGATATTAAAGAGTGGAACTTCCTAAGCAATTTATTAATTCATAGTATTTAAATAGCAAATATATTACAATTATATTACATATCAATTTTAATTTTGATTTAATGAAACTGAAGAAAAATAAATTTTTGCTCTCTGAAGGTAGCTTCTAATTTTTAAGAGTTCACTATATAATTATGTACGAAAGGTTTGAGAATGTAAGACAATTTATTTAGTTTGTTTACAAATATATATTAAATTCATAAGAACCATAATATATGTTAATATTAATTTCATCTATTTTATGGTGCTCTACAAATAGGACAACTGGGAATTAAATTGTTTTATCGCTAAGAAATTGAAGAGATTATACATTTCTTTGAAACCAATCTTAGATACAGTTGGAATGGAATAGATGCGAAGAATGGCATTATAGTTGTTGAAGGTCGGAATTCTCCACCATTGGATCAAAACATATTTAGCATGAGAGTTATTCCTCCCTTCCAAATATGCTGTATCTATGTTGTGGTGCTTCCTATATTTGTTATGGTTAATACACCTGCTCTTCTTCCTGGAATTCATTATCCAGTATATTGAATAAGAGGCTACCTTAACCCTCTTAATTATCGAACAAAGATTAATTTTACATACCTAAAATTAATTATCTAGATGCTCTCCTATGGAGGGCTCTCAATTTATATTCTTATCTGATTCTCCTTGGTAGTTCTATGATGAGCCCAAGAACGACAAATACGAAATCGCAGGCTGTCACTATGAAGAGTAAAAATACTAGCCAGGCGATTTAATTTGATTAAAATCTTGATTCAAAGAAGTATGAAGTAATTATTCCAGCCGATAAGACTAGATAGAGGAAATCTTTAGACTCGCAACAAAAGTGGTGAAAATCCATTTTAACGCTTGTATAAAAGAGGCTCCACGAAGAAGCGTCACCCATGCTTCCTACATAGTGGAATAATAATCATACTAGCCTTAATCATTTCTTCTAATTCTTAATCTGTATATTAGACATTCCCTCTCTCACTTTCTTTGATTAAGTAACTCATTGTAAATACGTACTCGGCTGATTCCAGATCCAATTATTGATTGAACAAGACGACTAACATCATGAAGAAACCAATGATTAGTTCCGAAAGGTAGATAAGTTGATAGAAGGAATTTTGATCCAATACAAACATCTTACCACAAAGGCCTAAACCTACCAAGGAGGAAAGTATAAATAAATTGTTCTTCAATCTGAAGTCTTTGATCGAGCGAGCGCAGCTTACACTTATGTTCATTAAATCAATCTATAATTATTAATTATATTTACTAGATTCAAACAGATTTGGGTGTTCCATAGAAATGATGTACATTGTGTTCATTTTGTTAAGAGTTTATTTTTAGTTATAGATCAGATATTAATAAATTAAATAAGACTGCTCACATTATATTAATATAAAAAATGAATTAATTGGTACCAATTGATTCAACCTTGTAAGCCAATTTGGAACGCCTTAGTTATTTGATGGCCCAGAAGAAGGAGAAGAAACCTGACTTCAGAGATCAATTTCAAACTCATTCGAACACCAAGAAAATATTCGTTAATTTGAGAGCATTTGTCAAGCAGCCCCAACCTCCCTCCCCTCCTACTTAGAACCAGAAAAAAGAACACAAAATTCCTTCATAAACCATTACTACGCAGACCTAGACTCCCAAAACCCCCACTTATAGATAATAGTTCTTACGACCATAGTCATTAGCCCAACTAGAACCCTGTCTAAAGAGGCAAGAAATCTCTGCGAGCAATATCATGAGTGAGAGAACTAATACTAAGGCTTGTTACAAGAATTGGGTGGGTTTGTCAGTAATAGAAAGGAATGATATATTTCTAAAGAAAAAACAATCAAAATTGTAGAAAATGAGAGAGGAGAAGGACGAACAGGAACTCAGCAAATGCACCTTTACTCCTCACTTCTACAATCAAATTCATATTGAAAGACCATCCTCATGCTTTCAAAATAAATCTTATTAGGATATTCACAAATTACGCAAGAATCAAAATGAAAAATTATATTGATCAAACTATTTCCACTTTTTTATTAAACAAATAAATAATGAGTCAGTTATACCATCCATAAACCTTAAACTATAAATTTAATATTAATATATATCAATCAATTTTCAAATTAACCAAATCTTCTTTGAATGTTCAGAAGAACTAACCACTGACTGTCTCAAAGGAAATTTGATCCGTCCTTAATGTTGTTTAAACTAAACATCCAAAATACATTAATACTTGTCTCGATTATTTTATTTCGACCAAAGTAGTATAGGGGAGAAATTGCTTCAACCTTTCTGGCTTCACTTCCAGTCTAAAACGATTAATGTCTTCCATGTTGATCGCATAATAATCCATGTATTCCTCAAACACATTAACGCTATGTAAATACATAAGAGGATTTACTCATATTCAGTGTCTATTTTCGGTTTGATTTGCGCACCATTGTAGTATCTCTATACTTCTTTTAAGACGACAGACAAATTATTGTGAGTACTATAGATTTCAAAATCAAAGCCAAATTCAAAATGATCAATTAAGGAGTAATTTTGTTAGCTTTTATTTGAAATGAATAGATTCTCTTGATTTTGATTTTCTTTTTAAACTTGATATTCTAATATGATCTCATCTAATTTCTATTGGATTGTATCGGAATCACTTTGCTCGTCTGAACTTTAATTTTCATTAATTTTGGTATGACTGACACTGCTGCTTTACAAATTTAAAGAGGGTGTTGAAGATTGAATTAATTACGAAATAGATTTAGTAAGATTAAAAAGATCGTTTTGCTTTTGAGTTATCATTTAGACTTGACTCAATTAGGCACGCATTACCTTTTATATTTCTCTTCTCCTGTTTCGATCCTCTTTGAATTTGGATTTGATTTTAAAAGGCTAAGGAATACTTTTGAAGTGGATAGTTTTAAATTGCGTATCTTCTAGATTGCATTCTTCAACAATATAACCAGTCATCGGAATTACAGTTTATATACTCAGAGCCTCCTTCTTAATGATGTACTAGTGTTTAATAGCATTAAAATGTATTCTATCCTTTCTCACATACTCTCTCATGATTTATCTAATGCATCTGTTCTTTGTTTTATTGTACACATAAAGATCCACTATGAAATGTAATTGAGGACAATCTCTAACCACATGTCCTGGCAACTCACAAGCAAAACAATGTATTTGGAGCACTTAAAATTGATGTCTATTAACTTCCTCTTAAATTGAGTAGAATTTCTCAAAATCTTTAGGATATTTTTGTAGAATCTACAAGAAACTCTCCCTTTTCAGTACAAACAAATCACTGAACCCTTCACTCTTGGCAGAGGCAGTTCGACCTACATTTCCAAAGAAATTGATCTCTCCAAAGATCTATTTGTTCGTTAATTTGGCTGCTACTTGTCTAGTCTTAGGCAATACAATATTAATCAATCCATCTTGAATAAAATAAAGATGCTGTGAATTTTTGGGATTGTCTTCAATAATGATGTATTCGTCTGGTTGTGCCGTTTATTCAAGTAAGATTTGAGTAATGTCTAAGAGGAGGACACGAGAGAAGGTTTTACAGAAATTCGTATACGTGGCTAAGATGTTGCCATTAACATGAACAGTCAATAACTACTTCAGTTCTTGGGATAGATTAACAGTGATTGCATCTAATTTAATAAGTCTGCTCGAATCCCAAATATATTATAAGTACTTTCTTACTCTCTATTGAAGATGTTTCGGTATCTTTACTTTTTACATGTAATTGTTGATTTCTGCAATGTTCTTTTTTTACTGATCTTTTTTTTAACTCATCTATTGCATTGTATTTCCGATGGAGTTCATAGTGAAGGACAACACTCCACAAGCTACCAATAAGAAGAATATTCCACACAATCTCTCTATTGTTGTTTAAGGTGAAATGTCTCCATAACCCACAGTAATCATGGTAGTGACAGCCCAATAGATTGATGTTACGTATCTCACTTCAACTGGAGAATCATAAATACCAGCTACAACTAACCAATTATGATTAGGATCTTCATTCATTCCCACAAAATGAAATATGCATCCTAGCCAATGTGACCAAAATAATACAAAGAAGCTCAATTTAAGAAAGCTGGCTATTGTATTAATGGTAGTATAGGTTTGAAGTTATTCTTCAATTTTATCGAAAATCACCTTTAATTTAGCTAATCTAAGTAATCTAATTATCTTGATAAATCTAAAGAATTTTAAAAGTCTCAAAATTTAAGCACTTTATTATAACGTCTTTGATTGACCAGCACTGCTACTACTCTAATCGGTTTGATTGGCATCTGATAGCAATATTGATTCTACGATCTAATTATGATTGTGTCTTATAAGATACCATGTCGTAGGGGAAGGAGGCAATTAAATCTAGCCAAAACCACAGTTTCATATATTGTTTAAATATTACTGAGTATTAAAAATTGATGGTCCCTTTGATCCAGACGGCTGTATTGAAGGTAACTGCGATGTCAACCAAGAAGATTGTTGTTATAAATGTGCTTAATTCGCTGCTAATTTCGAAGTCAAAGCTAATTCTGAAGGGGATGGACAATATTTCATAGAAAATTAGAAACATGCACAGGAAATCCCAAATGATTTTTAGTGTTCCATCTGGTGAAAACACAATAGATTCAAAGAATGTTAGTTTCTTTTTTGGTTTTGTGATTTGTTAGATTTGATTGCTGTTCTTCATGGATGAAAGTGCCATAGTGAGAGTCATTTCCTTCGACCGTTCCTTCTTCTCGACGCAGTGCTCATTGTCAAAAGGAGTCTTGAAATCATACATTCGTTGTTCCTCTCTTGAATGATGCAATGACTTGGAAATAGGAATGAATGGGAATACTTTGTCGTTCAAAATGTACTGCTCAGTTGGAGACAAACAAAGATAGGCCTTACGATCAGATATGGACTTGTTAATGTATTCCAATCGTTTCCTCTCTCTTTCAGTATGTTTATTAAAGTGCTGTTTCTCTAAAAGGTTGGTCTTTAGAAATTTTTTAACAATAATTGACATTAATTAAATATGAGAACTACTCGCATCGCTCAATCTAAGCAACAAGGGAATGCAAATGCAAACAAATTGGCTTCCATCAAAAACACTCTCAAGTTTCAATTCGACGATGAAAACGAAAAGAATGTTGATCGCACTACCAGTCCCTCCATAACCATTAAGGATTTGTGCCAAGAAGAAAAAGCAAAAATTGGAGACTTGATAAAGAGACTGGCCCAAGAACAAGAGGAAAACAAAAAGCTACAAGAGCAAATAAGATAAAAGGAAGAAGACTGCAAAAAATAAGTAACCAAATACAAACAACTTTCAGAATCAGCCAAAAAAGAGTAGAAGCAGACTGAAGAGAAATTCAAAGAATCCCTGGAAGTCATCAAGAAGTTGCAACAATAGGAATAATTGATCTAAGAATAGATGCTACTTGCGAGGGTGAATAAATTTGATTCATTCACTTAGTGTGAGATTGACAACAAAGAAAACAATTCTAAAGTCTCATAAGTTCCAATTACACCTCCAATTCCTCCTCCAAAATAATAAAAGAGCGAGATTTTACAATTAAAAGCTGAAATTGAAGAATTCACTAACAGTTTGAAACACTTTTAGTTTGAATCTAATCGTTAAGAAAGATAAGAGATCTCTCCTATAAGAAAGGTGATTAAACCTGAAACCAAGTATGAGAGATAAGGGGTGATTCCAAGACATTAGACCCCAGTGAATGTGCCAAAACCTGATCAAAGGAAACACATAGAAGTGCAAACCATGGATTCAGGAAATCGTGTAAATCCACATTAGAATTCTGCAGACAAATAAATTTAAACGGAAACTGAAAGCTTTGCTCTCAATTCTCATGCATCCAATTTCTTCAAAAAAGAACACGAGTAACATCAAGAAACAATCAAAACTCTTGGAACTTAAAAAAGTAATTAGACCATTAGATTCTGCGATGAATTTAAGGCCTTGGAGAATAAATTAAAACAAAATCAGAATCAATATTAGAATTGCAATAAAGATCTCTCTGAATAATCCGACAGTCTCTTAAAGAACCAATATGTGGCCGATGAATCATCCGATGATGAAGATGAGTTTGCTATAGCCTAAGAGTTACTCAAACGCAAAAACCAGAGAATATCACAACAATGCTAGAAGAGGTCGTCGGTTGGATCTTAAAGAGGACAATAGGTTTCCGACGTTAGTTTGCAAAAATAATAGTAATTTCAATAGAACAATAGTTATCAACAACAATAATTTGCTCAATATCCTTACTATCAACAATCTTAATAGTAGACTCAATCGGCTTAATAGTAGAATCTAATTTCATCAAATTACTTCAAGACCAATACTCTAAGTTTCAATTTAACAAATTAGGAGTACACCCCATAACAATCGGTCCAAAAATCTGCTGAATAATTTGGATCTAGCGTTATGCAGACTCCTCAACAAAGAGATATGATTTCTCAATAGTTATAATTTTCTCAGTAGGAGGAAGAAATTGATTCCGTTATCACCAGTCTGAATGGAAGATCTTTCAATAAGCCCAATGTGTTGCAACAAGAGCAATACCCCATGATCGAGCAATAATAGGAGTCGTATTCTTCGGAGTCTTCTCTGCCCAGAGAGGAATATCAGAAACTCATTGACAAGTACATGAAGGATAATTAAGATTCTGACGATGATTGAAATAAAATAATAAAACTATAAAACAACAACAATTAATTTATATTAAATTTTTAATGAGTCGAAGGCAAAATGTTAATGATGAAAACTTGAGTTGGATTCTAAAGTATCCAAACGAATTTTCTCAAGAGGATTTCGAATCTCAACATATGCATGTTCTTAAGTAAGAACAATTTGGGTAATTGAAAGAATCAGATGAAATTTTGAATGGATAACTTTATACATTTTGGAATGGAACATTGGAATACAGTAAATTTATATTGATGCCAAATTTATTGATCAAGGTGACCGTTTAAAATGGTTTGTTATAAATTCCCCAATCTCAATTTAATCAAAATGGAGCTACCTATTATTTATCCTTATCAGAGTGCACAATCACTTAGAAAATGATTTAACACAGATCGCAACAAGCCTTCGGTATGCTCTTAACAAATTCAATTGGCACAACTTACTTGTTCTTCTCTAATTTCGTAACATTCAGAACCTGGTATAAATAGATGAAACAATTTTGCAAACTCACAGGTTTCCTGGACAAATACAAACTGGGGGACAAATTACTCCCCGGATTTTACACATGCACTAAGAAAAAAAAGAAAACTCAATATACTGTCCAGATCTATAAGAGTGATGACTTCGAACAATGTCAGGAATTGGAAGATGCAGTCTATAATGAAATACAGATATTGAGAAGCATTAAGCATCAATCCCTATTGGAACTAAAAAGAGTATACTAAAATAATAAATATCTTTTCATTGTCTACGAGTATTATAAAGGAGAGACTCTCTTCAACTTATTGAATTCCAATCTCTAATTGCACGAAGTACAAATTGCATCTGTAATACCCATTTTTAATAATATCCTTAGATCATCTATCAAATACTCCAAGTTGTTAAATTTCTGAATTAGCATCAATTCTACCATGGAAGCATCAATCCTTAGAATGTTCTGATCAACTCGCAACATCAAATGCTGTAAATTACCCTCATTAATCTCTCATTCAAAGAGTACAAGGTCAACGACAAATTAGACTGGATTTTGAATAGAGCAGTCGAGTCTTTCTTGGCTCCAGAGATCTTTGAAGGCATTGCCCCCAACATTTCCACTGATATCTTTGCGTTAGGTTGTGTACTATACTTCATGACCTATTATGATTCTAAAAAATATGAAGTATCTTAATTCTTATATAGTTTTAGATTAAAAATGAAGACAAAGACTTCTACAATGTTATGGACAATTTCGAGATTCAAAACAATCGCATAGATGAAAGTGAACAACAATTGAAAATTGGATTCCAATAGAATCAATCCAAGAGTAAGGTTAGTTCCTCTCAATTGGATCTTCTAAGAAAAATGCTAGAAACTGATGCAAGTAAGTGTTTTATAAAATGAGGTAAAAGATTGACAATAAAAGAAGCTACTAAACATCATTGGTTTGTAAATGTGAAAAGTAAAATCAAATCCTTGAAAGTGGAAAGGAAAAGAAAAAAGCCACTTCCAAGCTTAAGAACTATTATTGAGTTACGGGAAATGAGTGAAATGGATGTTAGAATGACTATTATTCAACAATAACAAAGTGGATTGAATGCTCTACATAATATGAATTCTAAATTATAATCAACTCCTTCCAATACTAAACGTACATTAATTTACACATAACAACCATCAAAACTAAGTTAATTTGTAGCCAAGAATGAGTTCGACGATGATTATGAAAGTAAGTATCCTATTGTTATCATTCAGTCCCTGATGAAGATCCTTATTTGGAAGTCCCTGTTATTAATCGTAAAAGAGAACCTAAAAAGAGACCATCTAAAATCATTTTGCTTTGAACGATTTTAAGACTATTTAAATTAATATAGAATCAATTATTATTCCAAAAAGAAATATGTTAAATGATTTCTCAACTAGAATTTTGTTGTTAAGGATATATTCCTCATTTACTTTGTTAGAATTAATTGTTTATTCAATCTTTGACTATGTAGATAAATTAATTTTTTGATATATAAGATTTGTGGAGTAATTCAAATTTTTAATTAGTAAATAAGATTAAATTTCTTATAATTGCCAATTTAGGTACTATCAGCTATCCTTCTTTCGAATGTTATTCATGATTTATTTATTTATGATATGAAATATTTAAATAGTTAAATAGTTTTTCTCTTAACTTTATTCATGGATCTCAATCGATTTATCCTATTATTTAATTATTTTGAATATCAATAAGTAATTTATTTATTTTTTATATCTAATTAATTTGATTTAGTAGACTAAAACTAAGTTGCAAGAGTGACTTTTCCTTTTGTGGAATATAGTCAAATAAAAATGTATAGCATAAAATCTGATTCAAGTATCCTTTATTTAATAAGTATTTCAATTTCGAGTATGAAGTGAGGAGAATGAAGTCTAGCAGGATCATATTTATTTTGTAAATAATTTTTTTATTTGATTAATAAATTAAAAACAAAGGAAATATGGAGAATACAAACTATTTAAAACGAAGGTTTAGAAGCAGTGGATCACTTGACATGAGGGATACAATGTCGAGTTCTTAAGGGTTTTTTAGTACAAATAAACTATTTGTTAACTAATAAGGATTAAGTTCCAACATTTCTTCATCAACCTTACAACATACGGCTCTCCAATATTCCTTTCCTAGAGCCCATAGGTTTAATTCATAATCAGAATATAATATTTCAAATTTAGAACTTCCGAGTTAATTGGGAAGCAAAACAACTTCCTAAGGATTTGGGGGAAGAATAGAAAACTTCCAATGGGCATGGCAAGAAACAAACGCAAAGGAAATGCCAAGTCCCGACAGATATGAAGTAAGAGAAATTCCTGGGAAAGATAAATTAAAAAGGTCTTTCGGAGGCCCTTGGGAATTATACTCCAAAACATATCTGCCCTATAACAAGTACCAAGCCCCAGAAGTTGCCAAATTTCTTCCTGGTAATTATACATGCTTCATAAGAGGTCCGGGAGAATACAGAGTTAGGAAAGATTTGGGTTAACATAGATATAAATTTCTATTGAAAGGGAAGGGCAAGATGATGAATGATAATCCAGATAACGGAGTTCCAGGCCCAGAGGCTTACTCTCCTACCACAAAACTAACCTCACCGTCTCGATTCAAAGTAAGATGTATATCTTATTTTTTAGGATATCACTTAAGGGATAGGTGAAAAAAAAGATCCCTTTCGATCAACTAGTACAACACCAGGTCCTGGTAAATATGAAATACCATCCGTGTTCTCGAAAAAACTTAGAGTAAGAGGAGGGGATAAACGGGCTTTTATATGATAATTAATAATAACCTATTTAAAAGAAATTATTTTAATAGATATCCCATTCAATTTCATTAAATTATCTATTATTTTTTATATCTTAAACACTCTTCCATTGTCCAATTTTAATATTTTATTCAATTTGAAATTCAACACAAAATAATAACAAAGCAAGGTTATTTGGAACTGCTAAACTCAAATGCTATTAAGAGAGCGAGAATTTAGTCAATTTCAGAAGTGAAACTCTAAGTATAAATACTCAGAATTTGAGATATCTTTATAATTTTATAAATGACAACATCATATCTTTTTTATTCTTAAAAAAATTGGCCTTATTACAAAGGGTCTAATTATCTGTATTAATAAAAGGAACCAATTGAATTGAACGAAACTTTGATCAGCTTTATTTCAATTTTTATTTATTTAATAAATAAGCAATAGATTAATTTTTATTTGACTTTTAAATTTTGTTCATTATTTGATATTTATATATTAATCATACTCAGAAACAAAAGTATTATTGAAAATTTATAGAAATACCTCGATTTGGTTCTTTTCCTATGTGTTTGATTCTATGAATATTTTTCAGTCACCCCATTTCAATATACTACTTAAATATAGATGTAAACAAATATTCCTTTCTAGCTCAAATGGTATTTTTACTAAGAATTATTCCGAATTAGACTAAACTATTTAATAACCATTAATATATCCTTATTTGTTTTTATAGAAATAATAATGTAATAAATAAAAAAAATAATTTAAATACTTTAGAACTTAATATCAATTGCATATGGAGTGTTTTGTTATTGATCAATAAATAATATTCAATTCAATATATTTCTCAAGTCTGTCAATTAGATTTATTCTAATTTTCATTAATTAATCTATTACGAATTTAAAATAAAAGAATATTTATTCTTATTTTTTTAAAATGAAATATTTCATGTTTTCAAAATAATTTAGAATTATATTTTTCTTTTCAAGGGCAATATCATAATAAATTTATAAAATATTAGAAAACCGAACTTTAGTATTGTCAATATCATATAATGAATGCATCAAAGGATTACTATCATAAGAAATAAATCTAAGAGGATTTGAAGTGGCACACAATGCTACATTAAATAAAATCAAAGATTAAATCTAACTCAATTAAAATATTAAGGGTTAGAAGTAATAATAATAATAATAATTAATGAATCATAGATAAATATTGAAGAATCAATCGCTAAACAAATTTAAGAAATTAACAAATCACTTTGGATCATAATAAAAAATAAATTAGCCAATCTTTAAAAATAAGATTTGTTCAAACAATGTAAAAAATATTGAATAGAATCAAATTAGAAAATGATGGAAAAGAAATTTGGTAAGTTGGAACAAAGTTTGAGATTTTTGAATGTAAACAAATTGAAAATATTTTCATTCATAAATCACAAATAATATCCATAAATTTGTAAATAAATGTTAATAAAAATAGAGTTAAACTAAATTATAGTTTCCTTTAAATATGTTAAACATGCTATCTTTCTGTTGAAACATAAAATTATTAGTTTTGTTTTTAGAAGATTTCAATCAATTTATAGGTTTGCTATATAGTTAATAATATAAATTATATAATGCTTCTTCTAATCTCTAGTTTTGGATGGCTATTCTTTTATTATTTGTAAATAGGAAATAAAAGACTAATAATTCAATTTAAATTTATTATTTTTCTTATAAATAGTAGAGATTTTACAATAATAATTGAAAAGTAATATTCAGTGGTTTGTATAGAGCACTTAAAATAGTTATTGGCCTGAATTGATCTTTTTAGGAATATTAGGAATGCTTTGTTTTAAGACATTTTCTCTTGTAATTCTTAAAATTCAGGTATACTAAGAGGTTGAAGTGTTGGTAGTTCTTAAGGATTAACTATAGGCTTTAAAAATTCTCCACATCTTGAGTCCCTTTTCAAATTTCCCCTCTTAGTCTCTGAACTTCGGTTAAATTTTAATTAACATCACTTTGGTAAATCTGATATTTTTGAGTTCAATACTTTTCCTCCTTTCTTTGATTTCTGAGGTATTTCACTCATTTGTTGTTGACATGAGTTCGAATTGCGAGTTCCTTCATTTTCATATTAATAAAATTCTTTCTTCCCCTTAATAAGTCAGCATTCTTCAATAGTGAAGCTATTGAATGATTTCCCCCCTTCTCAAAACCGATCCTCGAATTATGGTTTTAAAACACGATTCTCCACAAGAACGTCCTAATAAGACTCTCAGCAGCTAATATATCTTTTTGTGATTCCTAATAAGTGATGTTCATTTAAACTAGCCCATCTCAATATATTTAACCCCAATAATAAAATGTAATAATTTAATAGAATAAGAGAAAATGTCAATTGAAGTCATAAATAGATACTTAGAGTTCAATCTCAAAGAAATGGAGAAACAATTAAATGCATTTATTGAATATTCGAATCCTTTTAGTACTCCTTTGATAATATAAATAATTTGTTTGATTAAGTATTTTTATTATTTTAGACATTACTTTTATGATTTAAGCTCCCAATAAATTATTTATAACAATGCTTCATAATGAATACATTTATCTTATATTCTTTGATTATCATTATTATTTGAATAGGAAATACCAACCAATTTTAGTGTATGATACTATAATCATTTTCTAAATATGGAATTTATATTATATTCTAAATATAGTAGCATATATATACTAACTTCTGTTTGAGAAAATCAAATACCTAAATAAACTATATAATTGGTTTTTATGAAACCTTCTTTTATGGATTCAGCTGTTGTATCCCTTTAAAGGACAATAATATTTAAGAAATATATTTTTTGCTTTCGTTTTTAAGAGACTTTTGTGCGGTAGAACAATGAAGAGGAATTTATTAACCAATAACTGATGAAAGAATACTTATGTTTAGCTTGTAAGCATGCATGGTAGTACAAAATATCATTTTATTATAATTTATCTGAGTTTGAACTCTAATAATATAATATTTTAATCCGTTTTGATGATTAAGTACTTGCTTTTAGTATGTTTGATCACAGCACCCTTTGCTTAAACCCCAGAGGCTATAGTAACTCATTATGATTTGGAAGGAAATTTAATTTAAGAAGAGAGTTCATTGCAAGGATCTGAGGACATTGATAGTATGAATTCAATGAACATGAATCAATAAGAATTAGATTCAAGCAGCATGGATTCTATGGTTACCGATAGCATGGATTATTCTACTGCATAAACTGAATCTATTGAAAGCATCAATATTGAGTCATCCATGAATTAAGAATCAACTGTTAGTAATATGAGTGTTGACTCTAATTCAATGAATGAGGAGGATTCTATGATGACGAATGCCAATATCGAGAACTCTATGCCAGAATAAGATTCTATGTATAGCACTTCTGATCCCAATGATATAAGTGCCATAGAGCCAATTTAATAAAATGTGGAAGATACATAAGTTATCGAAAACACAGAAGTTTCTAATATAGCAGAAGTTAACTCTGAAGTTGTCAGTGAAATAGATAACAATAATATGATTGCAGAATCCAATGAAATTAGCAATATCGATCCAAACAACACTGAAATACCATAAGATAATCAAGTTGATGTTTCTAATATTTTGGAATCCAATGTTAACTTGCCTACAGAAAGCATAGTCTCCAATTAAAATGAAGTAGATCCAAATATGGCATTTGATGTTCTTCCAAACACAGAATCACTACAATCATCTCCTGAAATGGACAATGGATTTGTATAAAGTGAAGTCAATGCTGATAAACCTTAGGCGAAAAAGACACCAGAAATCGAAAACAATTAAGTAGTCTAAAAAGAAGAGAAAGTTGAATAACAAGTTGAATAAAAAGTTGAAGAAAATTAAAACGTAGTATCAGATAACAAGAACACTGAATAATAAACAGAATTACCTCAAGCTACAATCTAAGAGAATACAGTAGCTGCAACTAATTAAAATGTTGATTCTGTATAATAAACTGATGCCAATGTTGTAGTACAAGAAGATGCAAAAACAGAAAATAAAGATGGAGATTAAAAACTCTAAGCCACAGAGTCTCAAACTAATTAATAATTAGTCTAAGGAAACTGCATTATTATATATTCATAATGCAATTTCAAGGGAGAAGCTTTAGAAGCTTGCAATAGTTTAAGCGAAATTGAGTAATCTCATTATTTATTCTAGGGAATTCAAGGCTTAAATTAGATCTATTTACATTCCAGAAGGATTGGGATTGACAGTCTATGATGGTGAAAATTTCACTGGTAATTTGCATAAATTCAAAACATCATAAGAATGTTTGACAACCCCATTATCATTTGCACAACTAAATAACTCAGGAAATTAATTGAGAGGACAAAATTTGAGAACTAGATAGTGATATCATAATAATAATCATTTAAATAACATCTTGATAACTCTTCTATATTTAAAACGGTGTGTGTATCTATAATTAAAACTGCTTCTTTTAAATATTTTGGTTACATAACATTATGCAAAATCATCAAGAATTTGATTTGTTATTTAATTTTTATTGGTATAAATTAATCATCATCTTGTTTCTTGTTATATTTAATGACTATATATTTATTTTTTCTAATTAAAATCATTTACCTAAAATTCTATAAATTTTCACTTTAATTAAAAATTCTACTTTATTTTATATAACTTATAAATTGCTATTCGAAAATAAAATATTTATCGAAATGATATATTTTGATCCTAAATATGTAAGAAATATTCATGCATATTAAATAATATATCTATTAAATAAAATGTCTGGTTTAATGAAAAAAATATCACAATCACAATAGAGATAAATACCTAGCGAAGATATTAACATATAGGATTAAATTGAATCCTAATTTTAATTATCTTACCCATCTCCAACAGTTTAATTATCAGCCCTACTACTTTGAAAGTATCTTCATTTGAATAAGCTCCTAACCTCTATTTTATCAAGGATAATTAGGATGAGGTACCTTAATTTTTGTAGAAGGCATTTGATATTTACTATCTCTGGAAAGTTGTTTGATTATTCTAGTGTTTAAACTTAAAATTACAATTTAATTTTATATCATTGTTTCTCCAAGGGGTCTGGTTCAATGCTCTAGCTATATCTATATTCCATCTATTTTTAATCTTTTTCTTCAACATAAACCTTAAATTTCTTATCAAAATATTCAATAGCTTATTGCAAATCCATTATTTATCCTGAAAGATAAATTTTACGGCTTTATACCTCCTTTTCTGTTTTAAATTTTGTTTAATGTCTTTGTAGGGTATTCTTTAATTTAACTTTTCTTTACCCACAATTCTGTCTTCAATCTTAATTGAATGCTTCCAATAACAGAATCAAACATTCATTTCCTTATAATATGCAATTTTATTTCCATTAAAAATCATACATCCTTAAAAACTTAGGTCTTAATTTATTTTCAAATAATCTACCCTAATTAGTGATGTGTTTGATCAAAGTTGAATTATCACGCCCACTTACTCCCATACAGATTTCTGGGTTGGAATCTACTGAACATAAAGCTTAGAGTTCAACCATTTTATAATTAGCATCTATGTCTGATTTTATGTCGCTAAAATGGGACAACTCAATTTATTTAATCTAACTTTTAACCTGTAAGGCTAATTGTAGAATTATAAAACCCCTCATCGAATAGATTGAATAATCATCTGGTTTATCCGGAACATTCTTTACAGATGATTCGAAGTGTTGCAAATCTTCCATTTTTTGGATTAATTCTAATTATCAATCACAGCTCCATCATGATCTGAAATTCTAATATCTCATTTAATAACTGCATAGGTTGGATATTTAGTTAAAAACAACTTGCATAAAGTAAATCTCCGAAATGAAACTTTCAGAGCTAATTTTTATTAATATGGACTAACTATTTTTCATTATAAATATTATATATATACAATCAATTAATAATGCAGTGGATATCAGTTTTCGATCACGTAGTATATGTAGATTGAAATATCTATACAAAAGAATAAGTAATTCATCTTATAATTAATTTTGTTGTAAATCTTTTTATTAAGGTTTTCATCTGTTATTTTTAGCATTGATTAAAGTATATGTCTCTCCTCAACAGTATTTCATTACAAGAGTGTTAATTAATGCATTCAACTTGATTTTAAGGCAATAACTCATAATATATATTTTGCAATTCAAACTAGTGCATTAAGTTAATTTTAAATCTCCATTTAGATGTTATTTATCTATTAATTAATTAAAGAACATATTTTGATATTATACACTTAACTTTTCTTCTTCTTTATATCCGAGAAGTCTATATGATATAAAATGCAAATTAAATTATGTCAAAGATATTAAAAAAGTTATCCGACGTCTTATCTAAAATAAAAAATGAGACAGTTCATTAGTTAGATCTTTTTGGTCAATTACCAAGCTTTACAGTGTTGAATAAGAGCAGATATACTTCAAATTTTGGGTTTGTTTTGTCTTTAATTATTGGCTGTTTAGCCTTATATTATTTGAACTCAGAGATAAGTTCGATGACTCTTAAGCTGATGCCATCTATTTATCAGTCGGAAATCTAAGTGGTCGAGACAGATGTAATTTATACCCTCCTATTTAGCCATACTTGCTCACAAATTCCAATTTTACTCTAGCTGTCTCAATTGCAAGTTAATTTTCTGAACCAACAAAAGGTTTAAACAAGTACTATCAACTAAACATCAGCCAATGCACTAGAGAAAGGAAAATAGATGGAAAAACAGACAACACAACCGTATTGCTGGAGTAAGAGTTATTACTAAATATTTTAGGTGTAAAGAAATTCCAATAGAAACTTGTAATATGTCTCATTTTTCCACAGAGTTGCAATAGAAGTATTTCTCAACGATCAGATTTGGAACAGTTTAGTGTATAAATAGGGAATATTTGAAAAATAATCCACTTGTAAATATATATCAGAATAATCTAGATCTTGTAAGGACAGTTCAATGCTTTGACATACAAATATTTACTTATTAAGTTTACACCTTGCAGAAATACGACAGAGTATTAAGGATGTGCTCCCTAGGAAGAGATAAATAAAATTCTGGAGGCAGGATAATACAATGTTTATAAAAGTGATTACCTAACTTAGTTTGAATAATCTGGAAATCCATATTAATAAATAATCACTAATGAATTTACTAGTTTTTCTCTCACCACTTCAAAAACTATTGTTCATACCTACAGAATCATGTAAACATAAACTGATTAGGGACTCATTTTAGAAGAAAATCAATTGGATACAAATTTACAACAAACAGAATGGAGAGAAATATCTGACTTTTATAATAACCAATATTTGGTTTGCCATTACATAAAGTTAGATTTTAAGTAAGCAAACATTAAAAGAACATATATAAAACTATAGACTATTCTTGCCAAAATTGGAGGAATCTTATAAATATTAACCATGATTGTAGGGATCTTTTTAAAACCGATAATCGAGAATTTCATGAAGTTTGAGATTGCTTCATAACTTTTCAGTTATGACGACAATTAACAAGACTAATTTATATGTTCCCGTCAGATAATCTCTGAAAGGGAGGTTTAATCTCCCTCATCACTACAAAAGTTTTCAACATTTCTTTAGTCAAATGACAACATCTAGTCTAAAGTAAAGGAATCCTAGGCTTCATGTTTAGAAATTTTCCTCATCATTTTTGGGTTGAATAAAGCAAAACACAAGTAATTTTGTAAAGCTAAGAGAAAAATAATTAAAAATTTAGATATTGTCACAATTCTTAAGAAACTTTAAGATTTAGAAGTAGTTAAGAAGATACTATTTACTTAAGAGTAATTGGAACAATTAAAAAAACGACCTCGACCAAAGCTTTGGATAAAAAAATAAGATAGCATAATTGAAAAAGCTATACCAAAACCAGAAATAGCATTTCATCAATCAAATTTATACTCTTCACAGTATTCAGATGCCACTGCACAGACCTTATTTAAGAGTTACATCACAAGTCAATTCCAACAGTATTTTAATCATGTCTAATAAGCATAATAAGAACCACGAGAATTTGAATAATAATAATAAAAATTATAAACTAACACAGATTTTCCACAGGATAAAGATGAGAATATTAAATAAAATTAAGTAAATACTAATAGTGAGAAAGACCAATCTCCTGAATTATAGGTTGTCGAAAAGAAGGTAAACTTAAATATTAAAATTTAACAATGAAGTTATTTATTGAATTAAGAAATAATAATATTAAACCTTAAAAATTAATTTTGAAATCGTTCTATATGAAAATTACATTAATTTTTCATTCACGAGAATATAAAGTCTCGAGTAATGAATTTCGATTGTGGTTTGATCTATTTCACATAGATACAATAATCCTTATGTTTCAAGCAAATAATTTTTTGTACTTGCAATTATGTGAATGAAATCAGTTTTTCTTTATATGTTAATATTGTGTAAAATATATTATATCAATTAATTCGTCTAAGCAATTCATAATCAGGCAATTCAAATCCTACCTCCTACTTAACGTCCTCTTTAAACTCATCATATGATTTAAATTCTATTTTACTAACTTCATTAAATTTCAAGTGTTTCTTAAATGCAGTAAATTGTTTCTCTTATCTGAACCACAAATATTGAATCCTCCCATATTCTGTATTTCTACAGACTACGAATTTGCTGTCCCTGATTCCCAAAAATTCTTTGCTGGTAAATAAATTCAAGTAATCATTATGAATATCTTCAACAGTACAAAAATTCAATGGCTTATCAAAATCATAATAGGTGACCCAATTGCCATCCATATGATGCTAGAATTCATAATGTTTCTCATTTTCTTGAATTCGATAATGTTCTTATGCGAATAATTCATATGTTTAGGTCAAATTCTAAAAGTTTACTTTGATTGGGAATCTATAGGATCTTGTCCCAAATCCTGGATCCAATAAAAATGTCTCATCCCCTAATGAAACATACAAAAACGCATGTGTACTAGAAAGATCTGGATTATAAGGACTACCCATCTCTCTAACTTAGCATCTAATTATTTCCACTTAAAATCCTAGGTGTTTAAGAACATAGTAGAGTAGAAGCTCGTGTTCATAGCAAAGACCACCTTTTCTTTGCACACAAACTCTCTGTAAGAGATCAACAAATTAAAGTGAAATTGGTTTCATTTGCTTCAAATGTAATTCAACATTTTAATAATAATTGTATATCATCTGCTTATTCGCTAGCAGATATAATGTTTCAGTTGAAACAGTCAATTTGATATCAACTGGAAGTCCGATAGCTTTTAGATATGTGTGAATATCTTCTTTTGTAATTAATTATTACATTTTATTAATAAAAATAGGTTTATATGAGGTGAATTTATGTGATATTTCAAAGAAATTATTTTCATGATATAAATTACTTAAATCATAAGTCTTTAGTCTGACATTTATAAATATTGAAAGGTTTATATTTGAATCAGATATGATTATGATTAAATAGCGATTGTGATTAAATACTGAATTTTAAAACAATACTTAAATAGCCTTTGAAGATTTTCAATTTTTTGTATCTTTAAGGCTGAACTTATATTAAACTTTTTCATTAATTCAGATGAGGAGATAGTGTTATTTCAATGTTAGGAAATAGAATTATGATTACACAGAAAGAACCATAATAAGGAACTTTATTTAAGGATTACCATGGTGATCGGAAAGTAGACTTATTTTATTTTAGAAATCATACTATTTCTATGCTTGGGGATTGCGATAAAATTTAATAATTATTTGAATACCTTAAATTCATAATTTATATTTATATTATATATATGCAAAACAGTTAATAATAGGTTAACATGCCATAATCAAGAATGATTGGCGATCCTGCCTAATCACAATACCTACAAAATTCAATGGCTCAAGATCCCCAATTTTTGAGTTATTAAAATTACAGAAACGAAATTCAAGAGGAGGGAGAAATTGTAGCAGAAACAGCCAAATTAAGAAAACTATATTTCCTTATGTTACTTCAATTCTTTATTGTGATTGTGTTTAGTTATGTAGATCTATTTATAATCATAATAGCTACGTTTAGAATCTTTGGAAGATTATTTTTAAAAGAACTCTTATTGGATAATTATTCTATCGATTGGACTCTTTTTATTATCACTGGCTGCATATTTTACTAATCCAGAGAACACTGCTGTAAATGTAGTACTCTACGTACTATTTACAACGGTCTTATATTTCTTTTTTATATCACTAACTGCAATCACAAATATTGAGCAATCCATGATGGTAGCCTTCATGATTTTTGGTTAAGTAATGTTATAAGATGGTATAATTATTAGATATTTTCACAATTCTTATCGGTGATGCAAAGCAGAATTGAGATGTATTATCATTAATAATCTCTCTATGTGTTGGCAGGCGGACTCATCATATTCTAATTGTTCATCATCTATTCTATTATACCATTCTTTGAAATGATTATTACCTTAGTTTCAGGAGTAGTTTTTGGGTATATATATGATTTTATGCTAGTTTCTTACTCATATATAGTACTTAAAGCAATATAAGTTAAATTAAATCAGGAGCTGTGAATGGAAGTGTAAGAGTTTACGTTGATTTACTCGGTGTGTTTTTCTACTTGAACTCGTTGATGGCAGATTTATTTAGAAAAGAAAAAGCATTAGAAAAATGAATAATAAACTATGTAAAATGTTAATATAAATTATTAATCATCCAAAATAGATGGAACTTCTTCAGTTTTCTTTAATGTTATTGTTACAATTTATATTCTGTTTTCATCTTCACATATTGATATTACTAATATTAAGTTATCTTTAGACAATGATTCCTTTAACTTTTAAATATAGGGTTTCTTATTCAAAAATTCATTCAATTCTAAATATGCTATTTTATCAACTATTTCAACTTTCAGACATGTTTACTGGAGAGCTCTAGACTTATTAAAATATTAATAAATTGATCTCATTGATTTGATCTAAATGACTTTAACCAATTTCAATCAATATAGTATTATATACTTATATCTTACTATTTCTGGATAATTCTAGTAGGTGATTTACAATTAGATATTATCCTTTAATTTCTTCAACTCTTTATCAAAGTTTGATATTATTATATTAATTTAATGTCATCTGAGAATTGAACAAGTCCTCCTTATTAATGAATTATCATATTCTCTTGATTAAAATATATTTGATGATGAAATATATTATTAGTTCTTCGTTGAATCAACCTGTTAATGGCATCCAAATTATCAGCATGTCAAAATTCTCATTCAATGTAAGTGTATTATAAAAGGAATTCTTAAATGTGGATCATGTAAGTTTAAAGCTGCGATTTAATTGTTTGTTGGTTTCCATTATTTATATATATTTTAAATTTAATATGCAATAATCGACATAATAATAATAGAGATAAGATACGGTTGTGCTCAAAGAAAGAGAAGAAAGACGATTTGAAGAGTTTTTTAATAAATTTTCTAGGAATGGAACTTCTGTGAATTTTGCCGATATTCTAATGTTTGCTCTTGATCGTAGTCTGGTTACGAATGGTAACAATTTTAGCATGTTTCTGACTCATTTTGATGATGCATTGGGTGATGTAAAAGGGGAAAGAGCACTGACTAAGCCTTAATTTTATTTCTTTCTCAAGTAACTGGCAAAGAAAATATTTCACAATGACCCTCTTCACTTAGAGAAGATGCTAAATGAGATATTGTCTGAGAAGAGTGCAGTTAGAGATCATAATGTAGAGCCAAATCGAATAATTGTGCTTGATGAAACTAATAAAAGATTGTTGGCTGAGACGTCCATCTAGGCTATATCACTCTATGAAAGGGAATTAAAGAATATATTTACAATTTACATGCACGACAATTTGTCCAAAGGGTATATAATGTTAAGATGGAAGGAGATTTGGGTTTAGAACAAAAAGATGAACATGGTATCATTAGTTAGATTTTTACGAGATGCTGAAATTGTACCTCACATTCTCTCTATTGAATAATTGGAGGAAATTTTAATGAAGATTATTCCGCCTATTAATAACAAGGAGTATGACTTTTTTTAAAAAGGCCATTTTATTCAAATTTATGAAAAAAATTTATCGGATTGCAACGATTCGGATCCCCAAATCCTGATTCATGAACTTCAATTACTCCTGGCCAGAATCTCATTTGAATTGGGACTCAAAGAAGAAGGAGGAGGAAATCAAAATAATAGAAAGTTGGATGTTGAAAAATATATAAGAAAGTTTTTTGGTGAGTTGATGCTCTTTAGAAGGAATGAGAATATAGAGGGTCCACTTCCTAATTTAAATAGAAAATTAATAAAGAACTTGGAGAAATTCACTAAACAACTGCTTAATGATTTAAGTGATTTTGAAGAAAAGGATTCTTCAGATGATGAACCAGATGGAACAGATGAATTGTAAAGAATTGCAGCATTACAAGGATCTCTCTTATTCGAATAAGGTATGTATATGTAATTATCGTAAGTGTCACTCAACATTCCTGTTGATTAGGTAATCAAAATGTTAGATAAGGAATTACCTCCTATTCCTCCTTTGCCTTAATAAGAAAAGTAAATGCAAAAATGGGATCCAGAAAAGAGAGTAGTTATCGGAAATCCAAAACCTGAGTCTCCTAAAAATAAGAATGCCAAACCTAAACCAGCCAAAAAACAGTAGCAAAGAAGAAAAGCTGGAGAACCAGAACCAAGAAAAATCATTTTTGAACAAAAAACAGAACCAAAATAATCAGAACAATATATTCAAGAATTAGCTGATAAGTTGAAATTCGAATAAAAATTGATCTCAGATGTTGAACGTGGCTCTTTATCAGATGTATAGGTCGCTCCTGTGCTTATACCAGAAGTCTTATATCCACCTAATCCTCCTTTAGATGTATAATTTCTAGTTGAAGCTGCCATCAATTCTCATAATGAAGCTAATTTTGTGTTTGCAATACAGAATTATGATGATGCAAGAGTAAGTTGTAAATAGATATCATAGAAAAAATGGATAGCTTTAACAGGAAGAGATTTAACTGATGGATTAGAATTGTATTTTGAATTTAGTAAGGCCACAGTGTTCGAATCTGCTGGAAGAGATGACTTGGCTTTGGTTGCTTATTTGAATGCTCGACAATTTTCAACCAAATTACCAACAAACAATCCTGACAAAGCTTTGGCTTATTGTGGACTTGGTTCGGTGTTCTATAATACAGAGGAATATGATTGGGCACTCAGAGCATTTTTGAAGGTATTCGTTTTATTAGATTAATTACCATTAGGCTAGGGAATACAGAGAAAACAGCATTGGAGTGGAGACTGTTGATACTGCTACTGTGTACAATAATTTAGGATGTTGTATGTACATGTTAGAACGGAATAAGGAGGTAATGGATTTATTTTTATATCCATAGTCATACGGATATTTTAAATTGGCTCATGCTATATTGGAATCTCAGTTGGGTCAGTTTCATCCAAGGACTTTGACTGCAGCTAGAAATATCAACAAATCTAAAAATTGTTGGTTTGAAAATAAACCAGAATTTCCGAAATTATGGGTTGAGTATGCACAAGATCCTTTTGCAGGAGGAAAGAAGAAGAAAAAGAAGAAGGGAAAGAAGTGATTTGTTATATAACTAAAGTTATTTTTCTTATTAATAGTGTAAAGGGTTATATAAGATTTGAGAAAATAAAATATTATTAATAAATTAATTATATGGCTTTGAAATCTGCTGCTTTATTTGAAAAGATGGATCCATTCATCAAAAGCCAAGGAGCTGAATTAGTTAAGAAAATCAATGCAGTTTATTATTTCGAAGTATCTAAAGCAAAAGGAGAGACTCCAGAAGTTTGGACCGTTGATCTTAAAAATGGAACAGGAGTAAATTATTTTATTTAAAGTTATAGTCAATCTCCAAGGGAAAGGTAGGTACAGCCGATGCCACCTTCACCATGGTAGACGATGACATGATAGCTATGGCCCAAGGAAAGTTGAATCCTCAATAAGCCTTTATGCAAGGAAAGATGAAAATCAAGGGAAATATGGCTGCAGCAACCAAATTCACCCCAGACCTATTACCAAAGGACGCAAAGCTTTGAGTAAAATATTAAGATCCATATCATATTCAAATATTAATTCTATATATATATATTATACAATCTTCAAATTGCATATCCTCCATTGTATCCAAAATTAGCTTTCATTTAATTTGTAATACTCTGTATTATTAATAGTGGATTGTACTAATAGAGAAATTGGAGAATTTTATGTATTTGATTGCTCATCTTATTTGACTTTATTTTAATGAATTGATTATCTACTAGTATTTCCTAATTGTTTTTATTATTCTTTTACATTATTATTCTATTTATTATTAATATATAGACATCTCCTTTGATTTAAAAAGAATGAAGGGAGTAAATTTGTGAAAGTCATTCATTGTTGCTTCTATTTCCTAAGAAATTTATTGTTTGGTTCTATATTAAAAAGAAGGAGTTTGATTTAGTTGATTTCTTTTTTGTCTACTACTGCTACTCATCATTATATAGAATGCTAGAACCTATTTTATATACTAATGAATTATAGTTGTCTGATTCAGAATCGATCTTTAATATTGAAAATTTTAATATAATGTTATTTGCATTTATTGATTTATTACATTCGATTTAATGATTGGAATAGATTTTAGAGCATACTGAGACCCAAGATGTGGGCAGTCCTTTTTATTTGCTATTATTTATGAAATAATTAAAAAGATTGTTTTTTAAAAATAATTTTAAAAATGCCAAAGGGATAAACAACCAATACATAAAAAGCATAGAAAGCTGCTAAAAATGCAAGAGTTGCTAAGAAGGTCGTGAGAGCCAGAAAGCATTTCCAAAATAGATTCCACACAGAAAAGCCTTTAGCTTTATCCAGAAAACCAAGATTCACAAGGTTAGACAACTATTCTTAATATTTCTATAGATTAACAAGATAACTTGCTCCAGTTTCTAAAGGATTAGATTTCTAAAACGTGCTTAGACATCCACTCATTACAGAAAAAGACATGAAAAAAATGGAAGATGAAAATACAATGGTGTTCTATGTTAATTAAAAATCAACAAAGCCTTAAATTAAAAGAGCATTTTAGAAGATCTATGAGGTTAAAGTCAGAAAAGTTAATGTAATAACGCTTTATATTTTAAAGATCCTTAACACTTTTGGTGGTAAGAAGAAGGCCTACATTAGATTGGGTGGAGAGAATGATGCTCTCAATTTAGCCAACAAGATCGGAATTATTTGAGCTCAATAATAATTTATCAAAGTACAATAATACATATTTATATCATATGCTATTTTCTTTAATTATATTCATGGATTAACATTCCAAATGCCATTTTTTCGTTTATTGTATATTGCTCGGACAAGCAAATATAATTTATGTTTTTCAATTTAGTTCAGAAATCTAATTGAAGGTCTATTCAATAAACTAGTTATATTCAATAATTAAGTAAATTAAAAAAGATGAAAAATTCATATATGAAAATAATAATATGTATATAACAACTTTACTTAACTTCATACTACCACTAAATTTGATATGATTGATTGCTGTACCTATATAATATTTATGTAGAATCTATATTAGACACACCTAATTGAATATAAAATATTATACATTCTTTTTCTGTATCAAATATAATTCATTTTAACATTTTTCGAGTTTTTAAAGAAGGAAAATCAAAAAGCTTAATTAATATAATTTGATTGTCTGATTTCTTAGAGCAGAAAGATATTAAAAAGTAAAATGTTAGAAGATTATTTCTTTGTAATTTCAATAACACGTGTTCTTACAAAATCAGCCCATGAATTAAGGATCTTTCCATAATAATAATCCAGTTTACTCAAAAGTTAAAGAACTAAATCTAAAACCCTAAATTTCCTAGGAATTTATGTGATAAATCAAATGAAAATGTGATTTAATTAGGAAAATATTAATTAAAAATTTTAAGATATAATCATGAACGTCGGTACCCATGTTAGTGATGATTGCGTAACAGAATTCAATAAACTCAAATTGGGAAAGTAATATAGATATTTGACCTTTAAATTAAACACCGATACTAATGAAGTAATATTCAGAATTTATTTATTAGATTGTTGTCGAACATGTTGGTGCAAGGGAAAGTACTTATGCTGAGTTTGTCGGTCATCTACAAAATGAAGTATCACTATTTTACATTATTATAGTCAAGATATGCTGTTTATGATTATCATGCTTAAACTGATGATGTTCCACCAAGACAAGTTGAGAAATTGGTCTTCATATTCTGGTCTCCAGATGCTAACTAACCTGTTAAATAAAAGATGTCATATGCTGCAGGAAAGGAGGCTTTGAAGAAGAAATTGAATGGTTTATCTAAAGAAATTTAAGCTAATGATCCAAGTGAAGTAGAAGAAGCAGAAATGCGTAAATTGGTATTGAATTGAGAATCAATAAACATTAAATAAATTTAATATTGTATTCAACTTGGCCTCCCTCAAATTCATTTTATATTATTATTTCCATTTATACCTCTATATCATAAATAAAGTTTAATGAATGAACTACAACTTAAGAATTCATCTATGGAACTTCTGCATATCAATTCTACCATTTACAACAATATTGATTACGTGGATATAAAATATTTTAAATGATTTCCATATACATTAGTAAATCTCTTTTATGTAGGAATATGTAAAAAGATGTAATATACAATAAAATATTCTTAATACATATTATTTTGAATAAGTATTGTTACATCAAATATCAACTCTATTTTCTTAAAGACTCAAATCATTTATTGAACTTATTTAGTGGATCTGCATTATTGATGTTTGCTTTTACACTTTTTAATTATTATCACTAGTTTCAAAAATCAGTTTAACATCTCTATCCAATAGACTGATAATACTCTGATTTACTTTTTTCTACTTTTTATGATTGCTTTCTTTAATCATATTGTAAGAATTGAATGCTTATAATATTTCTTCCTCAAATGATAGTTATTTTGTATCATAACAGTTTTGATTAATGCTCGCTTTCATTTTTTCCCTTTTTCCTAATTAGACTTTTGGTTTATGTATATAATTAAACAATATTTGCTAATCCTCATTTAATAGTATTTTCTTCAGCTTATCAATTTCAATTAGTTTGTTAATAATAAAGATGATATCAATTTAATTATAAATCGATTCTATGCTTTATTAAATCACTTTTCTATCTTAACCACAAGTGAATATATATTGATGAATAAATAACTTGATTTATTGTGCCTTCAATTAAAAGTATTTTTTCAATTAAACCAATTAATTTTGATCAATTAGTCCTTCACTCTATCCCAAGGCATTAACTTAAGGATGGACTTTTGATTAATTAGATGATTATTCAAAATGAAATATTTCTGATGCTAAGAACAAATCACATGAGAGTTTATTAATAGGTTTGACTACTACGCCTACCACAAATAATATTAATTCCAGTAGCCCTCCCATCTAACCCAGAATGTCTAAAATATTATTGTAAGTTCTATAATATAAAGCTTCTCTGTCATCTAGATAGAGAGTAACATCAATCAATTCGCTTCTCTAAATATTGAAGACTTACTCAGAGGACCTTTCAAATAATAAAGAATTGTATTCTTCTTCGGTCTCGAAATAATAAAAAAAATTTTCTTTATTATAAAATTTTGATTTTCTCACCAATAAATTTTAAGCCTTGTATTAAAGTATAGATATAGGTGTAGTTATTAATTTAGACACTAAAGAAAAAGGATTGTGAGCTTTCTATTAATTGAGCACCGAATCCGAAATAAAAAATCCTAAGTGTCCTTGATAGAGCTGTTGATCAATATACTTTTGAGGCGCACATTCTATATAGAATAAATTAATATACATCCTCCAGAAGTTGCATTATTGCATTTTTCAATTTTAAATTACAAATTTTTGAATACGGGGGTTTGTGGCGTGCCTTACAATGATAAAGTTGTTTAATTCCACTCTTGAGGATCAAAGCAAAGGCTTGATTCTAATATTGCTGCTGAAATGTTTAATTGCTGTCGTATCTAGTTATTTATTTGCACAATTGAACAGGATTTTAGGGTATAATTATCACACTTATTATTAATTTAGTTCTTTTCATCAGTAATTCTTGAGCAGGCTTACATTTAGGCTGTATAAACTTACTAACCCGTTTTCTAAGGTATGGGAGTTCCATAATTATCAGTCAGCACCAAATAGAAGATGAATGAGTCTTATTCTAATTTGTATTCCTATGTTACAATATGAAATGTAAAATTACTTCAGGATTAGATTTATATTGAAGATTCTAAATAACATTTGGATTCTTACGTTCCACCATGTCAATCACTAGGGATAGAAAGGAATAATAAATGAATGCTAAAATTCCTATACTCGTCAGCACTCCAAATAATGTGTGATATTCATTTTCCTTTTTGATTTATAAGTTAATTTGCGATCCAAACAGGTCAATTGACAATAGCAATTTCTTTAGATTCTTTGAAAACAAACTGCAAAACTTCATAAATTGGTGATAGTCTAGAATATATTTATAAAAATACAATCTAAATCGATATTTGAAAAACTTTATAAGTATTGTAATAGAGATTTTTGGGATAGGTATATCTGACAAAAATAATAAATTGAATTGATGAAGAGAGGATTAAGTTTCATACTAGAGACGTCACAATAAAATAGAATTTTGAGGAGCTACAACGATTTTTTTATAAATTTCCAAGTAACAATTATTTTCATGGCATATTAAAATACAAAATGACGACATATTAATTATAATTCTATGCTAAGATTGAATTAATTGGCTGGACAATTTAAGGAAGTCAAGTTCCTAGCGGATCCTCTTGAGTATCTTAGATTGTATGACATGCTTGAACAGGACGAAAAAGATATTTGTTTTGCTGTTCGTAAATTTGCATAGGAGAAAGTATTAATCAATTGAGAATAAGGCTGCTCCAACTATTAATAAGTACGTCGAAGCGGCAGAGTTTCCCACAGAAATAGTGGAGGCCTTAAAACCATTGAAGTTGATTCATAAGACAAACACATATGTTAAAACAGGTTTAGCCTATTTAGAATTAGCCAAAGTTGATGCTGGTTTGTCCACCTTCTATTTGTTAATGTATGTAAGAGTGAGAATGATTGATTAGGTCATCGTTGGTACCTCACAGTATTGAAACATTTGGTTCAGAAGAATAAAAATAGAAATACTTAACTAGGATTAAGGATATGGATATTTTGGGAGGATGGGCATTAACTGAAAAGGAGTATGGATCTGATGCATCGAGCATATAAACTACAGTCAAAAAGGTGCAGGGAGGATACTTATTGAATGGTAACAAGAGATGGATTGGAAATGGAAATAAGGATATTTTGGTTGTTTGGGCCAGAAATACTGAGAATAATAACATTGAAGGATTTATAGTTGAAAACAAATGGGCTGGAGTTCATGCAGAACCAATCAAACATAAGTTAGCATTGAGAATAGTTTAAAATTGTTAAATTACATTCAAAGATGTGTTTGTACCTGATGAAAATAGGATGCCAAAAGCTAAAGACTTTTAGAATGGAGTAACTTAAGCTTTGTAGCATTCAAGAGTAGGAGTACCTTGGATAGCCTTGGGAATATAGGCTGGAGTATATGAGAATGTAGTCAGATTTACAACAAGAAGAAAGTAATTTGGAAAACATGTTGCTGGATTCTAATTATAATAAGAGAGGTTGACAAGGATATTGACAACATTCTAAGCCAGTTTTCTGATGGTCATACAGGTTTCAAGATTGGCATAGGAGAAGAAGGCAACTTTGGGATAGATTGCAGCTGTGAAGGCATGGGTTACTGATAAAACTAGAGAAGTGGCTAGATTGGGAAGAGAGATGATGGGAGGAGACGGAATCCTAGTTGAAAATTACTGTATTAAGGCTTTGACTGATGCTGAAGTGGTTTATACGTATGAGGTATATTATCAATTTATTAATTTCATAGGGATCTTACGATATAAATAGTTTGATTGCTGGAAGGGAGATCACAGGCTTGGCTGCATTCAAGTGATGTTCTGATATAGAAGATTATATATATATTATTTTAAGTTTCTTGAGGAAGTTCACATTAATAAAATTATTATAATGAATAAAAAGAGTAAAACTCCTTAACAATCATCTTAACCCTAAAATCAACAAATAAACCAACCTTCTCCTTTGATGCAGCCAATGTCTTTGCAATCAGGACCGTCTCCATCTTAACCGGATACTTCAGTATTAGATGAATCGGGTGGAGAGAGTGTAAAAGTTGCATTGCGAATTAGACCAATGAACTAATTAGAGCAAGGAAGAGGGGATGAATAATGCATCAAAGCGATATCAGATTCAAATTGTTAACTTTATTATAAGTAATTCGCGATCTTAATTAGCAAAGAGGAGTAGCAAAGCAATTTAGATTCAATGCTGTTTTGGATGAAAGGTGCACTTAATAAGAAGTGTTTTTGAAATGCAATATTTAGGAATTGCTAGATGCTGCCCTGGATGGATATTCAGCCACAATATTTGCATATGGTTAAACTGGATCAGGTAAAACTTATACGTAAATATTCAATTTTAATATTCAAGCATTTCTGGAGTCGAAGAACGTTTGGCTAGAGAAAAGTATATCTCTGATGAGTCTGAAGGCATCATTCCAAGAGCTACTAGATATTTATGGTAGATTATGGCACAAAGAGCAGAGCAATTCTATGTGAAAGCCTCGTTTACAGAAATATACAACGAATAATTGAGAGATCTGCTAAATCCTGCTTCTGGAATCTTGCATTGCAGATGGAATCTATAAAACGGATTCTTTGTTGAAGATTTGATGATTGTTGAATGCACTTCATTTTCGGATATCCAAGCAGTATTGCATGAAGGAATGAGAAATAGAAAGTAAGGATCTCATGAATTAAACAAAGATTCAAGCAGGTCACACTCAATATTAACAGCATATTTAATTGGAGAATAGAATATAGATGGATAAATCGTTAAAGTATAGAATCATTTAATTTTCATTATAGAGATACGGAAAGTTTTCATTTGTTGATTTAGCTGGTTCAGAGAGATTGAAGGAATCCAAATCTTAAGGGGATATGATAAAAGAAACTGGGAACATTAACAAGTCACTATTCACTTTGGGTAAGGTCATCAAGTCGTTGAGTGATAAAAAAAACAAACTCCCTTATATCCCCTACAGAGATAGTAAATTAACAATGCTTTTGATGGATTCATTGGGGTAATATTGTCATTCAATGTTATTAGGGGAACTGCTAAGGCTTTGATGATTGCTTGTGTATCTCCTTCTGCTGCTTATTATGAAGAAACATTGAGTACTATAAATTATGCCACTTCAACTATGAACATCCAAAACAAACCAGTAATCTCGATGGGCGAGAAGGATTAAATTATATACAACCTAACCAGGGAGCGAGATCTATTGAAGATGGAAAACCAGTACCTACGAGAACAATTATAAAGGTAAGGATGATCGTTATCTAGGTATACTAATGGGTTGCCTATAGAGATTCCTAATTTTAACGATAAGAATGGATAAAAGAAATAACTTCCGCCTTTGCCATCCAGACCTATTAGTCATAATTAAGTTCTCAATAGTTAACAGAATGGATTTGATCAATAGGTTAATTCTAATAATAGTAAGATTGACTTGCCAGTCAACAAGATTTTACATGAGTATTAGATGGAAATCAATAAACTAAAATAAGAAAATGATGAATTGAGAAATGCTCGTGATGTTTCTGTCAAGAATTATCACATTGTTATGAATGAAAATAATGCTTTGTAACTGAAATTAGAGAATTTAGAATAGATCTTTATTGGGAATCCAATTACAAAAGGGGATCAGGATAAGTCAAAGATTCAAGAGGAATATATGTCAAGTGCCTTATTGATCGAAAATAGTGATTTAAAAAAAAAAGTGGCATCGTTAGAAGAGAAGAATATGGAGTTAGCTTAAGTATGAAAATTGATTTTATGTTATAGATCGCCAGAAAAAATCTGAATGGAAAGAGTAGCGACCCGAATGATTTACATGAAATAGTTTAATTGAAACAAACAAATAATTAGTTATAATAACGCGTAGAATTTTTATAAGCAAGGGAAAGGGATTTACTTGAACAGATTATGAGATTGTAAAGACAACCAAAGGCTTATGCTGGATTTTGATGATAAATTATATATTTTTATATTTTCAAATACTACATATTAAGGATCCTAACAACTAATTAAATGATTAATTTATAAACAGACTATTTTTAGAAATACATCAAATGATTAGTAATGATTTATTGAATCGGGTGCGTAAATTTGAAATTCAATTTTATCATCAAATAAAATTTATTCTTATCATAAATTCATTTATCACCAATTTTAAATCTCTCACTAATTCCTCTAAATGTAAGTGAAGGCTCAAAATAGGGAAGAGAGTCCACGGATCAATATTTATATATCTATAACTGCTGGAAAATGCTAATCTTTTTTCTCAAATGAATATTAAATAAATAAGATTCAATAAATATCAAGTGTGTTAAATTATGTATTCATTATTGGACAAGAAGTTCAAACGATTCTTCCTGATATTAAATAGAAAGAGATTTCACAATTGGTGAAAGTCCATGTGAATCTAAATTTGAAAGACGATCACTCTCTTAATCAGATTCCTACAATAGAAATTATTTTTACAGACGTGAATCCCTCTTAATCGAATGGATTCAAAACATTTTGAAGTTTTATCTTTTTTATCTTTTCTAATATATCGTTAAAAAAATGTACCAAATTTGATCGATTCATCATCAGAAAGGTCATATAATGATTATATTCGAATAACTTACAATAATTGGGAGTTAAACGAAAATATAATGCTCTGGGACTGGTACCTAATTTAAATCACCCTATTGTCATTATCCTCCCAATTAACTTAATGCCCTTTTCTTATTATTGCTTTAAACTCAATTAGTTGGTCTATTTTAACAAAATTATATACTTTCATTCGCATCAACAGATATGTTACCAACCCAGAATGGATAAATATCTGGGTTTGTAGATAATTGTAGGCTATCTGAAGGGTTCCATAACCCTAGCTCCTTCACGCTTCCAACAACGCACACAGACTCACTTAGAGTAGTTTCACATCTAACTTTAAAATTCAATTTAATTGCCATTAAACTGAGATTTTCGAGAAATATTGATGTATTATTATTAATATTTATATCGAAAAAATGATCCTTAAGAAATAGCGATTTTTTTCTAATATTAATAAATAATTTATAAATTAATTATGGAAAGGAATTCGAATTCTCTTTCGAATAAATCTACTTCATTCAAAATATATATTTTTTACCATAAAGTTAATTCTCCTATACCCTACACATCATCACATCAAATCAACTTTTCAAATGAAAAATGAACACAAGTAATTTCTTAAAAATAAATGATAATTTGAACTCTAAATTACCTAATCCAAAATTGCAAACAGTTAACCTTTCAATTTTTAAGTTGATACTCCCTAACAGCTGGAAATTCATTTTCAAACTTTATTTAGTTCAGGGGTTGTTAACAATTATGAGAAAAACTTTATATTTAAATTAATATTTTTATATCACAAATATTATCATTAAATTTAAGCGAAGTTAATATATATACATTGTAATCAACTATCAAAACTATTCGTTTGTTTAGAACAAAATATCAAATTTCATTTCCTTTTTTTTTCATTAATTTATAAAATATTTTCATCAACTCCGTTCAATAAACTATATAAAGAATTAAAATAATAGTAGACCTATATTCTTATTTCGATTTCTTTTCTTTCAAAATTTAATAAAATTTTCTTTAAAGTTATATTTTTATAATACTGGCTCTATAAGTTTGGATAATTTCAAAGCAAAATACAATCCTCTTCCTAGCATTTCATATTATTAACCATACTAGTTACTTATATTACAAATAACATCTCCTTAATAATACAAATAACCTTATTTCGAATATTATTAAATCAAAAAATATTATTAAAAGAATTAAATTGATTCAAATAATCAACAAAGAAGCATGATTAATTTGATATTTCGTTATTTGATGCCCTTTTTATCAGAAAGTTTTTTATTATTCCTTCAACATTTTATATAGATAGAATATAAAATTACACATTTAAAACTGATTTAAAGGAATTCTTCAATTAATTTAGAGAAGATGAAAAGAAAGAAGTATTAAACCTTAATATATGATAAGGAGAAGGAGAAGGCATAGAATGAACCATTTTAATTATGATTTATTAAAACTATATAATGAAACTAAATCACATTTCCAATAGCCAGATTTCTGCTTGATTTCTCATTTAATTATAAGTACAATCTGCCAATTAAATAATTACTAATGAGATATTAAGGTGTGCTTTCTAATTTGGAACTTTAATAAATTGGATTTCCAATTCATTAACATACTAATAATACTTTTTCAATAATTAGATGGATATTTCAAAAAATTTTTGATGCTTATAATCATAAATATATTGGATTTAGAATAAAAATGAATAATTGAATTTATTCTCTATTGAACTTATGATTACATACAGGATTATATATAACATTATTTTTAAATTCGAGCAAATTAATTGTATTTCTGTTTAATTAATCATAATTTATGTAAAATAAGTAAGTGAATTATATATCTTTAAGAATCAATTTTAACTTTTCTTCTAATCCATAGAAACTAATATAAATTCAAACTGTCGAAAGAATTTTCTTGTTGCTAGAGTAATATTGTTTTCAGTTATGGCCTTTGAAATAACATGTTTAATATTCTTAATTATTTTGATATTTTAATAAATTTCAATAAATTCAATCAAATAATAAGAATGCCACTGAAAATTGGATATAAAACTAACATATTTATTTTATGTTATACTATAATATCTTTATATAATATATTGGATAAATTTATTTATTTTATATCTTTCATATAACCAAATAGCTTATTCAGAATTCAAATTTAATTTTCTATAATTATTACAGAATCTTATTCTTCTTTGATACTTCCATTAAAATAATTAATCAAAGATTATTTCTTTTGATCTTCAATAATTGAATTTTTTAGAATGCAATTTTCTGTCATTAATTATTGCAACTATGGATAAGTCTTATAACAACCGATGCTCTATATTATAATAAGATTATTATACTTGGCTATTTTTATTCTCATCAATTGAATTTTTTTTATTACATGTTAATATTTGCAAGAGATCTCCCTATAATTCTAATGCGACGTCTAATCTATTAGGAGATACTACTATAGATAAGATGTCATAGGCAATCTAAATACTTTGTATAAATTTCTATTTTTTCTTATCTTAAACATTCCAAAATTAAACTAAATTATCTGCGGAAGCTGAAATAAGTATTTCATCATCCTTAGTGTATATTAGATGTTTAATAGGTTTATAGGTTTACCAAACGATTTCTTATTTTTAAGTACTTATTTTATATATTCTTATTACACCATCATTCTAACCTTATGCTAAATATTGGCCATCATTTGAAAATGCTGCAATAAAATTATTTTAATCGTGACTAAACATCTCCTTCTTCGAACCATCGATTAGGTTGTAAATATTCCATGTTGTAAATTGATCTAGCTTTTTCTCAATGAGAATTTAATCCTTAGAAAAATAATTAAGAAATTTCTCTGACTTATCCAACTTTAGGAGTTTTACTTATTTTGAATAAAGTTCTAAATCAATTACTCTTAATTATTTATTGAAATAATAGGTTAGATATTTTCTTCCAACATAATTTAGTTGAATCATGGTTTATTCTGTAGTATCTAAATTTGAATGGAGATGAATAAAAACTTCATAAATAGGTTTTGCATCTTCTTTTAATAAATCTTGATTATTGTATACTTGCAACAGATTATCTTCTTTTGAATATATGTAAGAATGGCTAGAGTAAAGTTAAAAAAGATTATTTCTTTAATCAAGATATCGTAAGAAATATTCATCACTATCAGTTGAAGTTACAAAGATTTACTCATCTGACATATCAAGAGTATTGATCACATGTTTTGTTCTCACATCAAAAATTGATATTTTGACACCCTATGGTTAATTTTACTATTATAAGGCTATTTTGGTACCATTTGAAAATACATAATGTCTAAAAGATTTTAGGAATTTTTGAGTTACATCCTAGGTATGATATAACTCATAGCTTTTGAAATCTTTTAAATTATAGATATGTAGAAAGCCATGATCCTAACATGTAATCCCCAAGGAGTTTTCTAAAGATACAAAGTCGCATTTATAGAGTATGTAAACATTTTGCTCTAAATGACTTTGAAAAAAATGTTCAATAATTAGTTTTTCATCGTTATACATATTCCTTACTATGATTGTATGACTGTCTCTAGAAATCATGTATTGTTCATCTTCGGAAAAGGTTATAAATAAAATTGGAGTATTTTTATTGTGATCTTTAAACTCTTTTACTATTTCTTTGGTTTTCATACTCCAAATAGTAATTGAATTATCTTCCTTTGAGACAGAATAATATTTGGTTCCTTTAGGAAGTTGACCAGCATAATGAACATTTTCAATATAATTATAAAGATTTACATCATAAACAGCTTTTTGAATTTCTTTTATATCATAAATGCACAAAACATTACCATCTATTTCTGAAATATAGGTGTTTCGATGAAACATTTTTTTTTTTTATTGCTTAAGGATTGGTATTTCAAAGAAGGCTTTTACATTACTTAAAACTGTTACATCCCAAACATTTATGTAATATTCATCCTTTAACGATGATTTATCCCAATGACTTATTCGACTTTCTTTTTTCTTTAGAGTAACCAAATAATTGCTTTCTGCTAAAAATGATATGGGGGTTGATCCTTTTATTTGTTCAGGAATATATTTTGAATTAGGGTTGGATAAACTTTAAAAGATTACTTTTTTTTTTTTTTAATAGACAAAATATTGTCCATCTTGTGTAAAAAATGGGGTTCTAGCCTGATATCCAAAGTTTTTTGGATAATACAATTTATTATTATATTCCGTTTAAGAGACTCGAATAGTAGATTGTTCGATGCTAGCTATTTATTCATTTGCTGATGCATGCGTATTACGGTAGTATCTACCTTAAACAGTCCTAGTTTAATTTTCTTTACAATATATTATAAGATTATCAGAAGTAATAGCTAAAATTTAATTTGGATCTTTCAAATATGCTAGACTATATAATTTATTTTGAAAAGTAATTTTATATAAAAATTTGATTTATTCTTCCCAAACGTAGCAATCTATATGATTATCATTATATATGGCAATATACTTATGATCAAGGGAGGCTGTAAAAAAATTGCCTTCCAGATCTGGTAAACCTTACTAGTGTTAAAGAGATATCAAACCAACATGATTTTCTGATATTTTTGCTAAAGATTTCTCATTGTAATTCAATTTAATGGAGTTATACAGCGAATCGATCCTGTTTTTTTCAGAATGTATTCTTGTTTGTTCAAGATTTAAAGAATATTGATAAAGGAGGTCATGACTTCGAATTAAAATCCTGTAAGTCGATAAAAAGTATATCTCTGATATTTCAATACCTATAGAAAAATTTGACATCTTAATTAGTTTCAGTTCCTAGGTGATTAAATAAATAGCTATTTATTAATTATTATTAATTGCTAGAAATTAACCATTCTCAGATAAAGCTAAGCGTGTTTAAATACCTTTGGCCTATTTTTAGATGGATTCAAATTTATTCAAAGTCTATGTTTATTAATTTGGTATCATTCTAACAATAATTTCATTTATTGTTTCAACTACTATTATGAGATATGAAGTATTCCAATGTTAAACTCGTTCTGTTATTGCAAATTAACAAAATTTTAACGAAATGATTACTTTTCTATCATCTATATTAGCAACTTCTAAAACATTAGAGGACTTTATTGTATACACGATTAAGTGTTTACTAGCAAATTCTACATTCTTATCTTGTTCGTTAAATGTCACAACCTTTATTTAATCTCCTTTTTAGAAGTGTTTAAGTATCATGTTATTTCCTTATTTAATTGCCAAGTATTATAAATTTTATTCTTCTTTATCATTTATATTTAAATCTTCATAATCTCTTACATTCTTTTAGAAAACAGTCATTTATTATATTAAACTATTATTAACAAAACTTTCTTAAGAATCAATATATCTAACAACTTATACATTTAAATCTAATTAAATATTATACCAAGTGATTGAATTTTCAGTCTAAACTATGAGCTATCTTTCTGATTCAAATACTAAGTCAAGGCATTTTAAATTTTTTATGCAATAATTTTTATTAAAGTCTTTAGTATTCCATATTACAATCGAATTATCATTACTACAAGAAACTAGTAATGATTCTTTTTCATTAAACAGAATTTAATAAATGTCTTAAGTGTGAATCTCTTTTAAAGGGATTACTTAATTATTTTATAAATTTCTAATCTCTATACGTTTGTTAATGCCTAAGTAGATTTATTCTCCTTCACCAAAGAGAGCAAAACAACCAATAGTTTAATCTTGCGAGCATCGTTATCCTGGACCCTGACTAAATTCTATTCTATCTTTTTGTAGTTATACATCATAAATGTTTATCAGTTACTTATTCTCCTAAGCAGCAATTTTTATGATTTAATCTCGTACTTTCCATTTATATGATTATCTTAAGTTTTACACATATCCTTTAATAGATCCTCTAATAAGATGGCCATAATTAAATCGATCCATCGTCATATATTAATTAGGGTCCTGCGTCTACGACTGTCCCATGTTCTCATTTTATATATACCAAAACCTAATAGTTTCATCTTGGTTGTATGAAATCATGTAATTATTGGAACAAAAATACATAGACAAAGGGTGACAAGATTCTAGCGGTATTCTAGCTTTGTAAATTAGATAATTGTCATAAATCTCAATACAATTATCCTTAGCAACATATAACCAGTGCTTCTTAATCGGTTGCAAGGGCCAGCCCAAAGTCCATGTCTGAGTGGCCATGCAATAAGCATCTCTCATTATTATATCGTCATTTAATTCAACGATTTTCCTTATATCATGAAATATGATATATTCATCTCGAAAGAATACCAAATAGATTTCTTACATCCAATCTAATTATGTTTTCTCTTAACTAAAATTTAAAAATCTTGGCAATAAACCATTAACATTTTTTGAAGATAATGCATTGACTTTTTCATACCTATTAGCAGTTTTTCGCCATACAATTACTTATCCTTCACTAGTGGATATGAGTAAAGAAGCATAACCATTATTTTAAAATTATAATTAAATGTCTGAATTTAATTAAAATGTTTTTTCAGAAAGGGATTTTATTGCACTTTAGTGATCATTTTTTGATATTATCATTAATTTTTGAATATCCCACATACTTATTTCTCCGTCCTAGTATCCTATGAGTATTTCGCCATTGGACATTGGCTTAACGCATGAGAATTTAGTTGGTTTATCAAAGATTGAGGATTTAATCCATTCTGATTTTGATTAGATTACATTTTCCAAATTATAGGTATACCAATCTTAGCCTTAATTAAAAATTAATTTGTGTTCTCTATGATAAAAAGTAGATAAAGATTCTTAAAAAAGCTATGGAATAGTTATCAATAACCTTATATCATTTTTATCAATATAGTAAATTTGATAAAACTAAAAAAAGTTTACCAACAATTTTGTTGAATCAGATGAAAAATAAATGTTTTTAACTATTTGAACCTAGGTTTTTATCATATATTTTTTTTAAGTTTATAGATTCCATAACTTAAAAGAATATCTATCTTACGAAATTAAGTACTAATTATCTGGTGAAAATTCAACATTTTGTATCTATTCTTAATTTTAGCCTTTGGAAACTACAAAATTATTCCAAGGTATTTCTGTCCATTACACTCTTTACAAACTGGTATTATTAAAATTGCAATAATTCATACTTACTTCTTTGAACACAGATTAATCCAAATTACTTCCAAAGAAATTAAGGCCGGAGAGATTAGTTTTGCTTAATTTAATTCCTTTTAGATCTTCGCCTATTAGTTCAAAGCCCAAAACATTGATCAATAATATGCTATTAGAACCTGCTCTGATAAATTATTCGTTTCTTGACTGGATTAATATTTTTATTAAGATTTATTTGATATCTTTATAATTTTACAATTCAGGGTTTATAATATTTAACACCCCTTAAAATTAATTAAGAGATAAGTTGAAATCATCCTAATTAAACTAACTCGACTCAATATCTCTCTCAATAGGTCTACTTTTGAAATCTCTTGAAAAATCCTTGATAAATCTTAAAATATATTTTCCCACAAAGTACTCTAAAATTGATTAATTCACAAATGTGTAGGAATCATTTTCAAGCTTCTTAAGGAGGCTAAACTTTATTAATTGGTAACCAATAGGATCATGAAGATTGTTTATATTAAAGTAAATTGTCAAAATATTCTCAATCTCTTTTTTGACTAATTCAAGAGACTAATTTTTAATCATTTATGCAGCAAGCAACATTTAAAACTTATTTAGATCTTTTGAAAAATCTGCACTAAATGTGAGGTTTTCTTAGTTCTATTTTTGTTTCTTTTACTTTTCATAATATGAAGATATAAATAATTTGTAAAATTGATAGTAAGTAAACTAAGTTTTGATTGCAGCCTCTTTAATAAGATCTTATTCTACTTCTGAAAATGCATCACCTAAATTCTCAAATGAAAAATTATCAAAGCATTTCTTCTCTACTAATTTATTCATTAAATTCTGAACACTCTCACTATATTCTTATGAACTGGCTTTTTCCTTTTAATCAATGGATGTAATTTATTCAATCTTTAATTTTTATAGTGCTATCTTAAACAATTTTTATAGTTTCTATTTGTGTACCTTTTTATCTATATCTGACAAAAGTTATAAAACAAGTTATAGTGTTTAAGGTACATAAATCAAATTTTTGGATTAATTATTATTAATTTTTTTAGTTAATTCTCCTGTGCTTTAAATCTTTTTAAAATCATTCTAAAATTCAGATAATTGTTCTTTTGATATAGCTTAGAATTTTGATAATATCTTATCCTACATAGACGAAAAGAGTTCATCAGGAAGAATATATTAATTGGTACTAGTTTTTTTGACAAGAGCTTTGACTTCTTAAAGAAAGTAAGCAACCCATATTTCAGAAAATTAAATTCCAACCTATTATTGTTATCCTTAAATGCTATATATTTTTTATCGTAAAATTTCTCTGCAGTATTATTCAAGGTATTCTTTAATTAATGAATCATCTAAATTTTGTATTTCAATTTCAGTCAAAAGATTGTAACTCTACACTATTTATTCCAAAGATATAAAAGATTCTAGCCTTGTCGTTATTATTATTTTTACATTCTTACCTAGTTATTTTTCGCAATGTTTTTTTATATACATTTTAAAATTTTCATAGATTTTCTCTCTGATGTCATCTAACCCATCAAATAGTATAACAATGTTCAGTTACCCATTCTGTATATCATCAGTGAAACTTTTAATTTGTTCATTATTCAATAAGATTCCACCTGCATTTAAGAGTTAGCTCCAAATATCTTTGTTGAATTCCTTAAAACTAGCCAAGTGGATAAGAATAGGAACCCATTTTTTTTACTTTGAACTTGATTCATAGTGTTTTATTAAAAACAATTACAATTACTTTAAAAAGCTACTCTTACCCGATCCTGCCATTCCATAAACCAAAAGAAGATCACTGTTGTTGCTGTCTCTCCAAAGAAAATCATTAACTTCATAAGTCTATTCTTATTCAGCATCAAAAGAGGCAACTTCTTTGAATAAATAAATGGGCTTATCTGATATTTATTAAAAAGTTTATTAATTATGTTTGATTTTTCTTGAGACTTTTAAAGGAATGTTGATATAAACCTAGTTTTATTAAAACTCCTTTTATAGCTTTTCTCTATGTGTTTTTAATGGCTCTCTATACGATTTAAGTTGTAAAAAGGATTCTTGGATTTGCTGAAAATTCTCCTAAATAGCAGTAACTTTTTCATTTTGCAAGATCATTCTAGCATTTTCATCCTGTTGTCTATTTGAAAAAAGAGTAATCAACTCTTTGCATTTTGTTGTAATTGTTCTTTGTTCTTATTAATTTCTGAGTATAATCAAATTAAATGCCAAATAACATTTAATGGATGATGCACAATTAGTATTAATATAATATTCCCAGATATTATTGTTATCTTAAATTTAGAAGTTTATCAATCGAACAGATAGCTCATTAAAGAATTCAATCAAATCATTTCTACCTTAATTCTCTATTGATATTAACTCAAGCAGAATTTGTAGAAATCCTAAGTGTACCCTCTAATTTTAATTATTTTGAATACATAATTGATACCCTTTCTACAACTATTAAACAATTTATGTGATATTAATATTCTGTTAAGTTAATTTAATTCTTATTATTGTCAACTTTAACTATTAAAAAAAGTAGTATTTATCATATTCCTTATTGTTATTACCTTACAATAAATTATTAGCATCTTAAAATAATTTAAAAATCAATTCATTTTAATTTTAATATTTATTTTATTCGAAAATAAATTTCTCTAAAATCTTTGCATTACCATCTTACTAATAATTAATAGCCTCTTTCATCAATTGCAATTAATATTCATAAAGGATATCTAAGCCTTGTTCATGTTGATAGTTTTCCTTAATTAAATCTAAATACTCCATAATTTTGCGCAAATTCTTCATTGTATAACAATTAAAGATTTTGAATTGTGAGAAAAGTACTTGTATTAAATTTTGAGTAAATTAGAGTAAATTAAAAGCTTATACTATGGGCAACTTTAGCACACATATTAAAAGATTGCCGATAGCCGTCTCAATAATCTCAATTTGGATTTGAGTCAGCTTACCTTGATTTGATAAATTATAAATATTTTCTTTTGAGATTAACTACTATACTACTCTTTTTAATTACTCTCTCTTCTATAAGTCTATCTCATTCTCTAATAATCTTTGAAGGAGAATAATGTTATAATGTAATTCTTGGAAAATATCTTATTAATTAAAGGTGTTTCTTAGAGCTTATAAAGCTGCTTCTTGCTCCTATTATTGGGTGTTGTTCTAAGGTATTGGATTTCCACCAATAAATATTCTTGGGTTTTCAACATCTTAAGTTGCATCAATTGTAATTTGTGGCATTATAATAACATTGCCAAAATTTAGATTCCAAATTCTTTAATTCCGATTAAGAAATGGATCATCAACATCATTGATATCTTATCTCATAGATTAAATGATGTGTAAAAATTAATAAAAAAAATGATATTTTCAGTCTAGATTCTGCGATATCTAGAGTTGTAATATTAATCAAGATATTTTAGATAATAAGATAGGTTTGTTGTGTATAATATTTGAATGTCTTATGTATTCAGCGCCAAGATATCTATTGGTGCATAGATTCAAGGTCATATGGAATGATTTGATTAAACTCAAGAATTGGCGAAATTTAGTACATAATTTGATGTTTTATAAATATAATTTATAATGTAAAAGAGTAATAAAATGAGACCTCTTTGATAGTTATTAACAATAATAATGTTCAATATTACTTCATTCTCCTAAATCTTTATATTCTAATGCTCTTGTTAAGGGTAATGTTTGAGGATACACCTTTTCTTATTCTAATTCAATTTTTATGTCTCCCAAGTACAATTCATTATATTCTTCGATTGACATAAATCTCTTATGTAGTAGCATGTTGATATCATCCAAAGAAATGGGGACATCATTGGCTATTTTATTTTACTATTTATCTTTTTAGGTTCTTGAACTGTGTTTAATTCCAGCATTGCATACTTATTAATACAATTCCCAAACTCTTTCTTAGCACTAAGCTTCTGTTTTATCCATGTCTGACAATTGAGGACCAGTTTGAAATAGGTTTTCACAATACCACCTATCAAAACACCTTGTAGGATTGTCTTCATTCACAGTGACGATGTTAATCATGCTATAGATGTTCTTCTCTTTTCTATACTCAGCGTACAAATTGCGCATCCATAGATTCATAACATGTGATTGAGTTTCGACCAGATGCAAACTAAAAAGTCCTCGAATTAACAGAAATCCAGTAATTTAACCCTGAGTGTCACTCAACTCTTTAATCTATAATCTAAAGATAATATAACTTATTTAGTCAAAACTTATTCAACATCAATTTTTTGAATAGCGCTTTCACTAAAGTAAGTAGCATACACCATTCTGCTAATTGGCACTTGCTTCTCTTCTCTTTTTTCTTTAACAATATCATATAATGAGAGTCTTTATTCAACTTGAATTTCTTAATTCATATAATTTATAATTAATTACCATAATACAATAAGAAAATTTTACATAATATTTTAATTATCTTTATTTTCTATTCTTCTAAGAAAATAAATGGAGTTCAAATACTGTTAAATGATGGTTCTAATCATTTCAATAATGAATATAAAAACATATTCGAAGGTTAATTCCAGAAACAATGAAATGCTGAGAAATTTCAATTCATAAATGATGGACTAGTTTAATAACACTTTTCATCTTCACTCAACTTGATTTATTTTGGTTGTCAATTTTGTATTCAACCAAGTATCCATTATGTTAGTATCCAATTTTCAATAAAATTTCTTTAATATAATTATAATAACAACAATTTCTTTTGCTTGTTACTTACAAAATATTAAATTATGGATTTTAATTTCTTCTCTCAAACTATTAATTTATTTTAATAATTATTACTCTCTAATTTAGTAACTTAAGTAAAAGAGCATTTGTTAGAATAAGTATTTGTAAATTCTCCTTATAATTTTTAACTATTAGATAACTAATAAATTGTTGTATTTGAATATGAGTCCTTCGTAAATCACGCCGTAATTTAAGTTATTCCGTTAAGAGTATCTAGATTTTTATAAAATAAAAAGTAAAGCAACAAATTAAAAGAGATTATATTAATTGATTTTGAAAGTCTGCCTAAAAATGAGGAACCTAATTTAGATACTTATCAGATATGTCTCTCATTCTATTATTTAATTTTGGCTAAACTTAAAATATTATTATTGTCTGAATATGAATAATAGAAACTTAATTTTATAGCGTTATTTAAAGTCATAATAGTTTTATCAAAACCGCAATAAATATTTTTGGAGATAAACGCAAGTTAAATTTGAAATAGGTTTTTAGCCTTTTACAAAATTATTATAAACTTTATTTGGCTTGTGGATGTAATATGCTTTCTAATCAATCATTTACATCAAGTTCACATATGGGCCAAAGGGTTTTGGCAGTAATGAATGTCGTATTAGAGGTTAGAATGCATAATATTGAAATGATGATTTTTATGAATTAAAATGTAATCTTACGAGAAAGCATTATTTAATGTACAAGTGATAAGAAAGCACTTCTTCAAAGATAGGGCTTACCAATTATATTTATTTGCTGATGAATTAGTGATGACAGATGTAACATGATCATCAAATTAGGATCCGACCAAAAGTCCAAAATACATTTTGAAAACGAATTTAACAACTACGATAAAGTGGATCTGCGAAGACAAAAGGATAGTGGCTTTTGAATTTTCTTATAACGGAAGGCCTAAGGAAGTGTATGGGCCCAAATTGAATCTTCTGAAGGAGATGCTAGCTGGAAAAGTGTTTTTCAGTCCTGTGTCTTAATTCTATTAATTTCATATGGAAATAGGGAGTGGGATGACAGGATCTGTCTATAGGTGCATATCGATTGAAAACAATGAAAACTATTTTGCTATAAAGAAAGTAGATAAGATAAAAATAACCTAAAATGATGGAGCAATAGTATTGATTTCTCAAATAATAGCCTCAACTAATTCATGAGCTCAGCTTGTTGAACCAATTACAGCACCCGAGTATTGTAAAATTGAAAGAAACATACGTCGACGATCAAAATTATTATATAGTAATGGAGTACATAAATGGAAAGACTTTATATGCAGAATTGTAGAGCAGACATTATGGACTCTCAGTTAATGAAACGATTAAGATAATGAAAGTATAGTTTGATTGGATTCTTAGGAATTGTTGGAAGCAATCATTTACATACACAACAAGGGAATAATGCACAGAGATATAAACCCTTTGAATATAATGAAGGCAGAAACAGTAAAGTTGATTGATTTTGGATTGGCAAGGAAGATAAGAAATTAGTTAATATTTCCAACTTCAGGAACTCCAGGATATATGGCTCCGGAGATCATTAATTTCAATAAAGAGAAACCCTATGATGAGAAGGCGGATATCTTTAGTCTTGGTTGTGTTCTGTATAAATTGTATAGACTATTAATTAATTAAAGGTTGACCGGGGAGAATCTATTTACCACTAAACAGGGTAAATAAACGGTATATTAATCTAATAAAGAAGGGGGTTTCGAGTTGAAAAAGTAATTGCAACATCCTGAATGCAATTCAAATAAAATGGACTAATTATTTGTATTAAATGTGATAATCTATATAGATTCTACTTCCTCACATGTTGGAATAAAATCCGATGTTGAGATTAAATGCCAAAGTTTGTTTGACAATTCTGGAGGAGATTGAAAACAACAACCTCTAAGTGGAGAGACTGATAAAAAAGATCTTGATTAGAAAATAATTAGCCTTTAATACATCGGAAGAACAACAGCAAGATAAGAAGAGTGAAGAGAAATTGTAGAAATGCAAGTTTAGACAATCAATCGATGTCTAATCTAAAAAGAGTTTGGATGAAATCTCTGTGTATTCTAAAAATGTCATGTTACAAAATTAATAAAGGGTTATACTTGCTCAGAAGAAATAGCCTTGATGTATTTATGATTCTTTGTATTCAAAATATTAATTGTATTGTTATTTATGTTACTATTCAATATGTATATATCTCAAAAGAATACATCTTCATCAGGTTATTCTTCTGCCAACATATCATAACTCTCTCTCTCTTACCAATTCATGTCTTCGACTTCCAATTGTCTTTTGGCTGTTTCTTGATTTTGCTTTTCAATTATTTTTCTCTTGTTGTCAAGCACCTTCTTCAATCTAATGATAATTCTTAAATGAACCTGAAAAAATCTTCTTTTGACATTTCATCCAATTCCATATCAATGTAATTCATAGTAGCTGTGAATCTAGGAATGACGACATATTCAAGAGCATTGACTCTTCGATTTGTAACTTTGATAACTTGATCCAATGAAACAAAAGAAGTCTAGAAATCTAATTTATTTTATTACTTAATATGATGCAATTTTAACAAGAAGAATTAACAAATCCTTAAACTTATCTCTGCATCTTTGAATGGATTGACCACCTCTGGCCAAACCTATTTGACTCATACTCGAATCTGAATCGTCCACTTCCCTAATATTTACTTCAGGCAACATGACACCGGCAATGTTTTCACTTGAGATTTCCAATCTGATTGTTGCTCTCTTTACAGCATCCTTAACATTTTAGCTATTGTTAATACTCATAATACTGGAATTCTCCTGCAGCATATTAAGCCTTTGCGATCAACAATAATGCTTCTTGAGCTTCGTCACCCATGAATTTCTTGTTCTCCAATAAAGCAACCATCACTATTCTGAACTTAGTTTTCAAAGCATCACACTTCTTCTTTAACAATTCATGACCCTTCTTTGCTGAGATAATCTTAGCCTTGTACAAAGCCAAGTTCATTCTACTAGGAACCACTTATTCTGCCATTTCTTAATATCAATTTTAATAAAATTAATTATATTTATATAAAATTCAATCCTAAATAGAAGATTTAAACTTCATATATTACATCCAATAATACTTTTTGTGAACATCCAAGCTTCAGAATCATACTGATTAAATATCATCTGTTCAAAACTATAACATACTCTTAACTGCTACTCTGGCATCATATAAAATTTATCATAAAATATATATATATAATAGCAAAATTCAGTAAAACTTCTATTTTAATAAATGAATTGTTGAATATGAATCTTTCCTCATTTTAATAGGTTTTTTAATTTGATTTTTGGTTGTTTAAGGTTGGAAAGTGGGACATTTCTTTGGTTTGAATGGGCATTCCACACTTTATCTTTATTATTGAATGGCTTCCCTCACCTTGATCGTTTACCTCACTTGATTTAACCAACGAATTTATCTGTCATAAAAGACAAAGTTTTTTGGGGATGAATAAGTAGATCTATGTTTTGAGCTATATTTAACAACATCTTAATTTTTTTCTGGAGAGCCTTGGAGTGTGTTGAAATTGGTGTCAATGGAAATCAAGGCTCTTCTGGTTTGTTTCTTTTGTTTTTGTGCCTGTAGAAGATTAGAGAAGTTTTAGAATGGATCCACAACGTTTTCTTATTTTGGTGACTGTGGAATCTGATTAGGCTAATAGTTTTCCGTTTCTCTATTCTAAAAGCTGTCATCTCCTAGAATTATGTAATCATGAGCTATTTCATATAAAGCAGACCGAAGCATTAATTTAACAACTATTTATTAATATTATGGGATGTCTTTTTGGAAAATAAGAATAAACCTAAAACAGATATCAAATCAAAGAATATGACAAATTTAAAGTTCTGCAATTAAGTATAATTAATGGTTACTATCATCTAAGTTCAAAGTAGTGAAGAGATGTTCTTAATTTTCAATCTTTAGGTATATTTATAACTAAATAGGGTGCATGGTAAATGAAATATTTAAACTTGTAGGAATCACTGGATTTATCAGAAATGCGATGGCAAACTGCTTTTATTTTTAAGTATATACAAAATCATCCTATTCTTTCTTAGATTAAGTTCAATAAGATCAGCAGATATTATCACAATTATTTCCAATAAGCAAACAAAATTTCAAATTAGTAGTAATAAATGTAAATTATACATCAAGTTGAGCAATTTACCTAAGCCTTTGTTTTACTAAATAATATAATCTGATGAAGCTTTTTTAAAAAAGAACATGATCAACAAAGAAGAAGTATTTAATGAGCAGTACTCATGTTTCGATGAGTCAGATATCGAAATGGAATAAGAGCCAGAAATTGATCTAGCCAATTAATCATTAGACCTTTCAGGCATCGATAATAATAACAATAATGTATCTCCAATAAAGAAGGCCAATTTTGAAGATGATAAAATTAATCACTAAAAGTTAATCTTAGATTATTTGGATCATTTTTGTCCTCAAACAGAGGACTAATATTATAAATGGTTGATAAGTGAAAAAGTAATTCATTATCTCCAACAATCATTGCACATCAACTTATGGTTCAATAAGTTGGATTTGGAAGAAAAGTTTGTTTGGTAGTAAACAAACACTAATTCCTTTGTGAAAAGAAGGTTTTAATTGATTGAAAATAAATTGCTTATTCTTTTGGGATCAGAAACTTAGGATATAATTGGTATTTAATTCTATAATTATTAGAACTTATCCCGTTAGCATATTCAAAAATACAAGAAGCTCCAAAACAACAATATGTCAATAAATTTGGAATTTTTATTAAATGTGATAGATTGAAGATAGATGTCCAATTGTTTTTTGATACTCTAATAGAATTGCATCAACTTTATTGTCCTTATACTTAGAAATATGAAATTCTAAATAAAACTAACAAATCACGCATTGAATGTGTTAACAAAACTTTGGGATTAAAATTATCAATCCAACAATTCAAATTGGATAATAATTCTATTTCGAATTTAATTATTCATGATTCATTGTCAAATTTCAAAGGTGTAATCAAATGTCATGAAATCCAATTTGAAAATACCACAAACATAAACTAAATATGTGAGAATATCCCATTTACTTTGGATGAATATCTATCATAAATAAAACAATTAAGTGGTAATTCAATTATAATATATTAGAATTCCAAATAAGATTGATAGCCAAATAATTGCTAGTCATCTTTAACTATATCCATTTAATGGGAGTGATAATAGTTTGCTTGAATCCAAATTAAATTGGGGTAATTCCAAATAAATAAGAGCCTGATTCAATCGAAAAGATCGCAATTTGCAACTTCTGCTATTCTTTTTACCAATTTAAACTGTACAATAAACAACAATTATCCGAATTTGCTGCTCCTGAAGCAAGCACAGGATAATAGTTTGATGAATTAGTCGATTCCTATTTATTATACAAATTATTGATGTACATAATAAGAGGATAACAATTATCTCCAAATTTTAAGGATTTTTTGAGTAAATTGGAGAAGAGAATTACAATCGAAAAAGCCCTATAACATGATGTATTTAAAGATGAAACAATAACCACAAAAGCGATTGAAAACATGGTTATATTAAAGAATTGATAATTAAAATGAATAAATTACAGCAAATATAATACAACAATTCAACCATTTAATTTAAATCGCTATTTTTCTTCGATAATTACATTTATTTTTAAAGTTCTTATAAACTCAGGTAACAAACATCATTAATTAAATCTTTTTGATAGTTCTTAAAAAGAGATACTAGAAATTAATGAATTAAAGTGAATGATTATAACTTGTTAACCATTGTTAATTGAAAATGTGAAGAAATGCTCTATGTTAAAGTATTTTAAACTATAAGTTACATGATTTAAGATAGCATTCTATATCAGGAAAAATTTATGTATTGGCAACTTTACTAAAGTATATAATACACTCAAAAACCAAGCATGAATCATACAATAGAAATAGAAAATTTACCTTAACCACTCTATTTATAATAAGTTTTAACAACTAAGTTCAAGCATTTTTATTAGATGTTTATTAAATTAAAATAATTAAATGAATAACAACTCTTATTAAACATATAAACCATATTCTAGAGTTCAGCAATAAACCTATAATAATTCTTAGATCCTTTCATATGTTGGACAGGTTCTCCAGAAATCTAGAACTAATTACACTTAGCACAAATAGCCTGAATCAAATCTCATACCTAATTCAACTTAGCAAAATATCAATACTGTCTCTGATAGTAAAAATAATATGCGATCATCCAAAATAACACCACAAGAATAGATCATAGCATAGAAATATGACACTACTCCTATTAAAACTATCCCCCTTCATCAATCATAATAATATATAGACAGATAACCATTAATTCCGTTAATTCCGCTTATGTAAAATTTAAAAGAATAGTATAAATAAGTATACTTAATTTGTTAAGATAGAAATAAGCCTTATTAGAGAAAACATCAACGAAAAAACCAGAAGAACGCTTCAAGAATTTTAAAATAATAAAGAAATTAGGAGATGGAAAATACAGTGAAGTATTTCTAGCCAGGCATTTATAAACAGAATTTTTAGTTGCTTTGAAAGTTATTAAGAAGAAGTAAATGATAGAAGAGATAATGGAAGCGTAATTGGCTTGGGAAATTAAAATTCAATATCTTCTTGATCATCCGAATATCACAAAATTGTATACATTCTTTTAAACTTGTAATTAATTCATTCATTATTTGATTAGAAACTGAAATTGTTTTGGTTTTAGAATATTGCCATGGATAATTGTTGAGTTTACTTTAGAAATAATCAAATTAAAAATTTGAAGAAAAAGAAGCATCCAATTATGTCCATTAAATAACGTTTGCATTAATGTACATACACAATAATGATGTTATACATCGAGATATTAAACCAGACAATATTCTCTTAAGTTTTGGATAGGCTAAAATTGCTGACTTTTCATTTTGCGTTTACTCTCCTCACGCTTATAGATAAACATAATGTGGAACTATCATATATGCTTCACCTGAAATCTTAGAAGGAGATATGTACGATAAAAAAAGTGATATTTGGGGGTTAGGTATCTTAACTTATGAATTATGTTTTGGTAAACCTCCTTGGAAGGAGCACTAACAAGAATTAATGAAAACTGTAAGTCTCATTTAATAACTGTTTTTTAGGCTTGCTTTTTGATACCATCTTCAGCATCTAAGGAATTGAGAGAATTTATCGAAAGTTTAGTTAAAAGATTACCCAGAGAAAGATTAAATGCAAAGTAAGCCTACAATCACTCTTGGTTATAATAAACTTAATAAATACTACCGCAATTTATCCAAGAAAATATAATCATATTTAATTGATGTTTTAACTAATTCTTTACAAAACATAAATTTCATAAGTTTTCCATAAACTTTTAAGCTCTTTGGGAATTTTTCATTGTTTATACTCTGTCATGTTCTCTTAAATGTTTTGTTAATTCGTCTGTTGTAACAAATCTCATTTAACAATTACTGAACCCACAACTATATGGCTTTGGTATCTTTACATACTGCCCATTTATTAATTCAATTTGGTAACTAAATCAAATGAAGCTATATACTCTTCTCTTTTACTGTCCTGTTAAACTGTATTTATCGCAGCAGACAATAGCACAGCGTCTCTTCCTGATTTATCTATTTTCTTTAATTAGGTATTAGCAGTTTAAACTTCACTTTTGTCCATTCTATCATTTGTTCTTCGATTTTCAAAAAGCATGGATCCAAGAGCAAATTTATTTACTTTGTAAGGTCGTACCAATCTAATTTATTCTATTTAAATACTGATCTTGATTTGGAGGATCAATTGTCTTTTCTTTGTTAAATTTATTTGATTTTGATTTTTCAGATTTGGATTTGGATTTTGATTCTGATCGGGATCTTGATCTGGAATGAGATTTGGATGATTGTGAGGAGGAAGATGAAGATGAAGAATGATGCTTTTTCTTATGATGTTTTTTTGATTTCTTTTTCATCTTATGTTTCTATTTTTATAAATTTAATTATCACATCCAGTTATCTTAAACATATAGCGTACTTAATTTTAATATGAACAACTATAAATTATGAAAACATATAAAATCTTGGCTTTACCTGGATGGGAAAATGATGGATTCATTTTGAAAAAACATATGGGGGAATTGCATGGTCTGATATCAAAATATGTAGAAATTGAGTATCTGGATCCTCCTTACGATGTTTCAAAAAGTATGTTCCCTCTTCCCCCTTTATTGGATACTTAAGGAAGTAATCAGATCTAATTATTGTATAGGAAAAGTGTATAGATGGGGGAATTATTATTTGGATATGTCAGAAGACATTGAAAGAATAAAAAATAGAATTCTTGAAAATCCTAACATTATTGGATTGATGGGATTCTCATAAGGGGTCTTTATAATTGGAGAAATTGGGTAACTGGCTTACACAGACTCAAGACTAGCCAAACATCTAAGGTTTCTGATTTGCTTTTCTTCAAATGGAATCAAACCTCGTAGAATTCATTATGATAAAAAACATCTAATTACTATACCTACTCTTCAGACAATAGGTTCAAAGGATTTTGTATTCCTGGAATCGATTATTTAAACAACAGAATATTTGAATTCCCAAATTATTTGGACAGAAGCAAGTATATTAAGATGTAATATTTAGCTCATAGAGTTCCAATTTTAAGTTATGATTAGAAAATTGAGTTGGCTAATTTTATCTCTGATAAATTAGATTAACCAAAACTCTGAATAATTAGAAAGTAATGTGTGTATATATATAATAATCAATTCATAATCATTCTAATAAATTATTCATCTGTAGTCCACACAGACACTTTAAATTTTTATATATTATTTTAAATTAGCATATAATAAACATCACATCATTACATATGCAAGACTCCTGTTAAGATATTATAATTTTTGTATTTTGGTCTCAGCTACTGGTTTGAAGAATCAGTAATCTCAATTGCTAGAGGTAGTGATTTCTTTGACTATTTCGATTTAGGAGTTTAGGTTTTACTTTGATGTATTTATGAGTATCCGGGACCTTCTTGATGGAGGGGATTAATTAATTATTTGGATTTCTTTGATTATTTGGATTATTTGGATGATTATGAGAGTGGTGTCTTCAAAGGCGTTTGAACTGGTTGTTATGGTTTTAATACTTGATTAGAAATTTAATTTGGGTTGTAAGTCGACTCTTACTAGAGTGACTACTATTGCAATTTCTAATATTTAATCAAGTCCTAATCTAGTAAATGCAATTATTTATTCCGTTCTTAAGCTTAGTAGTTGTCGGAATAGATTTGGGGAAGTTTTTGTTGGCTAATATCATTTAATTTAATATTGTATGATTCCAAAGATGAACTATGTCCAATTTGTTTTCTTTGGTTATATAATTCGTAATTGTCATTTTCATTTTGTTTATGCATATTATAATCTTTTAATTTGTTTTCTAATATCTTTTATTTTTCAAAGGCTATCTTCTGTTCCACTCTTAATCTTTCTTCTTGTTTTTTGGCTTGAATCTCAAGTATTTTCCTTTTCTTTTCCTCTAATTACTTATTTAATTCATTTTAGTACGTTTATCCCTCCCCTCTCTAAGCTTGAACCAATTAATCTGGGTCGGTTTCTTGTACTTTTAATAACTTAGATTTGATTTAGTATTTTTAATTCAATTTTTATTGGATGACAGAATCATAATTTTCGCGTAATTTTTTTGACTCTTCATCCTTAAGGATTTTGATTCTTTCTAAACTTTTAATCTCCTTCAATTTTTCCTGCTTAATATCCTCTTATTCGAGTAATAAACTTTAATATGACCTCTCTTAATTCATTTTTTTTCGAATTAATAAATGATTGAGATTCTCCAAACTAATTTCTATTTGTTTTATTTTTCTTTGTTCCATTTCCTTTAATTTCTTAGATTCTCTTTACCTAAGAGTTTCTAACATCTACGATTCTAATTATTAGTCCTATTGATGTTAAATTATTTTTTTTTATTATTTCAATTTCATGTCTGTTTCCAACTCTTCCTTATACCTCTGCTTTCTCTGCTATTAATCATATTTTTATTAATTCTCATTTAGCACTTTTTCAACCATTTATTTCTGAACTATCCCAGCCCATTAATGAGACAGTTATTAACTCATTTCTAACACTTTTTATAATTTTTAATTAATAATATGGCAATAATTTAAAAGATTCATTGTATTATTCATAATAGTATTTACTGTTTTACAACAAAACATTTGTTTAATTAATATAAATTTTCTACTATTAGACTGTAAAAAAATGCTACTTATTTAGTATATATATATCAGTATTAATCAGAGAATAAGTAGTATTTAATTTGAGATTGGGATTAGTATGAAAACATTAATTAATAAATGAGTCATAGATAAAAGAGAGTTAAACCTGGCCGTCCAAGTAAAGAGGATCAAAAAGAAGGAGTTGAAATATAAAGATCCTCTGATGATGAGAATCAGTATATTGCAGACGACTCTGATTGTGAAAGAATTTTTTCTTTATTGGCCAAATAAAGCAGCTATAAAAATATAACCAAAACAGGACCTACTAAAACTAAAAAGGTTGATGAAGAGTAATTAGCAGAAGCCTCTGAAAATGTGAAAAAGGTTCTTGACGAGTTATAAATATAAGACCCTCAATTCTTTTTTTTATCAAATTAAAAAAGAAAGTACGAGTTTTAAAATGACAAATTGATTGATAAGACTGAATATAAATTTATTAATAAGGAAGAATTTGGTCCTCGGTTTGAGACATTGATTGATAAAATGAATATCGTCAACAGAGAATTGGATGAAAAATTTATTGATGTGCTAAAAGAAATTTTAATATAATACTAAAACTTGGTAACTCAAGAATTGAACTCTAACTCTATTATAGAAAAAATAATTCAAAATATCAAAAATCCTGATAATCAAGAAAAATTTTAATATTTGCTAACATGGTAACGATTAAAAAGCATCACCAAGGAAACTCGTATGAATAGAGCAATTGAAGATTTAGAAGAAAAACGAAAGGAAATTAATAAAAAAACATCAGACAAAGTAAAGAAAAAGCACTAAGAATTTATTGATTGCCAAAAAAAAGAATTAGATGAAGAAAATAGTATGGATCCTCTCTAATATTTAATTACAAAACTGATTTCGGCATTTAATTACATTATAGGAAACGTATGATAATGCATTTCCAAAAACAAGTGATTTATATTCCATCAAATCCTAAATTATTTTACTAAATTAATATAATTGAGTTTAATGCTTATTGCAAATCCTTAAAATATATTGTTTATTTTAAAAGCTACAACTTATAAAATCAATCAATTCATGGGAATAATTCATGCTTTACAAACTTAGCCATAAATATTTCTGCTTCTTCTCTTTTATCTAGAGGTACCATGTGACCTGCATTTCTAATCGTCATAAATGTTAGACCATCCAAATCTACGACGTACCCAGCATTTTAATTTCCATCAACATCTCTCTTTCCTGGTACAAACCAAGGCCTCCAAGGGTTTAAAGTTAACAATGCTGATAAAATAGATATTAATATGATACATAATTCTTTCTGCAATTTATTAAGCCAATACATAGTTCCGGTAACAGGAACTACTCCATCGACGTCACCACTATATATCAAGACTTTAATTTAATGTTTAAGAATTTCTTCATATAAATAATAAGACCCTTTTGGATTTTCTTTATAATCAACAAATTTCTTTGAGCAAACTTCCCATTCTGCTGATTCTGGTTTAATGTGTAATAACTCAAATATAATCGATAGTTTACATCTCTAACTTAATTCGACCTTAAATGATGATATAATCCTTAAATATCAGCACATGCAGGAATATCTGCATCCTCAGTATATGACATCAAGCCATGAGATCTTGATGCCATTTTACTTCCTTCAGGAGTATAGGTGTAACATGCTCCATACATATTGTATTGGTTGGCTTTGATTTTTTAATCCTTTCCTGTTATTTGCTCTTCAACTTCTTGTGATATTTATCTACAAATATCAGTTTTGACTTCAACACATTATTTTTCCACACTTCTTACTTTTTCATATAATTCTTCACTTATAAAATTATGCCTTCCAACTTAGTGAAAAACATGAACTTAGAATTGCCAAGCTGCATGTGTACATTCAGTTGGATCAGTGCATCCGTTACCAATAGCCAACCCTTACAAATTTATTCTACTTTCGGCACTTTATTTAGAATTATAATCAATAATTTCTATTGTTAGAGTTGGCACATATACTCCTCCAAATGATTCTCCCGCAAGAAAGAGTGGCAATGTTTTATATTCTGGAAACTTATTAAAAAAGTCTAGCAAGGCTTGAAGGTTATATTTAGCAGTTGATTCATCAGACTACTCCACTTAAGGGCCGTAGGAAAAACCAACCGATATTGGTGATTCAAGATATATCATATTCGCCTAAATGCTGTTTACGTCAGATAAATACAAAATTTGTCCATGAGTACTTGTTTAGCTCAAACTCGGATGTACCTGCTTTAAATACAAAAGGACCGTTCTCATTAAACGCACCCTAAATTGATGAACACCCAGGTCCTCCATTTAACCATAAAATTATAGGTTTCTTTAGTGAATCATTTGCAGCTGGGTAAAATAAATAATAAAATTAGGTTGTTCCTTATGCATCTGCTTTTAGATATCCAGAATATCTAAAGACTTAAAATTGAATCTTACAAATCTCCTTAGTAATTGATATTAAAAAGTTGATTCAACTTATTCTTATCTACAATATCTGCATTGTCGACCCCTGCTTCGAGCGCCTCTGATAGAGATAGAGACATAGTTAGAAAAACTATCATAGTTACATTAATCCTCATTCTGTATTAATATTAATTTAAAAATCAATTTATCATTTTATAATTGTATATTATAGAACATGGATTTTCTACATTTTATTATATTCATGAAATTGAAATTTTATTTTTATTAAGCGAAGTCCTATTTATAATTGATATTCTAGAATCGAAAATTACAATCATTTAATAATCATATTGTTAAATGCAAATCTATAGCATCCATTTTTTGCTAATTAAAGTAGAGTTCATGATAAATTTTGATTAAGATTTTACTAGTTTACTTATAGTGGTGATCATTTAATTATATTATTAAAAAAATATACAAAATGAAAACCAATATCCTAAAGGAAGTATTTATATTTTCAAATGAAAAATAATAATGTANTCCTTCAGGAGTATAGGTGTAACATGCTCCATACATATTGTATTGGTTGGCTTTGATTTTTTAATCCTTTCCTGTTATTTGCTCTTCAACTTCTTGTGATATTTATCTACAAATATCAGTTTTGACTTCAACACATTATTTTTCCACACTTCTTACTTTTTCATATAATTCTTCACTTATAAAATTATGCCTTCCAACTTAGTGAAAAACATGAACTTAGAATTGCCAAGCTGCATGTGTACATTCAGTTGGATCAGTGCATCCGTTACCAATAGCCAACCCTTACAAATTTATTCTACTTTCGGCACTTTATTTAGAATTATAATCAATAATTTCTATTGTTAGAGTTGGCACATATACTCCTCCAAATGATTCTCCCGCAAGAAAGAGTGGCAATGTTTTATATTCTGGAAACTTATTAAAAAAGTCTAGCAAGGCTTGAAGGTTATATTTAGCAGTTGATTCATCAGACTACTCCACTTAAGGGCCGTAGGAAAAACCAACCGATATTGGTGATTCAAGATATATCATATTCGCCTAAATGCTGTTTACGTCAGATAAATACAAAATTTGTCCATGAGTACTTGTTTAGCTCAAACTCGGATGTACCTGCTTTAAATACAAAAGGACCGTTCTCATTAAACGCACCCTAAATTGATGAACACCCAGGTCCTCCATTTAACCATAAAATTATAGGTTTCTTTAGTGAATCATTTGCAGCTGGGTAAAATAAATAATAAAATTAGGTTGTTCCTTATGCATCTGCTTTTAGATATCCAGAATATCTAAAGACTTAAAATTGAATCTTACAAATCTCCTTAGTAATTGATATTAAAAAGTTGATTCAACTTATTCTTATCTACAATATCTGCATTGTCGACCCCTGCTTCGAGCGCCTCTGATAGAGATAGAGACATAGTTAGAAAAACTATCATAGTTACATTAATCCTCATTCTGTATTAATATTAATTTAAAAATCAATTTATCATTTTATAATTGTATATTATAGAACATGGATTTTCTACATTTTATTATATTCATGAAATTGAAATTTTATTTTTATTAAGCGAAGTCCTATTTATAATTGATATTCTAGAATCGAAAATTACAATCATTTAATAATCATATTGTTAAATGCAAATCTATAGCATCCATTTTTTGCTAATTAAAGTAGAGTTCATGATAAATTTTGATTAAGATTTTACTAGTTTACTTATAGTGGTGATCATTTAATTATATTATTAAAAAAATATACAAAATGAAAACCAATATCCTAAAGGAAGTATTTATATTTTCAAATGAAAAATAATAATGTACAAACATTACATTGATTGAGTTTATAATTTTATAAAACAATTTTCACTTTCATAATTCCTTTTTATTTAAGCATTTCTCAATCACTTTATAAACTGATTCACTATAGTTTTCTAAATGCTAATTAGTAATTTCATTCAAACAAATATTTATTTCCTAGTTCAACTTCAATGTGGTTCTGCAATCTCCATACCATTTCAATAGGATTCAACTATGGTGTATAAAAAGGCAAATAAAGTTGATTTACATACCTTAAAACAGTATTCTTAAAATTTGTTTCTCCATGTACAGGTGTATTATCAAACACAAACAAACACATAATTTCTTAAACGATATTTCTAATTACAAACTTAAATTAGTTTAATTAAATAGTTTTAAACCAAAAAACGCATTTACATTGCATCTAAAGCATTAATACATGAAAATACTCTTACTTATACTTCCAAATATATTTATTGTTTCTTTTATTTCTGCTCGATCAATATGATATGTCTATTTTTTCTTACTCCACACTTTGGGTCAAATAAAATCTTTGCTTATTCCAGTTTCATCTAGATATATGATTTCATTTTCTTCTTTCAAATGAAATAAAATTGTCAATGTATTAATATATTATTTACTTTATTGTAACTGGTTGTAGCTGCAAACTTAATTTTTGAAGTAATTTTATATGAAGCCCAAGGACTTCACAACTTTTGTAAAATTGGTCTTTGAAAATTAGTTTCTACTTAAAAATTGGTTAAAAAGTGATTAAAAATATGTTGTATAGAACAAAAATGATTTTAAGTTTGGCTCTTCATATATTGATAAATCCATCTGCGATGCTCTTCTTCAAAAGAAAACAAATGAATTTAATCCTAATTAAATTGATTTTGGCCTTCTTTCGATAATCCAATACAAGCTGATTAAGTAAATAGAGGAATATTGTTTTTATCTAATTTTCTAATTAAGTATTTGATTTTGGGGATGTCTGCAGATTGATTCTTAAATGACAATGAATTCTTTCTTTTCATTTTAGGCTTTTATCTTAACATCTCGTTTTTCTTTTCATACTTCACTAAATAAGTGAAGAACAAAATTCTTATGCTTATTTTATGTTATAACGAGTAATTATAGCTTGCTTTTAGAAATAAGTGTAATTTGTTGATTATTTCAATAGATCTATAACTCAGGCACCATCCAAAACAATTATAATCATTAATAGTATACTCTAGCACAGATAATTTTTATATAATCCCTTTTATGTATAATTGTCATTATCACTTCAAGCTGATCAATATACATGTAATATGAAAAATTATAAAAATAATGTCAGTTAATATTAAGAAAAGTTGTGAAAAGCAGAATCAATTCAAAAATAACATTATAGCATTAGTTTTTTAATTCGTCTAAGATTTGATAAACTCTTTGATGAATTTGCAGTTAAATTTACAAAAACTAGAATTAGATTTACTTCACTTCATCCAAAGAACTTCCCAAAGAAAGTCTTAGAACATATTGCAAAACACCCAAATATTTGCAAGAAGTATAAATTTGTTATTTAGTCTCCTCATACCTATCCAATTAGGTTGAGATAAGTATTGAAAAAAATGAGGAGAAATTACACAATAGGAGCAATTGGAGATTAAGTCATGAAGTAAGAACATTTATTCCAAATTTAACCTTGCAAACCAATGTAATTGTTGGTTTTTGTGATGAGACTGAATATGATTTTGAATAAACTTTAAGTTTGTTTAAACTTATTAAATCGGAGAATTTAAGATTTGCATTTTATTAGGCGATTATGTTCGCTTATTCAATGAGAGAAAAATCACATGCGGATAGAAACTCAAAGGATAAAGTGTTTACTTAGAAGAATGCAAAAGGATAACCAATATTATAGAAACTATTTAAATTTGATGATCAAAATATAGAAAAGGAAAATGCTACTAAGAATTGACATCACAATCTTATTATTATTCTAAAACGATAAAGTTTATTAGTAAGAGCAATTCTCATATAATTTCCATAAACAGAATATATTAATATTTTACAAAATAGCAAACTGTGAGAAGAACAATAATTTTAATTCAAGAACCCTGCATATTTTTATTAAAAAAATAGAAAATAAATTTAAATTTTTTTCAATTCAAGAGGCTGGACGCACATACTCAGATCGTCTGCAAGTGCAACAAAGATAAAAGAAAGTACAAATAATAAAAAAGCCTATTAAAAATCCATAAAATATGCTGAAGAATCCAAAAACTAAACCATAAGAAACTCCTAAGACTGATTTTGGGCCATCCCATGCCCAAGTATACCTATCAGAAGGAAAAAAAATAGCGCAATATGAAAATAATGCTCCTATCATTTCACCAAAAATAGTAATAGCCATATACACTCTCAAATGTTCTGAAGTATCTAATTCCTACTGATATTTATCCATAATAATAATTAAATAAATAACCACTCCTGTTGTTCCTAAAAAGACTCCAAGAAAAAATTCCTTAATCCCTCCTTTTTTATAATAATTTGCTTTCTATTATTTTGCACAACATTTTATGCACAATTCAACTATATTAATTAGAAAATTGCCTGAAAAGAAATAAAATATTATGTAGGCTAAAATTGACACTAAATTTGATGCAAAATAATAAATTCCCAGAAATAACTAAATCATATCCAATGCTTTATATCTTTTTTCTCTCAATTAAGTTTATGATTCACCATTCAAAAAATACTTCAATTCAAAATAAATTATATAAATGTGAAAAAATAACCATGCTAAAATTTATTCCACAAATTCACCCCAAGTATAAGTATTCAAATCTCTAAAGATGATGGAAAAAAAAAAAAAAATTATTCTACAAAGCATACCTATCGAAATATTAATATCAAGTCTGTTAGACTCTTTTATTCCGCAAAACCAGTATAATGCAGCATCAACAATGTCTATAATGTTTTTGGTCTTCATGTTTAAATTTAATTTATAATTAATAAACTCTCGCCACTCATATCCTTGTTATTGAAGATGATGTCATTTTATAATAATTCTTACTAACCCTTGCTATGAATCGATCATAACCAAATCCAAAAGCCAAAACTAAAAAGTCTATTCTGAAGGGAAGAATTACTAATTTCGCCATCCACTCCTTAAATTTGGAGTTTCAAATTTAATCCTGTGCTTAGGGAAGTTTGCCCAACCAGGATGTAAGATTACATAATTCTTTTTAAAGAAATTTTTCAGGGATTTAGATTATCTGGAATCCCACTAAACTTATTGATTAGAATTATTTAATTTTATTTACAAAATGATGGCTTAATTCTTCATTAGATTGCAAATACTAATATGCTTGGGGTTTTTAATACTGAATTTTCATTATTTTTCTCATTTGCTCTTTAGATTCATGATAGGAAACTCTAAACGATAAAAATTGAGAGAAACAGAATTTAGAAATGTTCGAAAATTCCCTGATCTATTTCACAAATATTAAAATAAAAAAATTTATAATTCAAAATTAAGACAAGTATCCTTTATAAACTTTATCTCAAAAGTGCTCTTAATATATCAAAACATGGGGTAAAAGCGACACATTATTACACCTTATGTCAAAAATAAATTATGATTTAAGAAAGATCATAATTAGAATAATATTTATTTATTAAGTTAAGTATATATTTTGGATAATTTTCAGTATAATATAATACTGCCTTTTTTTTTTNAAAAGAAAGTACAAATAATAAAAAAGCCTATTAAAAATCCATAAAATATGCTGAAGAATCCAAAAACTAAACCATAAGAAACTCCTAAGACTGATTTTGGGCCATCCCATGCCCAAGTATACCTATCAGAAGGAAAAAAAATAGCGCAATATGAAAATAATGCTCCTATCATTTCACCAAAAATAGTAATAGCCATATACACTCTCAAATGTTCTGAAGTATCTAATTCCTACTGATATTTATCCATAATAATAATTAAATAAATAACCACTCCTGTTGTTCCTAAAAAGACTCCAAGAAAAAATTCCTTAATCCCTCCTTTTTTATAATAATTTGCTTTCTATTATTTTGCACAACATTTTATGCACAATTCAACTATATTAATTAGAAAATTGCCTGAAAAGAAATAAAATATTATGTAGGCTAAAATTGACACTAAATTTGATGCAAAATAATAAATTCCCAGAAATAACTAAATCATATCCAATGCTTTATATCTTTTTTCTCTCAATTAAGTTTATGATTCACCATTCAAAAAATACTTCAATTCAAAATAAATTATATAAATGTGAAAAAATAACCATGCTAAAATTTATTCCACAAATTCACCCCAAGTATAAGTATTCAAATCTCTAAAGATGATGGAAAAAAAAAAAAAAATTATTCTACAAAGCATACCTATCGAAATATTAATATCAAGTCTGTTAGACTCTTTTATTCCGCAAAACCAGTATAATGCAGCATCAACAATGTCTATAATGTTTTTGGTCTTCATGTTTAAATTTAATTTATAATTAATAAACTCTCGCCACTCATATCCTTGTTATTGAAGATGATGTCATTTTATAATAATTCTTACTAACCCTTGCTATGAATCGATCATAACCAAATCCAAAAGCCAAAACTAAAAAGTCTATTCTGAAGGGAAGAATTACTAATTTCGCCATCCACTCCTTAAATTTGGAGTTTCAAATTTAATCCTGTGCTTAGGGAAGTTTGCCCAACCAGGATGTAAGATTACATAATTCTTTTTAAAGAAATTTTTCAGGGATTTAGATTATCTGGAATCCCACTAAACTTATTGATTAGAATTATTTAATTTTATTTACAAAATGATGGCTTAATTCTTCATTAGATTGCAAATACTAATATGCTTGGGGTTTTTAATACTGAATTTTCATTATTTTTCTCATTTGCTCTTTAGATTCATGATAGGAAACTCTAAACGATAAAAATTGAGAGAAACAGAATTTAGAAATGTTCGAAAATTCCCTGATCTATTTCACAAATATTAAAATAAAAAAATTTATAATTCAAAATTAAGACAAGTATCCTTTATAAACTTTATCTCAAAAGTGCTCTTAATATATCAAAACATGGGGTAAAAGCGACACATTATTACACCTTATGTCAAAAATAAATTATGATTTAAGAAAGATCATAATTAGAATAATATTTATTTATTAAGTTAAGTATATATTTTTATATTTATGTTAATAAAATAGGAAACAATTTTTATTAAATAATATAAAATAGATATATTATGTAAAAAATTTTAATATTTTTATTTGTTTGAACATGAATGATAATTAATCATTGATTTTGAATCTTCATTTTAGAGTCTTTAATTAATGAATGTGGCAATGTTTGTCTGGATATTTTGATAATACAGTCTCAGCTGATCATAATGATGCTTTATTTCATGTTTGACTTGTTAAAATACTGCCACTTATTGTGCATCTTCTGAATCGACAAGACATTTAGAAGGAAATAGTTGCAATATTATGAGTTATTTTGAAATTAGTCAAGTAAATATAGTAAATGTGATCAGAATTGTTTAAATTACTCAATCAATCCTAATTTGTGTACTCTATGTGATTGATTGCTAATGAGGATTCTAAATAATGTATCTAAATCTTGCATTTGCAAGACTGAAACTTATGAAATCAATGGATAATGCTAATATTGTGATGTTACTTGTAAAATTTGTTAAAATTCAATCACTAATTGTACTTCTTGCAATTTGTTGAGATTATTATCTAACAATTAACACAACTTCATAGATGGCACATACTAGAGTGGCAATGCTAAATAGTGTTTATATTGTAATAAAACTTGCAAAAAATGTATCAATCCAGAGAACTATTGTACATCCTCATGTTCAGTGGATAGTTACTAAACATTTTATTTAGGAAATATTTGTGATGCAAAGATGGATGTGATGAATATTCGATTTCTTTAAATTGTAAACCTTGAGATTCATCTTGTTTAAAGTGCAATTAATTTCCTACTTATTGTCTAACTTTTGATGCTTTATATTGATAATTAATATTAATTCATAAGAAAAATTAATGAAATCTAGAATTAAACTTTTTTAGGGAATTTAATAAAGGAAATATGAATGAGGAAAGGATAAAGCAATTTTATTGAATTAGAAGATCTAAAATTCTTAATGTCTATATTACTCAATTTTGAACTGATTATCAGAATCAATGAGCTATTCTTTCCAATAATTGAAAAGTAAATCTTGATCCAATACTAATACATTTATTCACACAGGTTGTGTATCTCCTCTTTTGTTTCTCATCAAATGGTTGTTTAATGTATCTAAACTACGACAATTAAACACTCTCACCATATACTGTATTGGATTGATTTCCTATATCCTATATTTATAATGATCATATTTGCCCTTAATTTATTGAAAATCAGTTGTGGATTAGATGAAAGTTAATGATTGAGTGTATTTGTGCAAGAAATTTTATATTTAAGAGTGTAAAAGATCAAATTATAGGGAAGTAGAAATTTATTGAAACTTAAATCTCTCTTGAACGTAAATTTTTGAATTTTTATGGGATTAGTTATGTATTATCTAATGATTTTGAAAGGCTTTATGATTCATATCACTACAAAACAAAGTTTGATTTAATTGATAAATTTGATTGCCTTAACTGATACAACAAAACAGATTATTAACATTGACACTAAAAAAATACTCTATCGATACGTTGTGCTTAACCTCAAAGAAGAGCTATTGTTTACACAGCATATCGTAACAATACTACTTAAACACACGCTCCAGATAAAAAATTTAGAAATTTAATAGCCTGCTGTAAGGTCAAAAAATTAATAAAGGATCATTTATTTTCCCCTCCTTAAAATGAATTAACAATAGAACATCAAGACGAGTTATATTTTTGGAATTTATATTCCAAAACTATTAAGTTAAAATTTTATATAATAATGAATTACTTGCTTTATCTAAATAATGTTGTAGAGTTGGGTTGTATTCATAGAATTAATTGATATTTATTGCCTATGAAGTGTTTGACTTTGATATTAATTCATTATTTACATTTTCTGATTCAAGTTAAAATAAGGGGTTTTGCTATTTTGTTTAGATCAATTTTATTTTATTAAACATTTTTCAACAAGTTTGAAGGTATGTTTGATTACACTATTAATGAATATAAAAATAATTTTGAATAACGAAGAAGCACCATAATTATAATTATAAGGTATTTCTTAATAACAAAGAATAGCTAATATATTTTGATTTTTAGTTTAAGTGATTTGAGCAAAGTAGAGAGAGATATGTGGATTTCACTACGGCATTATTTCTTCTTCTATTTATGATAATTAAGAATTTAGATGAGGACTAAAGAAATCAAGAATAAAAGATTTGTGGTTAAAAAAAAATTTATTTTAGATTTAATGGATGAATACAAAATAACGATCTGAATTTAAAGAGGATATCAGAGGTGCAGCTAAGTGAAAAGTAAGCCACAAAATTGCAATTTGTGCATCATCAAAACTTTATTGTTTTAATTTAAAAAAACAGGATAAATATTATCAGCACATTTGATTATTTAAAGGAAATATAAAATTGTAAATTGAGTTTTACAAGTGATGGGTCAGGATTGACCTTAAGTTCATATTTAATGAGTTAATTATTTCCATATCAAAAAATAAAAAAATAATAACTAGAGGGTTGTATGATAATGGAAATATTAAAGGGGAGTTCTAAATAATAAAATCAACTTGCATATGATATTTTACAAATAGTTCTTCTAATAGAAAAGTTACTTGTTATCCTGAATTAGATCAAAGTTGTTCAGAATTATTAATCTCAATAGCTTAAAATAAATAATATAGATTAATTTAGAGTATAAAGTCGATCTTAGATTTTTAATTAAATTGCTGATGATTAATTTGAAACAAATAAATTATATCAAAAAAAAATGCGCAATAATGAGAAATAATCGCAATGTTCCATTACACTAGCCGCACAAGGTAAAAGAAATTGACAACCTGAATTTAATTAAAGAGTTGAGGATGCTTCAAATGCCTTGTAACTAGAAACAAAGAAATATCACAAGGATAAATAAATTAGGTGGTTTAATTTCAAGGTTGTTTGTTCTTTGTATGAGATTAAATTGCTAGGGTGCAATATCGATTAGGAAAGGTTCAATCTGATACATGAAGTAAAATGAAGATCTGCAATTATGTAAATATCAAAGCATTATTTAGTTAAACTGTCAATTTTTCAACATGCTAATTGGCATTCTTGACAAAATTTACTAAAGTTTTCACAATATGTAAGAATATAGCGTTGCCATGAATGCAATTTTTTTAAACTGTATACGAAAGTTCATCTCTTAAAAGATGTATATAGAGTAGTACGATATGGAACATTAGAAACACAAGTAAAAGCATCAAACATTCTAGTTTTTTGCTGCATATAGTTCAACAAATATGAAGCATAAGATAAAGAGGCGTTCAAATTATCCGCTATGATGGATCAAATAAATAGCTAAAAAGTAATGCAAGTAAGTTATGCTGTTCGAATATGTTTAAATTATTTCGACTAGAGAAGATGAATCTCTCTCTATAGAAGCACTAGGAGAGATTGCAAAGTAATTGGCGTTCAATTATAATTTCATGATCTTAACTCGTAAATTTAAAGAATTTCAAGAATTACAGAAGCTTAAAGAAAGTTCCCATAGTTTACCTCAATGCTTGAGTTGTAATCTGATGTTAATCGTATCTATCAACAGGGAGCATTTTCCTTTGATGTAACTACTCCATAATATGACAAGTAAGAGTTGTGTAGACATTTAGCATAACTTGCAAAAGTTCAAAATTGTACGAATAAACAATCCTGCAAGTTAGTAAATATGAACCTGTAATCCAACAGAAAACTGTAGAGCAGTCAGAATATGGTGAGGATTAGTTTTAAAAAGAAGTATTTAACGCACAGTGTAATTTAAATCTAGAAAAATGAGCATACTTTAGTCTATCAAGTTTCAGTTTCTAANTATTCATAGAATTAATTGATATTTATTGCCTATGAAGTGTTTGACTTTGATATTAATTCATTATTTACATTTTCTGATTCAAGTTAAAATAAGGGGTTTTGCTATTTTGTTTAGATCAATTTTATTTTATTAAACATTTTTCAACAAGTTTGAAGGTATGTTTGATTACACTATTAATGAATATAAAAATAATTTTGAATAACGAAGAAGCACCATAATTATAATTATAAGGTATTTCTTAATAACAAAGAATAGCTAATATATTTTGATTTTTAGTTTAAGTGATTTGAGCAAAGTAGAGAGAGATATGTGGATTTCACTACGGCATTATTTCTTCTTCTATTTATGATAATTAAGAATTTAGATGAGGACTAAAGAAATCAAGAATAAAAGATTTGTGGTTAAAAAAAAATTTATTTTAGATTTAATGGATGAATACAAAATAACGATCTGAATTTAAAGAGGATATCAGAGGTGCAGCTAAGTGAAAAGTAAGCCACAAAATTGCAATTTGTGCATCATCAAAACTTTATTGTTTTAATTTAAAAAAACAGGATAAATATTATCAGCACATTTGATTATTTAAAGGAAATATAAAATTGTAAATTGAGTTTTACAAGTGATGGGTCAGGATTGACCTTAAGTTCATATTTAATGAGTTAATTATTTCCATATCAAAAAATAAAAAAATAATAACTAGAGGGTTGTATGATAATGGAAATATTAAAGGGGAGTTCTAAATAATAAAATCAACTTGCATATGATATTTTACAAATAGTTCTTCTAATAGAAAAGTTACTTGTTATCCTGAATTAGATCAAAGTTGTTCAGAATTATTAATCTCAATAGCTTAAAATAAATAATATAGATTAATTTAGAGTATAAAGTCGATCTTAGATTTTTAATTAAATTGCTGATGATTAATTTGAAACAAATAAATTATATCAAAAAAAAATGCGCAATAATGAGAAATAATCGCAATGTTCCATTACACTAGCCGCACAAGGTAAAAGAAATTGACAACCTGAATTTAATTAAAGAGTTGAGGATGCTTCAAATGCCTTGTAACTAGAAACAAAGAAATATCACAAGGATAAATAAATTAGGTGGTTTAATTTCAAGGTTGTTTGTTCTTTGTATGAGATTAAATTGCTAGGGTGCAATATCGATTAGGAAAGGTTCAATCTGATACATGAAGTAAAATGAAGATCTGCAATTATGTAAATATCAAAGCATTATTTAGTTAAACTGTCAATTTTTCAACATGCTAATTGGCATTCTTGACAAAATTTACTAAAGTTTTCACAATATGTAAGAATATAGCGTTGCCATGAATGCAATTTTTTTAAACTGTATACGAAAGTTCATCTCTTAAAAGATGTATATAGAGTAGTACGATATGGAACATTAGAAACACAAGTAAAAGCATCAAACATTCTAGTTTTTTGCTGCATATAGTTCAACAAATATGAAGCATAAGATAAAGAGGCGTTCAAATTATCCGCTATGATGGATCAAATAAATAGCTAAAAAGTAATGCAAGTAAGTTATGCTGTTCGAATATGTTTAAATTATTTCGACTAGAGAAGATGAATCTCTCTCTATAGAAGCACTAGGAGAGATTGCAAAGTAATTGGCGTTCAATTATAATTTCATGATCTTAACTCGTAAATTTAAAGAATTTCAAGAATTACAGAAGCTTAAAGAAAGTTCCCATAGTTTACCTCAATGCTTGAGTTGTAATCTGATGTTAATCGTATCTATCAACAGGGAGCATTTTCCTTTGATGTAACTACTCCATAATATGACAAGTAAGAGTTGTGTAGACATTTAGCATAACTTGCAAAAGTTCAAAATTGTACGAATAAACAATCCTGCAAGTTAGTAAATATGAACCTGTAATCCAACAGAAAACTGTAGAGCAGTCAGAATATGGTGAGGATTAGTTTTAAAAAGAAGTATTTAACGCACAGTGTAATTTAAATCTAGAAAAATGAGCATACTTTAGTCTATCAAGTTTCAGTTTCTAACTAACAGGATGGATCAAAAGATGATGTTCAAGATAATCATCAACACCCAAACTTTAATTGACTCCAGAATCTTATAAATTAAGAATAAATTAATACATAAGCAGGAATGATAAAAAATTATCACTTTTTTTTTAATCTACCGAATATGTCAATTTATAGATATTANTAGAAAAGTTACTTGTTATCCTGAATTAGATCAAAGTTGTTCAGAATTATTAATCTCAATAGCTTAAAATAAATAATATAGATTAATTTAGAGTATAAAGTCGATCTTAGATTTTTAATTAAATTGCTGATGATTAATTTGAAACAAATAAATTATATCAAAAAAAAATGCGCAATAATGAGAAATAATCGCAATGTTCCATTACACTAGCCGCACAAGGTAAAAGAAATTGACAACCTGAATTTAATTAAAGAGTTGAGGATGCTTCAAATGCCTTGTAACTAGAAACAAAGAAATATCACAAGGATAAATAAATTAGGTGGTTTAATTTCAAGGTTGTTTGTTCTTTGTATGAGATTAAATTGCTAGGGTGCAATATCGATTAGGAAAGGTTCAATCTGATACATGAAGTAAAATGAAGATCTGCAATTATGTAAATATCAAAGCATTATTTAGTTAAACTGTCAATTTTTCAACATGCTAATTGGCATTCTTGACAAAATTTACTAAAGTTTTCACAATATGTAAGAATATAGCGTTGCCATGAATGCAATTTTTTTAAACTGTATACGAAAGTTCATCTCTTAAAAGATGTATATAGAGTAGTACGATATGGAACATTAGAAACACAAGTAAAAGCATCAAACATTCTAGTTTTTTGCTGCATATAGTTCAACAAATATGAAGCATAAGATAAAGAGGCGTTCAAATTATCCGCTATGATGGATCAAATAAATAGCTAAAAAGTAATGCAAGTAAGTTATGCTGTTCGAATATGTTTAAATTATTTCGACTAGAGAAGATGAATCTCTCTCTATAGAAGCACTAGGAGAGATTGCAAAGTAATTGGCGTTCAATTATAATTTCATGATCTTAACTCGTAAATTTAAAGAATTTCAAGAATTACAGAAGCTTAAAGAAAGTTCCCATAGTTTACCTCAATGCTTGAGTTGTAATCTGATGTTAATCGTATCTATCAACAGGGAGCATTTTCCTTTGATGTAACTACTCCATAATATGACAAGTAAGAGTTGTGTAGACATTTAGCATAACTTGCAAAAGTTCAAAATTGTACGAATAAACAATCCTGCAAGTTAGTAAATATGAACCTGTAATCCAACAGAAAACTGTAGAGCAGTCAGAATATGGTGAGGATTAGTTTTAAAAAGAAGTATTTAACGCACAGTGTAATTTAAATCTAGAAAAATGAGCATACTTTAGTCTATCAAGTTTCAGTTTCTAACTAACAGGATGGATCAAAAGATGATGTTCAAGATAATCATCAACACCCAAACTTTAATTGACTCCAGAATCTTATAAATTAAGAATAAATTAATACATAAGCAGGAATGATAAAAAATTATCACTTTTTTTTTAATCTACCGAATATGTCAATTTATAGATATTATTATGGTGTGCTTGAGATGGCTACTCCTATATCTAGATTTATTGGATCTAGAATAACAACTAATCACTGTCTACATTATATAAGTGTTAGCAGCAGTATGGTTGATAAAGATATTTTCTGTAAATATCATGCAATTTTATAAAAAGTGACAGTTCATATTCATGATAATGTGTTAACAATACAAATTACCTAAGATTGGCATATTGTTGGAATTAATAACATGTATGATATCATCAAATGTGATGATTATATTGTACAATTTGCAAGCTAGGCCTAATATAATTCAAATTCACGAAAACAAGGTGAGATTAATCATATCCAGTACAAATTTTAACCTACGTGGTCAGTCTCTTCCAATTTAGCCACACAACTTATCGAGCAAATTTTTCTCTTTTCAAAAGTCCTTGGTATTTCTAACATCAAGAAATTCTTTGTATTCAAGGAGATTGATTATGAGTGGGCAGAAATCGAAAATGTACAAATTAGCAGTTGCAAGTACTTTATTAGCATGCAATAAACTACTAAGATTGCAAGCTATACATTGATTTTGATTATATAAACCCACTTATCGGACATTGAGACTGAACTTCATATATGAAGTCCATTTTCTAGGCAGATCCTATGAAACAAGTTTAACAAATTAATTATAAGTGAGTTGATATAAAGCATTAATAAACTGCAAAGATTACAGCATATCAGTTCATTAAATGAGAAATAGTTACACATTAGACAGAAATTGCATAATTTTTATAGATCAAAACTTTCTCAAAATTTTAATCAAATGTTAGGCTATGTGGAAGCTGATGTCAATTTTTTATTAATAGATAAAAGAGAATCAAGTGAAGTTTGATTCGAATTGTCACAATTAATTCAAGAAAAGAGGCAACCCTTAAATGTAATCGAACGGCAACACAATGTTACCTAATCATGATTAAAAATTGAAAAAAATTAGAGATAGAGTATCACTATGTTAGATTCTTTGATAAATTTTCTTAAGTTATATATATATTCCATGCTTTTATCTAAATGCTTTTCCTTGAGAATTTATCATTTTTTTTGATTAAGTCCATCATTAATTCTAACACAATTTTACATTAATCTGCCTTAAATTCTTTCTCTTATTAGAATTGCACAACCAAATTATTTATTGATGAGATTGCTTATTTGTGTTGTGATTGATCTTCCCTCTCTGGTATTTAACTATATTATATCAAATCCTAAAAAATTTAATCAAGTATTGGAACGTTTTCCTTTTGGTAGCAGCTTTGCTCAAACATTTTTATTAATTATATATCAATTATAATGTAAGTTCTAGACGATTTATTATAAATGTATTGGAGCACATTTTTTTTTCTCAAATATTTCTAGTTTTAGTGATTTATGAAATCAAATTGGGCTAACACTAGTGATATTGATTTCTTATTTTTCACATATTTCTTATAATGAAAATGTGATAACAGCGGAATTGTTTGAATGTTTTTAATTTAGAACTATAAAATAGACTAAGTAGTAAAGTGACTTATAACGTTACCAGGAATGAATGTAAATAAATTAACAAGATCGATCTTTAGGGGAGATGATTTCTTTCCATCTTGAAATTTCTAGAAGTGTTCTCCTCCTATGTGGCAATAGAAGAATTCGAACTAATTTTTTTATTTTCCTTCCTCTATTTTGTTGTTAAATTAAAGCCCCAAATAGCAATTCCTCACCATTATTTCTTTTCAATATTTCTGCTTAACCTATAATGCTGCAATTTAGAAGGGGTATTAGGGAAATAATTGTAAAATCTGAAAATATAGAAATACATGAAAGATCTTCTTCATAATCATACTAAATATGTAATATTCTGTCATTTGGAACTAATAAGAAATGTATACTATTAATTATTAGACTATTTTGATTATTAAGATTAAATACATTTATATTCAATTTAACTCTAGAATATGAATAATTTGAGCATATGATTCAAATTAAATCACTTTCCAGTGTGAAGTAGCAAATTGTGAAGAGGAGATGCTGTGTTGAGAGCATTAAAAAAACAATTACATTTACCACTAAAAGGATTTGTTAGAAATCAAAAAATTGATCCCCTTTTTCTGAGTTTTCTTTATAAACATCAAAATTGAGATAATAATCTTATAATTCATCATAAGATCTATGCAAATTTATTAACTCTAAAGGAGAGTTTTTTAATGAGAAATACTTATTCATTCATGATGGATGATCCAAGTGTTTAAATTTTTTTGAAGAGATAATTTTGATATTATAAATTTCCATTAACCATTATTTTAAATGTATCATATTTCGGAAAATTTAATCAATTTGTATCAATGGTAATAACCTTAATATAATTTGTGATAGAAATTTAGTTAATAGTTGCTCCAAAAAATTCACTTTTAATACTGCTTACTATAAATTGATAGTGTATACGAAATGAAATCCATAAAATTATGATAGCCATTATTTTTTATTTTTGATAACTATGAAATAAATAAATCTGCAACTAATTCATACTAATACTAATAATATCTTATTTCTCTTGTAATTTAATAATGTTTCAAAAACATTATTAGTTACATTTAATTTAAGTTATGTTGAAGACATAAAATAAAATATCATTCCAATCCTTATGTGGTAACAGGATTGATATGATTTCAAGCATTAGGTCACCAAGGTTATTATTTTAAAAATCGTTCCTGTATTTCTTCATTGTTTCTGTTAGAATCCAAGTTTTATTCTTGATATATAAAAGTTATATTAAGGTGTTCTTTATTTGTAAATTTCGATCTACTACTTTATTTCAATACTGAAGCTTGAGGGAGAACAGATTAAATGGCATATGTGTAATAAAGATTATTTTAATAATAATTCATTCAAATCTTATAAATTTCTCAAGAACATTCAAATACTTTGTTACTTAATAATTAAGATAATTAGTCTATTGTAAACTTTTCAAAGCATATTATATGTCAGATACAAAGAACAATATTTCTCCATTGTAATTTACTTCTTAACTTAAACGCTTCAGCAATTCCACTCCAGCTGTATAGTTAGTGTTGTGATTTTCGATTCTGACCATATCAGAAACTATTCTAAATTAAGTTGCTTCTAAATACAGTAGCCATTTATACGAGGTAATTATTTGAATTGCATCATTTGTGGATTTGCAAAAAATGATCGATAATTACCCATCTTATTTTTCTAAATTTTTTGCAACCTAATAATTATTCCCTGGGTTATCATCAACCCAAAGTATATTTTTATAATTTCTTGGTAGAGAAATCTCTCTCATTTATACAATAACTGGTTGATTATTACTGCTTTTCACATTTACTACTTCATACGTAGAAAATGGGAACATTATAACTTCACATTCTGATGGATATTCCGAAAATTCGGAAATCATCTTCGAACTCATTAATTCAATTTCAAATATCATTCCTTCGCTATTGCTAAATTTCATGGCTTCTTCTTATTTTAATGAAATAGCTTAGATATTTCTCCATTGAATGATTTTTTTTATTTTGTACAATTCAGTATGTTAATAATTTTTTATTCCTCTAAAACCCTATCCTCCATAGAATTCTGAAAGTTTTAGACCATCAAATAAACATTTTAAATATTTTATCCATTTTTTATAGGAATTATTTAGTAAATCTTCGTTTAGTTATTTGTATAAAATATTGGTTGTCCATAGCATGAGAGCTAGTAAATGATGTAGTTGATATTTCTAATAAATCTCTGCTTTCTATTGGTTTTAATTTATTTATAATAATTTAATTTCAAGATATTGGTCAAAATTAAAGTCTGACCTCAAAGAATATAAACTCTTCTTTAATTCAGACACATTACTTATTTCTATACTATTAATCTCTTAATAGAAACTTATACTCAATCCTCCCTCTTCTTTCGAAAGTAACAAAATTTACTTAATTTTTGGAAATTATTTTATATATATTTCATCAAATTCTGATGAATACTATTTACCATCAATCATTATGAACTATTTTTTCTCAAAAAAATGAAGAAATTTTTTGAGCTCCATAAGCGTTATATTGTTTCTTAATAATAATTCATATCTAAATGTTTTTGTTATGATATCAACTGAAATTACTTATTAATTTGGTATTTTAATTTGTTATTACTCTTTATCCAAATATAAGTATAATTTTATTTCTTACAATTTCCCACATTAGAAATAATATGAGAGTGATTTTTCATCATCCATTAATGAATTAAAATAATATAACTGTTATATTTCTATTGGAATTCCCATTCTCTTAAATATTAATACTTTGATTTATTATATAGGCATATCAGGAAAGTATTCAAATTGTACCTTTTTTTTATAAATTACAATATTTATTATATTCATATTATGAGCGAGAACTCCAAATGCTAGGTAATTATTTGGATATTGCAAATTCAGATTATAAACATAAACATGTTTGTCCAATTTCTAGATGGATAAAATCTTAATAAAAGTGTGATCTTAATATAATAATTTATCTAATAAAGTTAAATTTTTGATTTAGAAATCAGGGTGAGATGAAAATGATTTCCATCCAGATTCTGTATAAAATGGATGATCAGCAGTACAATCTATTACACTTAATTCAGTTTCAATCCTAATTAATTAGATTTTTTGTTTAGTCCTTGTAGTTCCTTATACTATACCAGATTGAAAATTTCTTAATTCATAATTATAACATAATATAAGATCTCCTTTTTATATCTAATTTATTGGCTTTTACGATTAATCAGCAAGAGTAATGGGTGCATAATAAGGAAAGCATCCTCCTTTGAAAATATGTTTCACTGTTATAATTTCATTATTTTAGATGTTGTAATCATTCCATGTCTTTTTCAGATCTAAAACCTAATTCCTACATGAAAATTAAAAATCACCAATTGTAGTACATAAATATGAGTGGAAATCTTCACAGATAGCTCGTATTCTGCTTGCGCCGTTAACATGTTTTTGTATTTTAAATTAAGATGATTACATAACAAATTATATTAGGATGTCATCTTTAAAACAATCGAGTTTATCTTCTTCCTTCTCCACTACTATTACTGCATTATTTTCTATTTAATATTCAATCAAATAATTATCCATCTTCTCATCTCTATAGTAAAGATTGAAATTATCTAAGTTTAACAATTAATCTGGATATTTGTTGAGAATAATTTCTTTCAATTCTTATATGCTTGTTTCACTATTTAAATTAATAGTTATCATTTCATTGTTGTTATTAAATTCAATAAGTATATTAATGGATTATTTTTCAGATTGTTAAAATTAATTTTACTCAACTATTTCATTTTATCCTAGATGAATTTCCTCTATAATCGGAGGCAAATCCATAATATCCTCTATGGGTACTTAGAATGATTGCATAAATGGAATTGAATTAATAATTTTTACCAGAATCAGTTCAAACCAAATTCTTTAGACCCCGGTAATAAATTTATTTGTAAATATTATAGGTTGATCAAGACTGGACAAGAAGGCAACAAATTCCGGTCCCTACAGGAAGGCCACTGGATTAGAAGTTACCTCTACAAAGACCCTGTGGAAGGGGTTTGTTTGACTCTAAACTGGGAGAGATAAAACAATACGTCTATGTTCGGGTTGGTTTTTGCGACCCCGCTTGAAATAACCCTCTTGACCAGCACTACGCGAAGGCAAAAAATCCCCGGCGGCGAATTCCGGAAGACCTTC